ATTGACAGACTAATTAGTCAGGCTAGTTGGTTTTACACTTAGGGCTGCGGCTGTTGTAGCTAAGGCAGTGGCTATGGCAAGTGCTTGGAGACTGGTGCTTAATAATGGAATGGCTAGAAAGGCTGAGTTTTTAGTCTTTGCGATCCTTCTGATTTGGGCGTTTTTTGAGATCTTTAGCAGTGTGTTGGTTGGATTGACTAGAGGCATACGCTTGCAAGTCTTTGAGTCAACTAGCATGTTGACTGTGGCTGGGTAGGTTGCGTTGAAGGTGTAAGACTAGTTGCTAGGCAGGGGCTTTTAGTCGACAGCTACCTAAGCAGTCTGACTAGGTTGAATTACAACTACCTATCAATTAGTTACCTTTTGGGTGACTAGGTTGCCTTTCTTGATTACTACAATAGGCATGCCAAAGCTGTCATAAGAGGCAAATCAAAGCTTGTCCTTAGTAAATAGCATGTTGGCGCTGTGAGGCTTTAGAAAGCCTACCCTTAACAAGGCTTGAGGCTTTAGGTCTTGGCAAAGCCATGCCTAGGCGGTGAATTTGGCGATTCTAGGGTTGCTATTGTAGACTATACTAGGGGTATAAAAGGAAAAGGTAGCCTACTGCGTTAGCTTAATAGACCTGCTAATACTATCTATGGCGCCTTTGCAGTCTTTGACCTTTAGATTAGGAAGGCTTTGGGCCTATTCCTTGTCAACTAATGGGTTACTGCATCTAGTGTTAGCGTAGATACTGACTATATCACTAGCTTAGGCGGCTTTCTTAGACAGTGCCACTTGCAGCTGTAGGTAAGTATACTCTTCAAAGGAGTCAATTGACAGCTTAGCTAGGCTAGTAGCTGTGATTATGTCCCTAAGGTATGCTGTTGAGTTAGTCTTAACTGCTAGCTTGAGTGGATTGGCAGGTGCAGCTGGCTAAGCTAGTTGATAGCTTGTCTGCAGGTGCTGGAAAAGGTTGTTGCAGCTACTAAAAGTAGTCTTGCAAATGCTGCAAGTCTAGCATTCCTTGACTTAGGCTATGGCAATGTAGCTAGAGTTGTTGCAGGAGTTGACAGATTGCTAGGACTAGTCTGATTAGGAGGAGGCTACTGACTTGTCGTTAGAGGGCTTTTAGGCTAGGTTAGCCTTGTCATGCCAGTTGAAGCGTTTGCAAGTATCTTGATTATCGCAGTTGCTGCGCTAATCACGCTAATCACAGCTGCAGTTCCTGTCTTAGGTGTCACTATTGCAGGGTTGGTTGTAGGGCTAAGCGTGGTTCTTGTTGCAGTCTTGATTGCAGTTGTAGGAATTTGAATTGCCTTTCTAATTGTCCTTTTGGTTGGTATGATAGTTGTTATGCTAGTTGCTATGCTAGTTGTTGCGCTAGTTGTTACGCTAGTTGTTGCATTGGTTGTTATAGCAGTTGTCACGTAGGTAGTTAGACTAACGCTAGGAGGACTTGTTGTACTAAGTATTGGCTTTAATCTGCAAAAGTGGGATTTTTTTCTCAATATCTTGCAGGAAGGTTGGGTAGTCGATGCTCTCTTTAGGAGGGTCAATTAGGTTTCGAATGGCTTAATCAAATCCTTTCTATATGGCGGTGAAAAGGTTGTTGTTTGCCTGCCTTTCAATAGCCTTGGCAAGGCAGTGCTAGCGTTGTATATACTAGCGTAGGCTGCTGTAATCTTCAAAGAATTTGCGCAGTGAGAAAGATGCAGCCTTAAGCTTCTAGAGGCTTGTCATTTGGTTAGGCTTGAAGCGCTTTTGCAGGTTTGCAATGAATTGACTTAGGTTGCTCTTAAAGGCGTTGCGGTTGGCTAGCGTAAGCTTGTCGGTATACTACAACAGGGCTAGGCTGTAGAGCAGCGTTGGGATTAGGCTTGTAAGGGCTGTTTTATCCTCTGCCTTCTAGAGGACTTCTAGTTGGTTGGAGAAGGCGAAAACGTTAGTGTAAATGTTTAACTTGCCTTTGGTGATTATTTTATCCTTGTTAGAATCCTTTGCGTTAGAGTTAAATACCTCAACGTTGTCTTTCTTTAGACGATAGCTAGAGTGGTTGTTGGAAGTGCTAGCTAGGGTAGTGAATTGCTCTTGTTGCTGAAAGGCTAAGCTACCTTGGTTGTAGAAGGCTAGGCTTTCTTGGGTGTAAGCTAGAGTGCTGCAAGGGTTTAACTAGTCGTCAAATTGGGTTTGCTAGAAGCTACTATGCTAATTAGGGCAAGATTGGCTAGGGCAAGGCTAAGTAGTTGACTAGCGTTAAGCCTAGTTAGCTATATCAAGGCGTTTCTCAAAGCAATCTATATGCTTGGAGAGGGCGTTGACGCAGGCGTTAGACTTTTTAGCCTAGGTTACTAGGAAATCTAGCTTTTTTATAATCAAGTTGTTGCGGTTAGAGGTTAGAGGCCTAGGTCTTTCTTCCTTGTCGTTAGGGAGGCGAAAGAAGTTAGACTTGCGCTTTAACTTATGCTTTCAGAGATTGTTGTATAGGTTATTCTATATAAAGTTGCCTGCTCTAAAGGATTTCAGAAGTTAGGTCTTTTAACCTATTATGGTTTTGTCGATATTGTTTGAAGCTTTGAAGCTTGGAAAGGTGTCTTAAAGCTTGAGATACGCTTTAGAGGTGTCAATACCTAGGTTAAATAGCCTCTTATTATAGTAGCCTTTCTAGATCTTTGCGATATCTTTGTCGAATTGGTTGATAACTTTGAATACCTAGAGGTTTAGGGTGTAGTATTGATTGCTTGATTTGCGTGACTAGTTGCAGTCCTAGTGATGGAATTAGGCTGCGACGTGGATAGCTAGGAGCTAGTTATTGGTAGGCTTGTTGCGTAGGTTGTTGACAGTGTTGTGGTTATTGATTAGTGCGCTGCTGTTGTCAAGGTTCTTGTTCTTGTGGTTAGAGTAGTACTGATTAGCGTCTGGTTGATTGTTAGAAGGGTTGCTAGCAAGGCTGGGAGGGTTTCTAGGTTAATGGCAGAAAGGACTACCCAAGTGGGCGAGGGTAGCAGGGTCTGCTGTTGACGGTTTTGCTTGCATAGGCGAGTGTCTAGAAACCAATCAGGCTATGGTAACTAGTCAGATTAGCAGGTTTAGCATTAAAGGTAACAGCAATGTAGAAGGCAAAACGATGTAAAAGTAGTGTAATGCAATGCAAAGAGTTAAGCAAGAAAGGATCTTCTTTGCAAGTAAGTTGGCAAAAAAGGCAGGAAAGCAGTGAATATGCAAGAGACTTGAATATTCAAAGGTTTAGTGAATATGCAAAAGGCTTGGGTATTTGAAGGTTGGTAAATACTCAAGCAAGTATTTAAATGTTAGTAGGAAGAGGCTTGAATACTTGACAGGTTAAGCCTAAATACTTGACAGGTTTGGTTGAAGCAGGCAAATAAATGGTGCTTTACGCGTAGATTAGTCTAATCAACGCGTCAAGAGCTTGCGCATAGCTAACGCTATTCGCAAGCTCTTGGGGTGATTTTGGTATTGCTAGAATTAGCGAAAATTAAGGTTTTTGGTAGGTTTGGTTTGTATTATAACTCCGACAAGTATATCTGTGCTACCAATTTATGGCGCGTTGGCAGGGGGCTACTTTAATAGCAATCTAGTGATATTGTACAAAGTAAAAGTGGTGATGATATTTGGTGGTTTCTACGCAGAGGGCGCGTAGGCTTTGACTGACCCGCGCTGGCGCACAGGCCAGGTCACAGGCCACTGGAGCCACTTCGGGCCCCGCCCTCACTGTCTATTTACAGCCAGTAGAAACCATCCTTTCTACCCCACCGAGCCTCACGCATCACGAGGATTGCAGGGATTGTAGGGATTGCAGGGAGGGCTGCTATAGGGAGTAGAGAGACAGGCGCTACTTGCAAAGCGGCTTTGAGGAAGACTAAAGGGCAGCAAAAATCGCCTATGGAATGTCTTGACGATGTCTAAGGCGGCAGAATTATATGGTTTTGGTTTGCCATTGAAGACTTGAAGCAGGCGTGTTATTTAGCTTGCTGCGCAGACTAGACAGACTGCAGCGACTGTGGAGGCTGTAGAGGCTGTAGAGGCTGGGGAGGCTAGACAGAGAAACCAGACTAAAGTGCCTAATTGAATTGAGTCAATTAGAATTGACTTTAGGTGGGAATCTGGGTGCCTTTGCGTACACATTACAGCAACTTGGCAAAATACCTAGACTACGCTATTATGCCACAAATAGTGTTTAGAACCTTGTAATTTTAGTATCGCTAGATAGGCTTAATTGAGGAGATCCTCTGAGTATAATTTGTGTTACTTGAATATACAATTTGGTGTTGTTATTGAGAGCAGAAGGTTTGGAGTTTGGCTGGGAGTAATGCGGCAGACTACGAGTGGCCCTAGCTTTGTTTGGCGGTGAGTAAAATGGCCCTGCCTAACTCTCACTGCCTTTGGCAGCAGCTGTCAGAATATCTGGCAGCCTGGTACCACCTAGAGTGCACAGACCCCCTGCACCTCGAGATTTCTGCCCCTGCATGCGGAGACAAGCTCCCAAATCCGGCGAATTTCCCTACTACACTTGGGTGTAAACTGTAAAGTAAGGTGTACGAGGTGAGATATAACCCAGCCAAAGTGGGTCTGGGCCTGAGGACAAAGAAGAGAAATGGGCAGAAAGTGAGGCGATTCTGAACAAAGGAGCAAAGGCGGCAACGACGCGCTACCGCGGCGCACCGCAGGACGACGGATCCGGAAGCGGGCGCCGGGGAAACAGACCGTCATGACCCACACCCCCAGACAAAGGCCGAGCCCGGCGCGGCCCCTAGAAAAGGCCGCGGAAACGAGGCGATACCGAAAGAAAGCACGGGGGTTTTAATCCAGCTAGCGCCCGTTTCTTCCTATGTGATGTATTACTAGAAGAAGCACTTAAGGCAACCAGAGTATAAATAATAATAATAATAATAATACAAGTATAGTAAGGGGTTCCAGAAATTAACGTGACTAGGCATGTGATTTTCTATGGATAAGGCGGCATCTGCATGAGTGCACGGACTCCCGAGCAACATGGACAACTTCCAATTAATAATTATTGCAGCCCTTGACCCCCTGAATCCCTTCTTCGCACACGCGTACCATATAGTTCGGCATCTCGTGATATTTCGGGCCAAGGGTTGTTGATTAATGTGTCTATTCTTCCCTTGATCCGGGTTCCTTCTTATTCTTCCCCTTCGTTTGGCCGGTTTTTAGTTTAGCCCCATAAACCCATGTGAGGCGCTGACGTCCTCAACCTTCGGAAAGGTCGACTGAACCGAGCCACGATCGCCATGCCGAAGCAGTACGTTCTCTTCGGGCGACCGCTCCCGCCCATCAGCTCGCGGCGTATTCCTTGCCTTCTTGCGGGCCTTGCTGTCTTCGCCCTTGTCAGCCTTGTCTATCTCGCACCAAGCGCCATACCGACGGGTCCAAGCCTGTCCATCGCCGACCACAAGTTCTCGATACCCAAGTCCGTGAAGGGAAGTTGGGGCCACATAAACCCATTCAAGCCGCCGGCGCACCCCCCGGCCCGCCAAAAGAATGACACGTACGGGGAGTCTTCGTGGTACGCCGACTGGAAGTGGCTTACCATCCCCTTCTCCTCGTCCATCACCCTCGACGAGAACCGTTCTCTGCTCCCCCAATTGACGCCGCGACCGCCGATCTACTGCTACTACGATACGACGGTCGAGAGGGACAAGGAAAACGAGGAAGCAGAGAGCAAGCTGCTATTGACATGGCGGAAGGCCTGGTGGGCACACGGCTTCAAGCCCATCATTCTGAGTGCCGCCGAGGCCATGAACAACCCCATGTACGAGGAGCTGCAGCGGATGGACTTCGACCCAGCCTTGAAGTCCGACATTATGCGATGGCTCGCATGGGAGAATATGGGTGGCGGGTTACTGGCTCAGTACCTGGTCTTTCCAATGGGTCCTCCAGATGATCCGCTGCTCGCCTCCTTCCAGCGTGGGGATTTCCCCCAGATTACCCGCTACAAGGGCCTCGGTGACGGCCTGTTTGCCGGGCCCAAGGCCGAGCTCGCCTCTGCCATCAAGCTGGCCCTGGCGACACCGGATGGGAAGGCGGTCAAGGACTTCGTGTCCGCCCTGCCTCCTAAGGGCGAAGGCAGTGGTTCCGTCAAGGTGGACGATACCCCAAAGTCGCTAGCGTTCTACAACGCCGCGACCATCGAGAAGAATTATCCCAAAGTCGGGGAGGCGATCAGCGCGTCTCGCGCGTCCGGCCTCGGCACCCTCAACCAGCTGATCACGTCGCACCTGCACCTGACGTGGCAGAACACCTACTCGGACGGCATCGCCGTGTTGAAACCCCTCCCTGAGCACTCGACGCACATGATCGCCCCGGCCTACGAGCTGGCCCAACGTCTGGCCCAGTGCCCCCAGTCGCCGCTCCCCTCCTCGTGTCCCCCGAACCGGCTTACGTGCTCCCCGTGCGTGTCTGCCCAGCCCATGAAGATCTCCACCCCAAACCGCTTCCAAAACAAAAGCTCGGTCTACGCCATCGGCACAGTCCCGCACCCCTACACCACCGCCATCCTGGCCAACCCCCGCCAGAACATCGACGTCCGCTGGATCCGCCGCGACTCGGACCGCGACGCCTGGGTTTCCGCCGTCACCAAGGAGATCCTGGGCACGGGCGTGTCCGCGGGCCGCCGCGGGCTCATCCTCAAGGAAGCCATCGCCTCCGAGATCGGCTCCGCCCGCTCCCTGTGGTTCAGCGCCGAGCGCGACCCCCCCATCCCCGACGACGTCGACTGGCGGTTCGGCTTCGCCATCCCGGCGGCCGGCGACGCCGACGACGGCAAGAGCGAGACCCCCGTCCCGGGCCCCGAGCGCCGCCCCCAGCCCCCGCCCCCCGACAAGGCCGACGGTCCCGTCCCCAGCCCGGACCAGCTTGCCGCCGAGCCCGAGCTGCTCAGGAGGGCGCGCGCCATGGGCAAGACCAAGAAGCCCGCCGACCTCGTTGTGCGCGACGCCATCGAGGCGTGGAACCTCGCCGACACGGAGGCGTGGCACTTCGCGAGGGCGTATCTCGCCCGGTCGAGGGTCGAGAGGCTCAAGTGGGAGGAGGAGGAGGCCAAGTACGCCGGCGGCGCGGGCATCGAGAAGGACCAGAGGAGTGGGTGGGGCAGGTGGCTCGATGTAAGATGATATATGCTCAGTTGTGTTAAAAAAATAATGGCGTTTCAAAGTGGCATTTAATGGTTGGGCTTTTCTCAGATCTAGCTAGAGAGGTGGTGGCATCCTGAGTATGATGGAATAGCAGCATGCCTCGTCCGTTCGATAAAGCTTTTCTTTTTTTTTAAAAAAAAACAAAAAACCACCTACTTAATCTCCACGACAAAACCAGGGATGTGGGATGTCAGTGGGAAATGCATAACTTCTTTTGTGTTCTACAGAAAACATACTCTACATACTAATCTTGTCTTGCCAATGGATACCTAGGCGTTATCGTCCACCCAGCGAAGATTCTTGTGTCTCCCATGACCTGATCCCGCCGTGTAAGGTAGTGTAGCAAAACTCGCAAGGAACATGTTCGGTAGAAGTTGAAATCATCGCAATAATCAGCAAGCATCCATCCACCTCTCAACACCAATTTTGTTTTTGTCGCCCTGTTGGTCATTATTCATACAATACTCAATAATACAGTCGCCATGCGTAATCATAAATTGAACGTTGAGAGGTTACCACGGTTTGCAACATCCATCGAGACAACGTTCCGAAACTGCTCCTCCAAGGAGCCTTCGCCATGAGAAAGTCGCTTCTCTCCGCGTTTGTCCGGCAATGGGTTGAGCAACGCACCGCCATCGCTGAGATCCTGGTCCGGAGAGCCATCCTCGCTGGGAGAAACAGACTTCCTGTCGACAGAGGGGCTCAGTGATTTGGCGGCGTATCCGACATACTGCGGAAGATAACCTTGCGCAGTCGTGGATGAGATAGCACTGCTCGTGCTGCCCTTCCGGAGCATCGTGTGCAAGAGCTTGACGCCCCTACACCCACTGGTTAGTAGCCATCCACCTGGATACCTTCGCACAGGCAGCGACATACACAGGGTTGTCAGATCGTCTATCACGCGAACTGGCAGATCCGGAGTCGGCACCAGCTTCGGCAAGGCTGGCCTTGGGCGGATGGCCGCCGCAAGGCTGGTTGACTTCGTCGAGTGCCTTTTGGAACTCCTGAGAGCCGCCGTAGATTTGGCTGCGGAATGAGCGGAGATGCGGCGCAGACGCGTATGTATCGTCGGTGCTAAGTGCCTTTGACTTCTTGCCCTCACCAGCCGGAAACAGGGACAGGAATGGATCCATTTCGGATTGGGTCATCTTGGGACCCGACTCTGGCGAGCCGTTCGTAATCGTCTCCTTGGCTGGGGACGGCGGGTAGAAGTGCTTTCCGTCGTACTTTGGCAGGCCCTGTCGAACGAATCGGGGTGCCTTGCCCCAGTAGAGGTGTCGAGAGCGGGTTTCGTCCTCCGTCAACTCCCGTGGGTATTGATAGTCGGCGTCTCGAGCAGTCCTAGGGTCGACGCCCTTTGGCAGGGTCCCTACCAGGTAAGGAACGCCCAATCTTGCCTTTTCCGCGGCCAATGATGTGGAGAGAGGATCGGTGACCGTGTCCTCCCACGTCTTCGAGCTGTTGCCGGTCTGATCCGAGCTCTCGCTAACAATCCGCCACTTCTCATAACCAGCTGACACTGGTCTCTGAACCGAGTTCCCGAGTGGCTTGCAACATCCCGCTACTCCCAAACACATACCTGAGCCGTTGGCGTCAGATTGAGCAACCATGTCGTTCTCCCCGCGAGGTCGGAATGGGGGGGCCAGAGCTGCATCGCTGGGCAGGCGCAGCTTTTTGGCCAGATCGATAGACTTCAACGCGGCAGCCAATCCGTTGAGGTTGAAAGCACCCTCACCGCTGTTACCATTGGTAGCACTGATGGCTTCATGCTGAGACCCGTTCTCCAAGCGTCCGTGGTTCGGGGCTGAAGTGTGGTCTCGGTGCTCATGGTCGGGGACCTTCTGGACGGCAGCAGGAGCCGGCTTGGGGTCGGTCTCTGCCTCCTTGGTCTTCTCCCGCTTCTGGTTGTACAGCTTCTCGTGCTCCGTTTGAGTTCGTAGGAGAGCTTCAAACTGCTGGATATGCTCTCGGATGGCCTTCACCTTGTTTTCCATAAATTTCTCGTCGATCTGATGCCGATTGAACTGCAGCTGATCCTCGTGATATTTTAGCGAGGTCCGAAAAGACCCAATCTGCTTCCTCGTGATGTCGCTGGGCTTGATAGACGAGATCGGTGGAGCGACCGGTGGCTGGAAGTCTTTGTTGATGGGTCCGGGTCCGGCTGTGGGCAACATGCCGGAAAATCCAGGATGGGCAGGCGGAGGGACATGGAAGGCTCCAGGAGCCATCATAGGTGCTCCTAGATTTTGGGGGTTTGCCAGATGCGGCGGCATGCCAGGATGCCCCATGAGAGAATGTGGCCCTAGGATCGGGCCGGGCATGAAGGGGTTTCCCATTGGAGGCGGGAAGTGAGAAGGGAACGGAAACATCCATTGACCATTGTAAACAAATGGCTTGGTTTGGTCGAACTGATCAGGTCGAGAGAGGTTGATCTTGTCAGTTCTCTTCGGCTCCGTCGCTTTGTCGGCCTGTCCATCCCCGGTCTTCAGTGTACCATCTGCGGCAGGCTGGGAAACCATGGGTCCACCAACGGCAGTAGGCATGGGAAACCCTCCGTGCATGTGGGGTCCAAATGCCATGGGCAAGTAGGCTGGAATGGGAGGATATCCACGAGGGAATGCCGGAAAGTATTGGGGCACGCCGTGTGGGCCAAGGTTCAGAGGGCCGGGAATGGGCTTCGTGTTCTTCAGCTTCTCCGGTGGCCCATGGTTGTCGACAGCCACATCACCCGTGACACGCTTCGCCGAGGGTGAAGGAGGTCCTCGGGTGTTCGGCACGATACGCCCCCCAGCTGTGACGCGGACATGAGTAGGGGATACAACTGCCTTGTAAAACCGCTGGAAGCCCTCGCTCTTCTGTGCAGGCAGCCCTGTTGGTGCCGACACCGGCTCGTTGGCAGTAGCCTCAGTGGCGCTCCGGCCACGATACTTCCACTCCATATCGCAAACAACAGTTCGAGCGGGAGCCGCAGCTGGAGCGGTTGCTACGGCGACAGCCTGACCGGTAGCTGGGCCGGTCGCTGGAGCGGCGGATGGGGTGGTCGATGGAGTGGCGGCCAGAGCAGCTGCAGCACGACGGCTGGCGTTGCCCTTGTAAACGACTTCGTCCGCAGCGGAATCGTCTTGATTTTTCACCGCAGCCTGAGTTTCGTCAGATACCTGCTTTGGGCCCGAGTTCTCTCCTTTGCGGCGAAGGATAATTGCGGCTAGGGGACATTAGCGGAGGCTGAGCGAAGGTATTAGAGTGTGGTACTAGGACACTTACCGAGGTCAGGATTGGACTTCGCCAAGGTCTCAAGACCACCAGGGGTATGCTTGACCCGAAGAGCCAGGAGCTGATTGATGGTGTAGGTTTTAGAGACCATTTTCAAGTCGAGGTAGGCGAAAAAATGGTAGGTCCGGTGTCTCGGTTTGCAGTGCCAGCGGAACAAGGCGGGAAAGGATGGCTTCTCCGAGCCCTTACGCGGGAGTGACGCGGTGATGAAGAACAAGATAGGCAGGAGAGACTCCTTCGTACTGACTATGTCGGTTAGCTTTTGGGCCTCGATCTGAGACAAGATGAACTCCGGAAGATAGGCGACAGAGAATTCGAATCCCGTTTTCTCCGGCTCCTCGTACTTGATACTGTAGAGAGAGCAGCGCTTGTAAAGGAGGAAACGGTACTTTGCTTCGAGCAGTAGGTATGGGGTAAGTGGAAGATCCTCAGCCTGCAGTTTCTTGACTCGTCTTAACAGGCGCTTTGCGCGCTTGCGTGCTAAGTGGACCGACATATTGGCCAGGCGATGGGTGGTGAATAGGGGCGATGGGGTGACGGGGTGACTGGGTGACTGGGTGACGGGGGTAGCGGGCAGGGAGAGTGACGAGGTGACGAGGTGACGAGGTAATAGGACAAGACACGAGATTGTTGTTGTTGTTTATGTTTTGCTTGTGGATGGTGGTGAAAGTGAAAGGGCAGAAAAACAAGACTGTACGTACCTCCCTACCAACGGTGAGGATTACCTTATCACCCCAGACCCAGAGTGCTGAGCGTGGAGATAGGGGGGTCCCGTGACCTCACCCTCGCTCTGGTGATGTTCGGGGTTTGTTTGTCTTGGGACAGCCAGCCAAGCAACCAGCCAGTAGTAAGCATACAATGCTCTGTAGGCAAGGTAGGACAGGCAGAAAGGTAGAGAAGGTAGACAAGGTAGACAAGGTGGATGGTTTCACGTTGATGAACGAGCGTAGATGGGTTGCAAGTAGAAAGAGCTTGGGGATGGCGAAAGCTGTGGTGGTGAAGGTTGGATGGAAGATGGAGAAATCAATATCCTACGTGGAGGAGGATAAATTGAAGAGAATGCCTGGGATGACAAGGGACAAGACGAAAGTGGAAATCACCACAGAAGGCAGGAGCTATGGTCGTCAGGCGCTCCCCCGTGGGAACTTCCATGCCCTCATCATGCGGATGGCCTTATCCCATCTCGGCATTATGTCATGGAGGGTGTACCTATTCTATGGGGAGAATCAGATACTTCTCGTGACAACTCCCTCCTCTCCAGCATGAAGGCGCACTTTGATCTGTCTTTTCAGGCACCCAGAGACCAAAGGAGAGGGAAGCAGCCCAGGCAACTACCTACCTAGGTACCTACATACCGACCTAAGACAGGCAGGCACCTTCCTCCTCTTTCCTGACGTATTCACACAAGTACCTACCTAGGGATAGGAACGGGTACCCAGGTAGGCACTTCAGCCCCTTGCTTCGCTAAACAAGGCTGGGAGAGAAGGGATTATCACAAAGGATCAAGCAAGAAGAACACGCACCTGGCAACCTTCCAGTTCACATAACATGGATCTGATTACCTAGGTACCTAGGTACAGACGACATAGCGTCTCCAAGACCTATATATGGATCGGTCTGGCTCCCACTTCAATCCCGTCAGACAGCGCCCCATATACCAAGAGTCCAATTCGCGCCGGCAGCCGCGTTCCTCATCAACCCCCCTGGCCCCATGCTCTGCCGCTGCTGGGCTTTGAAATCAACCTCGCCAGGCCTGGTCGCCCCGGAGGCACCCTGTTGCAGCCAGAGGTCGCGATCGATGGTGGCGATGGCAGGAACTTTGAGCTGGGTAAGTAGGCTTGCACCGCTCCATGGTCCAAGAGACTCGACGGCCCTCAGCTCGCCGTGCACCCTCGACCTGGCATCACTCCCCTTCCGTAGCTGCTCCTCAATCGGGTCAACTTCAGGGCCAGCGTTTGCAGCATCGTGCCAGACCCCATCCTGCTCTCCTCCGCCATCGGTCTGCGAACTGCTTCCCGTTGGCCCATTTCTTCTTGCTTGTCGGCTGCCCCCATTCTTCAGCTTTGGATTGAGCCTCAGCTGTTCCACACCCTTGCCCAGTACCGGATCCCATCCTCGTTCCTGCACGAGATGGGATACTTCGTCAAAGATTCTCCTCCGAAGCCCGAGAACCTTTGAACAGCCGCCAGTGAAGATAATTCGTGACATACAGATTGCTCTGACATCCACGGGGAGATGTAAAAGACTGCGATATACCAGTAGGTGCAGTGGGAGTTCATGGTCGTCAAAGCTCCCATGCGAGTACTGCAAGTCGAAGAAGGCGCTTTCGCAAGGCTCCGCGAGCTGGAGGTGAGGAATTTGAAGGGTCGTCGGAGGATGAGCAGACATCAGTGGGACTGAAACGGTATCGGGAACAGCGGCTGGCCCAGTGCCCTGAAGCTCGGATTCATCCTGCTCTTGCACGGTCGGAAGCGACTCCTCCTGTCCCTGGGGGTTGTTTGAACCGCGGGCAGGTTTACACCATGCCAGCCGTGAAGTAACGTCGTCGCATTCCTCGAAGCTAACGACTTGTTCTTGGGAAGCTTCGGGGCTGTCGTCGCAATCCCTGCCTTGGGCCCGGGCAAGGGAGCGTCCGAGAAGCTTGTGCATCTGGCTAACGAGAATGCGGCCAGCGCGGATGCTTCTGTTACACCGGACCTCCCTATACTCATACACGCTCGTCACGACAGTCTCGGCCCAGCCAAGGTCGACGATGAGTGCTGACCGTACCCCAGCGGCAACTGACGTAGCGATCGGGGCCGACAGCAGAGAGATAGTAGGAGGTAAAAAACGGTTGAATAAGGTGTCCAGCACAGCGGAGAGTAGAGGTGTTGCCATGGACGAAGGAAGCACAAGGACCATTCGTCTGGGCTTTGAGTCAATCAAAAGGTATCTGGGAGCTCTTGTCAGCTATACATGTAGCGTATATCAGGTAGGGGCCATTTTACTTTGTGAAAGCTTCTCTCAACGCCCTCTCCAGTTTGTCTCCAACCAGACCTAGGTCAACATCCCGGACATCGAGGTCCCACAGCTCATGATCTCGACCCCATTGCTCCCCAGTTAGTCTCTTCCTCCAATCGTCATCATAGTCGGCTTGCCATGCCCGGAAATCGCCAGTACGGCGTTGCTGATCAGGGCCAAACGAAACCGTGCCTCTAGGAACCGGGTCTCCAGAGAACCCCACGCGCAGATTTCTCGTGCCAAACTCTATGGCTATGATATCTTCTTCGGCTCGAATAGTAGAAGGCGAGCCAAAGGCCGAATGGATGGTGCGTAGCGGAGTGTGTGGGCTTGGAGGTCCACTTCCTGAAGGAGCACCGCCAGCCCGGATGTTGGATAGAGTCCGATGGGCGAGGCTGGGAGCCGCAGGATTCGACGCCATGCTAAATAAAAGCCGCAAGCACCGTCTAAGCCCTTTGGGCCCTTAGATTTCAGTTGTGATGCCCAGATATGAGCGAGGATATCTGGAGTTGCCTTGCTGAATGACGTTCCAGCGAGCTTCGTTTACGGCCGGGGGGTGGATATAGCCGGAACGGTCCCACCTGTATCCGGCCCTGGTATCCCGGTCAACCACTGAATCCATGTGACGGACCGACGGGGCGAGGTCAACATTGAACAATTGTGGTCGTCATACCTTCCCAAGAGCATGCCGATTGAGCGCGTGAGGCGATATTCCTCGGGAATATAGTACGGCCGATATGGCCGAATGATGACTGTTTTCGTATCTGGGCTACCTAGCAAGACTTCATCATGGGCATCAAAGGGTGAGCAAGAGCTACCCCCGCCACGCGCAGGTCAGTTCCGCGCCGCTGACCTTCTCCTGCAGGATATACCGGGAAATAGGCCCCGGAAAGCGCAAGTCGCTTTGCAAACTCGCGGTCGACCAGCTAGAAAGGACAGGAAGGCCATTCCGCCTGGCAATTGACATTTCCATCTGGCAATTCCAAGTCCAAGCAGCGCGAGGTGAATTGGCTACCACATCTTGGCTTAATCTTCGCCTTCAGTTCCTGGCTAACTTGTTCGCCCCAGGGGGTGCCAATCCCGCCATACGGACGCTCTTCTACCGCCTCGCACGGCTTCTGGGCCATTCGATCCAGCCCATATTCGTCTTCGATGGCCCCAACAAGCCCGCCTTCAAGCGCAACAAGCGTTCCCTTGGGAGTGGCGACCCCGGGGCCAAGGCGATGGCAAAGCGGTTGATCCGGCTGTTTGGTTTTGCCGTGCACGATGCCCCAGGCGAAGCCGAAGCCGAATGCGCACTCCTCCAGCAGCAGGGTATCGTGGATGCCGTGCTGAGCGAAGACGTCGATACGGTTATGTTTGGCTGCACGCGGACCCTGCGTAACTGGTCCTCAGAGACAAAGGGGAATAAGACACCTACGCACGTGTCGGTATACGACACTGCAGAGCTGCGACAGAGCGAGTCGGGCTTGGATAGGGAGGGCATGGTACTGGTCGCTCTGATGAGTGGAGGCGACTACATCCCCGAAGGCATCCCGGGCTGTGGGGTAAAGGTTGCATGCGAGGCCGCAAAAGCAGGACTCGGGCACTCCCTGTGCCGGATCAAGATGGCAGACAAGCAGGCATTGGCAGAGTGGAAGGGGGAGCTGCTCCACGAGCTGAAGACGAACGAGAGCGGCTACTTCAGAACGCGGCACAAGGCGCTGGTGGTTCCAGAAAGCTTTCCGAACATGGAGGTGCTTCGATACTATACCCATCCAGTTGTCTCGCAGCAAGCAACACTCGATAAGCTGAGAGACGGCTTCCCTTCCAAGGCGCCTGTTGACGTTATAGGCCTGAGAGAGTTTGTTCGAGACACGTTCGATTGGGCTTATAAAATCGGGGCTATTAAGCTCATACGTGTCTTGGCGCCAAATCTGCTCGTCCAGGCATTAGTAGAGCGGAGCGAGCACGCATCGGCCGAGCTGGGTGATCTCGATGCCATCCAGCAGAACGAAACATCTCTAATAAAGGCCATCTCCAGTCGCCGAATCCACTTCAGCACTGACGCTACGCCCGAACTGCGGGTATCCTATATTCCAGCCAGCGTAGTGCAGCTCGACCTTGGCGCGGAACCGCAGGAAGTTGCCGTAGCCTGTGGACGCGAGGGTTTAGCCTTGAATAGCGATGACGAATTCGAAGAGGATGCCGCCGAAAACGGATTGGAAGACGTCCCCAAAGCTACGAGCCGAAAGATATATGACCCTTCGCAACCAGAACTTATATGGGTCCCTGAATCTGTCGTCAAGCTCGGTGTACCTCTGGCAGTGGAGGACTGGGAGGATCGACAGAGGGCGAAGGAGTCGCGGATAAAGGCTAAATCAAGCAAGAAGGCGAGGCCGAAAAAGAAGGATATGCCTGCTGGTACTCTCGATCAATGGCTCAAGGTATCAAAACCCAGCAACACGGTCCCAGAAAAGGGGGCCTATCGGCTTACCGCATCCTCCTCATCGCCATCCTTGCCCAGTCTACCTTCTGGTCGGGATGGCCCCGCGTTCCGGGTGCCCTCTCCACCCCTCGTCACCCTCGACGATACATACAAAGAGACATCCTCTACTACACGAAGTAAGAAATCCAAGCAGTCCAAGGTCCCTGCAACGGCGAGTTTGCGGACGGCACAGACAAACCCTTGGACGCTTGCCGGCTCACAAAGCAGTCCCAGGGTTACGAAGATCACCGGATCCTCGCCTGGCAAGTCTTCACGGCAGCCGATTGTTATTTCGTCTAGTCCTCACCCCAACCCGCTATCTTCGCCCCAGGCTACGAATATGAGGACTAGGCGATTGCAATCGTCGCCGGTACGGAACTCGTCCGTCTCAGAACCGTTCCGGTCCCCTAATTCCAGCCCTAAAAAACAAAGATCTTCGCCTGGGCCCGAAAGGATGCCATCAAAGGCTAGAAGGGTGAGAGACCGTAAGCGTGATGAAAGCGAATCAAGGGATAAGCTCCAAAACTCAACACAGACCTCGATCAAAGATTACGGGTTTCTTAACAAGGCCAGGGGGAGCCGAGCGAATACCAAAGCCTCCGCCCAGCCAGATGTAATAGAGTTATCAGGGGACGAAACGGACGGAGGTGCGCCGCTGGGACTTCTTGCCGGCGAGTCGGCCAATCCCGGCTCAGGGTTGCCAGCAGCAGCAGCAGGGGATGACCCCGACGACCCCTTTGGGCCAACAGGACCCCGTAAGGAAGGACTCATGACGGGTGAAGTGGACGCCGATGGAGGCGCCCCGCGGTTAGCCGACGGCTCGTCGAAGAAGACGAGATTGTATATAAGCAGGCTCAGTGATGTCGGGTACTTCGAAGAAGTCGAAGTCACCCCGGAGGAGGCCGATCGCCTCCGGAACGATCGGGGAGCCTCTTCGGCGTCGCGGACGATCCTGCGGTATAGTGACGTCTCCATCGTAGACCTGACTTCCCATGAGGCGTGATGGACAGGTATTGGATAGTATGATACCAAGCCACAAATAAATAAATAATAATAAATTAATAAATACGTTTGTGGCTCCTTCAGTCGAAGCAAGTCACTACCTAGTTACCAGATCAGTGAATACCTTCCACGACAACTGCCTACCCTGAGCGGCTTTTATGGCACAAGTTGGCCATGGTCCTACTTCCCCCAAATGTTCACATTGACCATCTCAACGGGAGTAATCTTGGGTATTTCTGTTAAATTTCTTCATACGACTCTCCATTAAATGGGTATCCTTCCAGTTTAGACACGCTCTCGTTACATCAGATCGTGATATATCATAATAGAAAATGATAGGGCAAAAATATCCGAAAAGAATCGTCGGTGAGACAGAACATATCGAGACTCCGCCTCCAGTCCATCCATCGTGCCTTTCCATTTTTTTCGTCTATGTTCGCTGACAAGTACGAAACCCTCCGTATCATACTTAACCTCGCCAGGTGACGACTGCGCCCTGCTTTCCCTAGAAACACCCTAAAAGCCCACTGAGGGAGAAAAACAACAGAAGAGTAGGAAAATAGAACAGAAAGGAAAAAGGAGGGGGAAAAAGAGGACCATAATCATACCCCACGAGGGTCCACCATCTAAGCCAGTCTTGCCGTCTATCTCACTGATAAATCATCCAAGGGAGATCCCTATCCCCAATGGTCGTACAGGTCAAGTACCCAATCCCATCCGCCAGACCCCTCGCGTCCCCCGCCCCGCCACCACCACCACCACCACCGGCGGGAGCCGACTCCAGCAGCTCCAGCCGGCTGCCGGTGAGCGGGCGCACGACCTCGCGCGCCATGGCCTTGAGCTCGTCGACGCGCTTCTCGAACCGCCGCAGGTTGTCGCGGCTGTACAGGTCGGGCGTCAGCTTCAGGAAGCGCTTGCACTCGTCGTGCCCGAGGTACCCGGCCCCCGAGCCCGACCCCAGCGTGCGGTACGTCCTCCCGAGGCTGGCGAGCGGCGACAACAGCACCCCCGCCGACGCTGACGCCGACCAAGGCGCAGATGGTGGGTGCCGTCCCGACCGCCCGCCACCGCTGTTTCCGTTGCCGTTGCTGCCGCCCGCCGCGCTCCCGGCGTGGCTGCTCCCGGCGCGGGCGGGCACGGGCGGGCGACCGGATGTCCCGCCGCGGGACGCGGCGCCGAAGCGCCTCTCCGGCGCGGCGGCGGGTCCGGCAGCAGAGGGAGCCGCGGTGTTGTCGGCGAGCCACTGGCGGAACAGGCTGAGGGCGAGCCAGTCGAGGTAGCCGGTCGCGGGGGAGACGCGCTCGCCGGAGCGCGTGGTGAGGGCGAGGCGGAAGAGGCGGGCCTCGACGCGCGAGACCGTCTCCTCGAGCTCGTCCACCTTGTCCTCGATCAGGTCGAGGACCGACTCGGGCAGCGCGGCCCGCAGGCTGCGCTCGCCGGCCGGCCACTGCCCGACCACGTGGATGAGGGCCTCCTGGAAGATGATCTTGCTGCGGGCGAGGTAGCCCAGCCGGAGGTAGCTGATCGGGTACTTTGCTATCTGCTTCCACAGCTGGCCCTGGAACTGGAGCAGGTGGTGGTCGACGCGCGGGCCGGCGACGGCTAGCGCGTCGTACTGGTCGGCGAGCGTGAGGAGGGACTTGCACTGGACGTACGCGTCGGCGATGTTGATGCCGTCCAGGATGGGGGGGTAGTTGTACATGATGCGGAAGAGGTTGTCGTAGTCCCGGAGGAGGTCCTGCTCGGCATGGGTGGGCGGCGGGAGGGAATGCTGGTTATGGGACGACGGTATGAGGCTGAGATTGGCGACGGAGCGGAAGAAGGAATGCGGGCTATAGGCTGCGGACGATGACTTGGTCCGGCTCGTCGATACGGGGGGTGGCCCACCGAATATGGAGCTTGATGGTGTAAGGCCTGCAGCTGCTGTGTATGCGCTGCTGCTGCTCTCTTCCTTCTGGACAAGCATTGGTATGTCGCCCTCCCCGGTGCCGGGATCGAGCTCGTATCTCCACCTCCGCTTCGGGAATCCTGCAGCCGGCGGCGATGGCCTGTCCTCCCCGTCGCTACTATGCTTTCTTCCATCCCCCAACCTTGCCAGCTGATTATCGCGGTCGTCGTTGTTCGCCGGCCCTCCCTCTATAGCTCCTGCGGTCGCTGGCGGTGAATGTCCGGGCAGCTGTTGCGCGCGGGACCACTCATGGCTGGTGCTCGCCTCGAAAAACCCCGAGCAGCGGGTGAGGGTATGCCTGTGCAGCAGGTAGCGATTCTCATGGCCGCTTGCGACCTTGACCAGAATCTCGACGTCGCCCGAGTGGCTGAATACGGGGAACTCGTTCTGTGGAGTGTAGGCGCCGCCGCCGGCATGGGAGCGGTTGTAGCGGCGGGAGCGTGACGAGATGTGGGAAGAGGCCGCCCGCGAGTGCGTGTGATGGAGGTGGCGGCTGTGACTGCCGCCGCCGATGACGGACGCTGGCCCCCGCAGCGCCAGGGAGGTGGCATTCGGGTCCGACTGGGAGGCCATGAAGGGGGCCCGGGAAGCTCAGATGAAAGTAGCCGAGGAAGGAGGTAGTTTTGGAGAGAGGCCAGCTCTTCCTGTCCTGCTTGACCTCGTTCCTTCTCGATGGGACAGGCCGCGACGGCTGGAGCCGGCTGCCGAGAGACGGTCGCGTATATTGCTAGGTACCTTTGCTACAGGGCGGGGTGCCGCAGTCAGCATGTATGTAGTCGGGGATTAATGGATTAATAGAGCAGAAAGGACCGCAATAACTGTAATAATGCCAATGATGAAATGGTAATCGAATGTCTACAAGGCAAAAACCCACAAAACCTAGAGAGATGCCCGGAATTCCTTCCAGCCTCTTCTAATCGTATTCTCCTGTCGCTTGTCCAAAGCTGTCAAGTCAGGGGACTCGGGAGGCTGTGTGCTCGCGTCGAACTTAAGTCGCCACTTTCAAGGACGGGTTGGCAATGATTGGCGATAACGCGACGGCTCAAGAGTCGCTTTCGGCGCCCTCCACTTTTGACCTATGCTCGCATCAGACGCCAGAGAATATATTTGACATAGAAGCGGTAGGTCGATATTGGAATACAACAAGAGGGTCCGTCGGTTGGTTGTTCTTTCTTTGTTTTCTTGGATAGCCTCCCAGCAACACGGCCTCGTTCCTCTTTCGTGCCTTTTGTTGATGGCAACACTGCATGCAGCAGTTTCCAGCCCTTGCGCCTGCCCATGCACTTCGCTGCAGGGAATCGACTCGAGCAGCTCCAAATGACTCCAAGCCGCTTTACCACCTACCCACCTCGTCAAATTGGAACCTCCTCACATGTGTATCTGGGCTAGTGACCCACCATTTCTATTTCTGCGGCCACTGCCGGACCTATCAATACTGCTGCAACAGATGCACACACCTTGGACTCGCAGCTTCCGGCCGCCCTTCGTGGCCAGTCCACGTTGGGGTGCCTCCCTCACCTGGCACAGAAACTTGCCTTCCCACTTTGCACATGCCCAATCAATACGTGTATGTCCAGCCCCAACATGTTTGGAGCGCTGCCATCTCTCGACTGGCTGGTCTTGTTTCACCTTTGTACATGTCCGTCCCTCCCAGAGTCCCCGAGACAGGATGTACCTACCTAGTTAAACCTCAAACATTTTGAGCGTTCCCACTTTTGAACATTGCACCTGACTGGAAAGAGGTCGTATCGCATGCTTAATAGGTATAGATACCTATTCGTCTAATAAGATATCAGGTTTGAAGAGGCCAACGGCAATGAAAAGAGAACGTATGATTTCCGTTCTAATGTTACAATACACATATGTGCAGACATGGAAAACAAACCCCGATTCCCCTAAATTGCAATCGCAGCTTACTGTTCCCAAATGACACCCCGTACCCTCGAACCCTAAATCCGTGTTACTGGCCGTAGACTCGACCGGCTCAAGCCATTCCAACCAGCAGCCTGTTACCATCGCGTTCCGCCGAAGCAAAGCCAGATCCATCCTACACCAGTCTCAATCGTCCAGTCGCTCAGTTCATGTCCATATCAATTGTTGTAGTCGGTGCAGTCGTAGGCGCGGATTCAGGTGCGGACTCGACAGCCTTGGGACTCTCAGCAGCGTCCATGGTTTCGAGCCCATCAAAGGTTGGCGGGGAAATCTTCAAGTTCTGCAGCACGCGTTCTACATCCCTGCTGACTAGGCGGCCGTGACGTAGGTTCTCGGCGAATAGGAAGAACCCTTCGTTGGCCTCGACCAGGTACGATTGTAGGCCGCGGCTTTCCAATCGAATCTTTGGATTGGTGATAGGGAAATGGTTTTCGATGTAGCGGGCCCAGCCACGAGCGGCGGCTTGGATGTGCTCGCTGTCGCTGATGCGGCTCCAGCCGATGCCAAGGTGGACTGTGAAGTCGTCGACAACTGGTTGAGCAATCGAGTCCGATGATGCCGTCATTGGGTTTACGGCGTCGTGAATCGGGCTTGAGCGGTTGCTCTGAAATGCGTCGGTCGGAGAGTGGGTTGTAATCATTTCGAGTCGTTGCGATTTGTGGCTTCTCAAGGAAGGACGCTCTTGCGATAGTTGTTCTTGGGCAATAAGAGCTGCTTCGGCTCTCTGTGTGGCTTTCTCGGCGGCCTTCTCTTCAACCCACGTGCCCGACTGGCTGGTCGCATCAGGGACATAGCCGGTGCTGCGTTTGATCAAGGTCATACCGGGTCCATAGACCCAGTCCTCCTCAGACTCTTTGATGATGGGAGGCTCGACTATTTTTTCTGGAGGGTCGAGGTTGACTGCTGCTTCGTCTCTTGATCGCTTGCGGCCCGCAACTGAACAAGAATTCTGAATTGGCGTTTGGGACCATGAAGATGAGTGACTGAACGACATTGACTGGTGAGGAAAGACTGGCCCGCCCAGTGGACCTTGATGAGCAGGCTGTGGAGGCATGGCGAGAACGGGCGAGTCGGTGTAAGTACTTCCGAACGGTGCCATAGTTTGATTTGTGTAGCACTAGATGAGAAGTGAGAAGTGAGATGGGTGTGTGTTAGATGAGTGACTTGACACTGGTCAAGACGCGTGATAGCGTGTGGGCACTAGAGTGGGAGGGAATTGGGAGGTCAGTGATGATGGTGAAGTGCCAGGCCCAGAGGCAATTGGTCAAATAATAGGTAGAAGATCGATGGATGGGAAGAGGCTGAACGAATTGACGAAGCCGAAGACGGAGTGAGAGAGGGTGGAGGACGAAACGAAGAGGAGGAGGGAAGGAGCGAGGTCAACGAGGTGTGTAGAGAGGGTAGCGTGAGGCTGATGCAAGGCAATGGCTAAGAACCTAGCGTGACTGCCACGAAAGATAGGCAATGTTCAGGAGGAGGTAAGGTTGTGAAAGTGAAGAAGTTGGGAAGGGGAAGAAAAAAGGTAGACGTGACTTATGGGGGGAGACGGAAGGTAAATATGTGCGAAGAGCAAAAGATGGGCGAAGGAGGGAAGAAGGCGGCGAACTGGGTCTGAGCTGCAAGCAAGCATTGCGGGTGCGGATGTGAGAGAGGCTTCTTTGCGTGGAGTATGCCGGTCAGGTAAGGCAAGCTCCAGATCGATGTCTCTGGTTGGCCAGAGTCATAACCCTGGTCTCTGCGGGTCGTTGCCTCCGTGGTTGGCAACCACTATTGGCTGGTTGGTATCTCGCAACTGACTGTGGGCCCCATTCCCTTGTTGCTCTGGAGAGGTCCAGTCTTCTGCCCGTGCTTACTATTTTTGGTTAGCTCCTAACTCCACGATTTCCACACGATTTCCGCGATTGCTGGGCCGGTTAAATCGGTACCTCTCTATGGTGGACCGTGCGTTGGATCCTGTGTGTCAGAGACGGCACACACAGCGTGTTACAAATGCCAATGTCCTTAAAGTTAAGGCAAAAATGAAGCAGCTAAGCCGGATTTGGATGTGGCCTAAGGATCATCGTTCTTACGCATACACGCCACCCCCCGACACCACTCAAGAACTGAGGAGGAATAAGCTGAGGGCGTATGCTTCGATAAAACATCTCCCAAGGTACTCAACGAATAACTCTCTTTCATCAACTTAAGAATTTGCCATGACCTCGCTGCTGTAACACTATCGAGGTAGTTGTCTATCAGGTCGGGAGCTCGTCATCATCGCTCCTCAGACCTTCCAATGCCGCATGTTGCTTACCTAAGAGGATTGATGGATCGCTTATAGCAGCTCTAGGTTGACCCCATGTCTCTCCCCAAGGCCTGCTCGAGTAGCGCTGAATCATCCGTGTTCTCAATTCCACCATACAACCCGAGAAACCCCGGGGTCCGCAAGCCCCCCGGACTCGGGCTCCTCCCACGTCTTCGTCATCTTCTCGTCGGAGAAGTCGGGGCTGGCCGCGGGCAGACCCTCCTCGCCGGCGCCGTGTATGACCCCTGCAACCGGCTCTGGTGTCGAGCCTCAGGCAAGTTCTCCGGCGTCTCGGGTTGCGCAGCCTGTGGTAGCCAATCGTTATAGACCCGAAGTCGCGGTACTCTCACGACGGTTGACGGGGTAGTGGGTTCCGCGTCCCGAGTTCCCGCTGCTCCACTCGGTGAATGAGGTGTTGCTCTTGTCTCTTGATCAGAAGATTGCTGATGCTGAGGGGCTTGCGGTGTGCTGTTAGTGAACACAGCGTTGACAGGGATGGTGCCAGTACTGCTTAGAGAGACTTGGCTTTCGCCTTCGGTGGCATCAGCATGTTCGGGATCACCCAACCTTCGAGACCTGCCAATAGAAACCGGGACTGCGCGGTGCGGAGTAGCAATTGAGGTTGATCTTTCTGGTGGAGCTGGAGCTGTGTTGGGTGACCCGAATGCTGGCCTACCAGTATCCGAGCTGCGAGGAAATCTCCTTGGGGTCATGGCAAGCAATCTCGTGCCGGGAGTAGGTGGCTGATGGGCACTCGAACGCTCTGCGTTGGGTTGACGACTAGACGCATGCTGTGGGGTGGCCAAACAATGTGAATTTGAGCTTTCTTCCTCCTGAGACCGAGTTCCTAGTTGAAACGGCGAGCTAGGTAGAACCTCATCGTTGCTCGAGGTGGATGATAAGTAACTTGTCTCTTCGCCTATGGGAGTGGCGAGGATTTCGGATGTCAGCCTCAATGGAAGGTCAAAGCTGTGAGTCTCTGGAGTAGGGAAAGTTAAGCCATCTCCAGAACTGTGTGAAGCCTGATATCGGAGACGGACCTCGGCGTCCTTGACCTCGGCCATGGTCACCGAGATGGTTGTGGGTTGGAGTCGAAGCATGGCTCATCATAGGTACCGAATTTCAGCAAGCATAAGAGGGTGGGAGTCGAGTGATTGGCACCGTAGCCCATCCCCCGAGCAACATCGACGATTCGACATGATCCGAGGGCCTATCCCAACCACGGCGGCGAGTCGAGGTACCTTCCGTTCATCGGCCGCATAATCGTTGAAGGTATGGGAAAGAGAGACTAGAGCTCCCCAGGCAGGCAGGTACGAGTTAAGCCCAGCCTCAGTGCGTCCGGCATGACAGCTGCATGTCGGGTGTACCTAGGTTAGGTAGGTAGGTAGGAAGGTACGGAGAAGCATCGAGCAACCTGACTTGGCCCACATAGACCGGATCCATGATGCTGCTGTCCTCTGCGAGGCAGTGGAGAAGAAGGCCGCAAGAGCCGCAATATGTGGTTATCTTCGGTAGGTACCTATTTTCAGAATACTTTTCACTTCCAAGGCTTATGAGGTTGAGACAGGTAACCAAGAATCAACGTTCCGCCTTCCCACCTCCTGCAGCCATCCAAATGTTGTTACACATGACAACATTTTTTATGAGGACGGGACACGAGAGATTCAGCCAATACGGGCTGATGCAGGCTTACATGTACTGTACCTACTTAGGTAGGCAAAGCAAAAAAGAAAGACTTTGAACTTGTATATGAAGCCGGCTTTTCCGTGACAGGCACTGTCAACTTTATCTTGCGTTGATGACGCTGGATGTCAGACTTTACTATGCGTATTGCAGTAATTACTTACATCTCTTGGTGGGTCCCAGTCGGCTCACAGCACGCATTCGCCGGCTGTTAACCCCTGACAGTTCGCCAGATATTTCAGCCAACCAGCGCCTATACCACCGAAACTAACTGCCAACCTAACCCAACATTAAGCTGTGTTTCGTACACTAAATGAGGTACAATACGCGTACATACCTTGGGTACTTTGCCTGCGCCAAAACGTCAAGTTGAACATTGCAAGCCATTGGCAAATGTTCCCATCCGGCCCTGCTAGCACCCGGGTCGAGTGTCTTCGGCCCTCTGTTATCTCGATTCCTTTCTTTCACTTGGGATTCCCATCTTGCCTCAGCTGCTGATCCGCTGCATTTTCTCGACGCCGTCCCTTTCTGGCCGTCGCCCCAGTCGTTGCCTCGCAAAGCAGCCTCTGGATCAGCAGTGAGCCCTGCAGTGCATGCCCGTGCCTGCCCGTGCCCACTACTACGCTGGCAAAGCTGCCCGCACACTGCACTACCTACCCTACCTACACTACATACTAACTGACCTTGACCTGACGACCCCCGGCTGACCGATCAACCGACCGACCGACCGACCGATGTACGTCGTCTCGATACGGCATTCATTAATTTTACCTGGCTCCACGCCTTCCTTCGCTCTCTTCTCGATCCTCTCCGGGTCTCTTCGTCGCAGCTAATGGTTATCCCGACAGCCAGCTGCATGACTGTCCTCGGCGGTCCCTGGCCATCCTCCTCTTCCACAGCCTTCACTGACGCGGCCGTGGCATCTCCCTCGCTCCAATCTCAACAGCCATGAATGGCGACTTGAGCTTGTCCAGAGCCCTCGGAGGGCTGCGGATTGCCAACCCGGACGATGCATCTCCGCACCCATCGCGCGAGCTCTCCACCGAGTCCAACGAAGTCTCTCCTCCCGCTGTAGACCGACCTTCCTCCAATCCCTCTTCCAGCCAGCCGCCACAGCATCAAGCACGCGACCCTGCGTCGATGATACCCCATAATTCCCATAATCATCCTGGTCTTTCCCATCGACAATCGGATGCCGGCAACCCATTCGACTCGCACCTTCAGCCAGCATACATCGGCTCCTCCTACCAAGCCACCTCGTCGTCAAATCCCGGCAGCTTGCCCGGCGCGAGGCCTGTGTCTGGCTTATACCCCAACTCCATGGCCCCGGAAGCAGACCAACCAGTCTCTCAGCCCGGACACCTTCGGGCGGAACCGTCACGGTCGTCTGTGTACGGCATGCCGGCAAGAAACGACTCACGATCTGGCTCTGGCCACCCTTCATCGATACCCTCACGAGAATCCAGCCGTTCCTACAACACCGCCCGACAGGCACCACTCCCACCAGGCAATAGCCCCCTACCCCCGAGGAGAAGTTCGAAAGGAATGGGTGGCGGGTATGCCTCGATACCCGGTGTGCCTCAAGCTCCGCCAAGCAGCAGCAACTACACCCCAGACATGCCTCTGCTTACAAGCAGCGAGGAATGGAAAGATCGGGGTGCTGCTCTTGGTGTACGGAAGGAGGTGGATGCCGAGGGACGCACCATTCTCAGATCCGTCAAGAAAGGCGTCCGGGATTTCTCGTTTGGTCGGGTACTCGGCGAGGGTTCTTACAGCACGGTTTATCTCGCCACCGACCGACAGACACTGAGAGAGTACGCCGTGAAGGTGCTCGAAAAGAAACACATCATCAAAGAGAAGAAGATCAAATACGTCAATATCGAGAAGAACACATTGAATCGGTTGACCGACCATCCCGGCATCGTTCGACTTTACTATACCTTCCAGGACGAAACCTCGCTCTACTACGTGTTGGATCTCTGCAATGGCGGCGAGCTCCTGGGTGTGCTGAAGAAGAGCGGCACGTTTGACGAGGAGTGCTCTAGGTTCTACGGAGCTCAGATTCTAGACGCAATCGAGTACATGCATTCAAGGGGCGTTATCCACCGCGACCTCAAGCCGGAAAACGTGCTGCTGGATGATCAGATGCACATCAAGATCACGGACTTTGGCACCGCGAAATTGTTGATGAGCGAGCCCAGGGAGGCCAAACCGCCAGAAGAGATGGACAATATGCGGAACGAAGACGGTCAACGGGCTGCTTCTTTCGTCGGTACTGCAGAATACGTCAGCCCTGAGCTCTTGACGAACAAGTCGGTTGGGAAACCGAGTGACCTGTGGGCGTTTGGCTGCATCATATACCAGCTTCTTGCCGGCCGGCCTCCTTTCAAGGGCGGCTCAGAGTATTTGACCTTCCAAAGGATTGTCAATCTGGAGTACGAGTTTCCTGAAGGGTTCCCCGCCGCCGCAAGAGACCTGGTTGAACGCTGCTTGGTGCTCGATCCGGCCCGTCGTCTGACCATCGAACACATCAAGAACCACGAGTTCTTTGATGGCCAGAAGTTCGGCAAGGAGCTCTGGAGGATGAAGGCGCCGCGATTACGGCCGTATATGCCACCGACTCAGGAACCGCGTGTGATCCAGCTCAACGGCTCGTTGACTGGCGCCCCTGCGCCGAACGCCACATCTCGAGGGCAACAATCACAATCGAATGGCTCCAGACCTGCGAGGATCATCACGGAGCTCCTCCCTCCCACACAATTGGACATAGAATGGTCTCCGGTCCTGACCAGAAACAACGAACGGATCCTGAAGCTAGGCGACCTGATGGTCATATCATCGCCAATCCCAAACAGCGGGCATGGAAAGGGTGACGGGGAAGGCCACAAGAAGTTCTCGCGGTTCTTCGGCGGAAGTACCACCAAGAAGAGGCAGCGACTCGTTATGATAACATCGAGCGGGCGAATTGTGCTTGCGCCAGCTGGCGGAGAAGAAAAGAAGGCTAAGCAGGAAATCTCGCTCCTCGCACCGGATTGCACATGGCGAAGCCATATCGATGCCAAGGGCCAGGTTGTTTGGTGTGTCGATTCGGTATGTCTCCTTTCTCTACCCCCCTGGGCTTCGAATGGCTTGAGAAGGATATACGTATTTACTAACTGTCTCCAGAACGGCATCCATTACACCTTTGAGCAATCCAAGGGCACTTCGGATGATTCAGGATCCTTTTCGGCCGATGATTGGATCGAGTCTCTCGAACGAGCGAAAGATTCGGCCATCTCACAAAACCTGGTCGGATCCTACAGCAGTGATAACGGCTATGGGGATATGTCGTCCTCGATGTCAAGTCCGGCGAGCACCTTGGGGGGGAGGTCTAATTTCCCCGATGGTTTCAGTGTCAGCGACAGATCTGGCCGGAACCAGCTGAGCAAGAGCCAGGCGAGTCTGGATGACACAAACGTGAAGCGAAACCGCTTCAGTAAACGGCAGTCGAAGAACGGGCTCGGCGCAGCTTTCTAATCCATTTTTGTCATGTCAGAGTGGTCATGTTATGTGTTCTGGAAGCCGCCATCTTTCTGCTGCCTATCCGATGGACAAGAATCACGCATGGATGTTGTCATCACACTCTTCTCTCGCAGTGTTCGAGACCCTGAGGCATTGGGCCGGACATTGTCTCTACAACCTTTAATGAGCATTATTTGGAAGCGTGGCGTAACAAAGGAGCATCTGGCTAGGCTTGTGTCTTCATTGATAAGCATGCTTACGCTGATTCCTTGTTTGTGTAATGAATAGCTAGTACCTTAGCTACTGGTGAGGTTGAGGCTTGAGTAGACTCCACTCCCCATATTTCTCCTTTTCGAATCCGCCTCTGGGAAGGCTGGGCGATTGCAATTTGCAAATCGCCAAGTACAATTCAATTGTCCTGGGAGTTGGACTTTTGACACAGTCATGAACCAGTTCACGTGCCAACACAGGTGCACGGACCATTACAGGTGTATAGGGACTGGCAAGCAGCCTATTCGCATGCCTGTCATTTTTTTTGATCTTGAACTGTACCACTGCACGACTTAAAAGGACCTCGACGCGATCGACGCGTTTCCATGCTGGGCCCATCAAAGACCAACTTTTAGTTCATTTCCCCCCTTTGTAGAACCGGAAACAGCCTGTCTAGTGTCGCCAAAATGCAGGCTCAATATCGTGGATTTGCACCACCGGGGCCTCCGAGGCCAGGCCCGGGCCCACACATGGCAAATCCCCGTCGAGGTGGAATCGGTATGCTCCATTGCTCCTCCCTCGTTTTCGTCCTTGCCTCTTCGATCCCTTAGCCCCGTTATGCCGGATGTTTCCGTCGTTGGCTGCCATAATTCCACGATTCTAACAACCAATTTTTCCTCTGACCCGTTTGCAGGCCCCATGATGTCGTCAGGCCCGCACCACTCGGTCCCTCTCACCCAGGCGCAGATTGCGCAACAGCAGCAGGCCCAGGCGCATGCCAGCGACCTTGCGAAGCGGAGGAGTCGCAAGCCCACGGACAAGTCTATGCCCGATGGCGTCGAGGATTGCAGCATCGGTGATGGCGCACAGCGTTACAAGGAGCTTCGGGACTTTGAAAGGCGGCTCGATGCTACCATGACCCGGAAGCGTCTTGACATCGTCGATTCAGTCGGCCGCAATGCGAAGGTACGACCCGGTGGCCGCCGCGCTTTCTGCAAAGTTAACGAAAAGCTAACTTCTGTTTGTAGCGCTACAAAACTCTGCGGATATGGATCAGCAACACGGTCGAGGACCAGGCTTGGCAAACCAACCCACTCGACCCCGATAACTTCAATTTCACGTCCAATCTCGAGTCATCGTATCGTGTCAAGATTGAGGGTCGGCTATTGGACGACGAGGACGACGTCGATAAGGTCGATGACGAGGCAAAGTCCGCCGCCGACGCCGACGATGCTGACAAGATGGATACCGACGCGCCCGCCAGGCCCAAGGCCACGCCGGCCTCTGCGAAGCCGGCGCAACGCTATCGGTTGTCGCATTTCTTCAAAGCCCTCACCGTTGACTTTGACCGGAGCCGCGGACGGACCGGTGCCGATGTCAGCGTGGAGTGGAAGAAGCCGGACAGGACCCCGGCTTCTTCCACCCTCCCGGCCGCAGCCGACTTCGATGAGCTGACGTTCAAGAGGAATGGAGACGAGAACATGAACGTGACGGTCAATCTCTACAGAGATGAGATACCGCCGAACGACAGATTTGAAATCAGCCCAGACCTGGCTGAGATCGTGGATATGCATGAGGGATCGAGGCCCGAAATCCTCATGGGGCTGTGGGAATACATCAAACTCATGAACCTGCAAGAGGATGTGGAGAAGCGGAACTTCCGCTGCGATGAGCTGTTGAGGAAGGTATGTTTATCGGATATTGATACCCATTTCTCTGAACACTATCTGACTAGATATAGGTTGTTGGCGCGGAAACTGGCCATCTCCCCTTCCTTCAAGACTACATCCAAGGTCACTTGAGGCCTCTCCCGCCGGTCAAGATGCCCTACACCATCCGGGTGGACGAGGAGTTCCACAGAGACCCCCAGCCGACCGTGTACGACGTCCGCGTCATGGTGGACGATCCTCTCCGGGCGAAGCTCTTCCCGTTCATCCACAACCCGCAGTACGCGGCCATGCTCAAGGAGGTGGCGGGGCTCGACGACCAGCTCGCGGTCCTCGTGCAGGCCATCGCGGCGTCCAAGGCCAAGCAGACCTTCCTGACATCGATGGCGGCTGACCCGGCCAACTTTGTGCGCCAGTGGCTCAGCTCGCAGACGCGGGACCTCGAGGTCATCATGGGCGAGGCGACGCGGGGCGGCGGCGAGGACGCGACGGGCGACGAGTGGAGGAGCGGTGGCAAGGACAGCGTCTGGGCCACGCAGAATGCTAGGGAGAGCGTCAATTCCATTCTGGCTAGGATCCCTGCTCATCGCTGATGACGTTGGCTCGGAAGGGGACCTTGTTGGAGCATTCATGGTTCGGTATCTGTTGGTCATGAGGCGTCCTTTTCTCTCTAGTTTTTTTGCCGCCCTTTTTTCTTTCCTGGGTCTCCGCAAGTATTAGGTCCCTGATTGGAATGTATTGTACGTCGGGGTAAAGCAGTGATTCCATTGACTGTCGATACCCAAGATGAGGTTATGTACTAGTATCACGGAAGGAGTTTGGAGTGTAGTATTTTCAGATCTGCGCCTACTTGGTGACTGGCTCCTTTCTCAAGCTCACTTCATCCTACCGTTCACAGGTGATCTTATACCTCCCTGAAGCCATTTCCGTCGTTTCATGTGCTTCTTTGGATGTCGGCAGCCACTATCACCCCGGACTCATTTTGTGTATATCGAATCTTGCCTGCTATTGTGCTTGATATGGGGTTTAAGCTGAGTCTATTATTTCAAGTCCCCGTTGTAACAGTTACTATTCTTCTTATGGCATCACCGTTTCTCGCGTTGGACACTTTCATCCCCGAGTGAACTTCTGGAACCTTCCTCTCATCCGCGATAGAATGCCCTCAACCTCAGAAAGGAAGTCTAGATGGTTAACTGGCACAAGCGACAGTCTCATGAAAGGGAAGCCTCTGGAGTAGGAGACCATGTAGTACGAGGACGCATGGAGAGACTAGGGTGGGAACAACCATAGGCTGTCATCATGTAGGTTGCTTTGGGAATTGGGATGCATATACTGCCTACATCTCGTCCGTTGGCCTCATACCTTACGCCGACGACGAAGATCGTCCTGTGTATCAACGGAACAGGGAGCCCCCAGAGGACAAATCGAACGCGACATACGGATCTCGGCTCTTGAAATGTGCCTCACCATCAAACTTTCGATTTCAAGGACTGAGATCTCCGCGAAAGTCTGCAGGCGAGAGGAAGGATCTGATAACGAATCCCTCGCTTGGTTTATTCTACGCCAGTCGTATACCTCGAAAACCGTGGATCTAAGTGGTTGACGCGGAGATATCTAGCGGTGATTTACTTCCATGAGAAGATAGATCCGTTTGGATCTTGAGCCCCCTGGTACCTGGATCTGTTTCGGATCCGCAGCTGTGTAGAGTTAGTCGACAAACAAATCACTGTAGCAATCAGGATGGATATGGGCACTCCTCCGATCATGTCGGCTGAGTGAAGTGAACTTCGGGAGAACCTCCCATGGAACATTTCACAGCGCAGCAAAAAAGACGCAGGCATTGTGAAATGGCCATTGAGCACGACAGTGTCTCATTTCCTTGTTTTCTGCATCTATTCCGACCGTAACCCATGCCGTCTCGTCGTATGGAGACACCGGCCGAATGCATATAGATACCCGCAAAGGACGCCAGAGCCGACGGACTCTCGGTGTGAAGGTCGCGTATTTTATGTCGTCGAATTCGTCCATGGGCGAAAAAAAAAACGACTCCCATCCCTAACCAATTCCAGCACCGGACATCTAGGCCTTCGACTTGCCCTTGGACGCCTGCTCACGGCCGATCTTGATGCGCTCCAGGATGTCCTCGCGGTCCTTGTCGAGCTTGAGCTTGGTGATGACGACCTTGCTGGGGTGGATGCCGATGGGGACGCTCGCGCCGGAAACCTTCTCGCGTGTGACCCGCTCGATGTGGATAACATACTTGAGGCGGTAGACCGAGAGGACCTTGCCCTCCTTGTCCTTGTTGAGGCCTCGGACAACCTGGACCTCGTCACCCTTCCGGACGGGGATGCTGCGGACCTGGAGAGAAAATTATCATTAGTACACGACGGGATGCGGCAAGCGAGAGATCCATGGAAAGCTCGTACGTTGTACTTCTCCCGGAGCTCCTTGCTCAACGGCGCGCTCATGATAACTCGGCGCACGCTCGAAGGAGCAGAGAAATGCGCCTTGCGAGACTTCCGCCTCGAGGAGTGGACGTCTGAAGTAGCAGTTGTCAGTACGCAAACTCGAGTATCAGGGTACCTAATGATTATCTTTACTCACTCTTGGTGATCGCCATTTTGATTGTGTTGCCGACGGAGGGAGGAATTGGAGATTCAGTCGGGCGGTTCTGCACACGAGGATGTAAAATGAAAATGGGCTCGAACTTTTTTGTGTGAGATGACCACGCTAAGCGAAGCCCTCTAATTGGCAGAAACTCACCGCCTCCTTATTTGAGCGAGGTCTTTGATCTGTGGCGGTGCCCTCCATAAGTGTGGCGCTGAGGTTTGTGCCGAGGATCTGCCGAGCCGGCACCGCATCTCGAAGCAACGTCAGCTCGGTCTAACAACTTGCACCTCACCCCTTTGGCTTTGGTCGTCAACCTTCATCAGAAATCCGCATCCCCCTCATTTTGTGCGGCCACTGGAGCTCAATCATCGTCAAGATGGCTCCAGCGCGGGATACTCCGTTCCGCTCAGCGCACATGAGCATGGTGCAGCTGTACATCTCCAACGAGATTGGCAGGGAGGTGGTTAACGCTTTGGGAGAACTTGGCTTGGTCCAGTTCCGAGACGTAAGTATCCATCTGCGCAAGGAGTATTGCTGGCAGTGTTATGTGCTAATTTACTCCCCAGCTTAATGGCGACGTTAGTGCCTTCCAGAGGGCCTTTACCCAGGAGATTCGACGCCTCGACAATGTCGAACGCCAGCTTCGTAGGTCTATCGCTTGCACGCGTTTGCCAGCACCACTAACCCATCATAGGCTACTTCTATGCCCAGATGGAGAAAGTCGGCATTCCTCTACGGAAGCTCGACCTTGATGTCGAAACTCTAGCTCCGCCGACGACCACGGAGATCGATGAACTCGCTGAGCGAAGCAAGAGCCTTGAGCAACGAATTTCTCAGCTCAACGACAGCTACGAAACCCTGAAAAAGCGAGAGGTCGAACTCACAGAGTGGCGATGGGTTCTGCGAGAGGCTGGTGGATTCTTTGACCGAGCCCATGGCAACGTCGAAGAACTTCGAGCTTCTACGGACAACGACGACGCCCCGCTCCTGCAGGATGTCGAGCAGAACCACCAAGCTGCCGATGCCGAGCGATCATTTTCCGGAATGAACATTGGCTTCGTAGCTGGAGTCATTGCTAGGGACCGCGTTGGCGCTTTCGAGAGAATCCTTTGGCGGACTCTGAGGGGCAACTTGTATATGAACCAATCCGAGATTCCCGAGCCGTTGATCGACCCCACCAACAACGAACCTATCCAGAAGAACGTCTTCGTCATTTTCGCTCACGGTAAGGAGATCTTGGCCAAGATTCGCAAGATTTCCGAGTCCATGGGCGCCGAAGTTTACAACGTGGACGAGAATGGTGATCTCCGAAGGGACCAGATCCACGAGGTTAATGCCAGGCTTAATGATGTCCAGAATGTCCTACGGAACACGGAACAAACTCTTGGTGCGGAGCTTAGGCAGATTTCGCAGTCGATATCTGCCTGGATGGTCCTCATCACTAAGGAGAAATCTGTGTACAACACCCTGAACCTCTTCTCATACGATCGAGCCCGGCGCACTCTGATCGCGGAGGGTTGGTGTCCTACCAACGATCTGCCTCTGATCAGATCTACGCTCCAAGACGTTAATAACAGGGCTGGACTGTCGGTTCCGTCGATCATCAATGAAATCCGAACCAACAAGACCCCTCCCACCTACCTGAAGACGAACAAGTTTACGGAGGCGTTCCAGACCATTGTCAACGCTTACGGCACCGCGACATATCGAGAGGTGAACCCAACGATACCGGTCATCGTCACCTTCCCCTTCCTTTTTGCCGTCATGTTCGGAGATTTTGGCCATGCCGTGATCATGCTCACGGCTGCGCTAGCCATGATCTACTGGGAGAAACCTCTCAAGAAGGTCACGTTCGAGCTTTTCGCCATGGTCTTTTATGGTCGGTACATCGCCCTCGTCATGGCCGTGTTTTCAATATATACCGGCCTCATATACAACGATGTCTTCTCAAAGCCTTTCACCTTCTTCGACAGCGCCTGGAAGTGGAATGTTCCGGAAGGATATAAGGGAGGATCCTCGATCCAAGCCACCTTGAAGGATCCTCCCCAGAGATACCCCTTCGGACTCGACCCCATGTGGCACGGCAGCGAGAATGACCTCCTCTTCTCCAACAGTTTGAAGATGAAGATGAGCATCATCCTAGGATGGGCGCACATGACCTACTCGCTCTGCTTCTCGTATATCAACGCAAGGCATTTCAAGAGGCCTATCGATATCTGGGGCAATTTCGTTCCGGGGATGATCTTCTTCCAGGCCATCTTTGGGTATCTTGTTATGTGTATCCTCTACAAGTGGACTGTCGACTGGGTCACCCTCGAGAGGCAACCTCCTGGTCTTCTCAACATGTTGATCTACATGTTCCTCCAGCCGGGGACCCTGGATGTGCGACTCTATCCTGGCCAGGAGTACGTGCAGGTCGTTCTCCTGCTACTTGCATTCATACAGGTCCCGATACTTCTATTCCTCAAACCTTTCTATCTTCGCCGGGAGCACAACCGTGCCAGGGCCAGGGGATACCGCGGAATTGGCGAGAGATCCCATGTCAGCGCCCTGGACGGCGACGATGAAGAGGAAGAGAACGGCCATGCGATAGACGGCCGGCACAGCATGGGTAGCGAAGATGAGGGTGTTGCTATGATCACGCACGACCTGGGCGATGAAGAAGAGCACGAGGAGTTCGAGTTTGGCGAGGTCATGATCCACCAAGTCATTCACACCATCGGTAAGCTTTTCTCGTCTTTTAAACTCTCTAACCGTGTCAGTCATCTAACATCCTACCAGAGTTCTGCCTGAACTGCGTGTCCCATACCGCATCCTATCTTCGTCTCTGGGCGCTTTCATTGGCGCATCAACAGCTCTCGGCGGTGCTTTGGTCCATGACGCTTGGCCCGGCGCTGAAGTCGACTGGATTTGGCGGCGCTCTTTACATTGTTGCCATGTTCTACATGTTCTTCAGCTTGAGCTGTATCATCCTCATTGTCATGGAGGGTGTGTCTGCAATGGTGAGCTTATTCCACTCCCCCGCCCACCCACTCCTACATGAACAGTTTGTTAATTCATAAACGATAGCTCCACTCGCTCCGTCTCGCCTGGGTCGAGTCCTTCTCAAAGTTCGCCGAGTTCGGGGGTTGGCCGTTTGCTCCGTTCTCCTTCAATCAGATTCTGGAGGAGTCGGACGAGTTGAGCGAGTACATGGGATGATGACTCCCATTCTCTTCTCATATGTAATTCTAGATAGTGACTTGCATTTGTCCGGTGTATAATGCTATAGCATAGCCGAGTGTAGACCAACGCTGAGCCCGTTAATCTACAACTGTTGGATTTCGTCTTGTTGACCCTGATAAGCATTTTGATCCTAGTGTGTGTGTGGCTTGACGTTGGGGAGAGATTCCCAATCCTTCCAGTGTGCTCTGCAATAGATTCGACACTGCAGCCATGGATAACGGTCCTGTCAAACCGTTCATATACCTCAACTACTTTCGAGCATGTCCATGAAACCAGGCTGAGGTACGTCCACATTGTACCTGGAACATAGAATCCACGAGGCTTGGTGTACATACCACGGGCGAAGCCTCCTTGGAATGAGGTATCAAAGGATACAGCCAATCGACGGGGGAGCCTCGTATCTTGCGTGATTATAAAATACCGCAGACAGACAGGTTTCACAGTCGGCGGGTATTTCACCTGAAGCTCTCGACCCCCACGCCTCTTCTCATCTCATCTCCCTCTTACCCATTTCCTCGATTCTTGGGCGGGTTTTCTTTTTCTTTTCTTTTCTTTTTCCTCTCCCTTGCTGCCCGTTCCGAGTTGAGGCTACCTCTGTACCCCTACTACGTCCACAAAGCCATACATGTACGACCCAGGTCATCTATCCCAATCGATTCGCCAGCCCTGTTTAGTTCCGATCTACAGTCCCCCCAAAAAGCCTTCCCTGTGAACTCTGCTTATCGCTCTCGCCGCAACCTTAAAACCTCCCTCCCCTCCCCTCGCCCTCGCCCAATGTCGATCAACATGATCACTAGACCAACACCTTGGTTCCTTGTGGAGAACACCCCTGTCGGGGGGGAGGGGGGACAAGGTCAGCCTCAATTTTTATTTTATTTTTTACATACCACTATATGAATCACCGTACAACCCCTGCCGTCGACTGGGCGATTTCCCCCCCCGAGCCGGAGTCCCCAAGAGGACGTGGCGGCGAACCGATCTCGGATGGCCCGGGGCAAAAGCAGACGCGGGGGTTAGGAGGTGGGAGGTGTTTGGCTGTGGGGGGGCAAACATGGACTAGCTTCATCAACATCCCGGGATGGACAGACGGACGAGGTGGTGGTTGCCCTTCTCATGTCGGACAAGTCCGAGGTCGCAGCCGCGTTTAGTTTGTTGTACCTGGCGGTGCGAGACATGGATGGGGTGTTCGCGTCATCAACAAGGAGTTTTGCCCGGGGTGGCTCGAACAGACACAGACAGACAGACGGATTAGGAAACACCGAAAAGAATTCGGCAAGGCTCTGCGGTTCGTTGGTCAGTCACTCATCGGCTTGTCAGGTACCGGTATTAGTTCTTCAGATCGGCGCAAAAAAAAGCAAGAAAAAGTAAAACCAGTCTGATTTTGATAAGTCTAGTTATTCCGTGCCAGGCGGCTGGGTGGTTAATCCAAAATCGAACCGCCTTGGAGGGCCAAAACGCCCAAATCGCCCCCAAATGAGAACTCCTTGCAATCTATGTACTTGGTTTAGCCCCCTGACCCTCACCGATGATAGGTGATCTAAAGGAAGAAAGCTCGAATTAAAGATCCTAGGGGGGTATTTGTTATAAAGCAATCAATACAGAATTTGTGTGTGCCTCCTATCGTATTCCAGGGGGGAATTGTGTGGTTTCCCTTTGTGTATAGGTTGAGCGGTTGGCGGGCCCATGTGTAGATAGCGTCACACCGCGGTATGGCCGGCGGGGCCTGCGCTGGACCCGAAGCCCGTGGCTCCAGCTAAGATTGTTTGTTTCCTGGGCTGACATGGCGCACGACGCCGGGTCATACACTTCCAGTGGTCATTTCGCACCCGCCCTGAATATCCCCAGTGTATACCAGTGGCGCCCAGACTCTCCAGTGGAGTATCCCTAGGTGAGCCATGCGTGTAGCCATATCCTCGACGCCGCCGTCGTCCCGGGGCTCCCGGACGGAACCGTTGCTGTCGAGCACGTCGCGTCCGCGGCGGCCCTTGTCTCGCCCAGAATCCCAAGTGCGTCCGGGTGCGTTGATTCGGCCTCCAGTGGCATGCGAGAATAGTCCAACGCCGGAAAGGTTCTTGTACTCTTTCACGCGAGTCGCCAGTTCCGACAACAAGCGTTTGTGGAAAGACTCCTCAACCTCTCTAAACGCGTCCCCCTCCAAATTGCCCAGCTTCCTCTTGAGGTGCTCCTCGAACTCGGAAGAGGTGATGTGTGGCACGTTGACGTAGCGCAGAATCTGAAGGGCCATGGCTTGAGACAGTCCATGCCATCGCTGAGCAGGACGCGGGGCTGGCGGGGCGGTGTGGAGGAGGGCGAGCAGGGAAGTGTAGAGACCACGCGTCCTCGGGCTCGGCTCGACTGAATCCCCAGTCGGCAGCCCGAAGAGGCATCCTGAATTCCGGGGAGATGGGTTTGTCGACCCACTATCACTCCAGACAAAACTCGACGGCCTCGAGGTCTGAGCGGCGGCACCGTGGTCGAATTCCCCGAAACTGCCGTCGAGACTGGTTTCGTCCATAACGTAGGCCGGAATTGACGGGACAATGACTGGGAATCTCGCCATCGCCTCGAGTTCCTCGTATTGGCGCATGCAGATTTCGAGGCAGATGCTGTCGTGCATGTCGGATCGCAGCTTCATGAAGCGGTCCTCGTCGAAGAGAAAGGTGTTTGGGAGGGTGTTTTGCTGGGCACCGGAGCTGGAACTCTCAACCGGAGTGGACGGGAGGACGAGTTTTGAGAGGGCACCAAAGAAAACAGCCGTCTCGCCGAACGACAGGGAGCAAACAAGAGGACGATCTAAACTTTCCTGCGCGGCAGTGTCCTGTGCCCTCTGGTACCATGCCCTTGCCGCATCGATGCTGATCCTGCCGCCTTGGACCTTTTTGATGAAGAACCTCTGCTCAAAGTGCACGGTATCCTCGATCAGGACAGGGCGCAGGGATCGGATCTGGTGGTTCGCGACGTCTAACTTCATTGCCTCCAAAATGCTCAGAAGCGTACGCATTCCCTTGACGAGCTCGGCAATGTCGTTATTGCGGTTGCCCCTGCTTAGTTCGTTGTACATCTCGTCAACCCACTCGTCCCGCATCGGGGCACAGTGGCGCTTCAAAATGGCCGAGAGCCACGAGGCCAGTTTCTCCAGGTCGGCAACGCCCCTATTGAACTGCTGCATCAAAAGCTCGACATTCAGGCCCTCGTCCAGGACTTCGCGATCCTTCTGTGGCACGAGTGTCTGGATTATCTCCCTGACGGACTTCAGCAACAGGGGCAGACACCACTCTCCATTGTGCCCAAAATGGTCCCTGAACGCCTCTGGATCAAGAACAAACAGTTGGAGCTGCTCTGACAGCGCTCTCCAAAACTGGTTTGCCTTTTCTTGCTTTCTCCGCCCTTTTTCGCCGTCAAAGTTGGGACGGAAATGGAGCTCGGGGTCATAGTTGATATCATGGCGTAGTTTTGGGTTGTGGATGATCTTGTTCACGTCCAGCTCGCTCAAGGTCGCCTTTGTGACAGGGGGTTCTAGCTTTTGAGGCCGCGACTGACGACGATCTGTGCTTGAAGAGGAGGACTTGGTCCGGGACAGTGTTTGAAAGGATTCCAGCCGGCCGAGTGTGGGAGGAGCGGTAACCGGAGCAGGAGTCGGCGTATTAGTCGAGAGGCGCCGGGGGGCAAGTGGTTGTTGGCTCTGGCCGGGGAGGATGGTCTGGCGTTCAGGCTCAGGGGGTGAGGTTCTCGTCTCGACAGCCGCCTCTGCTGTTAGGGTTTCGTTTTCGATCGACTTGTTTCTTGTATGGGCGGAGAAGTGTCCGCTCTCAATGCCACCGCCACCGCCATGCCTTTGCTCGCTCATTCTGGCTCCAAGTGTTCCGCAGTCCAGCTGGTACTATTTCGATTTAAATCCGGTTCAATTGAGCAGGCGCGTGTAACGGGTGTGGTGGGTAGAAGTTGGCTATTGGTTCAGGAGAGAAAATCAGTCCACTATATCTTCGTTTGGAGGGAGGAACACAGACGAAGCCGCGGATATGGGTGCAATTGGGCGGCACGATCTGGCCGCAGGACTCCTTGTGTGACGGATAGCTGCATCAGAGGGAGGGGGTAACAAGGTATCGGTGTTCCGTCTTGTGGCTCGGAAGACCAAGTAGGTACATATCGAGGAGGAACGGGAAGGCCGAGTGCCTTGTGTAATCCGGACTCTGGCATGGATGGGGGAGTGGAAAGAGACAGACGTACCAAGAAAGCACTCGAGAGCAATGGGCCGCCCAAGGTTGAAGGAATGGATGGCTGCAGAGAGCCGAGAGAGACAGAGAGGGGGAGAGAGGCAGAGAGGCAGAGAGAGAAGAGAGAGCCGGGCAAAGAGCAAGCAAGTGGCGATCGAAGGAGTGTGAAGCAAAGGATCGGGAGACGAGGGTGTCACGACGAAACAAAGGAGAAACCCATGGAGTAAGTGCAGAGGTGAAAGGTGAATGGACGCAGCAGTCAACAGTATCTGGAGAGCAAGTACGACTGGACTTGACAAAAAAGACACGAGAGTCTAGGACCTCGGAAGAGAGCGACAGGGTTCGATCAAAGAGGAAACGAAGAGGAATATTAGTTACAGCTGGGTAGGTATTACATTGGCTAGGAATGAGGGCGGGAAAGGGGACGAGACGACAGCACTTGCAGCAAGAAATTCGGGATCAATGCGCCTTCTCCCGAGAACGGACCTCTTGAGTACCTGGACCCTGGGGCGGGAAAGAAGAAACTCGACCCTCTCCGTTCCAAGACGAAAGGGCAGCGATCCCTGCGACCGGCTAGAATGTAGGTACCGAACTATTTTGTCGCATGCGCGCTCTCACTCGCCAAGGGGAGGTATGCAGTATCCATAGTTGGAGTAGTGCACCACAGGTTATTAGCCACTGATGAGACTCAGCTGTCAGGGCTGACGCAGTTCCTCAGAGTGGCTATTGATCTGATATATGAGCGCATGCAGGTACTAGATACCTTGGCCGGATGGTACCTTCGGCTGCCCCTCGCATCTGCTGTGGTTCCGCTTCTCGGCAGCTCTCGGCCACTTTTCCCCATCATGATTCAGAATCTAATGTGTTTGTATGCGGGTTAATTTTGGGGTGGATGGGGCGCATGTCAGGAGGCGACCAAGTGCTAGGATAAAGCAGTGGCCAGAGACTAAAAGCAACCCCTCGACCTAGTCGCCTGTAGACTGCGAATCAGGCTTCGGATCGGCTTGGGGGACGACATGAGTCGGTTTATACCTCCTATTTTTTTCCCTGTTCGGCAGGCGCGATATGTGTGCGCGGTGGCGACCCATTAGTGCAACTCCTCGCCTCGTATTTTCTCTCCCGAAAGGGAGGAGCCCAGAGCTGGAGGTGTGCAGCATGCAGAGGATGCATAGGATGCATTGTGTGTTCCAATTGCAGCAGTATGTACCTTAGGGTGTCCCAAGGAGTAATAATACTGCGGTAGCGTATCGCTTTGGTTTGATTAGGTGCATTGCAGTGGTCTCTGTGGGTGGTATTATTACCTGGCGGGTCCTGCAGCGAGTGTGCTGCAGCCCATTTGGAATGAAAGTCGAAAATCTTAGGTTCCATCCATGGATTGCACCCAAGTAGTACAAGGTACCTCCTAAGGCGGTTCTCTCCAAGTACCATGGTACATCTCCTGACTCGAACAGATAAAGTGGCAACTGCCCGGCAAGAGCGAGCGCGCCAGTTTGGGCGAGAGCTAGGCGAGGGAGCTGAGCCAAAAAGAAGGTGGTGCCGTTCCATTGGGACCGGCAGTCCTTGTCCGTTTGGTAAGGAAGGAGTGGGAATGGGGATGGTGGCTCCACACAGATTGTGCACGCCACGACTCTAAGCTGCTTAGTGTAGCCAACTGTTGATGGGGAATTAAATGACTGCAGACGGTCTCCCCATTCGCCTGACTCAATTTTCTTCCTCGAGTCTCCACGACTCCGACCGCCCTTTGATATCCCTTTCGATGAGGCAGACGTAGACGCTACGCCTACTCAATGACTCTCGCCGCCCATGTCCCTCGTCCCAGTTCCCAGTTGCTATTTTCCATTTTCCGCTTCCCCTTCTCATCCTTGCCGGGATTCCCTGACTACGACTAGGGAGGGCTGCAATCGGATCCGCATCCCGGCAAAGCCATGTGGCCGGCCCCAAGCCAAGGGGTGGGCAATTACGGCAAAACAGCGACTTTCCAAATCATTACGCCCCGTGACTAGCTAGGTAGGATGGTGTGCCAGGTGTCTCTTTTTCCCTTCTTTCTCTTCCTAATCGCACGATAGGGGTCTGTACGCTGCCTCCAACAAATTACAATATATTGCTCCAGACCCTGATCCAGCAGGTAGCCGGATTCGTGTCTTTCAATGTTTGCTGTCCCCCTTGCCACCCTCTTCGTGCGCTTTGCCTCCCTGCAGGTTCTCTGTATCACCTTGTCATTGATGGTGCGGCCGTCTCGGCTTGCCGATTCAACCGCCGTTCTTCGCGTAACCCGGTTAGGCCGGGTGTTCCGCGTGTTGTTGAGAGCAAACGGGCCTGTCCCTCTATTGGAACGACGTTGGGCTCCAGGTCATGTTTCGATGCGTGACTATTCTGCCATCATCCTGGCCTCAACTCTCCTGCTACGCCATCACTGATTCAACATCCGGTCTCTTGGAAAATATGTTGGGACGCTGGGGTTGCAACGCGATGGAGCGTCATCGTGCATCGTTACAAACCTATGAAAACCCTGCTCCAGGTTGCTTCGCTTGTCCCTGTTTCAAGCTTTTTATATAACACAGTGGTAGGTGAACCAGACATCGCAGCACAGCACAACACATCATATCAAGCACGGCAGCTGTTGCTCCCTGCTCGATCGCGGCCCTACGAATTTCCCCCCTTCTTGGAGCCGGATGACTTCTACCTTACACCTGGCCGCTCGAGTGTGCCCGGCCAAATCAACCGTCGCATGATGATATCTCACTCGTCAACGCCCACCATCCCTTGAGGCCCTGTATTCCTTGAGCACTTGTCACACCAGCTTAAGAGCCGTGTCGCCTTGGTCGAGATCTGTCAACCAGGGCTTGCTGTGGACTAGCCTCCACAGTAGGTTGCCAAACTTCACCTTCGCCTCTGAAGGCGACAGAAGGACTTGGATAGGAAAATAAGGCAGGTCCCATTTGGATTGCATCTTCCGGGTTATACGTGGCCCCTCTCATCCGCAGTTGCCACGCCACATGGACGAGTATACGTGGAAGCTCCGTGTCGACTGTCTTGCTGATTCTCATGTACGCATGTCCACGCGTTTCTTTTGCTGTTCGCCACGAAAAGCATACCACTTTCTCCGGAGTCTCGTATGGAGGCGGCCGGTGTACGTCAAGGTATCCCAAATCAGTAAGTCCTTGCACCGGACTAGAACTTGACGTTCTTGCAGGAAGTAACTACGGAGCTTCCTGGAGCGAGAGGCTCGCCACAGCTATTCTAGGCAAAGAACGGTTGGGCTATCGTAGCCACCATCCATACCAACCAGGCACGGAGTGGGCTCTATATATTCGTCTAGTCTCTTCAGGACATCGGGTCTGCGGCCAGCAGATAAGGAGCGAATGGATGTCTTTTGCGTATTAATTCCGGGCCGGCGCTGCATATTGCTCAAACCTATGTCCTTAATCCCAAACGCTGTGGGATCGCGGTAACTAGACTAGAAAGTTCGATGCACTTCCATGCAGGTTGCACGGGAGACAGTGCGCGCATTGAGCGGGTGCCCAAGAAGGAGCCAGTTAGAAGGCAGGAGTTTCCAAAAACGCAATGTTCTCGAAGCACTGGTAGGACATCAAATGCCCCGAAAAGTGGCCCAATTGATACCATTTATGGTGCCTAATCGAGTATCCCGATGCGCAACTTTCCACAGCACAAGGACCAACTGCACAGCCTCTTCCGTGGCAGACAATATCTCAAGTACCACACTGTTAGGGACATGTGGATGTTTGTCCTGCCAAGTTGCGGCGGCATGTATAGCAGCGTATACCAGGGCGCAAGCTGTTCTCTGGCGCATAACGTTTGTGCTAGATTGCCTCAATAGATCGGACGAACTCCCGACACATAACGCTGGAAGATCTACAGCACTTAACAGGACCTGCTAAGACGCTGTCGCCTGTCAGTGTTGCCGTTGCCCATCACCGTTGCCCATTGCTGTCAACTGCCTTTACCCCAGCCAAAAAAAAAAGAAGAAGAAAAACTTCGGCCCGCTAGCACCTAAACTGCACAGATCCCCTGCCGAAATACTGCATTGTAGAGAAGGGAAACACAGGCGTTGGTTGTACTGTACCAGGCTAGGTCCCCCAGCCTTCCGGAGGAAAGGTGGTCGGACAATCCGGAAAAACATATTTTCCACATCGCTCAGGCGGGCGGGAAGTGGGGGCGACTTAGGCCGTGTGCCCGGCGCACGGCCCGTCCGTGTTTGAAGAGCCTCCAGAAATCAGGTAGATCCGAGCAGCCGGGAAAGGTTACCTAGGCACCTACCTCGTTTGATAAACCTCAATCCCTTGATTTGGTCCCGCGGTAGATCTCTCAATAGCGGTGCCTTATATTCTCACGAGACTCACGAGATCAACATTGTCCGCAACACCGAATACCACGACCTCGCTATACTCTCAGCTCTATCCTCGTCTCCGACCAGAAACATCCGCCCAAGATGGAGCCTCGTGCTCGAGCTGGCAAAAATGTCGGCAAGATGAACTTCAACTACAACGAGCGTGCGTTTTGGAGCCCCCATCGCCACCAACCAGCAGCCTGTCCTGCCCCTCCTCTTCCCCTCCGCTAATCCATCCCCACCACAGTTGCCCAGCTCCTCTACGGCCACGGCGACGCCAAGAACCCGCTGCCGGACACGGTACGGGTGCTGGACGAGATCACGACCGACTTCATCCAGGGGGTGTCGTTCGAGGCGACGCGGGCGGCGCAGCACGCGGGGCGGCAGAAGCTCAAGTTCGAGGACTTTGAGTTCGCGATGCGCAAGAACTCGCTCTACATGGGCAAGGTGCAGGAGGTGTTTGAGAAGAAGCGCGAGATCGAGCGCGCGCGCAACATCATCAACGACGAGGACCAGATCCTGCGCGACGCGAACCGCGCCGAGAAGGTGGCCCTCCGGAGCGAGAGGCGCGCCGCGAAGACGGCCCAGGCCAGGCAGGAGGAGGAGCTGGGCGAGGCTGACGACGATGCCGATGCCGAGGCTGAGACCCTTGGGACGAAGAGGAGGTGACCTTGCAGGGGGGAGGTGTACGGGTTGCTACTGAGACGGACGGGGCGATGGCGGAGTCCCTGGGAAGAAGAACCATGGTCTTCTTTTTTGGTTGTTTGTATTTTACATCATTATGGCTTTGGTGGCTTCGTGCATGGCGCAGGCGTTGGCCGGTCTACATTCCCAATCTGGTGGGAGTTGGAGAAGGTATGATTACCATGCCTGCCTAGGAATGCATTTACGGATAGCAACCGGTTGCCTCATTCAATCCTTCCTCATGGTCTCGATTGATCAAGACCAGGCCTGGATAACGGAACCCGTCTTTGCGATGGCACCAGGACTGGGCTTGGTCGCGTGATTGTTTTTAGACAGGCGGCCGAAACAGGCACCGGGTGTGAATGCCGCCCCGACCCGACCCATGATCTGGGACATGTAAGCGCCTGCAAGTGTGTACAATTCAATGCATGAGTGTCCGGTAGCCAACATGGGTAGGTACAGAAAGTCCTGTTGACTGCCCCGCACCACCAACCCCGTCAGATGTTGGTTTTGGTCATTTTAGGCGGGAAAATACCTCCGCTGTATTCGAGATCGACTACAAAGATGGCTATGATGCCCCGATTATCAGCCAGCAATAGTAGCATTACAATTCCTCCGGCCTCCTAGTCCCAGTGATGGAAGACAAACGCCGCTATCCTAGAATTCCTGCGGACGAATATCCAACATTGGCGACGTGCAAGCGGTGATCGACAGTTCCAAGCTTCATCCAAAGGATAGATGACCAATTAAGTTTTTAGTGTGAGGGGAAATGCCAGGCAAACGCAGCGTTGAAAAGCACAGGTGGGGGAAAATGGAGCAACACAGGCCTCTAACCTGGTACGCAGTAAAGATCCTAGACTACCCCAGCTCCACCCCCAGGATGCGATATCGGGTTGATGACATTCAAAGTTGTCCTATTGACGCCGCTGAACAGCGAACCCAGGCTCCACTTCCCTCCGACCAGGGGCCAGAACCGCTCGTCATCAAGCCCGAGTGGTTCGTCAAGATCCCGGGGGCCGGGCGATGGGGTTGTAATAGTTGTCATCGCTTTCCTTTTCGCCCTCCGAGTTTTCTGGTCATTCTTGAGTCTCCACTCGCTCGGAAATCGGCGCTTGGGAACCCAGTATCACCCCTCTCGCGCTCCCTCTAAGGCTGAGTATCTGTTGACCTCGTCACACCGTCCTCTCACATCACGGCGGGCTGGCTTCTTTCTCCCAAACTCGCTCGTTCCTAGTTTGATCAAGTCACCTGTTATGCGAATTTCAGTGTTTGATATTGCATTCGCCACATCTTGACCCAGCCCTGACTTATTCTCCCCTTTGGCAAGGAATGGACTCCTAGTCGTCATCTGTATCTGGAAGTTAGTCAAATTGAACTCTCAGTCATAGAATTATTCGAATCCCATCATGACCCCCTCCTCTGAAGCTCCCCAAACTCGCCATGCAAAGAAATGGCTCGACGACGACGACGGCGACAGCGACAGCGAAGGTGATGAGATCATTGACCTCCTATCCACTCCAGAGCCGTTGAAACGAGATGCAGCGGGGAAGAGACTCCTGGACCCGGACGCATTCCGGTCATTAACCGCCAGCCCGGCATCCGCGAACGGGGGGGTGCCACCGGCCCACCTCCGCGGCCCTTCCCCGCGCCGCCGAACTCAGACATGGAAGTCCAAGGCCTCAAATATGTGGGCGATGTTTTGGGAGCAGAACAGGGGCGTGGTGCTTGTCGCTCTGTCGCAGATGTTCGGGTCTCTCATGAATCTGGCTGCAAGGTTGCTGGAACTCGAGGGCGAAGGGATGCACCCCTTTCAGATCCTCTTCGCTCGCATGGGCTTGACCACACTCATCTCTTGCATCTACATGTACAAGGTCAAGGTGCCACATTTTCCGTTTGGGCCGAGGGAAGTGAGGGGGCTGTTGATTGCGAGAGGGATGACAGGCTTTTTCGGGATATATGGGATGTGGTACTCGATGATGTATCTTCCCCTTGCCGAAGCAACGGTGATCAGTTTCCTCGCTCCCAGCGTCGCGGGCTATGTCTGCCACGTCCTGATCCATGACCCTTTCACCCGGAAGGAGCAGATAGCGTCTGTCCTGGCGCTTGTTGGCGTCGTCTTCATCGCCCGGCCCACCTCCCTGTTCTCATCGTCGGCTGCAGCTGAGGGCGCGCAAACAGCCGCAGGCATCAATGCCACCGCCGCCGCCACCAATGTGACTGGGCCAGCCCCACACATGGGCGGAGAAGCAACGCCGGCCCAGCGCCTCACGGCCATCGGGGTCGCCCTTGTTGGTGTCCTGGGGGCGTCCGGGGCGTTTACGACCATCCGGTGGATCGGGAAACGGGCGCACCCGCTCATCTCGGTCAATTACTTCTCGACATGGTGCACCCTAGTTAGCACCGTTGTGCTTCTTCTCGCTCCGGTTCTCAACATAGGTCAGCCGGCCATCCACTTTGCCCTGCCAACTTCGTTGCGACAGTGGCTGTTGCTCCTCTTCCTGGGTTCGTGCGGCATGATAATGCAGTTCCTGCTGACGTCGGGCCTGGCGGGGGAGAGGTCCAACAGAGCGACCGCAATGGTGTACACCCAGATGCTGTTTGCGGCGGGATTTGACAAGTGGATATTTGGCCATGAGATGGGGGTTGTGAGCCTGATAGGATGCGGGTTTATAATTGGGAGCGCACTTTGGGTTGCTCTCACGAAGAAAGAAAAGGATACCAACCGGTCCAGTGCCGATGTCGAGACGGGGGCCGCTATAGAAGGAGAACCCATGTTGAGACACAACAACAGAGGAGAACAGGATGGGGAAGCAGATGAAATAGCATTAGAGCTGGTTAGATAGAGCCATGCCTCAGCACCCAGAGAGGTACAGGAACAAGGTAGGGGATCACATCCTCTTTAGCATTCTTTGTGATACCCAACATATTATTCTCAAAATAACAGTCAAAATAACAGACAGGAAGAGGATCATATAGTAAGGCAGGCACCAGACCGGTATGTGATGGGATATTCCATTTTAATTCAGGGAGGCAAGTCCGCGGGTATGTACCTTGGCACACGATCAGTTGGTCCAAGCTTCCATTGTGCCAAACTTACATTACATAAGCTTCAAGTCCCAAATTTATTTTCCCTGTGAGCTCTCGCACCCACCACCAGCCTTGCCTTACCTACCTCTCGGATCCATAATCTCAGCGTCGCCTATCTTCGACTCGACTACCAAGCAACAATACCGACTGCTACAACGGCGCGCACCTTTCGACAGTCAAAATGGTACAGATTAGTGAGGTCAAAGGAAATAATCGCGACAACCGCACGGCGGCGCATACCCATATCCGGGGCCTTGGTCTGAATGTCCATGGCTTCGCCGAGAAGCAAGCCGGTGGGTTTGTCGGCCAGACAACGGCTAGAGAGGTATGCATTTACATTTGATTACATTTGTTGCTTCGCAAAATTCCTGCAAGAGCCAAGCTCACCTTCGCTTCTCAATCTAGGCATGTGGCGTCGTGGTCGACCTGATCAAGGCCCACAAGATGGCCGGTCGCGGCGTCTTGCTTGCCGGCGGTCCTGGCACGGGCAAGACAGCACTTGCGTTGGCAATTAGCCAAGAGTTGGGCACCAAGATTCCATTCTGCCCCATCACCGGCAGCGAAATCTACTCGACCGAGGTGAAGAAGACGGAGGTGCTGATGGAGAACTTCCGGAGAGCCATTGGCCTGAAGGTTCGAGAAACAAAAGAGGTCTACGAGGGCGAGGTGACGGAGCTCACGCCAGAGGAGGCGGAGAACCCATTGGGAGGCTACGGCAAGACCGTCAGCACCCTGCTTGTTGGCCTGAAGAGCGCCAAGGGCCAGAAGAAGCTCCGGCTGGATCCCAGCATATATGAGGCCATCCAGAAGGAGAGGGTCACCGTTGGCGACGTTGTCTACATCGAGGCCAATACCGGCGCGTGCAAACGCGTCGGGCGATCTGATGCTTACGCGACCGAGTTCGACCTTGAGGCGGAGGAGTACGTACCCATCCCGAAGGGAGACGTGCACAAGAAGAAGGAGATTGTCCAAGACGTCACCCTGCACGATCTTGACGTTGCGAACTCGCGGCCGCAAGGTGGCCAAGACATCATGTCGATGATGGGCCAGCTGATGAAGCCCAAGATGACCGAAATCACCGACAAGCTCCGTTCCGAAATCAACAAGGTCGTCAGCAAGTACATCGACCAAGGAGTTGCCGAGTTGGTCCCGGGAGTCCTGTTCATTGATGAGGTATGGAATCTCTTACACTTCCATGCTGTTCCGTTCCGTTCCCCGGCTTACAGGATTAGGCGCAAATGCTCGACATTGAATGCTTTACCTATCTGAACAGGGCGCTGGAATCGCAGATTTCACCCATTGTTGTGCTTGCTTCCAACCGAGGCATGGCTACTATTCGCGGCACAGAGGATCTCATTGCCGCCCACGGCGTCCCCCCGGACTTCTTGGCCCGACTGCTGATTATCCCCACCACTCCCTACGATGCAGATGAAATCAAGAGGATCGTGCGTATCCGCGCAACGGTCGAGGGCGTTTCTATCACAGACGCTGCCATTGATAAGATTTCAGCGCATGGAGTGCGGATCAGCCTCAGATACTGTCTTCAGCTGTTGACACCGTCGAGGTAAGTAGAGCAAGTGTGCCACAGAGGAGAAAGGCTATGCTAACAACCACAAAGCATCCTTGCCCGAGTCAATGGCCGGAGCCAAATTGATGTGCAAGACGTTGCCGAGTGTGAGGATCTCTTCCTCGATGCTCGTCGTAGTGCCGATGTACTCAGCAGCGAGCTGGGGCGGGGCTTCATCTCATGAGCCACGTATCATTAGCCACGGGCGTCGGCACCGGAAGACGTGTCACATATCTATTTTTTGCTCTCTTGCCTTTCCTTTTTTTCCCCCTCATCTGCGCGCATGCTAGATTATTAAGGAACGGATCGGTCAGGAAAAGCCTGGGAGGCTGGAGTCAAAGTGTCTTGTTAGTGTTTTTTTTGTTCCATAATTCGGAAGTTGGTTGGAATGGGTCCCAACGGCTCCTAATCAACGGTTCCATAACCTTCGGGAAGCCGTTCGTCAAGCATGCTCAGGCTGCCAGGCTGCTGCTCTGCAAATACCCCTGAGCAAGATAAACATGTAAGATCACGTGTACCTGCAAATTCCGATTTCTGGGCCAAATTTGGTTGACATAGTCTTTGTTCAGCTTCACATTCCAATGTGGCAATTATGCGCATTCCTCCAACCATTGTCATGGCTGGGAGAGGTTGGACTAAAAGCCGTATAGTTAGCTTGTGTACATGTCATTTGCCTGGAAATGCCCTGCGAACGGAAATTGCCATGCAAACGCGGACAAAGAAGTCGTGGCTGCAACAGCTTAGACCCCCCGGTACATTCCCGAGACATGTAAAGGCAGCTACCACTCCTAAGCTGCCTTGGGCCTACCCCCTCAATAACGACAACCACACTCTCTCCCATAAGGTCATTCAGCTGGCAGCATTTATTGTTTGGATGCTTATCAATGGGAATATGTCACAAAGAAGAACACAATCCGACAAGTGCCCTGTCGCCATTTATTCTTGCTCAGATCCAACACAGCCGTGCCCCCCCTCTCTCCCCTTGATCAACATTTCGCTCTCCACTTTGCTCCTTACATACAAGACATACGGGAAACCTGAGAACTGAGTCCCATCTGGTTCCCGCACTCTTGCGTCGAACTCCCCGTTTGCGCTTCCATAGTCCCATAATGACCGACGTAGACACCTCCTCCCGCAAGCTTCTCCCCCCTTCCAAACTAACAGCAACTGCCAGCCAGCCCACCATGGCAACAAGATCGAGCGATCCAAAGCGTGCTCCTCCTGAGTCTCCCCGGGGGGCCATGACAAGGAAACGTGCGGCGTCCATCAACACAGAAGAAGCCAACCACCCGAGGATAGAAGACTTGAGCCTGAATACCCCGGGCACTTCGAGCTCCCGCTCGCCCGACCAGACAAAAGACCTCATATGTCTCTGTACTCCTGCTCCAAAGGTTCCGAGACCACGTAACGGTGAGCCCAGCCCTTTTCTCGGACTTGTGTTGCCGGCTTTTCAGCCCTTCTTCTTTCTGTCGTTTCGTGATGGAACTCGGACTCCTCAGTCCTTTGTCCCCTTGACTCAGAACGGAGAACACTAGCCCGTAAAAAAAAGGAAGCACTGACTGACAACCATCTTCTTATAAAAAAGCCTTCATCCTGTATCGACAACACCATCAAGGCCAAGTCGTCGCTCAGAACCCTGGGCTTGCCAACCCGGAGATTTCCAAGATCATCGGGGAGCAGTGGAGAGACGAAGGTGAAGAGCACAAGGACCAGTGGAGGAGACTTGCCGAGGAAGAGAAACAACGCCACCAGCGGCAGTACCCAGATTATCGGTATCAGCCCCGACGCGGAGGAAAGGGGGTAGCGGCAAGACCGTCCTCAACCACGGGGGAAGACCCAGGGCGATGCCAAAAGTGCGGCGGGCGATACATTGCAACACCCCGCACTCCATCGACGCCATTCATACCCCAGACAGCGGCGAGAGCCAACATGCCGTCGTACAGTAACCCCAACCCCAGGGTGATCGAGACGGATCACCTCCGCCACCCGTCCCAAGCCAGCAACATGTCGATGGCGGGAGAGCTAGGCAGGGGACAGAACCCCTACGCGATGGGAGGCTACCACCACCTCCAGGGCATCAGCGAAGAGTACGAGATAATGTCCCCTTCCGACGCCAAACGCCGCCGCTTCAACGTCACCGGCAGCTACCAGGGCATGCCGCCGTCCCCCGAGCCCTACGGCCACGGCCACGGCCCACACCGCCTCCGGCACCCGTCCATCGGCGGGCCAGGCGTCGGGCCCCCAGGGTCCTACGGCCACGGCCCAGGAGGTCTCCTACCGGGCCCTTCGATGCTGACTTCCCGCGCGGGCTCTGGCCCCGGCCCCTCCATGGGCCCGCCCCCGACCCGCTCCTCCGTCTCGTCGTACCCGCACGCGCACCCACACCCCCGCACCCCGACCCCGCGAAGCGGCTCCAGCTTCGATGAGTCCCTCCGCCTACCCCCGCTACAGACGCAGCTGCCTACCGGACCGCACGACCCCGCCCCCCCTACCGGCGGTTCAACCACGACGGTGGGAATAGTGGCGACGACCAGAGCAGCAGCAGCAGCAGCAGCAGCAGCAGGGGCCGGCACGACCTCTGCTCCCCACGGCAGCACCGGCAGCACCGGCAGCAGCAGCAACCTGCGCGAGAGCCAGGCACGCAGCATCGAGGCCATGGTGATGAGCATCGGGTACGGCAACAAGCTCAGGGTGCTGGCGCGGATCAGCCCGCCCCTGGCACCGCCGGGGCCGGCGAGCCCGGCGGTCGAGACGCGGGGCGCCGTCGTCGCCGTCGAGGGCGCGGACGCGGGGCTGGTGGCGAGGGTGGGCGACCTGGTGGAGAGAGCGCTCGTGGCGTCGGGGGAGTGTCATGTGCGGACCTGGCGGGACGGTGATGAGGGCGGAGGACAGGCCCCGGGTGAGGGTGCGGGCGAGGGTGAGGGTGGACAGGGTGGTGCTGACGAGGCTGGGTCTGGTGGTGGTGGCGGTTCAACAAACCTGTTTGGGAGCTACCTGCGGACTATCATGGAGTGGCACGCCAAGTCTGCGGAAATGGTCCGGCACATTACCACGGCGCCGCCGGTGGGCCGGTCGTCTGACGCATCGTCCGCGTCGGCGGCGACTTCCTCCTCGGAGAGCGGCGGGCCCAGCGCCAGCGGCAGCAGCAATAGCGGCGGAGGGGCCACCATCAGCAGCCAGGCCAAGTCGTCGGACGGCGAGGCCGCAGCCGGGGGCCCGACTCAAGTCCCCCCTGTCCCTGCTGGCCCGACGGCGGGGGCGGTGGAGGCGGCGAGCGTCCCGCCGCGACAGGGCCGCATCCCGGTGGCGCTGGTCAAGGGCGGGTTCAGCCTGAGCATCGCGGACCGGTTCGCGTGCCGGGTGCCGATCGCGGACTCGTACGCGCCGGTGGACCACTGGCAGTGGATGGCGACGCTGTGGCGGGGGATCGTGGGGCCGGACCTGGTGGTGTACGTGCGCGGGGCGTCCGAGGAGGAGATGGCCAGGCTGCAGGCCGTCGAGCTCAAGGGGCCCGGCATCATGATGGTGCGGGTGCAAGAGGGCGTGGGCATCGCGGAGAAGACGGAGCGGAGGCTCGGGTTCGAGATTGTCGAGTGGGTGAGGGCTGGATCGTTTTCGTTCAAGGAGGGCTTCTGAAGGGTGTTTTGCTTGTTACCTAACTTTTTCCACTTTGCCTGGGTAGCAGGTGTGTTGGTGAGTTTGCATTTGCTTCTAATTGGCCGGGTTCCCAGATGAGATGGAAGGCAGAGAAGGCAGAGGAGAGAGAGGATGGGGAGGAGGGCGATGGTTCGAACAATCGAAAATCGCTGCTACATGTACACGGCCGAGATAGTATTGACGGATATCAGCAAGAATCCTAGCTCTACGATGATGCTGCCTTGGTTAGAATTTGGCTGGCAAGCTTACAGAAAAGAGAAGAGGAAAAAGGCGGGAAAAAGGAAGCCGAGATTGTTAGACAAGTTATGTATTTTCTACCAATTAAGAAGTATTTATTCCTTTGGTATCAGAGAGATCCGATTGTTGTCATGGAGAAGTCTCAGATCGCAGCACTTGACGCGCCGAGGTGAGACATATCACAGAGCTTGGCTATTGGAGGTGGCCCGAACCCCGAAGAGCTGGTGGAAGAACCATGGCTTACTCTTACAAAGACCCCCCATTTTCGTAGCCCCGCCCTCTGACTTTCCACCCCGCTGGTCCCCCAGCTCCAAGATCGACGGCGCCAAGCACCTCTTCTCGGCATGTAGGAGGAGGAGGTCGCAGCCTCGACAGGTCCGGCAAGTAATGATTGCCTCGTAGTGCCAATGCCGCCGTAGCTTGGGAACCCCCGCCATCATGGAGATTCCCCGGGCCTATCTCGTACTTTATTTTAACACCTGCCTTCCCGATGGGCTTGCCGTGACACCCCCGCATTGGCGTATTCGACTAGCCAAGGAAGCGACAGGGCACCTCTCAAGCAGTCCAGCTAGCTGATGCCTCGCAGTAGATAGAAAATAATACCGAATGCTCTTCTCCTATATGCATCAGTGAGACCCCTTCGGACTTTATTGTTCTTCGAAGTCGAAACCTTCGATCTCAGATTCCAAGATACGCTGTCCAGAAACCTAGCAAGATGCACGCACAATCGTGGCAAGACAGGGCTGCGGCCAAGAGGGCCAGCATCCTAGCCGAAATCCCGGCCGAATGGCGTCTGGCTCAGGCGGACATCGACCGGGCCGAGAAGCAGAGAGTCCTCGTCGGCCCCTTTATGGAGCAGCTCCTAGACCCCGAGACCGTCTCCATCGTCAACCAGGACAGCGTTCCCCTGGTCGAGGCCATCAAGAGTCGCGCCTACACCTCGGAGCAAGTCACGCGCGCCTTCTGCAAGACAGCTGCCGTAGCCCACCAGATTGTAAGTGTCGGGTCCCCCCGTCGGAAGGGAGGACATGGATTCTCACTGGTGCGCCCAAACTTGGTAGGACCCGTGCCTCCTGGAGTTTTTCCCCGCGTCGGCCATCGAGAGGGCCCAGGAGCTGGACCGGTACCTCGCCGAGAATGGCCGCCCGATGGGCCCCCTGCACGGCTTGCCTGTCAGTCTCAAGGACCAGTTCCACGTCAAGGGACTCGACACGACCATGGGTTACGTCGGATGGATCGGTGGCAACCTCGGTTCCAAGGACCCGAGCGAGGCTCATAAGCTAGAGAGTCTGCTCGTCACGGACCTTCTTGCTCTCGGAGCGGTCCTGTACTGCAAGGTGAGTTGGGATTGTCGATGCGGCCCGGAAGTCAGTGGTGCCGTGTACTACGTGGGGTGTACTGACCGATTTACCAGACAAGTGTGCCTCAAACCCTGATGGTGAGTCTTGACCCTAGCACCTACAAACAGTCGACAAAAGGTCTTCCAGTGGTCTCACGCAGCAATAACAGATCGGGGAGACCGTGAACAATATCCTCGGCCAGACATTCAACCCCCACAATCGACTGCTCTCTTCGGGAGGGTCTTCAGGTGGCGAGGGTGCCTTGATGGCTCTCCGGGGGAGCACCATCGGGCTCGGCACCGATATAGGTAGGTACAGACAGGGAGAGCCAGCCATGGCGTTTTTATTTGTGTTTCTGACGAGAGCTAGGTGGATCCGTCCGCATTCCGGCCGCCTTCTCTGGCATATTCTCCCTGAAGCCTACTCCGGAGAGGGTCTCCTATCGCGGGATGGCCAATACTGTGAGCAGCCGGACGGAGCTGATGATAATTCGAACGCCTGCCCGTTTTCTAACGAGTAGCCGCAGAACCCCGGACAGAACACGTATCGGTCGACGGTCGGGCCCATGGGCACCTCCATCGAGGGTGTTGAGCTAATGTTTAGGTCCCTGTTGACTACCGAACCGTGGCTCCGCGACCCGTCAGTCGTCCCCATCCCCTTTCGACAGGACGTCATGGACAGCTACTTGTCGAGAGCTGACAAGAACGGCACCGCAACGGACCGACCACTCAAAATAGGTGTCTTGTGGACCAACAATATTGTCCAGCCCCACCCCCCGGTATCGAGAGGTATCAAGATGCTAGTTGATGCCATCAGGAAGGCCGGACACAAGGTATCATCATCATATCCTGCTCAAGGGTGGCTTGGAGGAAACCGAGAAAGCGGTTGACTGACGAGTTCCAGGTTGTCGACTGGAATCCACCAAATCATGGACCCGCCTATGATACCCATGTGAGATTGCCGAGGATCTACTCTAGTGGCGAAGATGATGACCTAACTCCCTTAACAGCTGTGGTTCATCGGAGCGGATGGCGGTGATGACGTGCATTCCCACCTCGCCCGGTCGGGAGAGCCCGTGATACCGATCGTTGCCCACGCGTATGCCGTCCGCAGGGAAGCAGAGCCCTTGTTGGAGTACCAGAAGCGCACAGTGCAAGGCCTCGAGTATGAAGCAGGGTATTCTGATTACTGGAACTCGACGGCTGAAGACGACGGTAAGTTCAGAATCATAGGGGGGTGGATAGTAGTGTTGCTGGGAGACTGACAGTGACTCTCCTTTCCACAGGACAAATCGTCGACGCCGTCATCATGCCCGTCGCGGCCCACGCAGCTGTAATCCCTGGGCAATACTACGACAACCGTAGGGCTGCCCGCACACCCGCATATGGTCCGGCATGGCGCACCCAATTTTTAGGCTAACCTTTGAGTAGATTATGGAGAGGTGATCAACCTGCTGAACTACAGCGCCGGCGTCATCCCGATCACCAAGGCCGATAAAAATGTCGACGTTCCGAACACGGCGTACCAGCCGAAGAGCAGCGTGGACAAGCTGAACTGGGAATCTTGTGAGAGGACCCTGTCCCCCCGCCCCCCCTCTTGCCACTGCCGAGGCGGCCTTTTTTAATTACTGACGACTCCGTTGGGGCAGACGACGCGGAGGTCTACGACGGCGCACCTGTTGGGCTGCAGATTGTGGGGAGGAAGTTCGAAGAGGAAAAGATCTTGGCTATCATGCAGATCGTGTATGCAGCTCTACAAAAAGCGTAATCCACTCGGATGATGTAGATGTGGAATGTAAAGTATCCACAGGCTCACAGCTTACATGGTATGGATACCTCTAAATGATGCCCTGTTGGGAGTTGAACTTGGGGCAAGGATGATCAATCTCGCTCTTCGGCTCGTTGCAAAGAAGTGCCTGGCTTGTTGCCGTTGTGCGAACTGGCCTGACCTGAGCTGACTCGCCAAGGGGTAACCCCAACTCGTTGACTTTGGTTGGGTTGAACTTTTGAAGACGCAGGAGTTGACGTGGTTGGCGAGTTTGACAAGCTTTTGTAGGCAGCAGGCGTGGTTGGGCGTCTGATGACCAAAGTCGACAAAAGGGATGATTTTCATAAATCATGCCAAGGTCCCATTACCTGATGCCATTAAGTGCTAGCATTCTTTTTACCAAGGAGCATAGAACAAGTGTACTATGCAGTACCATGACTGCGTATCAACCAACGAGTGGATCAGAAAAAAAGGGTCAGCATGGATGTTCAAGACTTGGATGAGCTACCCATAATTAGGAGGGTACCTTGTGCGCACGAGTCAACGGGAAAAGTACCTCCCGTTTCCCTGCGGATCTGGTGAACCCTATAAATACCTTAACCTAAATTGTAGGATCGGACCCGACAGATTTTGATGAGGGCAAGGCATTCAGGGTCGGTGGTCACCAATGCTGGACACAGCGTGGCAGGAAAGTTGCCGTTGTGGAAAAAGTCCCCTGTTCCTAGGTTGACCGAACCTTCGGCTTCAAGAGCGGCACTCGTGGAGTATGACAGTGTAATACGAGCAAGATACATGCTAGTGAGTCCGAAGCTCCACAAATGATGCTTGTGGAAGTGTGAATGCCCTGTTTTCGTCCAGGTTACTGTGCTAGTGCACGAGTTGAATCGCAGATCAGTGCAGAGATCTGGCGAGGAGTTGCATATTTCAGGACACCGTGCGAATAAAAGGGGCCGGGAATTACATAGTATGAGGAGGCTCAGCCGCTGTGGTGATTTACCGGGATCTCCTGCGAGTTACCAGCTGATTGACCAATGGGTCCAAACCAAACCAGCCAACCGATCTAGGCGACAGGGAAATGCAGCTCTGAAACAACGAGAAAAGCCTCGGTCCGCCGTTTTACACCGCAGTCCACTCGCTGGGCACGATGCATCCCTGCATACCAGGGACATCGAACCCAACTGCTGGCCCCTGGACCCTCAGAGTTCCGTCATGTCATTAGTCGGCCGCCGTTTGAGAAGTAGGAGGGATCCGTCAGAAGAAATAATAGCTGGGTAACCCCTTTTCTTTTGCCTCACGCCCACAAAATCAGATCTCAAGCTTCATTGAGAACTCTACTCCACCTCTCGTTTCCTACCTACCAGCCAGGAAACGTCTTTTCCGTCTTTTCCCCTCCGCACCTTTCCCTTTTGATTGCGCGACGCTCGTTCCCCCCCCTCTCGTTTCCCCTCCCCTTCTTTGTTCTACTGCCTCAAAACCGTGACTCTGCAGGTGCGAAGCTCCGACTAGAGTATTTCTTTCACTTCAGGCCCACTTGCATAAACTTTCTTCGCATACAAGCAAGGGTGGAAGCTGGGCTTTGTTCGTTCCAGCACTTGAGTGGGATTTGATATCCCTCGACATTCTTCACGAGCCATCTCAGAGACAACACACCCCCCGATACCCCTCCGTCTACTCGGCCTCGTCCCCACAGTCAGAAGAGGAGCTTCTGGACTGGTCCAGGTCAAACTTGACGATGCCCATACACTCCCCCCGGTCACCGCACAACATGGGTTTCGTGCCGCTTTCCACATCCCACTCCAACAATTACCAAGAGAGCGGGATTCCTCTCACCAACGTACGGAGCAAGGCCAGCTCTACCGGAGTGCGATCCGCAAACCAAGGAGCTTTCCAAAACGTCGACATGAGTGATGGGAATGGGACGGGCGAGAAGCAGGGACTCTTCAGCCGACATGGTGCCGCTGGCCGGAGGAGGCAGCCGAAGGGCATCAAGCGGCACGACACCGATCCGGTTTCCGTGAACGCCATGGGCAGGCTCTACAACAAAATCGTCGGCTTCTCGGTTGTCACTCGATACCTCGTCTATGTCCTCCCAATCGCCCTCTTGCTCGGTGTTCCACTCGTTCTCCTACCTATCACCGGAGACGAGCCGGACGACGGGCGCGATAGGAAGGATCGCATAACCCTCGGTGATGTCAAGGATGACGACGGCAATACCATACACGGCCCCAGCTTGTTCAAACTGTTCCTCTGGATCGAGATCTCCTGGTTGACCCTCTGGGCCGGCAAGCTGGTTGCCCAACTACTTCCTCCCATTTTCATGTTCTTCTGCGGCGTCGTCAGCTCGGGCACCCGGAAATACGCCACTGTCCTGCGCGCGCTGGAGATACCTCTGTCGCTCTTCTTCTGGGCGCTCGCCAGCTGGCTCGTCTTCACCTTCTTCTTCCCGAATGATCGGTTCGGCTGGGTCCTCAACCTCAAGAGGGTCCTTCTCGCCCTCTTCATCTCGTCTGCCGTCCTCCTGGCGGAGAAAACCATCGTGCAGCTCATTAGCATCACGTATCACCAGCGGTCCTTCGCCAATCGTATCAAGCACTCCAAGCGTGAGGTCTATCTCGTGGGTCTCATGTACGACGCTTCGCGGAAGCTCTTCCCCATGTACTGCCCTGAATTCTCGGACGAGGACTACATCATCAACGATAGTATCGATATGATCCTCGCCCGGTCTAAGGGCGGCCATAAGAGGGGTGGTTCTGTCAACCCGATGAAGCTGATCGGTGACGTCGGGCGCTTCGGCGACAAACTTACCTCGGTGTTTGGAAACATTGCGTCCGAGATCACCGGCAAGCAAGTCTTCAACCCGAATTCCGCACATTCCATCGTTGTAGAGGCCCTCGAAAAGGTACGCAGCTCGGAAGCCATGGCTCGTCGGATCTGGATGTCGTTTGTGGTCGAGGACAGGGACTCCCTGTCCGTTGACGACATCATCGAGGTGCTCGGGCCGGACTTCAAGGAGGAAGCTGAGGAGTGCTTTGCTGCCATCGATGCGGACCAGAACGGCGACATCAGCCTGGAGGAGATGGTCCGGAAGATTGTCGAAATTGGCAAGGAGAGGAAGGCCATTGCACACAGCATGAAGGATATCAGTCAGGCGCTGGCCGTTTTCGACAGAATACTTCTCTTCGTTGTCGCCCTGATTGTCATCTTGATCTTCCGTAAGTTACCACCACCTCCACCACTCAACCTCTGTCGGGCAAGTTCTGACATTGTCTTGCAGTTGCCTGCTTCCAGAGCAGCTTCATCACGACCCTTACTACTGCTGGAACGGCCCTGCTTTCGATATCCTTCGTCTTCGCCGTCACGGCTCAGGAGTTCCTGGGCTCTTGCATCTTCCTTTTTGTCAAGCATCCCTTCGATGTTGCCGACCGTGTCGACATCCAGGGCCCCGATAAGCAGCAGCTCATCGTCGAGAAGATCTCCCTCTTGTACACCGTCTTCACCCGCATCGACAAGATGCAGATTGTCCAGGTCCCGAATATCCAGCTGAACAACCTTTGGATCGAGAATGTCACGCGGAGCAATGCCATGAGGGAAATCATCGAGATCAACGTCTCGTACGACACGTCCTTCGAGGACCTGGAGCTGCTCCGAGTCGAGATGGAGAAGTTTGTTCGCGCGCCCGAAAATGCTCGCGACTTCCAGCCAGACATCAACATCAACGTCGGCGGTGTCGGTGACCTTGACAAACTGAACCTCAAGGTAGCAATCAAGCACAAGTCCAACTGGCACAACGACACCGTCCGCGCCACCCGCCGTTCCAAGTTCATGTGTGCGCTCGCCCTGGCCATCAAGCGTATCCCCATCTACGCTCCGGGCGGCGGTGGTGACGCCCTGGGCGGACCCTCGAACCCGGCATACAGCGTCGCCGTCACGGACGCGTTCGCCTCCGAGGCCCGCTCGAGGTCGACCGAGAACAAGGAGGCGGCGCGGATGGTCCCCTCCGCCAGCGCCAAATCCGCTGACGTCGAGAACGTCGAGCAGACGGCGGCCGCAGACCTGAACCAGCGCAACGCGCTGGCCGAGGCCGTCGACGAGTGGGGCTACGACAACACGCTCAACTCGCGCGACGTCTCGTCCGAGCGGCGGCAGAACGACGTCGACTCGATGCGCCGCGACATGCAGTCGTTCAACCGCGAGAGCCAGCGCGGCCGCCGCAAGGCCGGAGAAGGCCTCCCCGCGGCGGCCTTGGAGGAGTACGCCTCTAACACGACGACGAGGACGACGAGCGAAGGGGCCGGCGGCTCCCATGCGACGACGCAATACTCGTCGCGCCACGGCGGACCCTCCTTCGACGTCGAGTCCCAGCCCGGCGACGGTGGTCCGGCCCTGGGGCCCGGCGGCAACCCGGCCACCTACGGCGTCTTTCCGCCCAACCCGGCCGCGTACGGCATCGCCCCTCCCAACCCGGCCGCGTACGGCGTCTTCCCGCCCCAGTCGCGGTACAGCCCGCCCGGGTCGAGCGAGGGCATGATGTCCGCCGCCGCTGTTCCGGCTCCGCCGCCCCCGGCGCTCGGGTATTCGGCCTCGGCTTCGGCTTCGACTTCGAGGGGCCGGAGCGGGACTGTCTCGCGGACGCAGCAGGGTCAGGGTCAGGGGCAGGGACTACCTCCCGGCCAGGGCCGTCCCGGTCCGTCCCAGTACTGATGTGTGGGGTAGATGGGGATACTCACCCGGGCTAGGGTAATTTTACTGAGTAGCGGCTAGTGGGATTTGGTAGGGAGGCTTCGGTGGTCTCAGGCGTTTTTTTGTTCTTTCCGGTGGCTTCATACACATACACACAAATACCTGGGACAAGCTTGCTCTCCCACAAAGACTCAGGAGGAGGGCCCAGGAGCTGGCCGTCGTCGCGTTTGCATTGCATTGCATATAGACATGGGGGAAGGTGGACATCAAATCACATCAAGACGGTAGATGACTACAAGGGGATATTTCTCCGATGTAACGCATACAACCTAGAGATGTAATGTACAGCACAAAGTTGGATTAAGGCCAGCTTTGTGGCTGTTAATGAATGAATGGCAATTAGATACAATACAATACATCTGATGTAGTCCTACTCTGGCCTGGATATTTTGTGATATGATACACCTTCCTTCCTTCTTTTGTTCTAGCTTCATGTCGCCGAGCTGGGAGAGTTGAAATCAGGTTCCTGAGTATTCATATTTGCTTCTTCTACCACCACACACATATGCTCAAGGTCATGTGCTTCGTTACTATTGGGCAGCAGGATGAGGGCAGTGAGCTTCCAAATTTCTAACACGAGCTTCAAGTATTGGCAGCCATCAAACTAAACAACCTGCATGACTAGCCAAACACCATACATTTCCCCTGCAGGTGAATGCCCCTTCCTCCCTACCATTGCAGCATCGGTTAGCATGAAAGGGGAAAGACAAGTTAACGGACAGCCAAAAAAAGGGGGCAAGCCAACCCGCGCGGATATCAAGAACTCTCAAATCGGCTCGACTTTGCCCACTACCTATTCCGGCGAGACGAAAGAGACCCCGAGCAACCTGTATGGATAGTAGTAAAAAAAAAAGGGCTGAAGTGAGGTTTGCAAAGTTTCAAGACGCGCGGTGCATTGTCAAAGACGCGGTTGCGGGCCCTCCCACCGGCCCGATAAGAAAGTGAGCGCGGATGTCTCCGTCGCAGCAGCCCCGTCTTGCGCGGCGAATGCCGTGCCGTGCAGCAGGAGGGGGGCGGGCCCTGAAGCGCCGGCTTAGAGCGGGGGGAGGGGGGAGCCGGGGTAAGATTCTTGGTTAACCCGACTCGGTTTGGGAGGGCACAACAACACTAAACTTCAGGTTCCATTTGGGACTTGGCCATCGTCCGATCAAAGACGCGAACCCGATCGTCGGTGGTCCGGCGGGCTCTGGCCTGGTCGTTTCGACGACGTCATCGCACCGCGTATACAATCAAGACCACCACCCGCATGTCTCAGACATTCCCAGATCATGGCTTGTGGTGGCTTCAAAACGACGCAGATCAGGCCCGGACTGGTATAGCCCGCTGGCCACCTGTTCGTGCGAGAATGCACCACCCCCGCATGAGTGCTGTGACAGATGCGGGCAAGCTGCAGGAGCAACATCCAAAGTTCTGGGGTAGTAGCATGTTAGCGCGCGAGGTGTTGGCCACGACAGACGACGCCGCCATTGAAGCTAGATCTAGGACGTTTTGCATCGAGATTGCAGCGTGCGGCCAAGATGATCGGCCACATTAGCGGCTTGGACGACCTTGCTCGGCTGGCTTGCTCAAAGGCCGATCGAGCCGATCCTTTTGGGAGAGCCATTGGCACCGGGACGACACGGAGTCTTCCACCGGGACTTTGAGACCACCGGTGCAAAGGTCGGCTGTTTTCTGGTTCATGCTACTCCCGCTCCCGCCCCTGGTAGATAAGAGAGGAGATACATAGGATAAAACCTCTCTTATCTGTTTCTCTCTTTGCGAGCACAGATAGCGTTGGGGAGTTTCAGCCTGAGTCCAGTCATCTCCAGAACTTTGACGAGTGATCCCGAGCCATCGCGTCCGCCAATGAGACCTCCAGCTTCCCAGTCCAGTGATAATGGGGCTCGCCCAGCCGCACGGCGGGTCCCGCCGAGCCAGCGGCCTTCTTCGCGGCGTCGAACGCCGCCCTGGTCCTGCCGCGGTACGCCTTTATGGCGGCGACCACGTCGCGCATGCCGGCGATGTCGGCCTTTGTGGGCTTGCGTATTGTGTGGGGCGGGCGGAGGAGCATGGCGTCCCAGGCCGAGTAGAAGATGTACGAGCCAGCAGGCACGCCGGCCGCGATGTGGCTTGGTGAGGCGGGGGCGGCATTGGCACGCAACGCCGGGTCTTGCAGGAGCCGCATATATTCGTTAACGGCTTCGTGTGGGCCTCGTGCGGCGGTGCCGATCCATACCGGAACTGTGAGGTCGTTTCCATTCCAGCTTACGGGGTGATCGACGACGTACTCGTCCTGTCTCTCTCCAGACGGGTAGTGATCCAGTCGGCCCGAATCTGGGGTTCGTGGCTTGGGAGGCGGTTCAGTTTGAATGTCGGAATGTCTCGAAGAGGGCGGTTGTGGCTTGTCTGAGGTCGGCGCAGATCCCCAGCCCAAATCACCGAAAAAGCTGAATTCTTTGGACGAGAGATTGATCAACTGCTCAGGGTCGAGATCTTCCGAGTCCAGGGAGTGGCCGAGCTCTTCGGTCGGATCAGGTTCAAATTCGAGTCGTATGTGTCTGATACCCCTCAGCGTGTTCGGACTGCGTCGTGATGATGGCAACTGGACATCCTGGATCGCTCTCTCCTGCATGGAAACGAGCCTCAACAACCGCAGCAGTTTGCTGACCACAGGCCCTACCGAGTATCGGGGAATGTTTGTCAGGGTCAACGAGTACAGCCGCGGATTCATATCTGGCACAAACACCTGCGGATAGGCCAACTCGACTCTTTCCCTGACGAATGTTTCTGCAAGCCACAGATTGGCCATGGTCACCAAGTTGTCCGTCTCAAGAGTGGGCACTTGAGTCACCAATGAATGGTGAATGCGTAGGACCTGCAGATTCGGCGAGATGACCGGGCGGAAAAGGTGCGCGGCTCCAAGGACAGCTGAGAAGCGTGGATTTTTGGCCAGCCACGGCGGCAGTGTCTGTTTCAGCCCCTGAGCGGCTGCTGAGCTGCACTCGAAATGTCGGAGTTGGCCGGGTGAACTTCTAATCAGTTTCTCCACGCCAGCTGCAGAGAAGGCGTTGCCACTCAGACGCAGGTGAGTGATACCACCGTGGCTGTTCCAGACGTCAAGGCGTCGAACTTCTTCTATGTCTCTGGGAGGGGTTTCCATGGTGCCAGCTAGTGCTTGTTTTATATCCCCGGCAGAGTCTCCCCTGGCGCTTTCCAGTCCGTCATGCCTCATGGACAACACCTCTTGGCCTGGCCTATATGCATTGCGTGTGTATATGGGGGCGTCTGCCATATATCGGTCGGGGTGAGTGAACTCTCGGCTCCATTCCGATTCGCAGATAAACCCAAACGGTCCATATGCGCTGCTGCCAGCGCTCATGGTCAGATCTAGCTTTCCTTCCACGTCAAAGTGGGCAGCAGTCCGCAGGCTGCGAGTCGGAAAACAGAAATGGACCATGTCATTAATAACGGCGTCCGTCAGGCCGTTTCTGCTCAAATCAAGACTCCAGAGTTGTCCTTTAAACGACCTGAAGAGCAATATCGCCGTGCTATCATCCATTTCCCGGCCTTGAGCTTTGAGGACGCGTAGAAAGGGAAGGTTTGCGGGACTGAATGTTGATTGAGCCAAAGCACTCTTCAAGGAACCAGGAGTATCCGAGATGTCAAGATACACGAGGTTCGTCAGATACGGAGAGGCAAAGAAAGTTGCCGCTAGTTGGCTGTGGCAGTGCGGGATACTGAGCATCACAGGAGGCTGGAATTGGGGCGCTTGTAAGGACGCGGGCTCCAGCGGCCTCGAGAGAAGGCCCGGATCAAGGTCGGGATGTCCATCCAGAAGAATGCAGCGCAGCCTAGGGAAGGTGGCTGGCAGGTGGCGGAACGTCGCCGAGACGCTCCGCTCGCCGCCATCTAGATCGAATTCCGAGCTCAAGATGGCGAATCCTCGGAGATCCAAGGATAGTACGAACGAGCGTGTAGCAAGCCGCACCGTCTTGATATGCTTGGGTATGAAGCGATGATACCAGCTAAGATCTGCATAGGATCAGTAATGGCTATCTGGAGAAGATAAGCTATGCTCACCATCGCCGGGGTCTAGCCCCAGCAGACGAACTGTACGGATGGGGTCTATCCAGAGACGGGGAGCGAAGTGGTCGTAGAACCGCCTCGATACAAGACAGAGACGCGTATAGTCCCCCACGAGTATGTAGGGGCCGGCCAGCTCAAGCCAGTCGCAACGACGGACGGCCTCCTGGTAGGAAGGAAGCGATGCCATTGCCCGCCGATGATCATGCCTCAAGCCAAGGAGGTAATTATGTAATGGGTCCTCTCACTCAGCGTGCGGACGTACGGATATGCGCTTCGGAAGACCAATAGCACCGGCTTCTAGCAGCCTCGGCAACCCCGCTTCCTTTTCCCAACCTCGTCGAGATCAGTTGGACCTAGGTATCTTGTTGTCATAGATCTCATGCGAAGAACATAGCGTCGATTATCATAAAACCGATGGAAACATACTGCGGTAGTTCAGTTCCAAGTTCCAAGCCAGGCACCGATGACCAAACCATTGGTTAACAATTGCCAATTCGGGTTAGAGCGAGCGGGTGCCCTCGTTCGGGGCAAGCGAACCGGAAGACACCGGGCGGAATGGGTTGGCTTCCTTGTGGGGCTGACAAGTTTGACAAGGCCCACCCAACGTGACGGGACGGCGCTGCCGTCGGGAGTCGATCAAGGCCCGTCCTCCCCAAACCAAGTGGAAATGCCGGGGTTGAATTGAGAAGCCAAGGAGCGGCCGCATCAATACATTCACAGGAACCGAGTCCAGACCTGCGTCGTTGAAGCTCTGGGAAGGCCTGTCCGCCATGCGATGTCTGGCGGTGCCGGCAAGGAAGTGTCGAGACTGTGTAGGTAATGGATACGCTGAGACAGGAAGAGGGGATTAAGCGTATAGGGAGAAAAAAGGAATGTTTTCGCCCCCCAAACTATTGTGCACGACATGCAAGCTAGAGGACTAGAGGCAGGAAGGAGAAGAAAATGCTGAAGGAGCGTGTTCGCAGGCAAGCCCGTCTGCACTCCGCACGGAATGCAATGCAGTCATCACCGCGGCACGGCGGGTCAGCGTTATGCAACATCAGAGTCGGGTCCCCAAAGACGCCTTCGGTTCTCCTGGACCTGATCTAGATCGCCCCCGTCGACCATTCCACGCGCGAGCTACGGTCCTTGCTTGGCCCTCGATCGCTAGTGCGGCTGTACGTGCACTATCCTATCCACCCGGCAAAATATTTATCACCTTGCGAGATTCTGGACGGGGCCGGTCTCGATATTTTACAGTCTCGACCTACGGAAATCAGCTGGCGGGAACCTTGGCTGTCTCATTAAAACCAGGACTAGCCAGGACTATTCTCTGCTAGACGTGTAACCCTAGGTGGCTCAGGTTACCCAACCTGTGGGGTAAGAGTATGGGCGGGCCTTGGCTAATGCAGGTACACGCTGTTTACTGAAGTGTCAGTGTCATAGAACGACGATGCCTGCAGAAATACAAACCGGGGCATACAATGGGGGGCAGAGAGCAACGGGGGGGCGAGAGATCAGGTGCTTGGACGCAGTGCCGATCACAGATCACAGATCACAGAAGCCACCAACTGAGAAGCTAAGAAGACTCCCGTAGGCAGGTTGTTCCATGAAACAAGGAACTTGTCGTCGAAGCAGAAGCACACAGACACGGTGGCGGTGGCAGAAGCAAAGGTATGGCGCTGTCTCGGTGTGGCCATTGATCTTTTTCATTTGCCCGAATTTTGGGTGCCGCATCTAAGACCTTGTCTTGGACGGACTTTTTGGTGAGATGCAGCAACTGTCATTCTTCGAGGAGGACGGAGGAGCTGGAGTTGTCGACTGTCGAGGCTCAATTAAGCTGCGCAGAAAAAAGCCGTCAGGGGAATGCGTAGTGGTAACCACCGATGGTATCAGGGGAAGGTGTTCTGTTGGGATATATCTATTTGCTGTGTATTTTTCGACAACAATTACTCATACATTATACCATCTATGGCTATGCGAGTCTCTAACAAGAGCCCTGCAGACTCAATAATAAATATCTGGATGCCTTTTGCTTGATCCCGCCCGAGTTCCACCCCGACGCTTCCATCCCCATGTTCCTTCCACCGTTCCATAACTGTTCGTACAATACATAAATAATAATATCCCATAACATTTGCCATAATGATGCCCAATGCAGGTTAACATGAATAAACAACCAAAAGTACCCCCCAATTGTTGTAGATGTTGCGAGGTAATATCCCGCGAAGAATGCCATGTCCGTCCGTCCGTCCGTCCATCCGTCCGACCCGGTCGACGCTACTCGTCCTTGACCGAGTCTCTCATCCTCCCCTTGGGTGGCGCCCGCCGCTTGATCTGTGCCTTCAACTGCGCCAGTTCCCTCGCCGCCGAAGGATGATACTCCACTCTCCCCTTCCTCCCTGGTTTGGCATGAAGCTCGAGGTGTTGCCTGTAGTTATCCGCCCGGTCGAAAATCTTCATTTTGTCCTTGGGGCAGAATTTGCACGGGATCACGGGTTTCTCGGGGTTATGGGCACTGAATTGGTTAGTTTTTGGTTCTCGGATCAAGGTTATATATCAGGTAAAACTTACGTCAAGAAGTGCCTCTTGAGATGCTCCTGCCGCGAGTATGCCTTGCCAGAACACCCCTGGTCGCAGTAGAATTGCCTCGGGGGTATGTTCTTGACAGGGCCGCATATCGGGATAGCCCTGGACGGTTGCCTCGTCCTCCTGAGCCGGGTACGGTTCTTTAGACGGGGCGATTTCTGGACGCTCTGGAGCGCTGCAGCCTTCTGTTGTGCCTCAGATATCTGAAGGTGCCGTCGGGAACTGGCCAGCTGGGCCCTGTATGATGGCGAGGACATGTGATGATGTGAGCGGGCCATGGCATTTGGGTCGTAGAGTGACTGCAGTCTCTGCGGCTCGCCGAAATCTATCGGGGTGTCCCCGGATATCTGGGACCACAACTGGTCCATGGTTTCTGGATCCTCGCCGTCGAGGGTGTGACACGGGCTGGAGAACGGGGCAGAATTGAGGTTGGAGAACGGCAAGAAGTCCATGCCGTGGGGAGGTGTCAACTGGCCATGGAGATGGTGCGAGTCAAGACCCACATCCAGCATAACATTGTACTTGGTCGGGGTGCTGGGGATGCCGTGGAAAAGGAGGTCCTGGTGTGTGCTTGACTTGAAGTCGTATGGGAATTGTGACGAGACTGCAGATGACGGTGGTGTGAGGTCGAAGGAGGATGAATCTGTGTATGAAGAGAACGAGGCATCAAACGCCGAGGTTGACCGGCGGAGTGGTGTTGAACATGCCGAACTTGGCGTGAATGGGTGATATACAGACGAGACATCCGAAAAGCTCGTGTTGCTTGACTGGCAGCCCATGGACTGGGAGCCGACGTCGAAGCTATCGTCCATGCCGAGCTTCAGGTCCATATCGAGAGTGGTCTCTGAGAACAGGTTGCAGTTTGTTCAGGGTCGGACAGAAGCAGCAAGGCTAGAGCTATCAGCACGAATGTAGGTTGGAAGAGGTTGAGGGAGGAAGATCAAGGTTGATAGGAATCCAATTGCTCGGGCAGGACAAACAATGGAGAGAGGGGATAGATATAAGGGAGCCCCAAGAGATCACCGATAGTGGTGCCATTGCCCCTTAGACAGGATTGCCCTCTAGGTAAGTATAGTCGGGAACCGTGTGGGGAGCTAGGAGCCTCAGCATGGAATGTGCCACGCGATGCGTGAAGGGGTTAGCAGTTGATGGACATGACTATGTCGGACGGCGTTGACTAGGCCAAATCGAGGGCGAGACAAACGACCGAGTTGGTTCAGAATCATGTTGATGTTGGTATCAACCCCACCACCACTCCAATGTGTGTGCCATGTATGTACTTCGTACCTGTTTCGGATGGCAAGAACCTACCTACTTACCTAGCCTGGCTCATGGATGCAGGTCCCCCTGCCATAGGCACTAGCACTACGACAACCAACCGACTTCGAAGCCAGGCTCGGACCGGCAACAGCAAGTGCTTGGCCGAGAACGCCAAAGTTGGAGCAAGCACCATCCCGACACATCGACATATGCTAGCCAGGTCGGGCCCGGGGGGGAGATGGCGCCGCCGGGGTTGAGTAACACTGAGTAACAACATAGCTACCTAGGCAGAGAAGGTCCGAGTGGGAGCTTCCTCGAGGCGGTACCTGTGGATCACTTGGAGCAAAAGCAAAGGGAAATGGGGAATATGGCGAAAAAAAGAAATATAAAAACTCTGGCCAAAAAAGGGGGGGCGAGAGTTCGAAAAAAGAAATTTACATGGCAGAACAGTCCAAATGAGGATGTGGAGAAATGGCGCCGAGCAGGGCAGAACTTGTCTTGCAGCATACTAGTTATGCTGGAACGCAATATCGCAGGCCTGGAATGAGGATGTCGGAGGCGACACCGAGCGGGGCCTGGACCCGTTGTAACTGCGAGACAATCCATAACCCCGAGAGGTTGAGAGAAGATGTTTGAAGGACGAGGAAGAGCTGAACGTTCAGCAATCAAACCAAAGGAAGAGAGAGCGACCCTGTCAGAGTACTTGACTCTGCTGGGAAATGGTGGTGGAGACTGGTGGTCTAACGACCTAGGCTGCATCACGCAGCAGTTGGCTGCACGGTCTGCCAAAACGAACAGAGCTGTCATTCATGGCGTCCAATGGCGACGGTCCAGGTAAGCCAAGGTAAGCCAGGTAAGCCTCTAATAAGCCACATACGAAGTTACAAACCGGCTAGAGCCCAGTCAGGTAAGCCTATCCCAATCCCATCCCAGTTCCCATCCCAGTCTTATCCCAGTCGTTGAGGCGATCATGTGGATTGGGTACCTTTCCAGACATAAATTTCGGTGTGTGTCCCGAGATCAACCAGGTACCTCTTCGTACCTAGGTAAGAACCTTATTTGAACACCACCACTTGTGCGTAGACCGAACTCGTACGGCAAACAGGCCGTGCTTAACCAGCGCAGGCAAGCAAGCTGATGAGGTTTAGCAACAACAGCAGCTTTCTTCTTGATTGGCTGGAACAGACTAACTGCCGTTGCGGCATTGTTGGCGCCGACCGTATCGTGAACGAGGTACAGTACAGTACTCCGTACCTACCTACCTAACCCACCTACCTAACCTTTCCTTTCCTTTCCTTTCCTATCAAGTCCTCGGTGTGATGGCCATTTCAGCGAGTAACGGACGGCCCTACTGCTGTGAGCTTGTCTCCCCCTCTCCCTCGGCTGGCAGCGGGCGGGGCACATTGTCACTAGTCTCCTCCTCCTGCGCAAGCCCTGGAGGGGGAGGATCGCCTAGAGTGGGTTCGTTTTGACCACCTTGCTCTGGATCTGGACCTAATGAGCGATAGACGGTGTTTAATAAGACAGGCGCTTCTTCGCCGAGATCTCATCTCACTGACTTGCTTTATCCCTTGAGCATTGGCCTTCATCAGACAAAAACTTATGTATTGTCGATACGCCATTGAAGAGTCCTCAATACAAATCAAACTTGTCGTAGTCCGCCAGGCACGGCTTCGCTTGGCGGGTCTGCAAAGGCGTCCCTTTCGGTCAAAAAGAGGTGTCCCTTGCCTGACTTATTACCCTGCTTCTTCATCACGGCCGTCTGGGTCTGGGATACCCATCTCCCCTTCCGATTTCTCAATCGCTTCCCTGCTCCTCCCATGGAAGAAGCCCGGCTGATGCCATTTAGGGGTCCAGTTGTCAAGCCTCCTTCCCCCCAGCACGGCACGGCAGCTGAGCACGCTTAGGCCTCCGCTATCCCCGATCCCATCCAACAATCCATTGTTAGCTGCAAGGCGATATTTTTGGCCTCGACGCTAGAAATATCCAGGGACCACCAACGGCTAGCCTAGATCGTACATGTCGGCTTGCTGGTTCCTGCGCCGGCCAATCTACCCTGCCCTGGCTGCTCCAATATTAGTATTGATGACGCCACTGCATTCACACGGCTGTCACCAGGTGCGCGGGAGTCGTCCGTGGCCCTAACTAGGTAGGTAGGTAGGTAATCATCGATCGCCTCTCTAAGGGTCAACATCCTCCCTCCGACCAAGTCTAATCTGGCCATGCTCGCCTTCCCTTCGTCTTCAAGACATTGCCCTTGTTAATTTCTTACCTAGAACCACGCAGGCTCGCCATTCATAATCTCCGGGAGCCAATAGTCCGTTCGGCTGGTTTCGGTGACAAGCACGGGGAGTTCGTGCCCGGGTACTCGTGGCTGCCCGGCTGCGCGGCTGCGCTTGGGGTCCCTCCTCCGGCATGCACGCTCAGCATGTCCACGCGTGTCACCAACGGCTGGGATTGCAGCTGCACTCCTATTCGGAATATTCCTTGTGTGTTTTCTGTTGGACAACAAATAACTGTCCCTTAGCCTCATCGATGGCGGACTAGCTGCCACACCTCACACTCTAGCGTACACTCTAAATCAAGTGATCACTTCAAGGCAGGATAGCGCTGTTATACGATTGCTTCCTCTTGACCACTGTCATCCAGATCTTGGAAAACCTCCTGCATCTCTTCCTCGGTAGCCTCGAGGCCCTCGGAGCTCATGAGTTTCGCATCTTTCTCCTCGGCTAGTGCATGTTTGTCAGAATCCAAACAACTTTCTTTTCTTCGTCGGGGGTGTAACGGTTTAGGAACTTACTCTTCGGCTCCACGAGGAGGTTCTCCTGGACCTCACAGTCTGTCAGGATTGACCCATCCCCAATCTCGCTCCTCTTGCCCAGGATACACCTTGTTAGTTTGCAATTCTTGCCAACGACAACACCCTCCATCAGCAGGCATTGTTGCAGCTTCGCGCCCTCGTTGATCTGGCAGTTGGCCCCGACGACAGACTCCTTGATAGACGTTTTCTCCTGCACCGTCACATTTTCGGCCACCAAGCTATCCTGTTTTGTAATGGTCGTGCGGGGTTTGACGCCTTCTGGGTACGCCACTTTCCGGGGATGTGCGAAAGGAGAAGCTTCCTCGGGACCGACCTCTTCAACGGATGGAAGCTTGGCCAGCTGGAGCGAGATCGCCAACAGTAGTCTTGCCGTATCCACTCGCCTTATCAACGGCGCTGTTGGCTGAGAAGGATGGATATACGCTAGCATCGGGGGCACCGTCTCTCGTTCGCTCTCTGTTGTGTGGTTGTCTCCTTTTGCCGCCTGACCATTTCCGGATGTCGTTAGATTTGACGAGCGAACTCTGAGCTCCTCGGGGTCGTCGTCGTCGGGCGACTCCCCGTCGTCCTCTGAAGATCCTGTCTCTTCCTTCTGTTCAACTCGCCCGAAAATCTTGTTCATTCCCAGCTTCTCAGATAAGCCAGTCTGCCATCCTGCCTTCGCCCACCACCCGATAACGTCCTCGCCGATGCTCTCTAGGTGGTCGTTCTCGCTTACGAACTTCATGACCCACTGTGGGAATATGTAGATGTGCGCATCGCGATGGGTGGCTAGCATGCGAATGCGGGGATGCCTTCGCAAAAGGCCATGCCTGAGTGGAAACCCCTTACGCTCTTCCGTCAAATCGTTCAAGGAGTCTGTGGGTAGTGAGTACACGAGTTTTGAGATACTCGGCAGTAGTGACCCTTTCCGCGGCGGCAGAGACGCATGTGTCAAAGGGACAGTCGCAATGAAGTCGGTCTCCTCTCCCTTGATAGGAGTCTCCGTCTTGGTTTCGTACCACACCCCAAGACCACCGCTGCTGGGACCAGCAGAGTCTCCCAGGAGATCTGCCAGGCTGGCTGACTTGACCATCCATGCCTGCAAAAGCCTTTCCCCGCCAAGCTCGCAGACCAGATCACAAGGCAGAACTACGAAGTCGGAAGTCACTATTGACCTGACCTCGGGGAGCCGGAGGATCTCCGCTGTGCCTGTGTTTTGGTCGAGGCCCTCAGGCGCGAGCATATCCGGCCGTGGATGTGGCAAGCTGGTGAGGAAAGGATTGGTGTTCAAGGCAGTGGTGATTGCCTCGGCTGCCGAAGGCGGACATATAAGTGTAATACCTACGCATCATCAGAGAGAAACCCTTGAGTTGTCGGGGCTATCTCAACGGAGAAGAAGAAGAAGAAGCCAGGGCTTCATGTTGAGGTGGGACGACCCCTGAACCCCTTGTTCATGACGCCCTAGCGGAATAAAAACCACGTACTTGTAATTCCCGTGCGGTAGCAGAAATCTATGGGATACCAGACCATAGGCCTGTTGGCGATTGGCAAAAGGGCCTTAGGGTTCTCGTCAGGGTTGGCGGTAAAGGTTGGGAAGCTTGACCCCGGACCGCACAGGATTAGGGCCTGTAAGCCCGGTGCGGCCATAGAGACGGCATGTGGCATTTTTGCAAGTGATTTCCAGAACAATATAGGCTGGTTTCTATGGAAGGAGATATTCAGCTCAGTTCCTTGTGGCCCATCTTGACTCACTCAAGTTCTGATATAATTCTGAAAGAACGTACCCATGGTCCGTGCACCACAAGCCTTGCACGTGAAAGGTCAGGGTTATTACATTTACACCTCCCGTAACCCCAACACACTCACGTTGCCCCCTGACCGAGTACGCTAATTTGACCGGCCAACAACCACAGCCTCGGTCTCGGCTTCCATTGTCCCAGGCGTCAACAACACTGCACTTACCAGCCACCAGCCACCACCAACCAGCGCCCCCCGACCAAGAAGGCAACGCTCTCCACACTTCAGCTCCAGAAACTTTTGCCAAACTCAGAACCGATATTCTCGCGCCAAATTGCTATCGCTTCCACGATCGGCGCATTGTCACTTCCCCCGTCAATGCCATGATCCCTATCGCCTCGTCTCCGTAAATGCCGTCACCATACGATCGTTCCGACCGCGGCTCGTCCCGCGGCCACAGAGTATGGGGCCACTGGGTGCCCCTGGTCCTCACCGTGACAGTCGCGACTGTCGGGCTGGCCGCGTGGGTTTGGAGTCAGCGGAGCGATGACGACCACGACCACGACGATGTCGAGCCGGTCCCGGAAGACCTAGACTATGAGAATGCCGACTACGGCGACAACCCCCCTTACGGCGCCTCGCGTGGTGATGGCGCCGGTGCTGCTGGATCCCCACGGGTGGCCGGCGGCGACTCTCGCCCCGGAGAGACAAGCTACGGAACCACAGCCGCCAACCAAGAAGGATCTGCGGGATGGGGGGCCCGTATGTCGGGCGCATTGCGCCGCACGCCTAGTCCGCAACAGTTCCTAGACACCGCGGGCAAGACGGTCGCTGCCGGTGTCGCCGCCGCTGGCGCGGCTGTGGGGAGCGCCCTCTCTTCCATCCGGGAGGAAGACAAAGCCGCGTATGCGGACCATGAGACCTGGTCCGAGGAGGCGGATGCTAAAAGGGAGAGACCGGCCAAGTCTTCGCAGGCCAGCGGTGCCGGCGGCGGCGCCAGTGGTGCTAGCGGGCGCCGGAAGACCGTGGCAATTGTGGTCTCGGCTGACGGCCATTCCGAGGATGTCGACGCCGATGAATTCCATGAGCATGCAGTAAGTTCTCTAGTCGAGTCATCCCGATATAATGTGTTCCTGACAGACCGCTAGTCCATACTTTCTCATATACCCAGCAACATCGACTTCTCTAAGGTCAAACTGTTCATCCTGATCTATGCTCCCGGCCTTAAGGACCAGTCAGGCGATTCGGCAAACGATTTGCCGCCTATATCCCTAACCTCCTCTTATTCCAACATTGGCCATGATCAGGCTCAATCACCAGGCGACGAGGCCAAGAGTCCGCTGTGAGTCTCCTTCTTTCCATTGGTCTGATGGCCTACACTGACACCCGTCCTAGACTGGCCGGGTCCTCCACCAACCCGGCATACAGTGCCGTGTACTCGCAAGCTCTAGGGCTTGTCGAGAAGGAGTCGATGGTGATGCCGTTCACAACAGCCAATGGCCACATCCACATGCTGCGCCATCTGGAGCCTGAAGTGGTCTATCTACAAGAATCCCTCGCAGGCGACAATGGAGGCGTGGTTACGCAGTTGCAGACATGGCTCCGACACGACGTCATCCTCGTCGTCGGCGCCGAGAGTGGCCATGGAGGGCTTGCCGACAGCGAGTCCGAGGCGGAGAAGCCTGAAAAGGCGATAGAGAAGTGGTGGCACAGGGAAGACCGAGTGGGCCGGGGCCGGGGAGTTGTCGTAGTTGACGGGATGAGAGTGCATGATGATTGGGCACGCAGAGTGCAAGGAAAGGAATGATTGATTCGTCCACAGAGGCGTGCATCGGGGGGGGGGTTCCGCTAACACACACTTATTTTTGAATATATGATTTATGTAGGGAAAACCTTCAGCACTGAACAATTCTAGCGAGTGGCAATCGCATACTTTATGATCCGGAGTACCTGGTAGTTTAAACTCTTCTCCAAGGTTCGTGAACACAGAAAATAAGGTGTGGGTTTGGGTGTAGGTTTGGGTGTAAGTTTGGTGTAAGTTTGGGTGTCACGTGACTTAAGCTTTGTCTCTGGCTGGGTCATTATTACGGGGCTCACGTTTGTCCCTCGCTCAGCACCTGGCCTTTGTTTGAATCCGTCTTTATTCTCCAAATGTGACTTCACGTCAACCCCACACACAAGAGAGACCCCATCGTTTCGAGGGGAGCCTCCTATCTTCGCGATATTTCTCATTCAAACATTTCTACCCAAGGAGCGCGCGACACGGATGCGAATCACCTGATTTTTCCATCGGCCGTTTCGGAGCTTCCCTCGCGGAGCGACATCCTTCCGGAGGTGTGCGGCTGCCACCGCGGATCGTCACGCCTTCTGCCACTTGACCATCTTCCACCCCATCTTGATACTCGCTATTCCGACCGATGCTTGTTGGCCACCCGTCCTCTGCGCATGCCCTGAGTTCTTAGTTGCGGAGGAGGGAACCGGTCAACCCAGGAAGCTGCGCTCAACACCTTCGCACCCAGAAAGCCATGGCGCCTATCGTTACGGCGGTTCAATCAAGCGGCGCGTCTAAGATTAAACGCCCAATCCCGCCCGGCATACAGACAAATGGAGGCAGTTCTTCGCGATCGTCGCCGTCGCCGTCCATGTCTGCGAAGCGACCCCCATCCGGTGCCCGACAACCGTCAAATCCCCCGAACACGGCCGGAGCAAATACATCGTCAGCGCGTCCTCCCAACAGACCGCGCCCGGGCTTGTCGGGCCAGATTCTGGGACGCGGGCAGAGGAGTGCTGGTCTGAGGTCCGCTAGTATCGTCCCGGACTTTGATATGTCCCCCGCGGTCGATCCCCCGCCATACGGTAAGGACTTCTCGCAGAATGGTGCTTTCGAGGCTATCGCTTACATCCCTCTAGTGGTCACCGACAACTATATTCTCAAGAAATATGCTGGGAGGCCCCCCTCTCTGGTTGTACACCTGCACCCAACACACTTCCGGTTCGACAAGCAGGAGGGGATGTTTCAGTACAAATCGCCCATGAAGTTATTTCTGGAACACCTCAAGTCTCGCACCGTCCCCCACGATATGCTCGAGTATTTCATCCAGTGGGGGGTGCCGTTCTACGAAAATTGCTTGATTGTCCAGGTACATGACCACAAGTCGATTGCGCAATCTAAAGATGTCGCCAGGCCTACCTCGGCGTCCAGCAAGACGGTTCCGTTCTCTATCCATAACTATAACCCCTACCTAACACCATCACCCTACGTGCCGTACCCTAAGGAGAATCTTGATGCGATGGGCGAGAATGGGGCGGTCATGGAGGCTGAGTCGAGGGAAAAGACAGCCGAAAAGAAGGACAAGGCGAATATGCCCGCGCCAGGTGCGCCGGGTGACGGGCAGAAAGGCAAAACTGCGGCAAAGGCCAGGGTCCACACTATCGTCCTTCACCCTACTCAGCAGACCCTACAGATGGATCTGGCTCTCAAGACGGTTACTCCCCGTGGGGCATCTGATGCGCGAGCAGATGGTCTTGGGCCCCCTCCAACGCCGCACGCTCCTGTACCGCCGACACCGACAGCCTCGACCATGCCACCGCCCAACAAGAGGCAGAAGCGGGAACGGATGGAGCTTGATGGCAGCAGTGTATACGCAGCGGAAGCCCAAATCTTGCTCGCCACGACCGCGCCTCTGGATCTAGAGCCGACGAGGAATGTAGAGGAGACAATCATGAAGCTGGAAAGCCAAGCTCATCCCGGACATTCTCATAAACCGCCACAACCCAAGACCAGAAAGAGAACGGTCGCCGAGATGGCAGCAGATGAAGCTCTTGCGGCAGATCAGGAGAGATTCATGTTGACAATCGATGAGAGACTGTCCTCCAAGGTCGCTGGCGCCCAGAGCGCGGCCAATGGTGCAGACGGCGACGGCCAGACCGGCGCGGCGGCTTGGGAGCCGAGGTTCGAGCGCTTCGAGGTCATCGCGGACATCAAGAGAGAGCACGCGGAAAAGAAGGAGCAAGAGAGGATAAAGCAAGTCGAAAACGAGCGGAGACTGGCATTGCAAAAGCAGCAACAACAGCAGCAACAGCAGGCAGAGCAACATGCAGCTCTAGTTGCTCAACAGCGGGTCGCAGACGAGCAGCGGCGGAGAGAACAGGCAACGGCCCGGGAGCAGCAACGTCTAGACGCTCAACGCCGCGCGATGCACGTCCAAGCCCAAGCCCAGGCTCAAGCCCAGGCTCAGGCTCAGGCTCAAGCCCAGGCTCAGGCGCAGGCTCAAGCCCAGGCTCAAGCCCAAGCCCAGGCTCAGGCGCAGGCTCAGGCCCAAGCTCAAGCCCAAGCCCAAGCCCAAGCCCAAGCCCAAGCCCAAGCTCGCGCAGAACAAGCCCAGGCTGCGGCACAAAACAACATCGCTGCCACGATGGGGCAAAACTCCCACGCCCACCCGGCGGTGAGCGGGCCGATGCCGAATGGGCTAGCAAATGCAATAGCCGCTCAGGGGCGCTTCCACCAAGTCCCACAGCAGGCTGTTTCGTCGCCCATCGTTCGCCAAAACACGCCACAGAATATGTCGTCGCCGATGGTTGGAAACGTTTCCATGCAGCATTCGAACTCCAGCATGGGGGTCAGCCCGCCAAGATCGTCGTCAGCTGTCCAAAACCACGCATCAATGTCTGTCCCAATGGCCGTCAGCATGTCTGCTCGGGGTAGCCAACAAAGCCACCCATCAGGGACTCCGAGGATGCGCAACGTAACGCCGAACATGTCGCACTCTACGCCGATCAGCCGACCCCAGGTTGTTCAGACCCCACGCATGTCGCAGGCCAGCCCACCGCCGGGCATGATGACGCCTGCTCAGCAGGTGGGACAAGCCATGCTGATGAACAACCAAGGGGTACCGCAACAGCTGCAGAACCAAAACTTGATGGCCGCTCATATCGCGGCCCAGCAGCGTCTACAGCAGCAGCAGCAGCATATGGCGGCAATGCAGCAGGGGGGAATGATGCCGGGCACTCCAAGCAACCAGCACATGACGGCACAGCAGCAGCAAGCGCTCCAGCAGAGGATGTTGCAGCACCAGATGATGGCCATGCAGCGGAACCAGATGGCCAACCAGCAAAGCCAGGCGCAGATTGCTCGACAGTACCAGCAGCAGTTCAACAACCTGCAGAACAACATGCAACAGCAAATGCATGCTGGTCAGATGCAGAATCATATGCAGCGCCAGATGTCGGCGGCCTCCCAGGGGCAGAACATGATGAACGCCGGCGGAATGAGCCCTGCCGCTCAGATTGCCGCCATGCAACAGATGCAGCAGATGCAGCAACAGCAGCAGCAACAACAGCAACAATCTCAACAGATGGGACAACAGCAGCAACAAGGAGCACCGAACCAGGTACTCGCGAACCAGATTCGGGCCCAATCAACCATCTTCTTCCAGAAGAACCTGCCAACTCTGGCCGAGAGGTACGGTGGCGTGAACAACATACCCCCCGACGTCTTGGAGAGCCTCAAGAGAACGTGCGCCAACCAGGCCCGGAGTACTATCATGCATGTTGTCCAGCAGAGGCAGGCCAATGCCCAGGCTGCCATGTTGCAGCAGCAGCAGCAGCAGCAGCAACAACAGCAACAACAACAGCACCAGGCTGCTATGCAAGGAATGATGCCGCAGGGTATGTAGAACTACCCTTTCGGTGCCGCATTCTGCCCGCTCAGTGCGGCTGTCCCTGTCCCAACGTGGGGGGCAGACGCACGGCGAGACGGATTAATGGATATGGGAGAAGTTTGCCTACCACATGGGCAAGTCTATGTGCCGTATTGGTGAAGCGTTGTTTTGGGGAGAGTTTTTCTTCTTTTTCTTTTGTCGGAGCGGATGGGGTTGGTTGCTTGTGTGGATCAAGGCTAAAACCGACAAAACACGGAGTTGCGGAGCTATTCAAGGCTCGATATGGGCGGTCATATTTGATTTTTCTCTTGGGAAGGCATTCTTACTATACCCCAGGGGCGGAATCGGTTTGTGCATTGGGATCGTGGGATCGTGGGATCTGTTGTGGGAAAGGGCTGAGCGATCGTCTATTTTCTGATGAAAGACAGCTTGCATGGAGTCCCTATGACAATCACCTTTACTGTATGATATAACGCTAAAAACATCATCAGCCTCCCAGACGAGGGTTGTCCGGCTGTTGATCTGCACCAAGTATGTGGTTATGTAATCTATGAAATGGCATGGTTGGAGTTGACCTGACATCAGAGGCTTGAGAAAAAGCACGGACCCCTATGTAATCAACGCTGTGGCGGGACTTCGGCAGTCAGCCAAGCCAACAACGTCAAGTGCACACGAGCTAAGATCTTCCATAGTCGGCAGCTTGATCAGATGAGACCTTGATTTGGCTGAATTCCTACGCCTTGGATGGCCATCTCATCTGCGCAACAGTAATAACACCTGATTGTCTGCTTGCTTCTTTCCCATTCCCAGCTCTCTCTCTTCGAATCTAGGCTGCGAGCAGCTTGCAGATAGCTCCATTCTCGTCCAACATGAAGTGGCCACGCATGCCTCCAGCCGGGGCTGCCGCACTGGCAACCCTTCTCCTTGCGCCCTTACCAGCTTCAGCCATGCTTCGGTGCAAGGAGCTCGTCGTAGACAACCAGAAGTTTGATTTTGGCGAGCTGGCAGGGCCTCATACAATCACCACGAGCGAGTTCCACCCTCCGACTTACACAAACACCACCTACACTCTCGACATCTGCGCCTTCTTGAAGAGAGATGGTGACGCGAAGAAGGATGAAGACTGCCCGAATGGCACAAGAGGTATGACGTCTTATACAAACGCGCCGCATCTTTAATCGCTAGACTAACCCGGCTTCCCGTGACACCCAGTCTGCGCGGTAAGGCACAAGATCGACCCGCGAAAGGAGGGCAAAAACGCCGACGAAGTCACCCACGTCATCCCGATTGCCGGAAACCTGCTCGAACACGGCGGCAAGGACTTTGAATGGGCAGCCGAGCGCCTCGCCACGTCCGACGTCCCCGGCGACTCGACGAAGGAGGGCGTCCGGCTCACCCTCAAGGGCGGCGTGTACGAGGCGCGCGAGCAGAGGACCGTGATCGAGATGCTGTGCGATAAGAGCCGCACTGGCCTCGAGGGCGAGTGGGAGTCCAAGGAGAAGGGCAAGGGTGAGGACAAGGGCAAGGATAACGAAAAGAATGTCCCCGACGACGATGCCGAGACAGAGAGGCTGCGTAGCCTGCTTGGAAGGAAGGCAGATGGTACGGCGGGGATCGACGACTTGGGCTACCCGGAGAAGCAGCTTAAGAAGGCCGACACGGCCCTGTTGTGGGAGGGCTACGGCCACTCCCAGGATGACAAGGTTGACATCCTCAGGCTCACTTGGCACACCAAGTACGCCTGTGAGAACGGCTCTTCGCCCTCTGGCTCGGACAATAGCTGGGGATTCTTCACGTGGATGGTCATTCTGTAAGTTGTCCCTTTTCCCCACACAAACGGGACCACCAAAGCTTGCGTCAGGCATGTTAACCACCCGGCACTCAGAGTCTTCATGGGGACGGCGTCGTATCTGATCTTCGGGTCATGGCTCAACTATTACCGCTACGGTGCGCGAGGCTGGGATCTCCTTCCACACGCCGACACGCTTCGCGACCTCCCCTACTTGCTCAAGGACTGGACCCGCCGAGTCCTGAATACCGTGCAGGGAAGTGGAAGCAGGGGCGGATACTCTGCCGTCTGAGGACGGCGAGGCATTTCGACTTAACGTGCTTCGAGTGTATTACCCGTCGGTGCTTTGATGTTCAGGGTCAAGGGGAAGGGGTTGCATTTGCGCGCAGCGGCTTGTCTCGGCCAACCCTTGCTGGGCGGACGGCGTTGGGGTTTGGGACTCATTTTACTGGTTAACGATGCCGAGTTGCATTCGTGTAGAACAATAACTCGCACTCCTTTAGCATTTAGAAACGGAGTTGCTCAGTTATGGGGGGGGTTCTTTTCCTTGGGAAGCCTCCATCATTTCAACGCTTTTGGGTGCTCTATTGCTTGGCTGTTCACATGGAAGCTAAAAGTCAAGTGGAGCCGAGCTCCGCCAGCTCCAGCTTAAAGCTTATCAAGGTCGAGCCGTGCCGAGGTACAACATGCTGACAGGACAGCCTGAACAATGAAATGGTCATTCCTCGCAAAAGATATCAATAAATTGGGCAATCATCCGTACAATCACGTTGGCATTCCATTTCCGTTTGGGTGATCAGAATAGAGTATCAAAAACAGAATCCAACCGTCATGTCCGCAAAAGACTCGAGCGCCCCGCTCTTCACGGTTCCCATACCGGCATCCGAGCCCCACCCGGGCGGCGCGGTGGTCTGCACGGAGGTCAGGCCGGCCGTGTACCTGCTAACGTTCACGTCGCCGCCGGACAACCGGGTGACGACGGCGTTTTGCGACGCCATGCTGGCGGCGCTGGACCTGCTCGAGTTCGGCGGCCACGCCCCGGGCGTCGTCGTCACCACGAGCGGCATCCCAAAGTTCTACTCCAACGGGCTCGACCTCGCGCACGCGGCCGGCACCCCCGGGTTCTGGTCCGGGAAGCTGTATAAGCTGTTTAGGCGGTTCCTGACGTGAGTGCACCTCTGGTTCTCGGCCCTCGTCCTCACCTCGTGTATTTTGAGAGCATCCGTTCCCGCCCCGTCCCAGCTTGCGTCCCTATCGATGTCATCGTAGATTACACCCCTTTCTCCCACCTCCGTCTCTCACTCTCCCCCTCCCCCACTCCCCCTCACAGGCAAGAAAAAAAGATTAACCCCCCCCCCCCAACACCAGCTACCCCTACCCGACAATCGCCCTCATAAACGGCCACGCCTTCGCAGCAGGCCTTATGCTGGCCATGCACCACGACTACCGCGTCATGAGCCCCGCGCGCGGCTTCGCGTGCCTCAACGAGCTCGACTTCGGCGCTCCGCTCAAGCCCGCCATGAGCGCCATCTTCCGCGCCAAGCTCGCGGCGCCGGCCTACCGCGACCTGGTCCTCGAGGCGCGCCGGTTCGGGGGCCCCGAGGCGCTGGAGAGGGGCATCGTCGATGCGGTGGGGGGGCTGGAGGACGGGGTGCTGGAGGGGTTGGTTGGGCCTAGGGGGCTGGTGGGGAAGGGGAGGTCGGGGGTGTATGGGGTGCTGAAGGCGGAGATGTATAGGGAGTGTATTGGGTATTTGACGGAGGAGGGACATGAGAGGGAGGAGCAGCGGGATAGGAGGGGGGCGGAGGAGGATGAGGTGAGGAGGGAGCGTGGGAGGCGGAGGGTGGCGGAGTGGAAGGCAAAGGGGAAGTTGTGAGGTACGGGAGGGCCGTGAGTAAGGGTAAGGGGTAAGGGGTTCACGGAATCACGGAATTATGGCGCTGCTATAACTTGTGTTTGTTTCCATACGTTGTCCTTCTCCTGATCGTGTACTATTAAATAAATAAATACTGTCGCAAACATAAATGCCAGCCAGACCATTTAACAGGCCAAAGCCCAGTTGGATATCACAAACCACACACTCTCCAAGAACCGCATAAACATTCATTCTCTAGGGCAAGACAGCCCCACTATGCCCTGGCGCCAGCGCCCCCTCCCGAGGCCACGACAACCCCTGGCTGCTCGCCCTCCCCACCAGGAGCCTCCGAGTGGACACCGTTCTGCCCCGCCACGGCGTCGCCTCCGGGGGCCGGGTTGTAGGCGGCGGTGCCCTGGCTCGGGTCCGCGGCAAGGCCGTACCAGGCGATGACGGAGATGCCGAGGATACCGCTCAGGCAGCTGAAGACGAGGGCGACGATGCCGCGCGCGGTGAATCTATTGGTTAGTGGTGTGGTGGTTAGTCAAAGTCTCTTTTCATCGTTTCTGAAAGGAGGACAAAGGAACATATCAGAGTAAGAGGAGACTCACCCTGCAGGTAGAGGCTTCGGCGGGGTCGGCTGGCCATCCAGATTCAGGAAGTCGGCCGTGTTTCCGGCCGCATTTCCGGCGGTAGGGACGTTTTCCGATACGCAGACATCGAGATGTCCCTTGGGGATCTGGATAGTCTTCTGCAGCTCCAGGGGTGCCTCGACGAAGGTGGCGATGAGACCCGAGACTACGTGCCATTCAATGTGGCAGTGGAAGAGCCAGACGCCTGGAGGAGGCAGGGTTCAGTCAGCTCTGGCACAGATATATATAAAATAAATAAATAAAATAAAATAGAAAAAGCTTGGCTGGTTCGGTTTACCTGGGTTGTTGGCCTTGAAGCGCAAGACAATGTTGCCGGTCGGGTAGAGAACAAGAGTGTCTCGTCGCATCGGAACCGGGCTGAAGTCGGCCGAGGTGACGTTGGAATCCACAAACGTGCCCGCGTCCTCCTCGGAGCGCCAAACAGCCTGGAAGGCGTGGCCGTGAAGATGGAACGGATGCTTTCCTGTGTCTAGGTTGTCCACTATGATCTCGACGATCTGGCCTTTTTCCAAGACGAAGGGGTGCGTGTAAGTTCCGTAGACTTGGGGGTTGGTGGCAAGTTCTCCCGCGCTGAGCACAGTATACAGAGTTGGGACCTTTGGACGCTGGTAGGTGATGTCGTCGAAGAAGGCACTTTCGAGTCATGGTTAGCCACGCGTTGGTGGGAACTAGATGGATGGGAGTCTTACTAGTTTGCACCATCCCCGAGATTGTCCATGATGACACTCAGATGAACCGTCTGGTCTGGCTCGCCGAGGATAGGTTCCTTGTCGTGAGGTACCAAAGTAACATCGTCGAACTCATAAAACTCATCTACAAGTGCGGGATCCGGGAAAGGCTTCGAATCGTCGTATGTCAGCCACCCGGTTACGTTGTAGTTCAGATCATCGGGAAGCGTGTCGAACAAGGTCTATGATTATTAACCCATGTTAGCCTTGACAACGACCCTCACACGCCGGGAGTATATATGCGACAACTCACAGTATCCATGCTGGCCACAAATGGGAAGTTCGCATCGGTCTCGTTCTTGGCGGTGATCAGGAAGCTGCACCGCTGAGCGGCAGCCAAGTATATCATGCTCGCCTCCGCAGGCTCGTGGTAGACGCCGTCGACCTCGACAATGGTGATGTTGTGGCCCTCAAACCAGATGTACTGTCCAGCGAAGGCGCCAATGTTTACCATGCGGATGAAGTATGTCTTGCCAGGCTGGACTGGGATTTTCAGGTCCTGGGTATCGTTAAACAAAGCGGCCTTCGGGACCGGCTCTGCGCCGCTCGGGTTGGCCTTGCTGATGAAAAAGGAGATGAGGTCGGGCATCTGGTCATGGTACCAGTCGGAGACGCTCAAGACGAGCTCCTCGTCATACTGATCCTTGAAGGGGTTCTTAGGGTCATGGATGATCAGAGGTCCCCTAAGGCCGTCTGGATATTGGCCCTTGTCGTGTGAGTGGTACCAGTAGGTCCCTGGTTGATCAATCTGTCCAACAAGAATGTTATTTATCACACCCCCAGATTCGCGGAACGGGGGCTCTGCTCACGGTGAAATTGTACGTGAAGCGGGATCCCGGCGGGATTGAGCACTGTGAGACCTGGACGGGGCCGTCCATATGTGTGGCATTATTCATGAACAAGCCATGGAAATGCAGAGAGGTGGTCTGGTTCCCCAGAGAGTTGAGGACATTGACGATGACTCTGTCCCCAACTTCGGCCTCGATGATTGGAATCGGCCATTGGCCATTGATTCCAATGGTAGGGCGGTCTGCCTGCCCATCTGGATTCGCGGTCAACCACCCGATTTCGAAGTCGTACGTGACTGTTGCAGCCCAGCCGAGTGATACAAACTGGAGAAGCAGAGCAAGCGGGAGGAGAACACAATGGACGCCCCACACGGCGGCCATGTTTGGTGATTTATAAGTTATGAAGTATGAGATTGATGCTTGAATTGGTGGAACTGGAAGGGACAATGTGCTCAAACACGAGCAACAATTCGCATATAGAGGACATGCACGTTGGGGTAGCTCCAGCGCCAGAACAGCTCCATCCCGAATACCCGACTTTCCCAGAGTCTTCTTAATGAACCTGCTGCGGGCGAGCACGGCACCTCCGAGTTCGGCAAGCCATCCATGGCTCCCTTCGGCTGGCACTGGCACTGGCCTCTTCCATATGGTCAAACCCGTCAAACCCTGGGCTGATGATATGAGCCACAGTGGAGCAAGCTAGAAATATCTTATCAATCGAATCACTCCGACACCACGATATTATCTGATCGTCTGGGGGTCATGCGCGCTCAGGTGTGATTGGCTGCCAGGTTCGAGCCGGTCAAACAACCCCCATCCTTTTTGGGTCTGTGGCCGAATGAGCGTTGCAGATTTAAATGGCCTGATGCAGGCGACCAATCTAGCCCCTGCCGGATAATAACTAGTCGGGAAGCTTGACTGAAAGCTTCTATGGAAAGCTTGAACCCCTAGTGGAGTCTTGGCCGATGGCCCGTGGGGTGCAGCTGTTTCGCCCGGAAACTGAGCTTTGATTTCTGTCTGCACCCTGCAACGCCCAGTCGTTGAACGAGTTTCGATCTGATAATGCCTCTGGAATAGCGTGCCATGTGTGCATGGGCTGAGGTGGGGACACTGTCACACGACAGGACAAGTCGCAGCTTCAACACTTTCCATACCTCCACTTGTGGTAGGCTCTAGCGAGGTGGGACGACGTGAGCGAACGGAAAGCGACGCCGGGGGCCTGGCCAGATGCCGGAAGGAGCCAGAGAGGGAAAGTGCGATTCAGCGGTGGTATACCTACCTAGTTGTGTCGAGAAACTCTGTTCCATATACGGGTTAGTTTGTTTAGTTCACAGTTACACCAAGTAGCAGCAGGTCGCAAAGCTACTGGTCTCGCCCGCGGCCACCACCGGCCTACGCCCAGATGCTTGAAGGCCGAAAGGCAGACTTTTAGAACCCGAATACATGTACGGGTTTTCACCCACTCTCTCCCTTGAAGAAAAGGAGAATAGTAAAATACGCAAACCAGGAAGAGGAGGACAGAAAATATCACAGCATCAATGACAATGTTGCGCTCTCGGGCCCGAGTTCTTGCAGCTTGCCAGCCCCTTCAATCCAGTCTGTCCAAGTTTACCAATTAGCCACCCATGCAGCTAATAAGTGAGGCATGCCCCATTGGCCTGGAGCTCCCAGGTAGTACAAATCCATACGTATGAATCCTTGCGAGCACACACCCTCCCGTTTATTGTGCCAGTGGGGTCCTGGCGTCGGCGAAGAGGGGAGGCAGAGTGTTTCGTCTGCGTGACTCAAGTTTAAACACCCCCGTCCGCCCCTGGTACATTTTTTTTCGATAGTTCTTATCAGATGGACTGATAATCGTCCGTCCTCCCGCTCCTTTTTGCCGAGATCGGGGGTCCATTCTTTGCTGGCTCTATATTTACCGCACTCTTGGTTGTTTCGCCCGGTAGTGAGCGTGTGTACATACTACTAGGGTTTCCTTCTTGACGAGGGCAATTTACACCTGAGTCTATTGCTTCGCGCGTCGCACCACTCCCAGCTCTTCAGGTCAACTAGGAGAGACAGCGCTGGCTGGACCTTCTCATCACAATGACGGTTAACGTCTTCTCCGTTCCCGTCTTTCTGATTGTCTTTCGGGAGACACTCGAGACAGTCATCATCATATCCGTCCTGCTTGCTTTCTTGAAACAAACTCTAGACGGGCCTGGGAGGGATGAGAAGGTCTACAAGAAACTCGTTCGGCAGGTGAGCTCCAATCGCAACCTGCGCATACGCAGTCCTCGGCGCGATTCCGCTAAACTTAGGGTGCAGGTTTGGTTGGGCACAGGCATCGGCCTCTTCATATGTCTCGTCATCGCCGGCGCTCTGATCGGCGTCTTCTACACACTTGGATCCAACAAATGGGATAGCAGCGAGAATGCATACGAGGGCGCCTTCGCGCTCATCGCTTCCATCATCATTACCATCGTCGGTGCCGCTCTCCTCCGTATTGGTAAGATGCAGGAGAAATGGCGGCTCAAGCTCGCCGCTGCGATGGAAGGCCCCGTCAAGACCAATAGCACCAGGACCGGGCGGCTGAAGCACTATGCGGAGAAGTACGCCATGTTTGTACTGCCATTCATCACGGTACTCCGGGAGGGCATCGAAGCCATCGTCTTCGTCGCTGGTGTATCCTTCTCGGCCACCGCCAAATCAGTTCCCCTCCCCGTCGTCATCGGCTTGCTGGCTGGCGGCGTCGTCGGTTATGCCCTGTACAAGTAAGAGCAACGCCGACGCCTCTCTCTCTCTCTCTCTCTCTCTTCTCGTCCATTTTCCTTTGCTGACCCAGCCATAGGGGAGGATCGACCACGAAGATGCAGATCTTCCTTGTGTTTTCCACTTGCTTGCTTTATCTCGTTGCCGCCGGGTTGTTCTCCCGCGCTGTTTGGGGCTTTGAGATGCATTATTGGAATAAGGCCCTGGGCGGTGGCGAAGCCGCTGAACTTGGCAATGGCCCCGGGTCCTACGACATCGATCAAAGCGTCTGGCACGTCAATGTAAGTGGCCTCAACCCACCCCTTCACAGCTCCTAGATACAGGGCTGACCCATCGCAGTGCTGCAGCCCCGAATTCAACGGCGGCGGAGGCTGGGGCTTCTTCAATGCCATCCTCGGATGGACCAACTCGGCAACATACGGCTCCGTCATCTCGTACAACCTCTACTGGCTCGTTGTGATCCTGGCATTCCTGACCATGCGATATCGCGAGGTTAAGGGGCACTGGCCACTGTTGAAGTCCAAGGTGGCACGGCAGGAGTCCGAGCCAAACAGTGATGAAAGAGGAAGCGAGGTCAACTCGGAGACGAGAAGCAAAATAGCGGCAACAGAGAAAGCCAAGGAAGTTAAAGCCTAAGGTCCAAGGAGGTAAACCTCGCCGCGTAGACGGTGGAGGCAGCCAGACTTGAGCGAATGAGATATGGTAGGGGTGGAAACTGGGAAGAAACAAATCGTGTATAGGGGGGGATAAAGGAAGAAGTCGATTGTATTTCTCGATATACCCGGAGAATGAGACACGTTCAGCACTGCTTGCTCGCTATCAGAGGGCCAAACGAATATGATGTGTATATGTGTGTGCATGTGTGCGAGCGCGCTTGTGGATCTGCGCCGTTGTTAAATAAATGGTGTGCCTGTAAGCATCTCAGTCCTCCGGAGTCCAATCCCAACTCCTCGCCGTGAACAGCTGTCTTGCTAGTCGGTCAGCTGCCATTGCTCCTTCATACCGAAGCCTCTGATCGCCAGCAGCCGAGCGAGTAAAACGGAAAGCTCCTTCGCCTCCGTCACGGCCTATTTGGTCTTCCTGCGTCGGGATCCATGAGGTAGAGGCTCGATCCTTCTTCCACGCAGCCCTTGAGATGGCGACGACGTTTGATGACAGCATGGTTTGGATATATTCCGCAATGGGCAGGATCCGTGTGCGAAGCCCGCAGTTGGTGTGATTCTTGTCGATCTGGTAACTCGGGCACTTTTTCAAGGTCGCTAGGATGTGGCTGATGTCTACAAGGGCCGAGTCTGGAACCCAGTCAACCGATGCAGGAGAGAAGTCGACGAGATACAGGAGATGCCTGCTCGTCAGGAATTTGATCATCTCGCCAAGCTGATATGAATCGCAGGCGGCGCTGGAATCGTAGCCGAGCTTACATTGCCTGTTCCGAGACGTATACAGACGGAGAAAGTGCTGCAGTGTGGAGGCGATGGTGTTCAATATGCACTCGCGCCTGTACTGGAGCTCCTCTTTGGAAACCGATTAGCAGCAACGAAAGGTCGATCAGGTCCGGCGTGTGGGCTCACTCTCAAGATGGTCCGAGAGATCCCACCAGGTGGCACCGTTCGTCTCGTATTCTGGATAGGGACTCCACCGGCTGGATCCATACATGATAAGCTCACGGGTCGCCACGAACATCTTGGTCGGCTGGTCCAGCAGCCAGGAGGCAAGAATCTTTTGCCGAAGCTGTTCCTCCGAGGCGGAAGTTAGACTCTGACTTGGACCCTCGCGGTCGTCTCTCGAGGCTCGGAGGTGGGTCGAGGGCCATTTAAATTTCAACCCCATGTTCAGATACCGCGAGACGGGAGCTGCACAGTCGAACCTGTCGGCCAGCACGGCCAAGATGGCGACATAAGACATGGTTGGGGGCTTGGTGGTCGTCTCCTTTCCATGCAATATCCGCATAAGATCACCGAACGCGGACTCTCGGCCCAGAGATCGGGTTGCCTCGTCATCATCGATGATCTCCACCCAGGGCAAGTCGTCCATGCCGGCGTCTTCAGGCCTTACATTCCGTAAAGATAGCTTTGCGAAAGCATCGGCGATTGACTTTGCCTCCCGAAAGCGAGAGTCTGAGAGCAAGTTCTCGAAGTATTTCGAGTGCTTCTTCAGAATCGCAAGCTCGACTCTAAATCCCACGCGGGCCTTGGCCTTGATGGCATGTCTGACCTGACCTGGCCGGATCTGTGCAGACTTCCTCGCAGATTTGAGCGTCTCCCTCGAGGTATCAAATACAACATCGAGTATGACATCGCCCTTTGGAGAGATGGCCACGATACCCGAGAATTGTTTGTCATCTGGATCCGCTGGGTCGCCGTCCTGGGTGCCTGCGTGCTGGTCCATGGAATCGAGGAACCGTCATAAATACGGACTCGGGCAGGTTGAAAATCGGCCGCCCGAACAACCAAACGAAGATATCGGCGTTAAATATTGCTGTATTGTGCGTATGTCGGTATGTAGGTATCCGTAGATGCAACAGAGGCCAATAGTGGGGCTCCAATGACGGCATTTCATTGCGAGGAAGCAATTTTACGCTGGCTCTTGGCTGATTACCGATGATTTGACCCGCGATGGTTCTCGCCAAGGCGTCGGCGACTTCAGCTCCCCTCAGCTCCCTCATCGTTTCAATCCGTTCTGGCTTCGCCCAAGGCTGCTCCGTTCACTCTCGCCATCTTGTTTGCTCGTCCAGCACCGGCAATGAAAAAGAGAGCTCCTAACCTATCGTTACCAGGGTTCCGGATCAAGGGTCCCTCTTTGCTTAGCGTGAACCTTCGGGCTTAAGGTCTTGGTGCTAGGGGTATATCATCAACACCCCCACCCATGGCTCTTGAGGACGGCAAGCAGGCTGTGTATTACATCGTTGGGCTCTTTGCATAGCGAGACACGAACCTCACAGGATTACACGCCGCTATTCTCGATCCTGATCCCGCAATGGCCCCCCGAATACGCCGAGCGCTCTGGCCAAGTTCACGGGTGAATAATTCCGAAACAGCTTTGGATGTCATAGCATCGGCCCAACCAGTCTTGCTTCTGGATGCCTTTATGGGCTATGTCTCGACATTCTTCCACGAGTTGCGCTACGAGCCCACAGCTGCGTTATCTTCCGCCGGTTCTCAAGATGGCCCAAGCATGTGCTCGTCCCACCAAGCTCACCCGAGGCGGCCTTGGCTACACGATGCCCGCCGCCACAGAATATTCTCCCAGACCCCGAGACGACAGTTCCACAACTACTTCGTAACGCACCTACCTTCGTCGTCTCTCCATCCCGACTCTCGGTCCTCCAGCGGCCCACACCACAAGCTCCCGCGTTCGGCTTCCACGCCGCACACCCAGGGCCCAGGATCGTCCCCCGCCGTGGTGCCGCCGAACATGCCGAGCCGAGACCTGACGGTCGTACGAATACCCCTCCGGAGTGCAAAGCACCACTTTGGCGCGTATAGCTCTCGGGGCTCGCGCGGCTATAACGAGGACACCAGCCAGGCTGGGACAATCAATATGCCCGCCTTTGCCAAGAGGGTGCCGATAAGCCTGAGTGCGAAGCGGGGCCCGAGATCCGGCGGCGAGGGTACAAGTGCAGATAGTTCCTTCGGGGATCCGCAGATCTTCTACTTTGGCGTGTTCGATGGCCATGGCGGTAGTGAGTGCAGCGAATTTCTCCGAGATGAGCTTCAAGGGTATATCGAAGCGGCGGCGGCCAATTTTGGCCTAAGGAGTAGTCTGAGGAGGGCCCAAAATGATGCGATGGGCCAAGACCAAACCGAGGATACTCGCTCCTTGAACACTTGGGAAAATCCGACCACGGCTCAAGGCCGTCAAGCTCTGAATCGAGTGCAGATGAAGAGCGGCGAGGAGGTCAAGGCTGAACTGAGCCGCTCTAAGAAGCAGGATCACGGGGACATTGTCGACCGCGGCTCTCTTAAGGAAAGCCTCGAAAGCGAAGAAACCCTTGTCCCGGAAAATGAAGACGTCCGCAGGGCACTCCTACTCGAGGAAGAGCTGGTCGATGAGTACAAGAGTACCGTGGGAGGCTACTTCCGCCGCTTCAAACCCTCGCATTTCGGCATCCTAGATCCTAGAGCACGCTCCTCAACCGACGACCCGGACAGCCCGGAGCCGGAGCCGTTGGACGATGTCGTGAGCCTCGAGTCGGTCCTCACGTACGCATTCCTCCGGGCGGACCTCGACTTCGTCACGGCGCAAGCCCGGAAACCCGACCCCGACGACCCGTACGTCTCGGACTTCCCGCTCAACCAGGATGAGGTCCTCGGCCGCCCCCACCTCGCACCTTCGGGCCAGGGGATCGGCGGCCCCGCCCGCTTCAAGGGCGGCTCGACGGCGTCGATCGCGCTCATCTCGACGCCGACCGCGGCGCCGTTCTGGCACCCGGCGGCGCACTCGACGCTCGCCGTGGCGCACGTGGGCGACACGCGGGTCCTCCTGTGCGAGACGGCCTCGGGCTTGGCGCGCCCGCTGACGTCGGACCACCACCCTTCGTCGCCGGCCGAGAGCCGGCGGCTGCGGCGGTTCGCCTCGGGCAGCCTGGTGACGGACTCGTTCGGCGAGGAGCGCATCTCGGGCCTCGCCAACAGCCGCGCCTTTGGTGACATGCGCGGCAAGCGTGTCGGCGTCAGCGCCGAGCCCGAGGTCGGCCGCGTCGAGCTGGGCCCCGCCGAGTACAGCTTCCTCGTGCTCGTCAGCGACGGCGTATCGGGCACGCTGAGCGACCAGGAGATTGTCGACGTCGTCAAGGAGGCGCGCACCCCCGAGCAGGGCGCCAGGGCCGTCGTCGAGTACGCCACCGAGGTCTCGTCCGACGGGGACAACGCCACCTGCCTCGTCGTCCGGCTGGGCGGGTGGGAGAGGAGGTCCGAGGGCGGGGTGGGGAGCTTGGGCACAAAGGAGATCAGGGACGCCAGGAGGGCCGAGGCGTTGGATCCGAGGAGGGGGAGGAGGTGAGGGAGAGAGACGAATAGCACTGTTAGACATAGTGATTTATGCAAATGAGCCGGTGTCTCGTCATGGGGCACGATATCCGCATGGTTATGGCGTTGTCGAATATAATAGCAATGAGCATGGTTGGCTACCTAGTCTACGAGTGTCAAAATACCAACCGCCAATGACCCTCCCCCGCTTCTTTTCTTCTTTTTATTGTCTGATACATGAACCGCGCCACACCCCATTTAGATAGGTAAAACCCCAAACCCCTCCCCCCAGTTCGGAACCCGCACCCTATGCCTACCTACCTACCTACTCGGTACCTAACTATGCTTATGCCGTCTCCATTTCTCCTAAGGGAGATACAAGGGGGCTTCCCCTCCCAACTCAGTACCGCTGATGCTGGCCGGGGTACTGGCCCCACGACTGCTGTCCCGGCGGTGGCTGCGGCGGATACTGCGGCTGCTGCCCGTACCCCGGCCCGCCGCCGTACCCCTGAGGGGGAGGCGGCCCGGGCGCCCAATACCCGCCCTGTGGGGGCGGCTGCTGGTGCTGGCCGGCATACCCGCCGCCTCCGTACGGCGACTGCTGCGGCGGCGGTGGCGCGCCGCCATACGTGGGGGCCCCCTGCGGCGGGTTTAGGTACTGCTGGGCGTAGCCGCCTGGGGGTGGCGCCTGCGACGGCGGGGCCTGGCTGCCGGAGCCGCCGTAGCCGTAGCCGGACTCGGAGGAGGGGCGGCCGTGGGAGGCGGCGGCGGGGGGCGCTGGGGAGGCGGACATGTAGTTGGCCGAGGGGTTGCCGTCGCCACCGCCCATGGCGGACAGGTCGCGGGTCTGGACCTGGGACCACAGCGAGCCGGCCACCTTGCCGTGGCCGAGCTGGCCGAAGGCGTCCTGGATGCCGCCAAAGGTGCCGTGCGAGTGGCCGCCCTGGCCGTGCGAGTGGCCGTGGCCCCCGCCCACCTTCTCGCCCTGGAGCAGGTGGTTCTTGCCGGCCTTGACGGACTCGGACGACAGGATCTGGTTGAGCCGGGACGAGTACTTCGTCTCCTGCGCCCACTTGCGCACCGTGTTGAACATGTCCTGCTGGATCGTGATGCGCTCGTCGCGCAGGGCCGGGTGATGGAAGGCCCGCAGCACGTCGTTGACGACCTCATCGACGGGGACGCCCGGGTTCTCCCAGGCGAAGATGACGCGGCTGTTTTCTCTCGGGTTAGCAACTGTCTACGTCCATCTCAGGGGGGCTGGCTTGGCCTTACGGGACAACGTATTGCAATATGGTTGCGGCAATTCGCCCGCCACAGGAGTTGAGGATGTTGGTGAAGTGGTCCTTGGAAAGCATCGAGTGCGTGGGGTTGGTGCAGTGGGGATCCGTCCAAGGTTCGTACTGAGAGTCAGCGCTGGTTTTGATGACTCCCGATGAGCCTTCCTTCAAGGCCTTGGAGACCTGGTTGATGATGGGCCTCACGAAGGGGGCAAGCAGGCCGAGAACAAAGGCTGTCAGTGTCTCGCTGATGTGCTCGATTAGCTTCTCGAGTCCAGGAATCTTGGCGATAATACCGTTGATCCCTTTCACGATTTTGTCTCTGAACAGGAGGATAGGGTAGATCTGCTTGGAGACCTTGACAGGGTCGAAGCTGGCGCTCATGCCCGGAACCTGGTTTGTGTTGTCTCGAGTGAGGTTCTCCTGCTCCTGTGTAGCCGACGCTGCCTGAAGGCTTCTCGCCTGCGAAGCAAAGTCGCCGCCAATGCCTGGGAGCTGGCCGATCAGGGAGATGAAATCCTGACCACCGCCTCCCGAGCCGGAGCCAAAGAGACCGCGGTCACCGCCGGCAGTCGGGCCACCCGACTTATTGAGCTGCTCGGCATTCTTGAGGGCGATGTTCACCTCGTCGACTTCGGACTGGGTGAAATGGTCGGTGGCCTCACCTAGGACCGAGTGCAGGAAGTCGACGGCTCCGAATGTGCCAGTGACGAGGGGGAAGACCTTCTTGCCCTGCACGTTGATCTGCGTAGCGGAGCCGCAGTGGGGGAAGACCTGATGGTAGCCAAGCTCAAGCAGGGCTAGCTCGCAGTAGTTGCTATGGGCACTAAAGTCTTCCATGCAGTGCAGAGCCTGGCCCAGGCACCTCAGCGCTTCACAGAGATCTGCCTCCTTGCCGGATGTACCACCAGACCCGTGCGTGTAGACACGACCGAAGTGGATGCTCCGAGCAAAGGCAAAGCGCAAGTAGCCGGCACTGGTCGCCCATGTTCCGGTTTCGTTGGCGATGTAGTTCTTCATGCCGGTGCGAGGGTCAATCTCGAGCTCTTTGGGGTCAACTGGCCCTCGCAACCTGGGATCATACTTCCGGGCGTCTTCGCCGTCAGCATAGCCGCGAGGGTTGTCGATGTGCTCCTCAGGACGATAGACACCAAGGCGTTCCTCGGTGACCTCGAATTCTTCCGTCGCGTAGCCATGGGCCATGAAGGAGAGAACCCAAACCTGCAGCAGTGTCCGCGCGTAAGGAGCCGCCCCAACGGGTCACCCAAAAAGGAGGAGTCTTACCAGAATCCTGATGGTGGCGGCATTCACGCCCTTCACGCTGCCGACATCGATGGCTTGAGAGTAGTCCCGCAGCCAGTTGCCGAAATAGGTCCGCGCCACCATCATGGTGGTCCATTTCTTCCCATGCAAGAATGCGAGCGTCTTCAGCATATCCTCGATATCTGTTTCCCCACATTGTTAACCATGTTAACCCAGTTGGAGCAGTGATCAGGATTATAGGAACCTCCATGTCTCCAATTTTGGCCCTCGACTTGGGCAATGGACGGAATATTGCCAGCACCAAAGGCTGCAGCTTTCCCAGGCAATACCACGAGAAGCAAGGCGAAGACCAGGAGCATGCTGCCCCCGCTCATCCGAATCGACGTCATCTAGGGAACCACCGGTAGGTGTCCGGACAACCAAGGGTGGGCTTGAGGATGGAGAGGTAGCTGAAAGGCACAGATAACTGTGTGAAGAAGGATCTGGAGCGTAGGTGTTGATGTGACGGAGCTCTGATGTGCAGTCCAAAAGATGATCCCGTCATGGAGGGGTCGATTTTTTGAGGGGTAGTCGCAGGGCAAGCGCCACAATTACGCAACAGGTTCAGCTGGGTCTGTTCGCTTCTCCAGCTCTAACGAAGCTACGGGATGGACTGCGATGCAGCTGAAAATAATGCACAGCCTAGGTTCCGGGAAGCACTTAACAACAGACAATATGCCATCCGCAACGGCGCATGGTTTCCATAGCCACGAAGACATTGCAAAACCCCCTAATCACCTCCAGGTTCCTTACCCAAGCCGCCAAGGTTCTAGTGGATGTATAGGTTAGGCAGCAAGCACAGACTGCACAGTGGTGTGGTGATAGTCAAGAATTGGTAGTGGCCAGTGCTAGAAAGCTGTGGAGTAAAATATTCACGTGCTAGACCCTGTTTGAGCGCGTTCCTGAGGCAGGGGTTCCTATGGCTGGGGCCAGGATGGACCTACCCCCGCCGTGTAACCCCTGCGAAATCGCGACGTCTCATCCATTCTTCCAACATAGTCCGCGACCAGATTTGGTCATTGTCGCCCACACAATCATCCCTGACCCCAGAATCCGAGTCCTAGAGAGCCTGCAAATGGAGTCCAACCGATCAACGGTGGACTGCTAGCCCGGATGCTAACCATTCTCGCCATCAGGGTCAAATCGCAAAAGTACCTGAGCCGACTCTGGAAGCCCTCTGGGGGACTGCTGTCTGTTTTTGGCTTCTGCATCAAAGTGAAGCCTTTCTCGAACCTAGCCGAAGCACATGCAATGCAGTTCGTTGCCCAACATACCTCATCCCCGTGCCCAAAGTGTATTGCGCCTTTGTCCACAACGGTTCCACATACATCGTCATGAGCAAGATGGACGGAGAGATAGCCGCGAGTGGCTGGCTCTCGCGCACCGAGGAAAGCAAGAGACGGATTCTAGATCAGCTAAGGAGCATGGTTTCCGAGCTTCGCACTATACAACCACCGGAGGGGATGGGTGTTGCCAATGTCAATGGCGGCCCTTTCTACGACTGTCGCCTAGCTTCAAAACTGCTCTGGGGCCCATTTAGCACTGTCTGCGAATTCCATAGGGCGCTGGCGAACGAGCCTGATCTGGATGCCAACTTTGAAAAGCTTCCTCCCGACCTAGTCGAGCTTTTGACGTACTACAAACGACCTTGCAATACCCTGGTCTTTACACACGGCGACCTGAGTAGCTTGAACATACTGGTGCGGGGAGACGATGTGGTGGGCATTATTGACTGGGAAACATCGGGCTGGTCTCCGTCCTACTGGGAATACACGTGTGCCTGGAATGTTAATTCATATAATCCATTCTGGCAACAGGAGGTAGGCAGATTCTTGACGCCGGCACCTCACGAGCTGCGAATGGATAGCATACGGCGCAAGTATTTCCCCCCTTTCTGAAGTGCCACTACAACGACATGGGCCATCCTGTCTATGGCACCAGTTCTCTATTCTGGAGTATGTCCCAAATTGCTGCCGCCTAAGAGTTATGGCCTTCTCCGTCGAATCGATGAGCGGCTCCTTTCTTTTCGACGTACCACATGGCTGTTTGTCGCACATACCTAGTTAATTGTTTACGTGGGCCGTTTCCTTACCCAGAAGCGATCCATCCTTCTCCCCCACCGGGCAGTTGTCACGCCATTAATCTAGCAGGACGTGAGAGTGATTGGCGAGCGCAAGACTGGTGGCATGGCATGGTCTGATGCGGGAGAATTCAAAGAACCGCGGGATTTCATGTCAACCTCAGTCGAGCGACTACTGGCCCATATTTGTGGCAAGTTCACGCGCCGGTACATTAAACGGTTGTCTGAATCTTAAAAAGATGGAGGACGGAGCTGGCTGATAAGGCAGACCTAGAATGGATCACGTGTTCCTTAACTAGCAGATCGGATGGGGTTATGGAAATGCCTATGCCAAGTAGAAGCTGTTGATAATTTCACGTTCTTCAAGGAGGAAAAGAGCCAGTGACGTCTGAAGAATGGGGCGATACTCCGTTAATCTCGCCAAGATTGGTTACGGAAGCGCCGGATTTCTAGAAATTTGCACGGGCCTGCGCTCAACCCAGCTTACCCTGATTGGCCGGAGACGGCGGGCTCTGCTTCTCTGCTGACGGGCTCTGCTTTCCTCGCGTCGCAAACCCCTAAAAACTTCAGGGTGCAAAGTTGTCCAGACTGAAATGATTTCTAAACCCCTATTCGCTTTCAAATCCCATCCGCCTTATTTGTCCTTGTTGCGTTTGAAGGCCTCTGTCGCCTGCCTCTATCCTCCACCTCTGCCTCGGCCGCCGTGCCATCTCTCTTTAAAGCCGTCGTCCTCCGTCGCCCCTCGATAGATTGATTGTCTTATAAGATCGCCCCATCTTCTATTCGAGATGCCCTCCGCCACTCTCCCGACCTTTACGCTCGCCGAAGTCGAGTCGCATAACACGAAGAAGTCTCTCTATGTCACGCTGGGAAAGAATGTCTACGACTTGACTGATTTTGTCGACTCCCATCCCGGCGGTGCCGACTTGGTGCTTCAATATGCTGGGAAGGACGTCGCAGATATACTCAAGGACGAGACCTCGCACCCGCATTCGGAAACAGCCTACGAGGTCCTCGATGAGTCACTAGTTGGATTTCTAGCCTCGGGCAAGGCTGCTGCGAATGGCTCGGCTTCGGCCAACTGTGTGGCCAACGGCGTGGCCAACGGCAGCGCCAAAGCCGCTGGCAATGCACCCGACGTGCATCCAAGGACGGGCATGTCGTGTGAGGAGGATCTGAACAAGGAGACGGACCCTGTCGGAGACTACAAGACACACAAATTCCTTGACCTGAACCGCCCGCTCTTTTCACAGGTCTGGTACGGGGGCTTTAGCAAAGAGTTCTATCTAGACCAGGTCCACCGGCCACGGCATTACAAGGGCGGCGAATCTGCCCCCCTGTTCGGAAACTTCCTCGAGCCTCTTTCCAAGACTCCATGGTGGCTGATCCCCATCATATGGCTACCACCCGTCTGCTACGGCGTCTACCTTGCTCACCAAGGATTCAACACTGGCTTGGAACAAGCTGCCTACTTCGTTCTAGGCATCTCGATCTGGACCCTACTGGAATATGTCATTCACCGTTGCCTATTCCACCTCGACCAGTAAGAAACTCTTTCCCCAGATTGGACCGTGGTGTACTGTACTGACGCTTCTCTAAGTTACCTGCCCGACAACCATGTATTCCTCACGCTGCATTTCGTCCTCCATGGCGTCCACCACTATCTTCCCATGGACAAGCTCCGGCTGGTGATGCCCCCTACCCTCTTTGTTGCTCTTGCTTCTCCGTTCTGGAAGCTGGCCCACTTCATCTTCTTCTGGGATTGGAATATCGCCACAACTGTGTTCTGCGGCGCCGTCTTCGGATACATCTGCTACGACCTAACGCACTACTTCCTCCATCACCAGAACCTACCACTGTGGTACAAGGGGCTGAAGAAGTACCATCTCCAACATCACTTCCTGGACTATGAAAATGGCTTCGGCATCACCAGCCGCTTCTGGGATCGCGTTTTTGGTACTGAGATTGTAACTCTAGTGAAGACATCATAAAACACAGTGGAGGGCGAAGGTAATGCATCAGGAAGAAAAGGAGAAGGAGAAGGAGAAGAAGGGAGGAAGCTGGAACTGTCACCCTCCCAACTTAATCAGGTCCTCCCAACTTAATCAGGTTACAGCACTTGCTTGTCATGGGGGTCACAGCTGGATGGTGTTTCAGGGGGAATGTATTTATGCTTGGCTGGGGATGGCTACTCTCAAGGGAAACCCCTAATAATGCTTGATATCTTAATAAGTAATACTCACGATCAATCTGTACTGACACTTAAGTGCTCATACATGAAGGTCTGGCTGCCCATGTACCAAGGTACCTAGCAGCGCTATTTCCAAAGGCGGGTACGTACCTACCTTGGGGCCCTTGGCCCGACACCTCCGAAGCAGTGAAATCTTAGGCTTGGCACGACCTTCACAACCCTGCACACAACCACCCCGCATCGCGTCGGTATCCTGCACCTAGCATCCCGCCTGTGTGAACAGAACTGCGCGCGTGCGTCAAGCAGCAGATCATCCTTCGGCTTGAATCATTCTTCTGGCAAAGTCAAGATTTAATATCTATATTTCTGGCTGTGCAGCTGAGAAATAAAGCTCAACCTACCAATCTCAGCGACTCGTCCTCCTCTCCTGGGCTATCGAGGCTATCAAGGTACCAGGTACAGGCAAAAAAGCTTGAAATCCAGAAGGTAAGCACGTGACAAGTCACTCGACGCCTCTCAGATTTTACTTTCCGCCCTCCATTTTTCACATTTTCTCCCGTCCCCACTCCCCACTTGCCAAATCTCGCCCCCCCCCCCAGGCATCTCGAGTTCAGCCTGACTCAAGTCACAAGACCAGCCACACAAAACCTGTGTCTTTCCGCGCATCCTCAGCACGATTGTGCCGACAACATAGAACTTGCAGCAGTCATCTAACGGGATTACAGAGTTACCTGAGTAGTACAAACATCTCCCTCCCGTTGCAAACATGTCGGGCCTAGACGTTGAGGCATTGCTCGATTCGACTGCCAACTCGGCTGCTGCCAAGGAGCAGGCTACCAAAGCCAGTGTCAATGGTGATTCACCCAAGAATGGCCGACTCAGCAACAGTGAGACTTCCCGCGATGGCAATGGCAACCGGGGCCAGGGGCGAGACCGAGATCGGGAGCGCAAAGTCCGGACTCGCAGCCCTGAGCACCGTGGCAGCCGCCGGGGCACCCCGAGTGAACATGGAAGAGACACCCCAAGAAGTGAAACTGGCAGCCACAGAAGTAGGCGCAGAAGCCGAAGCCGTGATTCTGATCGCCGACACTCACGTCGTGATAGAGACGGTGATTATTACCGCAGCAGAGGTGGACGCTCCCGCACTCGCACCCGCTCTCCAAATGGCCACTATCGCAACCGCCGAGGTGGTCACCGTCGCGACCGAGACCGTGACGACCATGGCTATCGCCGACGCGATGACGAACGAGACCGCCTCCGTGGTGGTGACAATCGCAATGCCCCCCGCGATGCCCCTCCTGCACAGCTGACTGAGGATGAGCGTGACCGTCGCACTGTCTTTGTCCAGCAGCTTGCGGCCCGTCTTCGCACCAAGGAACTCAAGGAGTTCTTCGAGAAGGTTGGGCCTGTGGCTGAAGCTCAGATAGTTAAAGATCGCGTCAGCAATCGTTCCAAAGGGTATGTGCCCTCCCCCCCCCTCTCCCCCCAACCCTACTCTCCGAAGCCCCTGCTAACTCCCTTTCAAAGTGTCGGCTATGTGGAATTCAAAAACGAAGAGTCTGTCGCTGCCGCCCTTCAGCTTACGGGCCAAAAGCTCCTAGGTATTCCTGTCATCGTCCAGCTTACGGAGGCCGAGAAGAATCGCCAAGTCCGTAATACGGAAGCCTCCGGGCAACACCCCAACTCGATCCCATTCCACCGCCTCTATGTGGGAAACATCCACTTCAGCATTACAGAACAGGACCTCCAGAATGTCTTTGAGCCATTTGGTGAGCTAGAGTTCGTCCAGCTGCAGAAGGATGATACCGGCCGCAGCCGCGGCTACGGATTCGTCCAGTAAGTTAAAGTCCTCCCATGCTAGAAGCGCTCCTCTGTGACGTAGCAGCTACTAACATGCCCACTCCCAGGTTCCGCGACGCTGGTCAGGCCAGAGAGGCCTTGGAGAAGATGAACGGGTTCGATCTTGCTGGTCGCCCCATCCGTGTTGGTCTTGGCAACGATAAGTTTACCCCAGAGTCAACTGCCAATCTCTTGCAGAGATTCCAAGGCCAGAACCAACAGTATCAGGGATCGGCCTTCTCCGGTGCTGGAGGACGAGGAGCCGCAAACTCAGCCTTCGATCGCGCCGGTGGCCGAGACAATGAAAAGGGTACTGGCGCCAGCGCCCTCGACGACACCGACGTGGCCGGCGTCAACTTTAACAACTACAGCCGAGATGCCCTCATGAGAAAGTTGGCCAGAACTGACGAACCCTCTAATGGCACCAATGAACGACAGATTATCAAGCCCAAGACTGAGGCCAAGCCTCTCCCCATTAACGTCAACATGGCGAGCCGTTGCGTTGTCCTCCGGAATATGTTCGACCCCACTGAGTAAGTCCCCACATCCGACCTCATCTAAGTGGCCATGCTGTGATTCTAACTCTTGTGTGTTATAGGGAAGAGGGCGAGGACTGGATCAAGGAGCTGGAGGATGACGTCCGCCAAGAGGCTGAGGAGAAATATGGTCACGTCGTTCACATTTCTTTAGATACCAACTCCCCAGGCGACATCTACCTCAAATTCGACAAGGTCCAGGGCGGCGAGAATGCCATCAAGGGCCTGAACGGCCGCTACTTCGGCGGGAGGATGATCACCGCTGCACCTGTTGTGGACGCAGTCTACAGCAGTTTGTTCTCTCGCACCAAGGCGATCTGAGACGCTAATCTCCACTTGACAAGATGCTGCCTTTAGGGTTCCTCCCGGTAGGCCCTTGATCTGGCTCCTGGCTCCTGGTTTCAGGTTGCCAGGCTGACATGACTTGGCAGTATCTCGAATATCCGATCCCCGACCTCACCTCGCCTCGCTTCGCCTCACCTCCACGACCTGACCGACCACGACCCCGCGCCAGTCCTGATCATGTCAGTTCCCCCTTCTCAAACCACCATGACCTGGAAGAAACCGTCCAAGCAAGGATGAATAAGAACAAGAAAACGAAGGAGAAAAAAAATAGGAAAAAGGAAGGAAAGAACCGAGAGACCCTCTCTGTCCCCGTTTGTCTCCTTCTAACGAGTGGATGTCTTGCACTGGCCCTAGCTAGTTCACCATTCTGCCCCGAGACGACGCAACGACTCGCCCCGCAACCCCTGTACGAGTTTAATTCGGTATCCGGTCTGGCAGAATCGCGTTGGTGTTTCACTGATACCACACAGCTGCAGAAAACCGTCTGCATTCGCTTTAGCCCCTCGGCACGACGAGGAGGCCGACATCCATCGAACTGTTTACATGGCATTCATGATGCTGATCTTTGTACCTAGATCGATTCCCGACGTTCGGAGGATTTGTCCGATCCGGAAGGCCCCCATTACCCCATTTGCCGTAGGTAGCATGTTGCAGGTGCCCTAATAGGAGTTTCGGCTAGGTTACTGTCAATTAAATTCCCCATTAATCTCAACATCATCCTCATGCACCGTGGGATTAACGTTTGGGCTCGTTCCCGTCTCTTTTAACGAAGCAACTTTCCTTGTCCCTTCTTCTTTTGGCTCCCTGATTATTATCCTATCACCCTGGCAGCATTGTGGCATGCGGGGTGGCCCAGCGCCTCCTTGTCCTCTCTCTAGCCGGTCTTCCTCTCCATGCTTTGGATCATCAGGGAATGGGGACCTCCCGTGTCTTATTCCGATGCTCGAGGTTTTTCCCATTGACTCCATCGATCACCATCCTCTTGGACGTAATGTGGCTATTGAAATGGTCTAGGCCTCTCGTTTTCCCGACTTCCAGCCAGCCAAATGGAGTTTAGCATTTTGCTGTGGCTACCCCTGAAATATATAATAAATCTTTGCCTGTGAGATACATGCCCTCGACTAGTCTCAGTATATTGTGATTCTGATCTCCCAGGCATCTTCCATTTATCTGAAGAATGAAAGAAGACGAGACATATGCACAGTTACCTATTCAGGCAGGCACATCGCCGGCCTCACAACGCCATGGCCAACGTTCTCTTTTCATAATCCCCGAAACGGCGTAGCTAACCAATCGCCCTTCTTTTACAGACCCAAGGTTCTAGAGAGTCAAGTCAGAACGACTGGTAAGATCAACTGTCCCTTTCTCCTCCACCTAGGGCTTGTCTGGTAGGGACCGAGCATTCGAGATAACGCCCTCCCCCTGAAACGTCTTTGGCAGGTCAGCCTTGCCTACGATCTGCCCAACTTCTAGATCCATCTCACTTGGAGGGAAGGAGCTTACTATTCTCTACCACTCACCCTGATATCGACCTCACTTTCGCTTCAATCTCTGCGGATTTTTGAACCAACACAGTGGACGTGGTGGACCTGACCAAAATATTCACAACTCTCCGCCCTTATCAACCTACGTCACTAGAAGCAAACATCTTTCCACAAGGTAAGTCTTCACTTTCCTTCCTGATACCTCATGGGACCACCGCCTTTCTTCACTCCTTTCTTTCTGCCTCTGCTGCAGACACACCCCCCGGTGTGTCTCCCTGCGGTAGCTACTATAACTACCTCTGGCCGACTGAAAGGTTCTCTTTCGCACAACGAGTCCCTAGGCCAAGACTTGACGTGACCTGCCTCTTTCTTCTCCCGATCACCATCTTTCCTACCTCGGGACGACTATCAACGGTAATATCTCGCCCTACTAATCGGCACCACAGTCTACAAGACAGGGCCCTCATCACGCATCTTGAAAACTCGAGTCCAAGGTACTACTTTATCTACCTATGCCGTCCCTCTGGCAACTCTACCCAGTGACCTCTCTCACCAGATCTCTCACAAGATCCCTCAGGAAATCCCTCACCACATCCCTCACCATATCTCTCACTCTTTCCAGGCAGCTCCATCCATCCCAAGACATCTTCCATATTATCTTCCCCTTCCCCAATCAAATTCCCTGCCAGCCTTCAAGACCAGGTAATTCCGCCACAACACTGCTTGACAGCCATCATCCAACCATCCCTCTTTCATCTGTTGCCCTTAACCTGCGTCTGATTCCACCTGAGAATCTTCATCTCATTTGGACTTCCTCTGGTCATCGTTCCATCTTTCCTTCCGCTTCCCTTGCCCCTCTCACTTTTAGATTTTGATCTATTACCTTCCGAGCACCAGTCACCTTCCGAATACTTGCCCTTAAAACTGACAGTCGGCGGTCCTAGGATCTCTAGTCCGAAAGCGCCTGTCAAGATCTTCACCCTCCTTCCAGATATCAGATCAAGTCCACAAGAAAAATACCACCCCAAGCATGTCTACCTCGCCTAGCGAGCAGAGCGAGGGTGGCGTCCCTCTCCTGTCGTCGCCACGGACTCCGCCTAGGTGGGCGAATGACCGTTTGTCGATCCACGGGGGAGATCGAAAAGAAGAAGCCGGAGGGTACGCCCGCAGCCCTTTCCCCAACTCCGAGCCGGAGCCTCGATCCTACTATGGCGTCAGACCTCCTCGGCCAATTTCTGATGGGGAGTTTCTGAGAAGCAATTTTTCCAGCCCCGACTATGCCTGCCCTGCCCCTATCGTGGCATATAACAGCACAGTTCTCGAAACAATCCCCGCGGGTAGCGTCGCTCCTCCCCCAGCCCATCCTTCCACCAGCCGGGGATACTACTCTGCCGACAACTCGAAGCATGGCATAGAGGAGATGAGCAAGTCGATTGGAAATCTAAACACGACTGCCCATCCGGATCAACAGGTACGCACCTTTACTCTGATTTGTGAGAAGAGTATCCATGACTAACAGCATCACAAGGCTGCGCACTTCCACGTCCGCATTGCCCACCAACGTATCAACGGTATCATCCAGGGAGCTCGTAGGCGGGCTGACATGCCCCCGCAATTTGCCCACCAGCTTGAATACGAGTTGAAGGAGACCAGCCAAAGCCTCGCCAGAGTGACGCTGGCCATCGACAAGCTTTCACGCCACCTCGAGGAGAAGATGGTGGATTGTGATCGTGTCCAGGCAACAGCCGGACTACAGGCAGTGGAGATTGAGCGCCTCCGGCACGATATTGACACGGCCCGCCGAGAGACCCAGTCTGCTGAGACGAACAGCGAGGAGCTCCAGAAGACATACCAGGACGTCTTGCGGTCGATGGAAGAGCAGAGCAAGATCGACCAAGAGAAGATCAAGGTTTGTACCTCTTCTCGAGCCAAAAAGCACAAGAGATATACGCATTGCTAACACACCCATGTTCAGATGTACGAGGAGCAGCTGAACGGCAAGCGTCACTTGTTCTTCGCCCCTGCTAGCCGTGATCCCCGAGAGAAGACCAATGGCTCTAACTCGACCAATAGAGCCAATACGCCTACCACCGGCATGACGTCGGTATCCCACTCGTCGAGGATGGCATCTCCCAGAATCCCCTTCGCCGTTCCGCCTCGGCCATCATCCGCGTTTCCCGGTGCCGGCCCGAGATCATCTGGATCCAAGCCTAGATCCACCCCGGCTCTCCGTGCCAGTTACAACAATACGGGGAATGGCGGCCATTACAAGTTCGAGGAACCCCGTCCCCGCTACACTTCCAACGAGCTTGGGAGCCCTGTCGCGTCCGGGCCAAGCCAGGCGCTCGTGGCCAAGGCCTCCCCCGAGGTAGAGGCTACAATTATGCACTGGCAGGAGAGCTTTGGAAAGGTCTTCTCCATGGTCCACGGGTGGTGCAGCACTTATGCCAACCAGGTCAAGACCGATGACGCGGCACAGATCCAGGCTCGAGCACCCAGGCTCTGGGACTACATAAGCGACATCATCTACCCAGGCCGGCCGGAGAGTGGCGCCTCCCACGCCAAATACCTCCTGCAGGAGGGATCGTCGAGGGTCTATTTCGTGGAGCGCCTCATGCTCCAGTACATCATCAACTGCATGTTTGCTGTCGAGGGATGGACCGAGTTCCGCGAGGACGTGGATTCCAAGTTGAACGCCCTCTCGCAGAGACTGCAGAGCACGGAGTGTGAGTCTTGCGCCGCTCCCCCCCCCAATTTCCTAACCAGATGCAAGTATGCTGACACGCATATTTTTACAGTGTACAAGACGTTCGAGCGGCAGTCCATCGTCGACCAGATCGCGAGCCATATTAACATCATCCTCATGGACCCCGAGTTCCCGTCCTTCCGGCAGCGCAAGGAGAACTTCCACCACCAGCGCCTCAAGACCATCGTGGGGCCCCTGATGGACAGCTCGGCCTCGCGGTCCGACGCCGCCTACGACCTCCACAACATAACCGTGCTGGTCCTGCAGGCGTCGGCCAACATGTTCCAGTCGCGCCAGCACATCCAGTTCGCGTGGAGCAACACGTGCAGCAAGTTCTCGGTCGAGTCGCACGCCGCAAAGGAGACGGTCGTCGACCCCGTCACCCTGCAGATGAAGCAGTGGCGCCTCAAGCTGGTCGTCACCCCGCTCATCACCCTCCGCGACGACCGCGGCCTGACCGCCGTCCCCAGGCGGGTGCTCCGCTCCGAGGTTCTCGTCATGAACTAGGGGTGGTGTGGCATGGTTTTTTTCCCACTCCGGAGGTTTTCCCTTCCCTTTCGTTTCCCCGTTCGGATGGATACTAATGCGTCGGTCGGGAAACTATCGTTACCCGACCGACTAGACGTGCCATCATAGCTCTCTGAAACGGACTCGTCATTTTTCTTTTCCATTGTGCGTCGTCTAACTCCCCTTCCCTCTCCCCCATCCGCCTTTCCCGTCGCTTGATGTCACGGTGGGAGGGGATATAACCCCGCAGCCACAGATTTCTCTCTACTTGGCAAGCCTGGACAGGCCATCCTTGGACGAGGAGTTTTTAGGGCGTTTGATGGATGGATCTTCATTCAATAATGGAAATGGGGGAAAGGGGTAAAGGGGAGAAGAAGAAGAAAGCTGAGTTCTTAGTCCCAGTGGCATAATTAGGGAGAGGAGGGGAAAATCACTGTGACAACCCAGTATTTTTAATGATTTCTTTTCCTCTTCTTTCTTTTTCTTCTCCCGCAAACAGACTGCTTTCTATCCTATCCAGGGGGGGGACTGGTTTGATATGACGGACGACAAAGATGGATTGGTTAGGCGGGTGGGTAACCGACATCCTTGGATTCGTTCATGTGTTTCCCTTACGGCAGATAGGTAGAGATGGTCTGAGAACGGAAAGGGAGTTGAATTTTCGAGCTCAGCCTCCTTCCGTGCCCCGTGATGCTTCTTGAATGCGTGTCAGAAGGAAGGGAGGAATAGAGTGGACCGGAACTTCGCCACCGGGGCGTTTTCCATTCAGGGGTCACTTCTTCCCTAGGGTTTGCAGATGATGTTGATTGCAAGCGGATACATACGGCAAACTGGAGGCACAACGAGCCTCGTATTCCAGCAAATTAGCGAAGTCGGTTCTTTGTCTACCTGTCTAAATGATGGGGTATCAATAACTCCTCTCCTTGATCACCAATCCCCCATCCGCCAGTCTATAGGAAGTCTAGTAGTGATAGTAATACAAAGCAAGAAAGAAGGAAGGAAGAAGAGGTGCCAGAAACTCCAAACTGCCCGCATGAACCCCCGAACCGGAAACCCCGAAAATGCCAAGCAAGGTAACACAGTAAAGCGGCCCCCCCCCTGGACAAACTTAAGCAGCACCGCGGCGGCCGCCGCGCCTGCCCTCGAGGCTGATTCGCCTGCGATCGAGCCGCTTGACGACGCCCCCCAGCACGGCCTTGAGGATGCCGTCGGCGGTCAGGACGCCGCGCTCGCCGTCCCAGGTGGTGGTGTCGACCATGTCCCTGACGGCGCCGGCGCCGACCTCCCCCGCGATCCCGTCGTCGAGCTCGAGCAGGGCCTCCCGCGCGCCCGGCTCGTCGCCGACCTGGAAGAACTGCACGCCGACCTGGTACGGCGGCGCGTTGGCGCGGTCCAGCCTGCGGGCCAGGCCGAGCAGCACCGACTCCGGGTCGTCGGTCGGCACGCCGTCGGTCACCACGATGAGGTTGACGGGCTTGACGCCCGCCGCGTCGGCGTCGCCGCCGGCGGCCGCCACGGCACGCTCGAACGCCGTCACGTACGGGCCCAGGATCGCCTGGATGCGCGTCCCCGTCGGGGTGCCGCCGCCGGGACGGACGGCAGAGAAGAGGTCCTCGACGGCGGCGGCCGAGCGGAGGTTGTGGAAGCCGCCGCCGCCGATGGCGCCGGCAGAGGAGGGGTGGCGGTTGCGGGCGTTGAGGAAGTAGACGTCGACGCCGTCGGCGTCGTGCGAGGCGCACACGGGCGCGATGGCGCGCAGGGCGGCGCCCGTCTCGCGCCACGACCGCCCCGCCATGCTGCCGCTGTCGTCGATCAGGAAGACGGTGTCGAAGGCGGCCAGGAAGGCGTGCGGGTCCTCGGCCGTGCTGAGGCTGTCGGCGCTGATGACGGCTGACCGGCGAGACGCTGCGTCGACTGTGTTGTTGGGCGTGGCGACGGCCTCGTTGTATGACGGCGGTGGGGGTTCCACACCTGTGGGAGGTCCGTTAGTATGGTGGCATGGAGGGACTGGGCTAAGTGACATACGTGGACGGCGTGTTGCCGGCGCGGGGCTGCCGAAGGGGTTGTTCATGGTGCTGCTCTGCTGGGAGGTGGCGGAGTTGGTAGTAGGACGATCCGAGTTGCTGGGTTTTCTTGACAGCTTGCTCTTGAAAGTCCCAAGCTTGGACGATCCAAGGAATGATCTACGGTAGTCCTCAGACATGGTGGATGGATTCTGGTGTTGCATTCTGGAGAAAGGGTGATCGAGTTCGAGGAAGAGAAAGCTCTTAAAGAAGCAGTGATGGGGACTCCGTTTGCGGGGAGTGGAGTAATGACTTAAAGTTCGACAGAAAGAGGCAGTGTGAATAAAGCTTTCGTCGGTGAAGGGATTCACTTGCAACTGCGCCTTTGTGTGTGTTGTGGCAAGACTTAGCATCCATCCTTTATGGCACCTAACGTGGAAACTCTATATACTGAATAATGAATAACTTGGCGATGACCCCAACTCTCGCCTCAATCTTAATGTCAACCTCGTTCGGCCTCTTGCGGATCACGAAGGGGCGTAAGAAAGAACGCCTTCCACTGCCTTCCTTGGTGATATGGTGATACTCCGCAAGAGGTACTAGTGAGGTGCCTCAAGGCGCCCAAGAGATTGGGGCAGCAAATTAGCACGTGATTATTCGTGGCTGTGGAAATTTGTTTGGCGGGGACTTTGGCTACACAGCCTGCTTAGCCACAGTCAGGCTGACACCAATAGTGGAGCCAGGCCCCCACTGACTCGCCGTAATTTCTACTCTGCCGTGTCTGCATACCCAGGCGTGCCAGGCAGTTGAGCCTTTCCGGCGTGGTAGCTCCTGTACGACAGGCGTTGTCCGGGTTTGGTTGATTGCCATTCAAGTGAGACCGGCGCAGAGTTTCGGCTGTGCTTGTGGTGGGAGACCCACGCCCCTAGTGCGACAAGTTCAAAGCAGACTGTCAGTGATGAGAGGTCCATCATGGGCCCTTTTTAACAGTAACTACAGACTCCAGCGCGCAGGATGCCGCCTCCCTACCACGTTGCCGTCAAGTGTGGATATTGATTGGCTCCCTCCTGATAGTTACGGATCGGCGGGGTAGAACCAACCCAAAACCCCTAGGATTACTGTCATTCATCGATCGGGTCTCATTTCCAGGCCATCGCTGAGGTGTTTCGATGGTTGAAAGGCAATCTAATCCACCCTAAACGGGATCCTCAATGAAACATATGTCAATGTGAATGGAGTGAAATCGGCAAGAACCTTCTAGGTTTGGTCGTTTGGATCGTTGCCTTCCCTTGTCCTCTACTGCCGGTCTAATGCAGCTGAGTTTCCCATCTGGCGTATACTGTGATACTGTGACAAATGCGGCGGCTACTAGTTGGTTGCGATGCCGCCAGGATTCCAGTCACTGCTGCCCGATGTCCAACAATCGTAGTAATTGGATGCTTGTAACATTTCCATCCGCAAAGTACCGGTGAAGACAAGCTTTGGCTGCCTCCTTCCTATCTTCCTTCCCTTCACTCCCTCCTCGGTTTCATTTCCAAGTGAAGCCCACCGGCATATTTGCCACAAATCATCGACCGGACAATACGTGTTCCTCAGCAGTCCTCTCGCTCTCAGCGCTCACCTGCCATCTTGACCGCAAAGCTGGGAAACCTCCCAGTCAACTTATCCTACAGGAACCCTTTCCCCCTCAGCCGCAATCATGCAGTCGTTTAACAACCGCAAGTTCAGTATCAACCGCAATACCGGTGTCCCAAAACCGGCGCGGAGGTTCTCCGTTGGGGAACCTGCCATGAGCGGTAGGTTGGTGGTTTTCGCTCAGCCCACTTGACGAGGAAACTAGTTGATGATTGTACTACTAAAACCATGTCCCTCCAGAGACTAGCAGCAAGATCCATCGCCAGTTTCGAGCTGCCCACGAAGGGTATATCGTCTCTCCCAATCCCACCTGCAGCACTAGAGCCTAACCACCGCTGTCTAGGCATCTTCCCCACGCTGGCCTAGATGCGAGCCGAGCCTCGACTGGGGTTGTCTGGTGCAGCGAGAGGGCCGGCGAGTTCGGCTTCTTCGAGGAGCCCGACAAGTGGGCAAATCTAGGTCAAGGTGCCCCCGAGGTATATGAGTGACTTCCCTTCCCCCTACTCCGCTTGTGGGCAGAATACCGAAACTTCTGCAGGTCGACGACGACATCGAGGGCTGCTTCCCGAAGCCCAAGACGCTCGACATCTCGGTAAATAGTAGAGAGTATGGGCCGACGGCGGGCATTAAACCCCTGCGGGAGGCCGTCGCGCACCTCTACAACGAGATGCACCGCAAGGACAAGCCCAGCAAATATACCTGGGAAAACGTCGCAATTGTGCCCGGAGGTCGGGCCGGGCTGATCCGCATTGCTGCCGTGCTCAATAATGCCTACGTTGGGTTCTTCATCCCGGATTACACAGGTGAGCAGCTTCCAGCTATAGCCCCCCCGTGGTGCGACGCCCAGCTGACCCCTTTCAGCGTACAATGAGATGCTCTCCCTGTTCAAAAACGTAAGTTCGAGTCTTCTTCCGAGGGGATAATCAGAAGGCTCAATAAGGGCCCATAGTTTGCCGCGATCCCGGTCCCCTTGTCGGAGGAGGACGGGTATCATATCCACCCGGACAAGATTGCGGAGGAGATTGCCCGGGGCACGGGAGTCATAATTACCTCCAACCCCCGGAACCCCACTGGTAGGGTGGTTCGGAACGACGACCTGGAGGAGATTCAGAATATCTGCCGTGGGAGGGCAACCCTGGTGAGCGACGAGTTCTACTCGGGATACAACTACACAAGCGATTGTGATGGTTCTACCATCAGCACTGCGGTAAGCCGTGATCTTCTTGCCTGACTAAAGCGTCGGCGAGACTAGGTAGCTGACGCGCTAGTTGCTCTCTAGGAGAATGTCGTGGACGTCGATGAAGACGACGTGTTGATTATCGACGGCCTCACCAAGCGCTTCCGCCTGCCAGGCTGGCGCGTGGCATGGATCCTTGGTCCCAAGGAGTTCATCAAGGCGTTAGTCTCTCACCCACCTTCCCTTCCAGCAGTGACGCGGAAGCTAACTGAGCAAATTCGCCGGCGCAGCATCGGCTCCTGCGGCTCGTACCTCGACGGCGGCACTAACGTCCCCTTCCAGGAGGCGGCGGTCTCCATGCTGGAGCCCGAGAAGGTCCAGAAGGAGATGGCGGCTCTGCAGAAGCACTTCCGGGAGAAGCGCGACTACGTGGTGGCGCGGCTGCGGGAGATGGGCTTCACGATCAAGCACGTGCCGGACTCGACCTTCTACCTGTGGCTGAACCTCGAGGGCCTGCCGGGACCCATCTCGGACGGGCTCAACTTCTTCCAGGCCTGCCTGGAGGAGAAGGTCATCGTCGTGCCGGGCATCTTCTTCGACCTCAACCCGGCGAGGAGACGCGACCTGTTTGACAGCCCGTGCCACCACTTTGTGCGCTTCTCGTACGGGCCCAAGATGGATACGCTCAAGATGGGCTGCGACGGCATCGAGAGGGTCATCAACAAGTACGGTGCCCCCCCAACCTCCCCACTGCTGTACCTAGTAGACCCGTGATGCTAACCTGGCTCGTAGGTTCAAGAAGAAGGACTAAAGAGCGGCGCTGGGAGGGTCAGGCATGGACGGATCCATTTACTGCAGAGTCTGCAGGATCTCGTTAAGACGCAGTAATTTTCCTGGCTATCGACAGAAAGGGGGGGAATCGACATCTTGAGAAGTTCGGATGTAGGTACCTAGATAGCTGGGTAAACTTTGATGATTCAGGAACAATTGCTGGGTTTCCCAAACTTGCAGGTTGATACCATTCGTACATGATTTGTGCAACCCTGGCATCGCCGGCTCGTCCAGACCCCGGCCGATCAAGGTTGGACGAAAATGGTTAACCACATTCAGGTGCACCGATGCGTGGGGGTCTGCAGCACGAAGGTTTCGAAATGCATTGATTGATTGGCTCCGGGCCGATTAAGCGTGGGAGGACTGGACGCACAGCACTGAAGATCGAAGGCTTGAATGTTGACCTCATGACTGCTAATTGAATGTTTGAATTCTGAAGAGAAGTTCCTTTTCGTGCCATTCGCTGTCATAGAAGTAAATAGGGCACGTAGGGAAATCGAAACGGGTTGAAATCAAGGCCTAAAGGCCAAGTTTGTAGAATGCCATGGAATCTTGGGAAGGTCTAGGTCGCCAAGCCAAGCCAAATAAGAGCCTCCTGTGGGCCATCTTAATTGCGACGAACACCTCCCTATAAAAACAAAATGAACAGGATATTGAGGAGAATAGCCCCCACGACGATATTCCCGCGACGACCCGCATCTCAACCCAATCAACATCCCAGCATCTGGCCCTCAACGATCGGCAGACCCTGCACAACCACAGCCCCCCCAGGCAAAACAGCAGCAATGGCGGCGGCCAGCGACGTGCCCCCAACCCCGACGCCAGCCGCGACCCCCGCAGTCACGCCATCAGGCGGCGGAAATTCACCATTGCAAGCCCAGCCACTCAGGGAACCCGTTCGCGACGACGCCCGCCAGGGCGTGTCAACGACCACCACTGACAGGCCGCGGCTCGCAGCCACCGCGCAGGGGACCAGCCCCGGCGGCGCCAGCGATCGCCCAGATGCTGAGGGCCGGGGGCCTGAGCACCACCGCGAGGCAGAACCAGCAGCAGAAAGCCACCACCACCACCACCAGGAACGGCCGTTGCTACCCGGCCCCGACGGTGGCGGCGGCGGCAACAGCAGCAGTGGCAGCACCACCACCACGACGGTGACGGTCGACGGCGAGGCCGTCGCGCTGGACCACCTGGGCCCCTTGGTGGTGCACGCCGACGGCACGCTGTCGCGGGTGGCCAACTGGGCGGAGATGACCGAGCCCGAGAGGCGGACCACGGTGCGCGTGCTGGGGAGGAGGAACCGGGCGAGGCTGGAGGCGCTCCGGGGAGGAGGAGGAGGTGGAGGGGGAGAAGCGTCGGGGTAGGCCTTTTCTCCTTTCCTTTTAAGTTTGTGGCGTGGCAAGTTACAGGCGTCGGTCGGGAAGCAGCAGGCGCGGACGCCAAGGCGGTAGGGATGGCGTCGAGCCCGACCGTTTGAGATCTGTTACCCGGCCAGGGCAGGATCAGGACTTGGCACGGCCTTCTCCTAGTTTGAAAGCAGAAGAATATGCTCGGCGAGCCCAAGAGTTGGCTCTTTAGTATCGCTACACCATTAGCAAATACCTGGTCGATGCTGTTATCAAGGTCGAACATGCCAATCGCACAATATGCTTTGGTTTCTGTCAATGACAAGTGTTGCATGATATTGTCAGAATAGTTCGAACACATCCATCACACCCTCTCCACAAGTGACACCCAGATACATATATGTTCATAGTCTCCATCTCAAGTCAGCTTCCACATGGTGCCATGGTCCCCGTGAAAGCATGTACCTGCTAGCCATGTGGCAGTCGGTGACAGCCATCGTAAGCAAGAACAGGATATAGCCTTCCCGTCTTCCCACGAGCCCCAGAAAACACATCGCCTGCCACCCCAGGATATGCTCCTACATCCACTGACGCCGCCGAATAAACACAAAAACAAAGGAACCAAAAAGGAGAGACATGAGCGCATAGACGGACAAGATTGCAGCTTGGCACTGTCACTCCTTGGACAAAGCCTTGGCATCCAGCCGCGCTACCGTCACGCTGTCTCTAACGTCTTCTTTCGATTTTCGGGGATCCCGGTCTTTCTTGTCGGAATCCTTGGTGGCACCAAACTCCTTCCATAACCTGATGACGTCCTCGTTGCCCTCGTTCTTCTCCATGATGAGGTTCTTGAGCCATTTGTTCTCCGTCTCAAGCTGCTGGATACGGCCCTCGAGGGCGTTGACCTTGTCGGTCATCTCCTTGGCCGACTTCTCGAGGGCCTGCTCGCGCTGCTTCTTCTTGACGCGGAAGCGGGCGCTGGCGGCGGTGTTGCGTCTCCGCTTGTCCTCCTCGGCGGCGAAGCGGGAGGCGTCCTCAAAGCTGAGGGCGCGATTCGGGCTGGCGTGGGAGGGCGTCTCGGGCTTGTGTTTCTCTCCTATCCGCGGCGCCTGGACACCGTAGCCGGCCTGGTGCTGCGGGCCCGGGGGCGGCGGATAGACAGTCTGAGGGTTGGGCTGGATTGGCTGCAGATTTCCTAGTGTGTCGGCGAAACTAGGAATGGTCGGTGAGGTATAGGCTGATCCAAAATCGCCCAGGTTGAATTCCCCTGGAGCCATTGTGCCATGGTCAGCGCGTGAGCGATTCCCGGCTGGGCCTCATGACAAGAACAAGACAAGATTTCGCTGAAAACAGAAAGCAAAACATATCAAGAACAAGGGGAGCGTGGCTCCGTCAAAGCATCGGATAACACTGATGCTGGTCGAGGGCGGACATTGCGCGTCGGTGGTTGGGCAGTCTGACACCCTGACCGATTGCACCATCGCATCACGGGGTATTGCGTGACCTGACGGAGACACTTCATTTGTCATCCGCATTTAGGCATGCCCCCAGGGCGCAGAGTCCATGCGGCTTGCATGCCAGCCCGGGTCCTTTCCAATCAGGATACACCGCTGGAGCATGCGGAAAGATGAACTGTGGGGTGGGGTTGAAGCCCATCTTCCTTCCGTGATAGGAAGGCCCTTTTTCGCCTCTGGCGGGCGGGCGGTTGCATATTGAGTGAGAGCAACGGTGAGTAAGGCGAACCGCTGTCGGCACTCGCCACGACAGCAGCAGCACCACCACCGGTTTGTGAGGAGAATGCAAAGAGGAAGAAAAGAATGAAACGAAGGAAATCGTGTCGACTAACCTGACATAAAGTCGATGCCACCAAACTCGCCTATGACTGAGTTCGGAGATGTGAGATCGTCCGGACGCTGCGTTGTCTCGGCCGAGTCAGGCTTGGCTGGTGGTGCATTGTAATCCGTATTCTGGCCAGAATCGAAGTCGAAGAACTGCGTGTTGGTGAACATGGCAAGATCGTCCTCCATGCCAAAGGCCTCGTCGGCAGCAGGCGGGTCCTGCGCGGGAATGGTATTCAGTTCCCGCAAATACTGCGAGACATTTGGTCCCCTCCGACCATTGTATGTCCCCATGATGGGCCTGCTTTGCGACCAAAGACGTGGTTCGCGACGTCAAAGAACTGCTCGATCCGCTGCGCTCTCCTCTTCCCGGGTTCGATCGTGTCGCTCTTGGGCGCGTTCCTGAAGCGGTCGGATATTGATTTCTGCTCGCCGTCGACGACGAGGCTTTTGTGGTGCTTTTGGTTTGTTGGAGATTGAGAGCGAGGGGATGGTAGTACCAGAAACAAAGAGACTGGGGGCGGGGCACTCTTTCTTTTCTTCGAGTCTGACCCGCAGCGTGACTGTATCCAATGACACGATCGATACTTGCAAGGAGTGAGTGGTTGATGCTGTCTAGGTAGGCGGGTTTCGAGACCAATTTTTGGGGGTTTAGGAAGGCTTGCTAAGGGTTTCTAGGTGAAAAGGCAACTGGTGACGGCCAACCCACAACGTTCCGAACAGTGCCGCCAAAAATGCTGGATTCCAATTAGTCAAGCGATTGACTTATCCCACGCTCTCGGTAGACCATGGAAATTGCCCCGCCATCGGCGCAAAGTTGCGTGCACACTTTATCCCGGGACCCCCACTTGGCACTTCCTCAAAAGTACCGCAAAGGGCGCACCCACCCAATCAGCCGTACGATGTACCTACAGACTCGAATCCGCCGAGAACCCATACACTCTTGCACTTCAATCTCCCTTGTGCATAGGAAGGGGGGACGGGAATTACGCACAGCAATTCTGTGAATATTTCGGAACCTGTAGAGATTCCCTGTGGAATGGGGGACCAAAAGTACCCATTTAAAGTTTAAAGTAGATACTATGCAGGCAAATATTTCCCAGCTGCAAGACAAAAGGCATGTGTATTAGCCGGACGTGGGAGGTGGTGCTGTCGAGTCGGTGGTCCAGACTGGCTCCAGGTCCCCCACGGCAAGGTGACTTCCATGCGCCCTGCCCCTCCTCTCTTCAGATGGTTCAATCAATGATTACATCGGCCGATCAACTCCACTAACAACATCATTCTGCCCTGGGCCCCTGACTTATTGATGCGAAGATCACCAGAGTATGACGATGAAAGATGGCGGGTTTTTCCCTCGACCATGTGAAAGCGGAGAGGTAGATAACGTTCTGCTGCGTTGCTGTTGGACGACGTAGGTCCCGTCTTTGTCCGTGTCAGCTACTAAGGAAGAACTCGAGATAATCCACTCCGCCACCCTGCTCTTAAGCTGACAAATTGGCCACGATAATTAACGGTAAGTCGGTTAACAACGAAATGCGCTAGACCGTTTCAGGAACCTGGCAAAACGCACGAGCCCACGACGCGCTCCAGCATCCAACGCGTCACAACATGGGAGGCGCATTGGGATTCAATCGCATTTGTAGCTCATCCGCACCTACACAGGAAGCTTTTTGATGTGGGGCATGACTTGTTGGGGGATGTAGGCGAGGCCGACTTCTTCTGGCAAATGGTTTCAACCATCACAGTGATACTTGATCCAATTCGCGACCAGAGTGTGCCAATTTGATCCATCCCCAGGATCCACGATGCTGCAACAATGGCGCCAATCTCCATCCCCACGACGTCTCGGCTGCCGTCGTCCTTGCGAATCGACGCGGCAAATCCCATTGTCCAAAAGATCCTGAATCGCTTGTCACGTTCATCTCTCCTCTCGATATCACTCGACTGGCTTGACGAGAACAACCAGTCCCTTTCAGCCCCCTACCTGCTCGACGATAGCGACGATGATGACGACGAGCAGGACGATTTCCACCCTCCAGCTCACTCCCTGGAAGAGCTTCAGGAGCTCTATGCCGCCATGCAGACACGCAAGGGATCAAAGAGGGAGGTTGTTGACAGAATACTCGATGGCGACTGGCGCCAAGGGGTCAGTCTTTACCAATTGGCAATGGCCGATTTCCAGTATCTGTACGACCATCCAACATCGCAAAAGTGGTCCGCCTACCGCATAGTGCCCTTGCGTACACCATCAAAGGATGCCGAGGCGGAAGAGCCTCCCAAGGTCGACAAGGAGTCGCTCACAGTGCCGCGCTTCCATCCATCCTCATTCCTGCAAAACCTCCAGGCACAGGTCCTCCCCGATGTCAAGGCACATTACAGCTTTGAAAGGCATAGGAATCTGCCCGTCCTGTTGCTGCGTATTTTCATCCTCGACTCCCCTTATAACACAAATCTCGCGGCTACCAGCAATGGGGGCGACAGGCTATCCTCCACTTCCGAAGCCTCGCGCACCGTCTACATCGCTTTTCCAGACGCATCACCACACATCTTCATCTCCAAATCACAGACAGTAGGGCCGGCCACGGCCGGCGAGTCGAGAAGCCTCCGGACTCTCATCATCCAAGGGATTCCCAAGGCCCTGTCCCGGCCGCGAGAAAGATATACCCTGAAGTCGACGAGCCTGTCGACCAGGAACCTGGAGGAACTCCTCCACCGGAGAGGCTCAGGGCGGACCAGTGCCGCGGGCGGCGGCTGGAGCATCTATGCGGACGACAGGAAGAAGGAGTCGCCCCTGGACACGGTCCTGCCAACACCGCCACTATCCGATGGGGATAACCCGCCATCGCCGAAGCCGGCCGAGGGATCCCGAAAGAGGGCAGCCAGCCCGGCAACACAGCGCGACGAGCGCGCTGCAAAGCGTGCCAGGCGTGTAGCGCAAGCACGATTTGGCGACTCGGCCAAGATCGACGACGGTAGGGGGGTTGAGAGAGTCGACATTATCATTGAGGACGCTTTCCCCTTAGAACGAGATCAACGAAAGCCCATATCTCGAAGTAATGAAGATGGCGACAAAGTTGCTGGGCCGAGGAATAGAGTGAGAAGGTCGATTGGTGGTCGGCGCAGCCAGGTTGAAGAGCTGCTGGAGCGAGAGAGGGAGGCCGACGACCGGGATGAGCCCCTGAACCAGGACCAGGAAGAGCCGGAAGGCAGTTGGCGGCCCAACATCCGGCTGACATTCCACGGGGCCCACGTGTTTGCCGGCATCAGGCAGCTTGTAGAAAACGGGATAATAGATGGGACGCGCATGCCTGGCTGGATGACGGGCGAGGAGGGCGTAACAATCGGGGCCGTTAGGCATGGCAGGATACGGGGGCACAAAGGTTCGGGAATTTGAGACAGGCCTGTCCGTTTGGTTTCTGCGATGAGTCGAGACGAGAAAACGTTGTATGCGATATGAGGTCACACACTATTTGTAGAACATTCAATGAGGTAAAATGTTCTCTAATCACCTCTATCTAGTCGGCTGGCCGAGAGTCTAGACTGTTTAAGAAACTAAATGCATCCTGTAGTTCACTTCACGGAGCCTCAGGACTCCAGGGAAGTGTTGGTTTCCACATTTGTTCAGTCGACCGAGGTAGCGATGAGATGTTCTATATCAGTTCAATCCGAATACCTTGACCGTGTTCTCCCAGGCTGCCTCGCACACGTCTTCCACCGGTACCCCTTTAATCCCGGCGATGATCTTGGCAACCCGTTCTATCGTGCAAGGCTCATTCCGTCCTTTCACCATTGCTCCCTCTTGCCACTTCTCCTTCTTGACCACCTTGAATCTCTCCGGGACCTCGGATTGCTTCTTCTGATTCTTCTTCCCCTGCTTTCTCGCCTTGCCCGGCGCATCTCCTCCGTCCACCACCGGACCACCACCGCCCGCGACGGCCTCCCCGTTCGCGTCCGCGGGCCTCGGCTCGACTAGGTACTTCCACCCCTCGTGGCTGGGGCGGACCTCGCACCAGGGCCCGTCGGTCTCGATCATTAGCCTGTCCAGGCCGACCTCTGCGACGACGGCGCAGTTCTCTGCCGTCTTGAAGCTGCACCCGTTGATGCCGATGTACAGCCCCAGGCCCGACAGCTCGCGCATCTCCTCGACGGTGCCGGTGAAGCTGTGGACGACGGCGCCCCGCTCGAGCCGCTCGAGCCGCTCGCCGAACCTGGACCGCAGGAGGCCGACGAAGTCGGCGTGCGCGGCCCGCGAGTGCAGGAAGAGCGGCAGCTGCGGCGACAGCGAGGCGGCGAGGTCGAGCTGCGCGGCGAACGAGTGCAGCTGCACGTCCCGCGAGCAGTAGTGCAGGCGGTCGTAGTCGAGCCCGAACTCGCCGAGGGCCACGAGGGCGGCGGCCGGCGAGGGCGACGAGCGCGCCTCCCGCACGAAGGCGGCGAGGTCGCGGATGATGGTCGCGCTCCGGGCGGCGTCGATGGCGTCGCCGTCCTGGATGGGCTGGGTCGGGTCCGGCCCGCAGGCGGGCGTATGCTCGTCGTCCGAGTGGTCCTCTTCGTGGTGCCGCGGGTGCGAGGCCTTGAATATGGAGCTACTACATGGGTGGATTCCCGCGGTTGTGTAGACGGTGCCGGCTGATGAGGAGCGTGAGTTAACGGACTACCGATCCCCGATCCTGCCGGAACCGTAACATAGGATTCCTCTTTGGCAGGTATTGCATTGTACTTACGGAACTCTTCGGCGAGTTTAAGAGCATCCCTCGAGCTCTTGAAGCTTGACCCCGTCACGATGAGCTTCGAGCATCCCACCTCCTTTGCTCTTTGCAGCACGCCATTCAAGTCGTCTGGATGCCGCTGCGAGCCATGGTAGCGGCCGCGGTAGATGGGATCAGCTAGATTGATGCCAATCTTTTACTTTGAGTCCCATGGTCAGCCTCGTAGTACAATAGAGACCGAGCAGGATTTAGATCCCTGATTAGGACATACATCGACGTATCTGGGCTTATAACCAGTGGACCCATCCAACTGTTCCCCAGGGGTGGAGGAGACGGCATTTGAAGCCGCCATCGTGAACCCAGCTGCTCCTTTGCTTCTCAAATGAGGTATGTTTTTCAGTCCAAACTGTACAGCTCGGGTTCGCATAGCTCGGCCGAGATGTTTACACCGAGAGGACGGCCCCGGATTCCGTCTTCAATTCCAGTCTTGGGTCGGTTACCTAGTCGAGTTGAGTCATCCAGGTTGACAGTTTTAATTGGTACTTAAGCAAACGCCCTGCCTGTGCATTTGTTTTTTCGCGCTAACACGCGTGTCAACACGCTCCCCCACCCCACCTCGCGTTCTCCTTAAAAGCCCCCGAGAAGATTCACCTTAACATTTCCCAGTCTCTTCCATTCAACACCACCACCTCTGCAAGAAGCAAATTAATATCCTAGAATTGCATTGAGACGTGTCCCGACCACTTTGGTACTTGCAACCAGCAATTATCTCTTTGAGTGTCCGCACTGCATAGTGCCTTCGCCACCCTTCTGACCTTCCGAGCTTCCCTCCAGTCTTAGTCCACACATCCATTCTCGCCATGTATGTCAGAAAGCGCGGTATGTATTAGCCCAATTGTCGATTCTGTGCTTCTCCAAGCTGACTGCTGTGTAGATGGACGCCAGGAACGCGTCCAGTTCGACAAGATCACGGCACGAGTCTCCCGACTCTGCTATGGGCTTGATATGGACCATGTAGACCCCGTTGCCATTACCCAGAAGGTCATCTCTGGCGTCTATGGTGGTGTCACAACCGTTCAGTTGGACGATCTTGTAGGTTGGCCTCCTGTTCCATCACTCCATTTCACTTAACTAACGCTTCTCTCTCTCTGCTCCTAGGCTGCCGAAACTGCGGCGTACATGACCGTCACCCACCCCGACTACGCCATCCTTGCAGCCCGTATTGCTGTCTCCAACCTCCACAAGCAGACCAAGAAGCAGTGGTCATCTGTTATCAGCGACCTCTACCACTATGTCAATCCTAGGAATAAGCGGCCTTCGCCCATGATTTCCCAGGAGACGTACGACTGCGTCATGCGTCACAAGGAGGACTTGGACTCGGCCATCGTCTACGACCGAGACTTCAATTACCAGTACTTCGGCTTCAAGACTTTGGAGCGGTCCTACCTGCTCAAGCTTGATGGCAAGATTGCCGAGCGACCCCAGCACATGATCATGCGTGTTGCCGTCGGCATCTGGGGAGAAAACATCGAGCGCGTCATTGAGACTTACAACTTGATGTCGGGCAAGATGTTCACCCATGCCTCGCCAACCCTCTTCAACGCTGGTACTCCCCAGGCTCAGTTCTCATCCTGCTTCTTGGTCGACATGAAGGAGGACAGCATCGAAGGCATCTACGACACTCTGAAGACCTGTGCTATGATCTCCAAGATGGCTGGAGGCATCGGTCTCAACGTCCACCGCATCCGTGCCACTGGATCCTACATCGCCGGCACGAACGGCACCTCCAACGGCATCATTCCGATGCTCCGCGTCTTCAACAACACTGCCCGCTACGTCGACCAAGGCGGCAACAAGCGGCCGGGTGCTTTTGCCATCTACCTCGAGCCCTGGCACGCCGATGTTTTTGAATTCCTCGATCTTAGAAAGAACCACGGCAAGGAGGAAGTCCGTGCCCGGGACCTCTTCCTCGCCCTCTGGATCCCTGACCTCTTCATGAAGCGGGTTGAGAAGAATGGCGAGTGGACTCTGATGTGCCCCAACGAGTGCCCAGGCCTTGCCGACTGCTACGGCGAGGAATTCGAGGCTCTCTACGAGAAATATGAGCAGGAGGGCCGCGGCCTCAAGACCATCAAGGCGCAGAAGCTTTGGTATGCCATTTTGGAAGCTCAGACCGAGACTGGCAACCCCTTCATGCTCTACAAGGACCATTGCAACCGCAAGAGCAACCAGAAGAACCTCGGTACCATCCGGAGCTCCAACCTGTGCACCGAGATTATCGAGTACTCTGCCCCTGACGAGGTTGCCGTCTGCAACTTGGCGTCGCTGTCGCTGCCGTCCTTTGTTGACTACAACGAGGGGGCCTACGACTTCCAGAAGCTCCACGAAGTCACTCAGGTCGTCGTCCGCAACCTGAACAAGATCATCGACGTCAACCACTACCCGGTCCCCGAGGCGCGCAACAGCAACATGCGTCACAGGCCTATTGGTATCGGTGTCCAGGGTCTTGCCGACGCATTCCTGGCCCTCCGTATGCCCTTCGAGTCTCCCGAAGCCCGTGAGCTGAATAAGCAAATCTTCGAGACCATCTACCATGCCGCTCTCACCGCCTCGTGCGAATTGGCCAAGGAGCAGGGTCCCTACTCGACCTACGAGGGCTCGCCCGTTTCCCAGGGTATCCTGCAGTATGACATGTGGAACGTCAAGCCCAGCGACCTATGGGATTGGGAGAGTCTCAAGGCCACCATCAAGGAGCACGGCGTCCGCAACAGTCTTCTTTTGGCTCCCATGCCTACGGCCTCGACTTCCCAGATCCTGGGCAACAACGAGTGCTTCGAGCCGTACACGTCGAACATCTACCAGCGACGAGTGCTTGCTGGTGAATTCCAGGTTGTCAACCCATGGCTGTTGAAGGACCTTGTCGATATGGGCCTGTGGTCGGACAGCATGAAGAACCGCATCATTGCCGCCGACGGCTCTATCCAGGCTATCCCCAACATCCCGGCCGACATCAAGGCCCTGTATAAGACTGTCTGGGAGATCTCCCAGCGTACCATCGTCCAGATGGCGGCTGACCGTGGTGCCTTCATCGATCAATCCCAGTCCCTCAACATCCACATGCGGGAGCCTACGATGGGCAAGATCACCAGCATGCACTTCGCCGGTTGGAAGCTTGGTCTCAAGACCGGCATGTACTACCTCCGCACCCAGGCTGCTGCTCAACCTATCCAGTTCACGGTTGACCAAGAGGCTCTCCGCCTGCAAGACACGGCCGTTGGAAAGACGACTTCTGGTCTGAGGAAGCGCGCCCCACCTTCGGGCAGCTACATGGCATCGTCGCACTCGGCCGTGCCGCGGCCCATGTATGCCAAGAAGGAGGATCGCCCCGGCGGTAATATCGCCAGCAACGGGATCCCGACTCCCAGCACCACGCCCCCACCAATCAAGCTGGCTGCCAATGGCGACGTCCAGTCGCGCCCGCTTGCATCGCCTTCAAAACCCGTCCCCTTCAAGGCTGATATCCCCGAGGGAGACAGCCCCAAGGCCTTGCCCACCGAGCCAAGCGAGAAGATCGAGCTCGAAGAGCTCAGTGACGCTACCCTCGACAGCAAGAAGGAGAGCCAGAACGAGGACGAGGAGGATGAGAGCAAAGAGCGGGAGACGGACATCTACTCGGACGCTGTCCTTGCTTGTAAGTTGTTGGAAGAGAAGCCATCATAACTGATTCACTAGATCCAGCATGCTAACTCGGAATTCACAGGCAGCATCGAGAACCCCGAGTCGTGCATCATGTGCAGTGGCTGATCTGTCACCCTGTCGGAGAGCGATGATGAGTAATGCGATGGTTGATGATAGGATATAATATTGTACTGCATGGTCTTTCTGGAGCGCATTCTCTTGCTTTGGGCGCTCAACACTAAACACCTGATACCAGCAAGGATGCGCGTTTCGTTTGTAAGGGCGGAATGAATTGGTCTGGTTCTCTTTTCTAGTGGGCTTGCATGGGTCGAGTCCATCCTATCAACTGTCGTTGTCATCGTGTTGTATTTACTGTTATTATCAGGCACCTGGGTAGGTAGGCAGGTAGGTAGGTAGGTATTGTACCAGGCTCTGGTAGAACAATATGCTTGCGCACCACCTCACGATCATGCTTCACCTACGGAATCCCCGAATTCGGGACAGCTGTTTCCATGTCGATCTCTTCAGCTACCAAGGCAATAACAGAAAAGTTAACATGGATTGGCTGCGCTACTACTCAGCTCTGCTGGAAGGTGCCGCTCCTTTCCTGTTGGAGATGAGGTTGTTGGTGATAGCCGGCATGCTCTTCCGAGCTAAGCGATCATCCTGTGAACTAGCGTACAAGGGTTTCAGTTTAGTACACTACAGATCGTCGGGAGAGGATAACAGCGAGTCAGGAAGCTTATAGGGTGGATGGAGAGAAGATTGGCAATCTAGATAAACCGTAAATTTTGAAGGCATTTCTGATCGGACCTCCTCTCATCCTGTACGACCCTGGGCTAACCAACCCCCTGGCAGAGCCGATCGTCTTCCGTAGCACACGATATAGTCATTGAAGTTATGAAGTAGGCAGGTGCGGGGCATCCATGGTTCAGGGGGGACAGCTTGAGCAAAGCCGGCAACGGAATCCTGTTGTATTCCGTACGTCTGTATTCCGTACAGTACAAATATCCCATCCCCATTTCCCTCTAGCTGATTTCTTGGAGAGCTAGAAACTTGTGCACCAGTTAAACAGAAAACCCTCGGTTTGCCCGACAGGCAATCATCAAATGGGGTGTGACGTTCACGCTCCATAAAGATTAACGCTTACGTATGCAGACATGCACGACGTCCTGCACTCAATTGCAGGGGAAAAACAATGGTCGCAAGCAAGGTCTCAGCGAAGCTGGCAGTAGCCGCGCTAGCAACTCCACACCCCCCGCAACTCCCCCGATCTACGGATGCGTATCCGTACATGTGTAAAATTTGAATTCGTGCCCAGCATGCGAAAGAGCAGTCAGTGGAGGCGGGACTGGGAATCGAAGCAGAAGTCGGCAGCGGAGACGACTTCTTTTGGAGCGTGAGAGTTTAATGCCCGCTTGTGACATCAACATCAGCAAGATCGCGACGATCAGCTTTCCTGCCGTCTCCCAAAAAATACCCTGCTTGCAGTGCCAGCTGAACAATCTTGATCCGAGACCACAGGATCCCTGTTCCCGCTTCCTGGATTGAGCGGGAGCGCCACGATCTGCAGATCGGAATATGCATTGGCCAATAGGAGGTTGCCAACGAGAGATCCATCCACGGACGTGGCAAGCGTCCTGACCTCATCCTTCCTGGCCAGGCCCATCTTATTTTCTTTTTCTTCTCCAACCTCCCAGGTCGAACTGACCAGCGACGAATTTGGTCGACTTGGCAGGCACCCACGGATGCTCCAAGGGTATAGCAGCAGGCAGTTCTGAGATCCCCGCAGCCTCGGTGCAGACCTAGCGGACAAGCGCCAATGGAACTCGGGGACCTGATCGCTGAAGCTTATATGGGCCTAGTCGAGTGTAATTCTCCCTAGCCTCTCACTCAACTCGTTTGGTTGGTCCTTTTGACGGTTCAGACGGACAAAGTCTCGTCATGGAGAAGTCAGATGGAGTACAAACTCAATTTGCGCCTCCAGTGTCCGCTCCTGCGACCTGTCATACAAACAGAGTACGGGAAGGCCGAGGCCCATTGGACGGCCAATGGTTGGCACTTTGGCCATGGTAGCACACACCCCCTTCCGTTGAAACCTGGAGTGAATTCCTGGTCGTTCGCCGTCGCCTCTCGCTGCACTAATGTCTGCCATGCCACCCCTGTCGCGCCCAATGAGCCCCATGCGATGCAGTCCCGCTTTTCCTCCTATGACTTCATAATAGCAGACGGGGATATTCTCCAGTCCCGGGATGCTAGGTTGCTTAGCTTGATCTCTAAATGCACTTAATAAGATTTTCAGCTTGGTTGACTGGGCAATGAATGGTGAAAGCAGGGAAGTCTGGGTGCCAGGTATTTCCAAACTGACAGGTACCTCGACTTACCTACCTGCGAGATATATGGATGTTCGCAAGCGCGCCTCCTGCTTCTTCTTGACAGCGAGGAGGTTGGTGCGTAAATTAAAGGCTGAAAAATAAACAAACCGACGTAAGGGACTTGCAGCCAGGTAGACCCCATTCAAAGACGGTGCCTGAAGTCGGCGAGAGAGACCGGGAGGTACCTTCAAACCCCGGCAGGTAACTCATACTCCAGCTTGGGGGCCTCTGACGAAGATTCACACATTCAGTGACATGTACATACTACCTTCCGTGTGTACCTGCAGCTGGGTGAGGCACCCACGGCACTTTCCCAACCTAGATCGACCTCACTCACGGCAGGTAGTTGCCCGATTTAGACCAGCTTGTCTCGCACCCTTTATTAGATACCAGTCTCCCGCCTGCCTCCCTCTCATTTCCCTCGTCAAACAACCTACCTAATAACCTGGGTGCCCTGAACGTCACTCTCCAAACTTGGTCCGTCATACCAAATCCTGGAAGCTTTGAAGTGAGCATAACTTCCCCTTTCCCTCGTCCTCGCCCTCGCCATCACTCTCTCCACTACCTCCACCAAATCTCCCGATTCCAGTCACAGCCTAGACTTTTTCCTAGCTCATTACCCGTCGCGTCCATACAACTTTAAGTCTAACCACAAAACACTCGCAGTGTCGAGATCAATACTTGAATATTCCATTCGCTCCGACCATCCAAAGCCTACACAATGAAGTCCAGTATCTTCGTCGCCGTGGTTGGCACCACGCTTGTCGCGGCACAGAACTTCCCATCCGGGTTCCCAGAGTGCGGCGTGAGTATCCCCCTAGGCCGGCCCCAACCAAGATAGGACACTGGTGTACTGACTCTCCTCCCCAGGTCACCTGCATCAGGAACATGCTCGCCAAGGCCGGCGAATTCAACTGCCAGGCCAACGACGCTGCTTGTCTCTGCGGTGTCCAGAACTTCAAGTTCGGTGTGCGTGACTGTGCCTACCAGTCCTGCGGAGATGACAATGCCGCAGCGCAAGTCGTCGATTGGGGTAACCAGTACTGCGCCAACGTCGGTGCTGGTGGCTCTGGTGGCTCTGGTGGCTCTGGTGGCTCTGGTGGCTCTGGTGGCTCTGGTGGCTCTGGTGGTTCTGGTGCATCCGGCACTGGTGCTTCCGGTGGTGCCGGCGCTTCTGCCACGTCTGGCGGATCTGGTGGTGGTGGTGGTGGTGTTGGCGGAGGGGGGGGAACGGGTGGAGCGGGCGTAAGTCGATTCATAATCCCTTCTGTGGTGCGATGCTCATATATCTCAGGGTTCCGGTTCCGCGATCACTACCTCTGCGATCGAGACTGTTATCACCAGCGGTTCATCCACCTTCACGTCCACGATAGGATCGACGACCATCTACGGTGGTGGCTCAGGCGGTGGCTCAGGCGGTGGCTCAAGTGGTGGCTCAAGTGGTGGTTCCGGTGGTGGTTCTGGTAGTGGTTCCTCGGGAGTCCATACCAGCACCTTCACCACCACTGGAACTAGCGACTCCTCGACTTTCACTAGCACTGGAACAACGACTATCTCTGGTACCGGTGGCGGTGGCGCCGGTGGCGCCGGTGGTGCCGGGGGTAGTAACAGTGGTTCCCATGCTGCAACCACGTCGGCTATCGTCTCAACCATCACTAGCGGTGGTTCGACCTCGAAGACCACTGTCGGATCTACCACGGTTTCCTCGGCGGGTACTTCCTCGAGCGGAACCAACGCTGCAGTGGTAAGTTTGATGACATATCCCAACCCATGACAGCACAGTCTAATAAGATAAACAGGGTGCGTACAAGACCGGATCGCCAGCTGGCTTCTTTGCCGCTGCTGGTATTGCCGCCATGCTGCTCTAGTTCGAGGGTTTTCTTTCAATTGATGCGTTATGAAGGGCCAGGGATGGAATTGGGAGCCGACCCAATGATTCAAATATTAATGCTGGGATGGAGTCAGGAAACGTGGATCTGGGTCTCTTAACCGGTCGCTAGGAGGGCTGGCTTCATCCGCTATACGTACATACCGTCGTGTGAAGATAAATACCCATGATGGTGGATGGCATTTGCGTTGCTTTCTCACTCTCATTGAAGGACCAAGGTTAATAATAGATAGAACCCTGGTCATTGCCAGGGAATGGTACGAATGACCATTTTCTGATACGCTTTCGAGTCACTTTGAGTGCTGAACGGCGATGCCTCGTTCTCTACAAAAATACGGTATACCGGTTTGTCTAGCTTTTCAATGTTTGTTCTTGAGATGCCAGTCGAGACTACTATCACGCGGTCTTCCTTTCTCTATCCGGGACGATACGCTAGGAATTCAACAAAGGTCCTGGTACCAGGCCCTCGCAATCCGCTTGCAATCTGGTTTCTTAAACCTCCTGGTCCACAGCGAGTATGTCTCCCACCCTGTGCTAGCAGCTCTTCGAGACTGCCGCCATCCAGCAGGGCGGCAGAGGGTTTTGCGAGTGAAGAATGGGTTCGGCCACGGCGCGCGGTCAGGGGAGGTTTCGCCGCAGCCAGCAGGATGGATAGAAGAAGCAGACTCGGGCCTTGGGGAATCAGTTGCTCTTTTTGGGTCCTCGGGATTCCGGAGCTAACATGGAGCTCCCTGATTCGTTGGTGTCTCCTCTGACATATATGTGCAGAGGCATACATGCACACCGGGGGCCGGGGGAGGTTGGTGAAATCAACCTCGTCCTGGGAGTTGGTGTCTTTGGCTTGGCGGCTGCGTGTTTCTCTGCCTGGCCAACTTGCAGGTTTAGGTTTCGGGGTTCGAGAAGTTTGCCGGTTGGGATGAGTCTTGGTTGTAGGAATCCGGCGATGTTTCTTTGAGTTATATTGTTGAGCGAAAGCTTCGACGATGGAAGTTATAACCGTTGGGCAGAATATCTAGGTAACCTCGCGTGGGCGGGCCATCAGGGGATGGTCGACCTTCTGTCGGCGAGGGGCACTTGAACCTCTCGGCGAGCCCTGGGCCTGGGTCCGGCCGGTATGCGAAACAGGTGCAGCAATTCACCTTACGGGAGGACTTTTGGGAAATATGGCAACGACGACGACTGGTTATACGATCGCCAGAAGGACTCAAGGAACAAGGCATAGATAAGTCGAAGCACCTCACCCAGATGATCGGACGACTTGCCCAAGGCATATTTGGATCGAGAGACTGCTCTCCCGCTGAGTCTCTCACGTCTTGGTTGGGAGTTTACCCCTGATCTTGTCTCCGTGAGGCATCACGAGTTCCGAGCCTGGTGCTGGCCTTGCTAGCTATCATTCCCCAACCTGCATGGTATCCGAAAGCCAAATACGCAAACTTCTGTTGACCGAACCAGTCAACCGACTGGTTCTGTTGGGCCACCTAAACAACAGACACAACGTCGGTCCCCCTTCAGCACGTGCAAGATCATGCTCTGTTCCCGTTGCAGAAGCATGTGTCAGATATCAGGAGATAATAGCGGATTGTTGGTAAGGCCTCCCACCACAGCCACCATCAGGTGATGGCCCAGCGTATCCGAATCTAGCATGACGCTAGATTCCTTGGTTTGACCACCACCACCCCAGTAGCAAGTTCTCTTGGAGGCCACCCAAAAAGAAATACGGGTGGGGATAACAAAGGAGTTAGCGACTAGCCTACTCGCACTGGCTGGTTGTGTAGAAGTCATCCCGTCGATGTCGCACCCTGCCCATCAGGCGGGTAGGGAAGACATCGGACAGTGTCGTCATATTCGACCCTCGGCGACTTTATACAGAGAGGCGCGGGGATCGGCGACGCATCTCGGGCCGGCCATCTTGGATCTTGCATGCAGCGGCGCCGTTGGAGCTTTTACAGCTTAACGCGGTTCCAAGGAAAGGGTTGCCCTGCTTTCAAGGCCGATGGCTATTGTGGGTAGTTGGTCCCCTCCCGGCGGAGATTCAAGATCAGCCGGTGCTGATAGGCCAAGAGCTGACGGGCGACGGCGATGGTGGAGGAACCCGTCATGTGAGAGAGAAGATCACAGGGGTTTGGAAAGGTGTTAGGGTTCAGGGGGAAGGGGGGACGGATGACCGGTGGCCTGGTGTGTCTGCCATTTCTGCCTTTCTGCTTGCGGTGCTTTCGTAACTTTATTCAGGGAGGGCAAACAACTTGGTTTCGCCAACTTAGGCATCGTAATCATCGACGTGATCAGGAGTGGAAGCTTGGTTCTGATTGGATGCCGGTTGGCAGATCATGAGTGGTGTGGCAGCCGAGCTGGACATCGCAACTAGCGCGTCAGAAGGCCGCGGCACCAACCTTAGGTTAGGGAGGGGAGGGTATGGACGATGGGATCCTGAACTAATAAGCATACTGGTGGGTAGGTGTAAAGATGTACACTATGTGTCACATGTCGGAGGCAGCTCAAGATAGTGCATAGGTAGGTGGCAGGTCAAAGGGGCAAGAAGAGGACGTCCTCACGGGTATGCAAGGCTCCGGTTGAAGACTGGGAAGAAACAATGGTGACCCCAATGGGACGTTCTCAATGCAAGGACGATGACGTGCAGGTGTATAATCTGCTTCGGACTCTGGTTTCCATATCTAAATTCGTACACAACACTACCTACATACCTAGGTAGGTGGTATTTATGTGTAGGTAGTTAGTTAATGAGCTGCAACTGCAGTCTGGGCTCTTTGGTGAGACCCCAGCAACCGGAAACAGGATTAGTTAGACGATGTTATATTAATAGGTAAGATATCATGGTGGGAAGGTTGCACCGGGTCAGGTGAGATGCATCGACGTTTCTTGGGTCCAATAAGCAGTCGATATTGATGACCAACCACTCGATGGCTTCGACAGAGCATCCTCACCCTTGGGGGAAGGCTTCGGAGGGATCTCAAATCGGTGTGATTCCTGTTGACTTGCCCATGCATGTTGGTTGGCGGGGTATTGGAGACTGGAGGTTTTACTTGGCCCCCCCAGCCTTGGTGCGCGCACGCACCGCGCTAGGCAAGCCTCAAAAGTCTGGGCATGTTGGAGGAAGGAAGCTCTGTCCCGGGCCTAGGGTTTGGGGGCGGCAAGCTATCGGAAGGCGGAGATGTCCGCTGCCCAACATTGTTCAAACCTTGGAAGGCGACTAAGTACTCCGTCTGGTACGGGCGTCCGAGAGCCCGCACTGCGATTGTTGAGATTGTTTCTTGTCCAACGTGAGACGGATATGGCCCTCGGACGCGTCGTTCGTGCGAGTTGGGCAAAGCCGTTGGGTGTTTTGAGCTGTTGCCGACAGGAAATATGACAGGTCAACTCGTTAGTTCGCTTAGTGGCTGATAAGAAACGGAGGTATGTATGCAACATCCAATGCAGGTAATACTTAATCCGTCCTAGCAGGGCGAGGCAAGAATCTGACAATAGGTGGTGGTGTGCTCCGTATGACATAGATAGGCAGGTACCTACTGGTACGCAAGGACGAGCACACCTCCTCACCACCTTCATCCATGGGTTCACAGGTATTCGTTCCTCGTCGCTTTTAGCTAATTGGTCGGCTGCCTGCCCTCCTGCAATGATTCCGAGATCCCTATCAAGTAACTCTTGAATCTGGGGTAGTAATGCCACTGACAAGGGTGTTGTCTGCAAGGAGCACCAGGGGCCTTTGCCTGGTGATACACAGACGTTGACAGGGCATCTGGAAGCGGAGAGGATATCGACAGGGGAGGAACCGGGCATCGAATCGTTGAATCGCACGTCTTTTCTGTCCTAGCATTGCCGTCTCTTTGCGATAGAAGCCGAGGGCCCTCAATATTTCGCTTATCAACCCCATCTCACAATTCCGCAACTGGAAACGAAGGGGCTCTTTATCTGCACGTCGCCAACAAAATACCGCAGTAGGTAGGCGCGGTACGGTAGAGAGGTGATGTACCCAAGGTGGCCAGATGGATTTCCTCGGGGCTGTTTTGGCAACAAATCCGAAGAACGCCAAGCAGAAGGCTGCACTTCACACTGGGAGTCCAGGTTGTATGCGGGGCAACGGGCGTAAGAGGGGTGTGTTATGTAGGTACGGGGGTGGTACTGATTCAGAGTTTAAGAGTTGCATGGATAAGGTACCTACCTACCTCCCTTAGGCAGACGAACGGGAACCTGCGTAAACTGCGTTGAACGGGCAGTCAGAACGTATTTTAGCGCAGCTCTGATCATGAAATCCCTAGAGGTACCCATGTACCTGTTAACGGACATCTTGAAGGAGGTATCCCAGGTATCCGTAATTGCACCCCCTCCCCCATTCGAGTTCGAGGCTGTAGCCGCGTGCTTTCTTATCTAAGATAAAATATCGGAAGCAAAATGGGAATGCGCTCTTGGCCCATAATCCCCTCATCCAACCGTGATGTTATTCTATGGTATATAGTAGCTGGTAATTGGGTAGGTGCTGTACGGATACCTACCTACCTACACTACCCTTGTGGTTACCCAGAAGCCTGCATGCGCCATGCTTAAGTGGCCCCACCAGAGACAATGGGCAAGCGCGATAAGCTACCCTGACTTCCCGCAATTGCCACCTGAGCCTGTCCTTTCCTTTCCCTTCCTTCCTAACGCCGTAGGCTACTCTCTGGGATCTTTTTCATTTTTATTATTTTCCAGCTTCCCTCCCTTGTCCGAGTCTCCACTTTCACCCGGGCCCCACTTAAACATTGCTATTCATACGTCAGGCCGCCCCATCGCTATCGCCTTGGCGATCCCACTTGGCCCCTACAGAGCACGCTCGTACAAATGAAGGCAAGCTAGCAAGCGTGTCTTGGCCCCGCCCCTCCCATTTTTCCTTCTTTTGTCTTTTTCTCGCCTCCTCGCTCCAAGAGTGGTGTGGTGGTGGTGATGATGATGGTGGATGATGGGTGATGATGCCAATAATGCTGGTAGTGTCCTTGCTATTGGCAAAAATGCACTGTACCTGTCTCATTGCCTACAGAATTACCTGGCCCTACGTCAAGACATTCAGATAGGTTGGCAGAGGAGCCTCCTTTACCGGCCATCACAGTCTTGGTCGTGAATTTTGTGGCTTGTGGAGTTCGAGTTTGAGCTCTATTCTGGGCTCTCAGGCCAGAGGTCCAATTGGTATTCGTGTACATGAAGACACTGTATTAGCATACTGTATTTTCATGTACCTACTATCTGCCTCTCAATCTACGCAGTGCTCTTGAGGAGTGTACCACGCTAGGTAAGGTGGGAACTGGTAGGTAGCGTGGAGCGAAACAGGCGACTCGCCTCCGGCCGGCCCTGTCGCTCTCGGCTGGGCTGTTCGCCATGGCCCCATCCTCCTCAACTACTACATCCCATTAACAAGTCAATCTGCCCCGACCACCATCCACCATCCACCCGACGACCCTTTTGTTGCCAGAACAATTTACGTGCAAAGTCATTCTGTTTTATTTTCGCCTTCTGGCTCCTGTCCGCTCCTTCACTGTCCGCTATTACAATGGCTATGTGAAGTATTGACGCCTATTTTTTTTTCTTTTGTCCACTTCTCTTTTTTTGGCCTCGCCAATTCAATGACTCTTTGAAAATGCCCAACCGAGCATGAGGAGTCGTCAACAGAACCTGCGACACGATGGAGCCGCAACTCTCGCAGTCGTCGAGGCCGCATCCTCACCTCCACAACATTATCCCTCCGCTTTCCTCCCAACTGCCTCATCACAATGCCACTGCCGATACGACACCGGTCTCGTCGCCAGGACTTTTCAGTCCAACCAATCCCCGCTCCAACCCGTCCTTCCCCTCCATGTCCGAGGGTGCAACGCCGACTGGTATCGGAAGTAGCCCCTATCTTCACCCTCTGCAAAGCCATAAAGTCAGGGAGTAAGTTGTTCGCGCCATTTCGTCTTCAATCCGTCTCTTCGCCTTGCAACCCCTCCATGGATTGCTGAGCATCGGCCTGCTTCTCGCTCGTCTACCCGGAGTGGGGAGAAGCCTCTGCGGGGCACTCGACAGACTGGAATGAATGCTAACCATCTTGACTCAAGGACACACAAGGCTCTCGTCGACACCAACTTCACAACCGGCCGGAAGCTCATAAACCATTATGAAATCATCGAAGAGTTGGGCAGGGGCATGCATGGCAAGGTCAAGCTTGCCAGAAACCTCGAGACCAACGAGAACGTGGCTATCAAAATCATCCCAAGATTCTCCAAGAGGCGGCGACTCGGAAAGGTCACCGCCCTAACCACACAGGATAAAAGCAAGAAGGAGATCGCCATCCTCAAAAAGATACGCCACCCCAACATCGTCGCCTTGCTCGAAGTCATCGACGACCCTGAGCTTAAGAAGATCTACATGGTCCTGGAACATGTCGAGCTTGGCGAGATTGTGTGGAGGAAGAAGGGTCTGCCTCACATCTGCTCCTACGAACGGCGGCGGGTGGAGCGGGAGATGCGAGGGCAGAAGCCCAACGCCGAGGAGGAGAAGTACGAGCTAAGCCTGGAGCGTCGCCAAGCCGCAAAAGATGCGAAGCGTGCAAGGATGTCCCAGACGGCGGGTGCCCAGGCTGAGTATTGGAGCTTGGAGTACGCAGCGACGGATGACGACGATGCCGAATTCCACTCACGCAGCTACGACGGCATGGCCAGGTCTATCCCATCCAACGCGGACTCCTCGACTGGTTGGGGGTACCTTTCGCAAACGCCGTCGCGGACACAGTCATATCAGTCCGTCTCCGGCGCCGGTGCTCAGCTACCTTCGGATCCCGATTTCCTTCCCATTCCATACGAAGACGACCTGGAGACGCCTGGGCCCCTCCGGTCCAATCCCGCGTCTTCTACGGCCCTTGATGGGTCCATGTACGGCCCCTACGATGACCCATCCATCGGGGGGCGGTCTCCGAGCATGCCCGACTCCATCATCTCGCACATGTCATCGGTCGATTACAACCGGCCACTTGATCCCTATGCCGACGATTATTCTTACGTACCATGCTTCACGTTTGGGCAGGCAAGAAACGCGTTCCGGGACACCGTCTTGGGTCTCGAGTATTTGCATTACGAGGGAGTTGTCCACCGAGACATCAAGCCCGCCAATCTTCTCTGGACAAGGGACCACCGCGTCAAGATCTCCGATTTCGGCGTCTCCTACTTTGGTCGACCCATCCGCGACGGCGAGCCCGATGAGACCACCTCCGAGTCCGAGGCACGTGACTTCGATGACGACCTAGAACTTGCGAAGACGGTGGGCACGCCCGCGTTTTTTGCTCCCGAGCTTTGCTACACAGGCACCTCGGATGATTGGCCGCCCACCTCGCAACCGAAGGTCACAGAGCAGATTGACGTTTGGTCCCTGGGTGTCACTCTCTACTGCTTGATCTTCGCTCGTATCCCGTTCCTGGCCGAAGACGAATGGCAGATGTTTAAGAAGATCGCCAACGACGAGGTCTACATCCCAACGAAGCGCTTACGACCAGTCGATCCCGCGACGAAACCCGACGAGAAATCTCTCTACACTAGAGTCAACCGTCCGCCCTACCGCCATGACCACGAGGTCGCATACGAGGAGATCGACCCCGAGCTTCACGATCTTCTCAGTCGAATGCTCACCAAGTCGCCGGAGAAGAGAATCAGACTCCGAGACGTCAAGCGTCATAATTGGGTCGTCGAGGGAATTGAGAACGTCGTTGGCTGGCTTGATGACACCGAACCGGCGAGGCGGACTTCTGGCAAGAGGATCCAAGTCGACGCGCGCGAGATGGAGCGTGCTGTTGTGCCTCTTACTTTCCTCGAGCGGGCGAGGTCGGTCGTGAAGAAGGCCGTTGGCAAGGTCATGCACCCGCGAGGAGAGCGGGCAGAGAGTGCTTCTTCAAGGAAGAGGGCTACAAGCAGTGCTGCCAGCTCCGGTGGCGATACTCCTCCAACGCCTCATCTACGAGACGGCCGTCGACGGAGTCTGCGTGGGGACTTTAAGGGAGACGACTACTTTACGGGCGCGACGAGGGACCATCCCACCAGCGAGCATCCCTTATCTCAGAGTGTAACTGCCAGCCCACGTCACTCGCCGAGTGACGACTACCCACCCTCGAGGCCCGTCGACCTTGCCCCAAGGGAAGCCTTTGCCGACCGACCGGCTCGGGGACCAAACCGAAAGCCGCACACTAGACACACACACGCCCGCTCCATCTCGAATGCTTTCCTCGCCCTCACTCCAGCGCTCCACGAGTCCCGCACTGTCCCACCGACCCCGAGCTTTGATGGGGAAACCGATGATCCGAGCAATACGCCGAGGAGGACTCGTGATATGAGGTCGTCCCCCGATGACGCATCTCGGGCACGATCCGTAGACAGGGGCCTTTTTGCGAACAACGATAAGCATGCTGAGACGAGAGTCGCGCTGAGCACGGTCATCGCCCCGGGGGCTATGCACCTGCCTCAGCGTCAGCAACCACGACCGGCTCATGCTCTGGTGGCTCATGCTCTGGATCCGAGCAGGGCGTTTGACGGCATACTGCTCCCACCGCTATCAGCCATCGTTCCTCAAACTGGCTATCAGAACAACTACCCCCGGTCAGATCCAAACATGTACCATAAGCAACGCGCCATCATAGACGCCGGTGAGAGGCCCACTTCAGCAGATAAAGACAAGGATACCCCGGATGGCAGGGCCAACCTGAAACCCGAAGTCGATCCTGCTATGGTGCCTTGCCCACCGTCGCCCAAGGACAGCGGATTTGTGGGCTCTTCAGCTTCGTTATCTGGGGACGGAACTATTGCGACCGCCGTCTCGTCGAGCTCGACCTCGATGGCGGCTCTGAATGGTACTCCGTTGACCAGCCCTAGTGAGACAGCAAGTCCGATGTGTCCTTCTCGATCAGGTCTGTTCAAGGATACTTCACACCACCAGATTCTTGCTTTTCAATCCGACCCATCCCTCCCAGCTCTGCTGAGCAGTACGAGTTCTGTCTCGGCGGATCTTGAAGGCGAGTTCCTCAGAAACCCAGGAGTTGTACAACGGAACTCGGTCCTCGATACGAGCGACTCCCTTACACCACCGGCCATGACGAAGGAACCGATCGCGGGCTTCCCTCTTGAGGCACACGATCAGTTCAACGAGGGAGTAGTTCCTGTCGAGCTCGATCATGGTTCATCTCAGCCATATCTTACCATGTCTCCATCGGCGGCTTTCCAACGTTGCGTTGACGAAGATGACCGGGAGAGCGAGAGCGACGACGGCCTGACAATGGCCAAGCCGAAGAAGCGGCAACATAAAGGACCGAGCTCCGGTTCCATGAGCAGCGTGATTGTTGGCTCAAGGCGAAGGGATACCAACGGAAGCATTGCCAGCACAGATACAGCCAAGAAGCTGGAGGTCGATTTTGATTGAAGACCTCGCTTCATATCGAGATGAGAATCATTCCAGAATTTTTATCGACCCACCTCCTGGCTTTGCGTTTCCGTCGACGCCATTTCCCATCGATTTTGGGCATCCCCTATATATCGTCTACATACGTATGGGAGAGCTATCAACAACAAATCAACAAATTTGACGACCACGCGGAGTATATATCGTTGCAATATCGAACATTTACACCACGGGCCCTCGAGCGGAGGAGCTTCAATACCTAACTATCCGCGAGGATTTCATCTTTTCTTTCCCTTTTTATTACTTCTACTTTTTTGGATTGGATAGCGGATGCCGGCAGGATGGAATGAGCATATGAGAGATGAGAGATCTGGGATAATGGACACATCGCAGGCAGGCCGGGGTGGTCAAAAGTGTTTCGCTCCAACATAACGGAGGGAGGCAAACATTGTCCAGGGTCAAAGACTGATGCATCACCAGCTTTTGGAAACATGACCTCGGAAGGAAAACTCGACCCGACCAGGCCGGATTATCGTTTCATGTAAAGGATTTCATGGTCCAAGGCGTCTATGTTCTTGGGGATTCCTCGACATATACCATCTGTTGTGTTCTTTATTCCCTACCAGCCGATGTGCGCGGGACCTATGGGGAGAGACTTGGGAGGTCCGGGGACTGAGTTCATTGTCAAGGTTTACGGATGGAATATTATAGAGAGGCCAAGACTTGGGCTGTAAGGGTTCACTGCATACTTTGTGTTGGGGCGGTAACGATCCTTTTTGGATGGGGCGCTGGGCGGGTTCATGTAATGGAGGTTGTCTGTGTTGTTATTGCAGCATATCCATAGGAACGGGAAATCACGAAGGGGGGATGCTTGGGATATTTGGAACAGTTCATTGGGGTTTTGGGTGGTACCGATAGAATTCCGCATTGCGCTGGAGACCTAATCGGGATCCAGAGACAGATATTACTGCCATATCTACTGCTACTTGTTAGTATTTGTAAAAGATGAAGCCAACGAAGCTACCTACTATTACTTGTGGCGCATAATGTGGCCTTGGCAATCATGAGGAAACAGTCGGTGAGGTGGTCAATATTGGCTCTCACATATAGGGTAGGGCGGGCCGGGCTGGGAATCGGACGACTACTATCGCCCCACACTCGGGGAAGTGCCGCGAGTTTGAGGTAGACAGACAGCACCTAAGCAACCCTGGTGAGGCCCTTACATAAAACTATCCTCTCGGATTCCATCCTGGTCCGGGCAGAGATGCCCGAGTCAGGGCTACCGGGGCGATCCCGCGACCCCGGCTTGTTGGGCCCTGCATGAGGGATCCACCGGCTAGGACACGTAGTTAGCCGCAGGAACGATTGGGCTCCCTGGCCACACCGCCGACGTAAGAGTACGAGTAATGGTGTAGCTGTGGGCCAGTGTTGCGATTTCACGCAGTATATTTCGTTGGACTGCTTGAATACATGACATGTATATCCGTTTTGGCCCTCGTGTGTACTCGGAAGTACTGTACAAACGGGAGGGTGTTTGAACGGCCAACGGCGTCAGGCACTCCCGCATCGGATCTGCGTTTTGCTCCCCTCCGAGTACCTAACTAGAGTATCCGTCCCTTCCAAGCCTCAACCCCAAGCCATCAGCCAACCCTCACTCAGCAGACGTGCTCGACCGCGCCCCCGTCGCCGCCGCCCTCGCCGAGGTCGGTCCGGAGCACGCGGCCAAAGACCTCGAGCAGGACCTCGAAGCAGGCCCTCGAGACAGCCGGGTCGTAGCGGCCCTTGCTGAGCTCGTCGCGGATGAAGGCGTGCTGCGCCCACGCGAACTCGTGCCACGAGAAGACGGCGCCGGCGGCGCGCAGCGCCGCCCGGATGGAGTCGCGCCCGGCGTCCGGGACGTGCGTGTCGCGCAGGCCGAAGATGAGGGCCGACTCGCCGCGGAGGGACGGGAGGAGGTCTAGGGTGTGGCGGCTGGTAGTGGAGGTGGAGGCGGAGGGGGGGGAGGGGTCCGGGCCTTGGTTGGGGCCGAGGGTGCGGCTGTGGATGTCGGTTGGGAAGTAGCAGACTGAGGCGCTGATGCGGGGGTCGAGCTGGAGGGGAGAATATGGTTGGTGGATGGGAGATGGAGGAAGAGGGCGGGGATGAAGGACTTACGGCTGCTCGAAGGGCTAGATGCCCGCCTAGGCACATACCTGTGCTACCGATCCTTCCAGTGCATGTTGGCAGGCTGAGGAGGTAGTCGACGGTCTTCTGGGAGTCCTCGTCGTACGAATCAAGGGTCTGGGAGAGAGAGAGAGGGTAAGCACGGTGTAGAGCTATGTTTCGCACTGGTGGAGTCGGGCGGGAATGCATCAAGTCCTCAAACACTGGACTGAAATGGACCCGAGTCAAGAACAAAGATGGGGTTTAACGGCCGGGATATCCCTAACTGGCCGAACTCTCTGGATCAAAAAAAGGGAGAAGGTACATCGGGCCTGGTGCCTGACGGGAGCTCACACGGTGTTTGGGCAAGCTGCCCACTGGAGCAGCCCGTTCGACGGATCGATGGAGGGAGCAGATGAGGCTAAGGATCCGTCCTTACCTTGGCGACCTTCCACTCGTTCCCTTGATCGGTTCCGGGGACGTCATATGCCAATGGCTCAGGACCAGTGAAGTCATGATAGCTGCTTGGGGCAGCGACGATATAGCCCTGGCCTGCGATTTGTCTAGCGAATCTCGCCACGGGCCCAGTGACTATGCCGTACGAGCAGGTGTCAGCATGAACTAGCAGTGACAGATTGTTCCAGAGTTCCCGTTCGGGCCCCTTGGGACAGGGAGTAGACTCTGACCTTGGTAGATCTCGCTGAAGAGGGCAACGCCGGGGAACCGTCTGCAGCAAAATGTGAGGTTTGACCCCTAGAGCACAGAGACTGAATGTCCTCACGCGTTGGGGTACCCAGGGATTGTAGGGTGGAAAAGGAAGATCCCTAGTAGAGGATTAATACAGATTCATGGCAAATACTAGGTGATACCGGTCCAAGGTATCTGGGTACTAACTCATCGAACTCTCCTTGCCATTGACACTCGTCTGCACGTCAACGTGGCTCTCCTTGATCAACATGATGGCAGGAAGCTGATTGAGTGTGCTTTTCTAAAACCTGGTTCGGGAGCAGATTATAGATCGGTTTCCTTTGTGTGGCCTAAGCTTCACAATATCCCTTCCCTGTCTATCCGATATCTATGAAGCTGTTTCTCGCCGAGAATCGTACAATTAACTTGACGAGATGCCGCTTTCGGACTCCTTGAAAAATGGCACATGATCTAGCCCCACCAACGTTCCGCCTGCTGACATCAGCTGCCAGTTAGGAGAACTATTCTTTCTTAATAGCAGTGATATCCTCACTGCTGCCAGCTCCCTGTAGTTAGTTATACATCAATCTCCTGTCCCTCAAAGACAGGCAACTCCTTCTCCACGTCTCCCCACGTCTTCTCACCCCCTACCATTTCTCTTATCGCGCGTAGCACCGTGTCCTCATCCGCCCGGACCTGCCTCGTCGTATCCCTATCCCTCAGCGTGACCGCACCATCCTTTAACGTCTGGAAATCGATAGTCACGGCCAACGGCGTGCCCAGCTCGTCGTTTCGGCTATACCGCTTCCCGATCGTGGAGCCCGAGTCATCGACGCGGGTCGAGATCGTCGCAGCGCGCAGCTTCTTGGACAGCCGGGCGACGTACGGCGCGAAGTCCTTGTTCGAGGACAGAGGGCAGATGACGACCTTTGTCGGCGCGACTGCGGTGGGGAATGAGAGCACGCTGCGAGCTTCGTCGCTTCCCTCGCGAGTCCAGTAGACGTGCTCGCAGAGAGCATAGAGAATGCGTCCGATGCCGAAAGACGGTTCGATAACGTTGGGTGTGTACTCGCGAATGTGCTCCGTCCTAGCGACGAAGTCGACTGAGAGCAGATTCTTGCCGACTTCAACCCCGCCGAGGCCCGGGACGTCGATGGTAGCTTTGCCAGTATCCAGCAGCTCCTTGGCCCAAGTCTCGCGACACTGCTGCGTCGACGCCAATATGACAGCCTCGATGGCCTTGCTGTCTTTCTTGAAGAGCGGGCCGAACTCCTTCTTGGAAATTTCACACTGCCATTCCTGGACTGTGCGTGGGATTTCGAGCTGTTGCCGTACTAGGAGTGGCTTGCCGGTCTGTTTGCTGTGCACCGTCAGGTCGTAGGCACTCCTGTCTGTTGTTGGATGACATCGCGTTAGCCCTCCCGACTGTCATTCTCCGGGAGTACTCTCCGGAAGCACTCACCAGCACAGCCCACGCATTCCACCCAACCAGACGACGTCAGAAGCTCTGCGTCCCAGCAATCGCATGCGTAGTGAGCCTGGTACATGTCAGTTGAGTCAGAGAGTCATGTATGTCCCGCAGAGCGTGGCTCACCATCTCGTTGGCCTATTGTGCCTGGTCAGCTTTTGCCTATTTTAACACTCCGGCTACAGGAGCGGGAATTCCGAAGAAATAGGGGACCAACCATATGTTGGCGGAATCGTAGCTTATGCATATCGACACCGATCTTCTTCATAAATAGCTTTATACGGGCCAGGAAGTATCCGAGGGTCTCATTATCCACAATACCTTCCCTTACAGCCTCCCCGATAGATATTCTTTTTACAGTGGTCTGGCCTGAGAGCTGAGCATGGCGATCGAGGAGGTCGAGCTCGATATCTTTAACCTCGTCGAAACGGCTATGAGTTTTACCGCTTTCGGGATCGACGAAGTGCTCGATCTCGGCCATCAGGAACTCCCGGACACGCAGTAGGCCGGCCCGCGGCGAGATCTCGTTACGATACGCTTTGCCAGCAGATGCGGAAGCAAAGGGCATGTCGCCCTGGTTGAACTCGAGAAGCTTAGCTGTCCAACGAAAATTCGCGTTAGTCGCAACTGTCAGTCTGTGCCAGGACCTAGAGTTGCTCACCGAAGTTCAGGAACTGGCCCTGGGCAGTCTCTGGACGGAGATAGCTAGGTGAATTGCTACTTGGACCAATTGAGGTCTCAAACATCAGGTTAAACGCCATAGGCTCAGTCGGTTGCAGCCCACTCTTGGGACATATTAGGTCGTATTTCCTAATCAACTCGCCCAGCTGCTCGCCATTGTAATTGTCGATTTGCGCAAGCACCTCCTGGTACTCCTTAACTACAGCATCATCGAGTCTGATTGTGCTTTGCTGGCCTTTGACCTTCTTCTTTTCTCGCTTCTGCTCCTTGGGCTTCTCCTCGACGGCCTGCTTGCGCGCCTCTTTGTCGCTCTTTAGTCGGGTCTCGAGTACATCTTTGACAAAATGGTCGGCACGGAAAATGTCGCCAAACTCTGGGTCTTTACACATCCAATCGGCAAAGCGATCGACGTGGCCGCTGGTCTTGAAGACAGCGTGGGGGGTCAGGATGCTGCAGTCGACTTCTAGCATGTCCTCTTCGACTAAAAATCATCGTCGTTAGCATTGAGTACTATCGGAGGTGGGAATAGGAGTAGGAACGGGGGAGGGGGGAGCAGTTGGTTTTAGACAGGGAGGAGCATGGCAGAGGTGAACTCACGAACGAAGTGTTTCCTCCACACATCAAGGATGTTTGACTGCAAGGCAGTACCTGGTGGGCCGTAATCGAAGAGACCTGTCTCCTCGGTGAGTGGAATGCAATACAAGACGATATAAAGACGAGGTGCTGACCAGAGACGCCGCCGTAGATCTGCCCATACTGTTAGTTTTTGGCTTGTTCAGTTCTGTCGCGGAGAGGCTCGTACCTCAAAGCTGGGAGTGTAGAACATGCGCCTGCGCAATACGCCATCGAGGGCAGCCTTGTCAAGTGGCTGGCCCTTGAAGGTGGTGGTTGTAGTCGTCGCCGTCTTGGAGGATGTTCTTGTTGGGGGAAGCGCACGAAACAGCGGCGGGCGAGTGGTCAGAGTTCGACGAGAACAGGAAGCAAACGAAGTCGAAACATTGCTCGAGGGCCAGGCCCCAAGCAGGCGATTGCCCAGGAGCGTCCGCATCAAGTTGGCGACAAGCGAGTCACATGCAATTGGCAAACACTGGAAGCAACTATTTTGTCTCCAGCAGTCAACTGGTGGGGGACCAGAGCTTCGCTGTGGCGCCGCACCGCCACATTTCAATCGCGTTACACGCGTGGGCTAGAGGAACGAGTTACGCATGAAATCATGTGACGGCAAAGTGTTCTCGCCATTATTCGTACTACCTACGTACTGCTAGGGAAGCTCGAGAAGCTCTGTTCTTGCCTTGAACTGTAATTCAAGGCAAGCATAATTCTTGCAAGAGCTGGTACGCCACAGTCTGCCATCGAGGGCAAAGCTATTTGCAAAGAAGCCTGCCACACTCCACCGTCTTCAACTAGGTAGGTATCTACGTATGCTTTGAACGCTGGAAACATTCTCAACTCTGGCGACAACGGTAGGCCGCCCTGACAGAAGTCGTGACCTTCACGACGGCCGGTAGGAGCCCGGAGAATGAGACTGCTTCCAAGCTTCCATTATTTTGTCACGGTTGCAAGAAGAGTCTTCACACCTCAACAAACAGGTTGTCTATGAGATGTATCTGCGCCGTATTTGCCAAGAGCAGGTTGCCGAGCGGAAAGGTGAGTTTACGGTACGGGCTGCACTTCAGGGAAATTGTCTATGGCCCTATTTACTGGAGAACTGTTGGCAACACTCTGATTCTGGCATCGAGAGTACTTCTTCCACACCTTCCGAGAAATCGGGTCGTCGTCTGGTGTCATCATAGCATCGGCTGTCTTCTAGAATACTCTTCGTTGTTCGCTCATGGCAGGCCTCGGCGGCAAGGAAGACTACGTTGAACAGCTGATCGAGAGCATCCGAAGTAGTATCGGACCCACCCGGGATCTCGCGCTTGAGACCCGTGGCAAAGGTCGGGAGACTTACACAAGCAAGTGGTGGAAAGAAAAACTGGTGCATACGTTACACTACGTACTAACAATTTTCTTGGTAAAGGCAACTTAATATTGTTAGTGGGCGGGGTAACACACGCACTGGTTATTCTTTCCACCGCTTGACAAGATGACACTGTTAGGCCGTGGTTCGAAAGGGCCACTGCAGACTGGTGCTATCTATAAGTCGTTCGGTTTGAAGTGCCTACCAAAGAGAGACCTTCACACGAGCCAGAGACCGCCCTCAGGGGCAAACAAGAGTAAAATCAGCAACATAGGAGGAACTCAACTGCTCTCATCCCAAACTCCCTCCCAAGGTGTGAAACAGCTCCCCTCTTTCACGTGACCCATTTTGCCCCCCCCGCCTCAGTAAAACCTGGCTCAGCACCTAGGTACCTACCTAGGTACGGCTAAAACTGGCTGAGCGGATCCACAACAGCTTGTGGCTTGGGCTGGGCAGAATTCAGATGACGCTAGCCAGATATGGGTGTTGGGATGGTCAGGTTTCATGTAATCTGTATGTACAGATAACCAACTGCGTTGGTAATACCTAATATCGATAGAGAGCGAGACTCGTGCTGCAAAGGAACATCGATCGATCTTAAAATCTGGATGGGTATGGGGGAGAGGAGTCCCAGCTGGCTCGATGACTCTCCAGCCAGTCACAATGACGCATTTGATCTGTTCAATTGCCCGATCCCCTATGACGACCGCCCTCGTAAAAATAACCTCAATCCCCTCCTTTTGACTAGAGACTAGGTAGGTAGGTAGGTATGGTAGGGATGGTTAGTTGTTCCTTGGGATACCTAGTTGGGCGGACAAACATTGGCCAAAAGTTTCCAGGCAACTTCTAGTTGCCTATAGATTTGCCTAGCAGGCACTGGTTGAATTTGATGATGTATTTGATGATGATGCCCTGTCCTGTTCGGGAAAGTGGGTCCTCCAGAGGATTCCTGTGGGTACCTGTACATTCTGGAAGTTACCATGGTTGCCCCGCCACAACGAACTCTAAAGAACCAAATGGAAAGAATCACTCAGGTACTTCTTATAATATTTCAACCCCTCCCTCAGTGGTACTTTTTCCCTCCAGACCAACAAACCTTGACCTCCAAAACCTGACCAAACGACCTCTTCATAATACCATTTCTTCTTGATACCCATTTCGCCTTGTTCAATCCATCAAATCTTCAGTCAAAATGGCACCCGCTGTCGGTATCGACTTGGGAACCACCTACTCTTGCGTTGGTATTTTCCGCGATGACCGGGTAGGTTTTCTCACCGTTTGCTCACCAGCGAACTCCCCCTCCCCCTCCCCCAACTTCAAAACAAAGCAGCAGCTGGCTAACTTTCACCATAGTGCGAGATCATTAGCAATGACCAGGGAAACCGGACCACACCGTCATTCGTGGCCTTCACGGATACCGAGCGTCTGATCGGAGATGCCGCCAAGAACCAGGTCGCCATGAACCCGGCGAACACGGTCTTTGATGCCAAGCGTCTCATTGGCCGCAAGTTCAGCGATGCCGAGGTTCAGGCAGACATGAAGCACTTCCCCTTCAAGATCATTGACCGGGGCGGCAAGCCCATCATCGAGGTTGAGTTCAAGGGCGAGAACAAGACCTTCACTCCCGAAGAGATCTCCTCCATGGTCCTGACCAAGATGAGGGAGACTGCTGAGGCTTACCTTGGTGGCACCGTCAACAACGCTGTTGTCACTGTCCCGGCCTACTTCAACGACTCTCAGCGCCAGGCTACCAAGGATGCTGGCCTTATCGCCGGCCTCAACGTGCTCCGCATTATCAACGAGCCCACCGCTGCTGCCATTGCCTACGGTCTTGACAAGAAGATCGAGGGCGAGCGCAACGTCCTCATCTTCGACTTGGGTGGCGGTACCTTCGATGTTTCGCTCCTGACCATTGAGGAGGGCATCTTCGAGGTCAAGTCCACTGCCGGTGACACTCACTTGGGCGGTGAGGACTTCGACAACCGTCTGGTCAACCACTTTGTCAACGAGTTCAAGCGCAAGCACAAGAAGGATCTCTCCAGCAATGCCCGTGCTCTGCGTCGTCTCCGCACTGCTTGCGAGCGTGCCAAGCGCACCCTCTCCTCGTCCGCCCAGACCTCTATTGAGATTGATTCCTTGTATGAGGGTATCGATTTCTACACCTCCATCACCCGTGCCCGCTTCGAGGAGCTGTGCCAGGACCTCTTCCGGTCCACCCTCCAGCCCGTCGACCGTGTCCTTACCGATGCGAAGATCGACAAGTCCCTGGTCCATGAGATTGTTCTCGTCGGCGGTTCCACCCGTATCCCCCGCATCCAGAAGCTCATCAGCGACTACTTCAACGGCAAGGAGCCCAACAAGTCCATCAACCCCGACGAGGCTGTTGCGTACGGTGCTGCCGTCCAGGCTGCCATCCTCTCGGGTGACACCTCGTCCAAGTCGACCAACGAGATCCTGCTTCTCGACGTTGCACCGCTTTCTCTCGGTATCGAGACTGCTGGTGGTATGATGACCAAGCTCATTCCCCGCAACACCACCATCCCCACCAAGAAGTCTGAGGTCTTCTCCACTTTCTCCGACAACCAGCCTGGCGTGCTTATCCAGGTCTACGAGGGTGAGCGCCAGCGCACCAAGGACAACAACCTGCTCGGCAAGTTCGAGCTTACTGGCATCCCGCCTGCTCCCCGTGGTGTCCCCCAGATTGAGGTCACCTTCGATCTTGATGCCAACGGAATCATGAACGTCTCCGCTCTCGAGAAGGGCACCGGAAAGACCAACCAGATTGTCATTACCAACGACAAGGGTCGTCTTTCCAAGGAGGAGATTGAGCGCATGCTTTCCGAGGCCGAGAAGTTCAAGGAGGAGGACGAGGCCGAGGCCCGCCGTGTTTCTGCCAAGAACGGCCTCGAGTCGTACGCCTACTCGCTCCGCAACACCCTGCAGGACTCCAAGGTCGACGAGAAGCTCGATGCCGGAGACAAGGAGAAGCTCAAGACCGAGATCGACAAAATCGTCAACTGGCTCGACGAGAACCAGCAGGCCACTCGCGAGGAGTACGAGGATCACCAGAAGGAGCTGGAGGGCGTTGCCAACCCCATCATGATGAAGTTCTACGGCAGCGCTGGCGGTGCTGGCGGTATGCCCGGTGGCATGCCCGGTGGCGCCCCAGGCGGCTTCCCCGGTGCCGGTGGCCCTGGTGGCGCCACCCACGACGACGGCCCGACCGTCGAGGAAGTCGACTAAGGTGTCACGCCTATTTCGGTTTGCATTTCGCGCTCTAGATTGGAACCTTGGAATCCGCGTTCGATGAGTGGCGGTATCCACTCAGGTAATGCAAAGGGTGGTTTAGGAATTTCGGCATCACAGGGCTAGATTTGCGTTCTCTCTTACGACCTCACGATAAAGGGGAAAAAGTATGGGTGGCCTGCATGGCTTGTATTCTAACCGCGATTCCCAGTTTTCCGCTGATCAATAAAGTTCATAAAAAAAATCCTCGGCCTTGCTTCATTCATCGTGCATGGTGATATGCCCTCTTGTAGTATTTATTGTATGCTTGGTTCGCTGTCGGAACTGTCTTGATTTGAATACAACTAACTGTCTTAAAAACCTATGCTCATGCTCCTTCCTGCATGCAAACCGGTGCTCCTCATGATCCTGAATTTGCCATGCCATTGGCTTCGTTTGTACTCAAGCTGCCAGCCAGCCTCAACTATCCTTGTTAAACCCCATCCGGTCCCTAACGGCTCGCCTCCTCTCAATCTCCCTAACCTGCCACTCCCGATCATCCTCCTCAGGCCCGTCGAACCTCTCGTTAAACGCAGTCCCGGGCTCGACCTTGCCGTCCCTGCTCTCCCAGACGTCCTCGCTGCTCGGCCTGCCGGGACCGTAGCGCTCGGCCTCGCGGGCGCGGAAGTGGGCTCGCACGGCGGCGGCGCGCGACTCGGCGCTGTAGCTCTTGGTCCGCATGCAGAACCAAAAGTCGTCCCACAGGTCTGAGCACGACCGCACCGCGCCGTACCGGTACACGGCGTTCCACTGCGCCCCGGGCGTGTGGCAGTGCCACGCGTAGTCGAAGGCGTCGCGGCAGGACATCTCTGTCGCGAGGAGGGACTCGGATATCGCGCGCGAGGCGGCCGTTTTGCCTGCTGCTTGGGGGGGGGCTGGTGGTTGGGAGGGTTCGGCTGGGGAGGGGGTGGTGGTGGTCCGGGGGGAGAACCAAGAGGAGGAGGCGGTTGTGGTGGTGGTGGTGGTGGTCGTCTGTGGTGCCGGTTGGTCGGCCGGCTTGCTGCCTGACATCTCGGACTGGATCATGTCCAGGAACTTCTGCATCTCGTGGTCGGCCGCATCGGACCTGGCTGGAGGCGGGGTCGCGGACGCCGGTGATTGTGAAGGGGCGGCCGGGCTTGAGCCCGACGGGGTGGGATCCGCGGGAGCGGGGTTGTGCCAGAACCAGCCCATCTTGACTGTTCCGGTTTGGAATACCGGCAAGGAATCAGAAGAGATGCTCTAAAGAATGGCTTTTTCAGTTTTCGCAGGCTGTTCCCTAAACTTTGACGGCGGAGGACGAGGGCGCTTGAAGAGAACGATCCTGTGATCGCCGTCTGGTCGTCTTTGGCCAGGGCCCCACAAGATAATTTGGCCGATGTCTGATTGGTAGAAGCTTTTGACCATCGCAAAGGGCCCACCTGCCCTGAGTGATGGGGCTGGATGACCTCATTGGTATGAGCAAGCTAGGTTCGCAAGTGAGAAGGGTCGTGGACTGCCCTCTCCCTTCACCCCCCCAGGTCAATGAACTCTTGTCTAGGATACGGTATACTGTCAATTATGAAGCAATGATACCAGGCCGCATTCTCTTCCGACCGATATCCCGGCCGTGGTCGAGCCTCCCCGGGCTTGCGACAAGATGTCCGCCAATCCCTAACGGTGTGACATCGCTCCAGTCGAAGCCCGACACCGTCCGTGGAAGATGGGCTGGAATAGCATGGAAGGGTTCTGTTGCGGGTGACGAGAAGAGCGGACACATTGTTGCTGGTCCTAACGAGTCTATTCTGTATTTCGACAGTAAGGAGAACTCGACCTCGTCGCAACGCGGCTGATTACTTGACTCTGACGGTGTTGTGCCTCCATACAGATGTCTTCCCCTTGAAGCTCAGCTCAGTCCTCGGACGATCATGGGACCCCGATAGCGACCTCTCTTACCTACTCAAGAAATTTGAGAGCCCATCGACTGGATTCCTGGACCCAATCAGCCTGGTTAAGAGAGCCATCCCAAAGTCGATCCCCATGAAAGTTACCGAGATCATACCGCGACTGAAGGATGGGGGCGCCTTTGTCAAGTTCAGCCACCCAGCCGAGATATCGGCAACAGAGATTGAAGGTCAGCGGGCTTCCTTCCGTCGTTGCTTAAAGGGGAGCTTACGAAGTGGTGTTAGGTACCTTATCCAAGCTGCTTGCTGAAAAGCCGTTAAAGCCTTGGTTCAGCCCGTTCCGCACAGTTCAGGCGGGTCTCGTTAAGGGCATCCCTTGGCTCGAGGACTTGCACAGATTCCCCAAGAACCGGCTTAAGATCGAGTTTACTTCGACCTCTCCCGACGGCGATGGCGTCGAGTTGTCACAAGAGACGCTGTACAGCCTATTCAGGAGATACGGGAAGATTGCCGACATCACGTCACAACCCCCCGACTCCAAGGTCCTTCCAAAGTTCGCGTTTGTGGACTTTGTTCTCGTTCGAGATGCTATCATGGCCCGGAACTGCATGCATGGCTTCACCCTCGCTGAAACGCTCGGAGGTGGTAAGAATGGTACCAGGCTACGGCTCTCCTATGAGCGACGAGTCAAGGCGCACCACATCTGGAACTGGATAACCAGCCATCCGCGAGTTGTCATTCCGATCATAGCGACTCTGCTCGCTGCCTTCACCGTTGCCGTGTTCGACCCGATCCGGGAGTTCTTTGTCAAGGCTCACGTGCAACAGTCGTTCAAGCTGTCGAAAAGCAGGCTGTATACCTGGTTCAAGAGGCAGACTTCTGACATGCTTCCCTTCCATCACGAGAAACCAGAGAAAGCTGGCCTGAATGCTCTCTGGAGCCACAGGAAAGACCTCATCGATACCGTTAATAACTGGTTGATGGAAACCGCCGACACTTTCATCGTGATCCAGGGTCCCCGGGGCTCCGGTAAGAAGGAGCTGGTCTTGGACCAGGTCTTACCAGGGCGGAATAATGTATTGGTCGTTGACTGCAGGCCGGTTGTCGAAGCCAGAGGCGAGGCTGGAACGATAAAGAAGCTTGCCAACCAAGTCGGGTACCGTCCCGTGTTCTCCTGGGCGAACAACATCAGCAGCCTAGTCGACTTGGCCGTCCAAAGCACCACGGGGGTCAAGGCCGGCTTCTCGGAAAATCTCGAGTCACAAGTCGTCAAGATATTGCAAACCACGGCTGCCGCCCTCAAGGAGGTGTCCCTGGACGACCGGAAGAAGGATGACAGCGATGCTGCCCTGTCAGAAGATGCCTACCTCGAAGCCCACCCGGAGAAGCGGCCTGTCATAGTCGTCGACAACTTCCTTCACAGGAGCGACGACGCGAGCCTCATCTACGACAAGATCTCCGAGTGGGCTGCGTCCCTGGTCCAGTCCAACATCGCGCACGTCATCTTCCTCACCAGCGATGCTGGCTTTTCCAAGACCCTCTCCAAACCACTCCCGGATCGAGTCTTCCGGCAATTGGCCCTTGGCGATCTGTCCCCGGCCGTCGCAAAGAAATACGTCATCTCGCACCTGGAGCATGACGACCAAGTGCTAGCAGGCGACGAGGGCGACGAAGGGGAGAAGCAGAAGGTCCTGAGCGGAGGCAAGTACCGGAAGGACCTCGCCGAGCTCGACGAATGCATCGAGTCCCTCGGCGGGCGACTGACGGACCTCAACTTCCTCGCGCGCCGCCTCAAGAGCGGCCAGAGCCCGAAGCACGCCGTCAACGAGATCATAGACCAGAGCGCGTCGGACGTGCTTCGCATGTTCATCCTCGCCAAGAAGCACCCCGGCGGGGACCAGAAGTGGTCGCCCGAGCAGGCGTGGTACCTGGTCCGGGAGATCGCCAAGCACGGCACCCTGCGGTACAACGAGGTTCTCCTGTCCAGCACGTTCGCCTCGTCGACGACCCCCGGCGCCGACTCCGCCGAGGCCGCCCTCGACAACCTCGCGGCGGCCGAGCTGATCTCGGTGGGGTCGCACAAGGGGCGGCCGCAGACGGTGAGGGCCGGCCGGCCCGTGTACCAGGCCGCGTTCGCGGCGCTGCTGGCCGACGGGGCGCTGAGGGCGCGGATGGACCTGGCCGTGCTGACGGAGCGGGCCGCCGTCGAGGCCAAGAGCCTGGACAAGGTCGAGGCCGAGCTGGGCCTGCTGGGGTCGCTGCCCCGCCAGCCGCACCAGACGGCCGACCGGGTGAATTACCTGTTGGCCAAGGTGCAGAGCAGCCAGGCAAGGATACAGGAGTGCGAGAGGGAGATGGCTGGGCTGAAGAAGATCTTGTCGCAGGAGGCTTAGGGTTGGTTCTTTCTGTCCCCCGACGACTTGAGATGATCGACGTGTGTGTGTGTGTGTGTGTGGATATGCGAAATGACTACCGTGCGAGGGTATACCGGACAAGGGGGTGACTGATACGCCTTCCCTCTCAAATGTATATTATTCATGGGGAAGCATCTCTCAATAATCTAGACCCATCATGGTCAATCCCCCGGACTAACTGCCAATTCGTGACGGGGCGCAGGAACATAAACAATTACTGTGCACTCATTTTCCGTGAACAAACCCTCGCAACCCCGACAATGCCCGCCGCCCATCCCCAAAAGGAGTAGGTTTTAATGTCCCTGCCAACTTTCATATGCCAAAGTGAGTTTGATAGTTGGGCTCCCTCCAAAACGCCAGAGAATAATCCAGGCCAATGAGGCGACAGGGGGCACCGATTCCCCAAAGCCATAATAGCACTGTTTCGTAATGGAAAGCCCACCACTCCGACTTCTTCACTCCGCCCCATCCTCGCCCTCGACGGGTTGCTGTAGCGGCTCGCAGCCCTGAGAGAAGAACACCCTCGCGGGCTCGTCGTAGTCGTTCTCGATGCTGTAGATGTTTCCTAATGTAGGAGTTCACGAGTCAGGTCATCATCTCCTATGTGTTGGAGGGCGGGGAGCCCAGAACCGGCAACAGGGATTTCCAAAACAAGGGAGAAAAGGAAAGAAGACAAAGGACTCACCCCTCGGAACAAACCACATGCCCCCCCTCCCGATCCTGAAGGTCGACTCGTTGACGGTGACGAGGACCCTCCCGGCAAAGACGAAGAAGGCCATGTACATCTTGCGCGAGTTCTTGGGTCTCTTCTCGCTCCCCGGGGGCAGGTCGACGACGCCCGCGCCGAAGAAGGGCATGCTGAGCGTCTTTGCGAACCGGAAGCTCGCGTTCCGTATGTCCCTCGTCTCGATGGCCTGCCCCGACACGGCCAGCTGCTCGGGCGCGAGCTCGATCTCCTCGTCCAGGCCCGGCGGCGCGTACTCGTACTCGGGCTGCCACACGACCGCGTCGCCCACCACCGTGCCCGGGTCCTCCTCCCACGCCTCCGCCGGCTCGTCGAACATGTCTGCCCCCCCCGCGCCGCCGGCCTTGCCCTGTTTTCGCTTCGCGCCGCCGCTGCCGGCCTTGGCGGGCCGACCGCGCCGCTTGGGGAGCTCGGGCTCCTCGACCCGGTGGACCTCCTTGATGGTGGGCAGGACGAACTTGGACGGGTTGCCGCGCGAGGCGAAGGCGTCGTCCATGATCTGGTCCTGGTCGTAGTCGACGTGCTCGTTGCGCCAGAAGGCCAGCGGCCGGAACGAGTTGCGCCCGGACCGCGTGCGCGTGATGCCGCTGTCCCCGGGCACCTCGCGCCGGCTGATGAGCAGGCCCCGCGCCTTGGGGAGGGGCGGCCCGCGGGGTACGACGGCCAGAGACCTGTCGGCCGCGTCGATCGAGGAGCGGCGTGGACGGCCGCGTTTGCCTTTGGTGGCCGGCTTGGTGGTCTGCTTCGATGGCTCGCCGGTTTCGTCTGTGTTCGTGGCCGTCTTCCCGGCTGGCTTTCGCCCTCTCGGTTTGCCGCCTGTCCGCTGTTTCTTGCGCTCTGGTTCCGGCTCTGGTTCCGGCTCCGGCTCGTGCTCCGACTCGGCTTCTTCTTCGGCGGTGATACTTGACCGTCTCCGTTTTGTAGATCCACGTTGTTGTGCTTCACCACCGGATTTGTTCTTGGCTGGGCGGCCGCGCTTGCTTCGTACCGGCTCCTCCTCCTCCTCCTCCTCAGCTGCATCTGGGACGGTATTCCGAGCAACGCCTCCTCTCTGGGACTTTCTGCGAGATGATTTGGCTTCGGCTTCAACCACCTCCTCGTCGTTCCGCGATTCCTCCCCCAATTCTACATCTCCACCATCGTCGTCGTTCCGCGATTCCTCCCCCAATTCTACATCTCCACCATCGTCGTCGTAGTACTCGTTGTCGTACCCGGGATCGGACGCGTCATCGCCGCCATCGTTGATCATGGCCATGGATTCTTCGGGTTCCCGACTGTCATCTTCCTGCTGCTCCCCGTGCAGGATGGTCTCCTCATCAGCACCGTCCACGTCCTCATCCTCGTCCTGCAGCGAACGCCTATTTCTGAGTCCGTTCACCCTCGGTCGCGCTTCGGCGGCTGCTCTCCCGCCGCTGGAAGACGTCGTGGGTTGTGAGAGCGAGTGCGATGTCGCGTCCAAGCTGAAGTCCAGCCGGCGCTTAACCGACTGTGAGCGTGCGGGTTCGTTCGGGCCGACGATGGATCCGCGGACGGGAGAGGAGTTGGGGTTGAGATGTGGGTTCTGGCGCGCCGGGGACTGCAGATATGTCTTTATGGGCGAGCGACTACGGGGCAGAGGCACCTTGAGCGTGTTACCGTGGGCACGCATCAGTATTGCTGGGTCCGGGGCGGTTGCTAGGAGGGGACAATGTTAGCCACAGAGGCCGAGAGCGAGACGGAGAGTCAGCTGAGAGGCCCTACTATTCTCGATATCCATTTCTTGCCCGCTGCTGTCGCCGCTTTCATCGTCGTCGGCGGCGTGGTTGGTGTCGATTCGCGCCGTCTTCTCTGGTGACGAGAAGATATCCTCGAGGGGCTGCATGCCATGCTCGTCGCGGACACCCGTGTCGCGTAACGTTACGCCGGTTTTCCTGGGAGAGATTGTCAGCCGGCTCTTCACGGAGCGAAGGCGTGAGGCACAAAGAACACCATACCGTCCTTGCACTCCAAGCTCGAAGAGGCGATCGGTCTGCGCCTGGGTGCGCCGCGAGCCCGTAGTTCGGGGCGCCATTGGGGTCGAGTGTCGTCTATTTCCTGGCGCGATGCCTCTTAACTGGAAGAGAAAAGTGGGAGAGAGCTCGGTGGAAATGGACTCGATGCGGGCGATGCGTATATTCGGTGGGAATGAGTGTTGTGCCCCTTCACGAGTGTGTTTGTATTCTTTGTTGATTGATAGGTATGCACGCACGGACCAGAAGACGATGTGACTTTACCTAATCCGTCCAACGCTGCCAAGTGACCTGATTGGCCGAGACGCGTGGGACGCGACGCGACTGACTTGAGCCCCTCCACTGTGTTCAGGGTGGCTTGAGGAAGGAGATAAGATAGGGAGGATGGGACTTTAATAGATTGTTAACTTCGTCGAGAGTCGGGGTCAGTAAGACCATCATCTGAAGAGCCACAAAGTCCGGCTTGGAAGCATCGAAAACCCACCTCCCGTCCAAGATGGAAGATTCTCCAGAGAACGAAGAGGTTGCCCTCGAAACGCCCATCTCAGACGTCTTTATTCCACCCTCGATAAACGAGCCCGCTCTCCTCTCAGGCGACTCGTACACCTACTTCTCCCCCATCCCCCCGACCCTCCTAGCCACACACAACGACTCCTCCCAAAACGGCAACCCCGCCGCTGCAACAACAATAACAACAACAACACCACCAGCAGCGGGGCCCCCCTGCGTCCTAGGCGTCGACGAGGCCGGGCGCGGCCCCGTCCTCGGCCCCATGGTCTACGGCGTCTTCTTCCTGCCGACGACGCTCTCGGACAACGGCCTCCTCCGCTCGTCGGCGCACCGCTTCGACGACAGCAAGGCCCTGACGGCGTCGTTCCGCTCCTCGCTCGTGCGGGCGCTCTGCGCCCCCGGCTCGGACCTCCACTCCAGCTGCGGCTGGGCCGTCTCGGCGCTGTCGGCGCGCGACATCGGCGCCGGCATGCTGCGGCCCGGCGGGTCGGCCGCGTACAACCTCAACGCCCAGGCCCTGGACGCGACAGTCGACCTGATTCGCGGGGTGTACGCCCGCGGGGTCAACGTCGCGGAGATCTACGTCGACACCGTGGGCGTGCCGGCTGCGTACCAGGCTAAGCTGGAGAGGGTGTTCCCCACGGCGCGGATCACCGTCGCCAAGAAGGCGGATAGCCTGTATCCGTGCGTCAGCGCGGCAAGTGTGTGCGCCAAGGTGACGAGAGATGTCGCGCTGGAGGTACTGTACCGGGCGAGGGGTGCGGTGGACGGGGACGGGGAAGGGGACGGGGAGAAGGGGATGGCGTGGGGGTCGGGGTATCCGTCGGACGGGAAGTGCGTCTCCTGGTTGAAGACGAATGTGCATCCCGTCTTTGGCTGGGGGCCCGAATGCAGATTTAGCTGGGGGACGGCGAAGGATATGTTAGAGGCTAAAGGGAGCAGCAATATCAGGATCGAGTGGCCGGTTGATGATGACTATGGCGAGAATACCCGCATGACCGACTTCTTTACCGCGAACAGGGACGACGACGAAGATGAGGCTGATGAGTTGGGCACGTGGTTCGGCAAACCAGTTGGGATAGAATCATTCTGACGCAGCAGTTGGACGTGAGATTGGATGTGCCTCGGAATTTGTAAACATTACTATTGCATTATGGGCGGAGTAGGGCGTCGGCCATGAACCTGAGGAACAAATACCGTATCCTGCGCCAGTTGGGGTCCCCACCCCCATCACAGCAGTCCTCATACCTGTATATATATAAACCGACCTAATGTATCAAGGTGTCAAAAATCTAGATATCATCGTCTTCATGCGCTGCTTGCCCCTGTCTCTTCCCCCGGCTGTCCAAGTCATCCAATCTGACCGAGTCGTCGCGCCCCCTCTCCCTCTCCGGCATCGCGAGTGCCTGCCTGGCGGTCTCCGAGTTCTCCAAGAAGTCTCGGAGTCGCTGTTTTCCAATCTCGACCGCCTGCTGCGTGGCTGCATTCGTCATCTGCATCATCGGTCCGAGCAGGTTCAGGGTGAATGCGATATATGCTCCAGCCCCAAGGAGAAGGATGAGGACGAAGAGGACCGGGTTCCGTATCACTTGCAAAGGGTTAGCATGGCGATCGATAGTATAAGGGATAAGAAGAGACATACCCATGACGATTTCGTTCCACCCAAGTACCAGGAGAATCGCATAGAAATACAGTGGTACTTGGGTGATCCCACCGATCGCGCTTCTCTTGGCCTCGACGTAAACGCCGTCGGCTGTCTTCTTGAACCTCACAACAAGGTCCTGGCGCTTGCTTTCGCTCAAGACGGTCATCTCCTCTTCGAGGCTCTTGCCGTCTTCCTCGTCGACACCGCCAATGGGAGCGAGATCGTCCTCGTCCTCGGGCTCGGCGCCGGCCGGTTGAAGGCCGACCCAGCCCGCGAGATCCGGCGGAGCATACGTCTCGGACAGTCTGAACCTTGACAGCAGGGGGATGAGGGTGAGGGTCGACTCGCGGGCCCGCGTGTAGATGCCTTCGATGTCATCTGTCGGGCGCCAGATCCTGGGAACACCGGCCTCGTCATACCGGAACTTGTCCTCGAAGTTCTCCCGCAGCTTGGAAAGTATATTCCCTTCCATGACCTCCTCCTCAATTTTATCCCTCAGCGCCACCCAGCTCTTGCGCCGCAACCGCCAGAGGCCCACCACCACTTCCTCCTCGTTGGCCTCGAAGCTCTTTGCCCTGTCGGCAAACCTCTCCTCGGCCTCCTTCACAATGGCAACAAAGGCGCTCCAGATACGATCCCACAGATCCTTCTCGGCGGGTGGGGGGCTGTCTCCCGTCTCGGGCGTGCTGGTTCCGTTCCTACCGGATCCCAGCTTGGTGAACTCAAGTCCAACAGCATCCCCAAGGCGAGACCTGACCCAGCGCTCGACACGGACGGCCAACCGGCGCATCTCCTCCTTTCTAAGGCGCGCACTGACCTCGTCCAGCTCCTTCTCGAACAGGATGTACAGCGACTTGAAATTCGACCACGCCACACCCTCGATGGCCAGACTCTGCGCCTCCTTCTTGAAGATCTCGAGCGTCTTCCTCTTCTGCTTGTCCACGATCTCGGCGAACTCGTAGGACCCGCCCGACTTCTGGCCGGCCTTGACGGCGTTCGTGACGGCGTCGCTGAAGGCGGCGACGCCGGCCTTGTGGGCCGCCGACAGCTGCCCCTGGTAGAGCGCCTTGAGCCGCGTGTCCATCTTGCCCTCCAGCTCGGCGCGCTTCCTGGCGTAGACGCCCTTGTGATACCTGCTCGCCTGGACCTCGAAGGCTTTCATGCACTTGTCGCGCGCCCCGGCCCCGGTGGTTCCGAGGTCGGGCAGGACGGACGGCTTCCCGAGCCGGGCTGCTTCTGCCTGCTGCTCCTCGAGAGGGGTGATGACCTCGTCGAACCCGTTGAGGACTTCCCGCGAGATCTCGTCGCAGCGGAACTGCGCGAGCAACTCTTGCTGGGTGGGGAGGTCGAGGTCCTTGTTATGGACGATCTGATCCCAGACGCCCTCGGCGTATACCGATAGGCCATCTGCAGGGATGCGGCGGTGGTATTCAGGGAGGAAGACGCCCCCCACGAACTCCTGGTCTTTGGTCGAGCGGTGTCCGGCGGTGAAGCGCGCGCCGAGATTCTCAACCTCCTGCACAAACTTGTCCGGCTGTAGGATCTTGTGGGGGAGAGCGGCAAAGGCGAAGTCGAAGTAGTCTTCGATTTTGGAGTTTTCGAGCCCCTGGGGTTTGGAGATGGACGCCCAAATCTTGGTCAGGTCTTGGAGCAGGGTATTGCGCAGGTTCGAGAGTGGCGTCGTGCCGATGTGATCGCGAATGACGAAGAATAAGAGAGATCTCGTGTTCGACCTGGGCACACGCGGTTAGAAAAATTGCGATGCGCTGCGCCGCGCTAAATCACACACGGTATGGGAAGCACGTACTGTTTGTCCTTGAGGAACAACTGCAGGTTCACCTCAAAGACGGTCTTCAACAGGCCCATGTTGGCACCTTGGTACAGGCCAACCTGGTGCTCCCAGATGTTGACTATGAGAACCTCGCTGGTCGCGAGGGCGAAGAGGGCGCTCTTCCGCTCGAAGTCCTGGTCCTCTCCGCGTTCCCGGCCGTCGGTGCCCTCCACGTCCATGACGAGGATGTTCTCGGCCATCCTGGTGGCGCCAGAGCCCGCGACCTCCTTCTTATTCTTCGACATCCATATGCCCTTCGTCGTCTGCCGTCTTTCCGACTCGGACATGATACTGAACTGGGTACCGAACAGGTTGTTGAGGAGGGTGGATTTCCCCGTCGACTGCGAGCCAAAGACGGAGATGAGGTGGTAGTTGAAACCAGTCTCGGCGACATGGCTCTCTTGCAGGTAGGCATTGAGGTTCGAGCTGTAGGAGCATTGGTCAGCGCAAAGGTGGCTTTACTCGAGGCAACGCCTTCAAGGGGGTGATATATGACGGACTTAAATTCTTTTTCTTCGTCGATCACCTGTATGCCGTGCTCATAGTCCCGAGCTGTCGGCCCTTCGCCGACAGCTGCAAAATGGCCATTCATTGCGGTGGCGTGCGTCAAGTTCCAAGAAGAAGGTGGTGACGGTTTCGTTATGGCGCTGATAGGAAGCCCGTTGAAGTTGCGACGGTTGCCACAAAGGTCGCAATATGGAGCTCCCGAGATGAGCTCCCATGTGACAACCAAGGATGATTGGGCGGGTGACTAACCCAATTTGACCCAAACCGGCCTCCAGGCCAGCTGACATAATGTTAGCGTCGGGGCGTTGGTGGCACGTCATTCACTGGCAGAGCCTAGAAATAGAACACGGAAGTAAGATACTACATCTGATGTGGAGCTGGTTTTAAGGTTTCTGTCACATTGCTTTGTCCAAGACCCGGTCGGTGGAGTTTTATGCTTGATTGTTCATAGAAAGAGAAGATTTGGATCCGTCCAGACACTTCGTTCAGGGGTAATTAGCTGGGGATCTACTTATGCCAAGACTTATCCTGTACGCTGCCAGGCTGCTTTCCCAGCAACGATTCCCGAAAGCTCTTGGCTCGCCGTCCCCAAACATAGACCAGGGCGTCAAGCATACTTTGAAATCAGCTTCCTCATGATAGACATGGCGCCACTTCGATAGCCCCCTCCGAATAGCGCGTGGTGGTTCAGGTGGTGGTAACTAGAACAGGCAGTCAGTCGGCTGTTGTACTCTCGTTCAAGCGACGCACAAGAAGGGGGATCCCTACAGCTCGTAAAGGGCGACTCTGTCTTCCCACTCGTCCTTCGGCTCCGCCTTGGGAACCAGCTTCTCGTACTCCTTCCAAAAGCTGCTCCCAAAGCCACCAAACATGCGCATGATCCCCAGCTCGTACTCCGAGTGGCCGTAGACGCAAGCCGGGTCGTACACCACCTCCTCAGCGCCACCCTTCCCGGCGATCCTCCCCCGCCCATGGTTCCCGCTCCACAGGTCCCCATGCACAACCACGGGCACCACCCCCTCCAGCCTGTCGTCGCCCAGCAGCCTCGGCACGACCTTGCCGGCAACCTTCTCGACGGCGTCCGCCAGCTCGGCGTCGGGCCCATTGCTCCGGGCGCCCGCGCGCAGGACGCTCCGTAGCCGGTTGTCGGCGTAGAAGTCGGCCCACGACTCCCGCCACGAGTTGTCCTGCACGGTCGAGCCGCAGCAGGTCGGCACGGGGAAGCCGAACCGCCCCGGGACCCCGCTCGGGAGGGGCGCCGGCGTGGTGTGCAGCCGGGCCAGCTTGGCGGCCAGGGACTGGCCCGAGCCGCCCGGCGCGGAGGAGCCGAGGTCGAGGAAGTCGGTCGCCAGGAAGAACTTGCCCGGCGATAAGCTCATGGCCCCATGGGCGTGTGAGGCCGGGCAGAAGTTGGGGACTACGGAGTGGATGGCGTTGAGGGAGGCATGCTCTCCTAGAGAGAAGGGCAAGAAGAAGGCCGGTGTAAGTGTGAGGGCGTGGTAGGTGAAGGACTAGCGAGATGGTGGCGGGTGCTAACCTCGAAACATGACTTCGGCGTCCTTGCCGGTTCCCGTTTTGACAAAGTAGTTTATCTCCTGCCCGTCTTTGATGGACGATAGCTTGAACGTGGATGAGAAGCCTGACCCCCCATGGGTGACGATCTTGGTGTTGGCGGGATCAAGGCCAAGTGCATCGAGAATGGCTGGGTCTACTTTGGGGGCCATTGTAATAAATGGGGCACTATCGAATAGAGATAAATATGAGATACCGTGATGGTTTGCTGTGGTCACGGTCGATTTGAGGACGGGATGGGATAACCACGAATTAGAGTAGAGAAATGACTTGGCACAGATGATCGGATTTCCTGCTTATGTGTACAGTGCATTACCTCATACCTGCGCAAGCTCACCTACCCGAGGGTAGATCGCTCCTTTACTACTCTTCATGATGAAAAGCCCATGGAATTCCGTCGCATAGAGTCAACAACCTCACCTTCCCCCTTTTTAAATCTAAACTCGAGCCCTGTAACTCATGAATCTGAAGCCTCTTCATACATCCTCGACTTGCCACAAATGACGGCAACTTTAAGACTCAACTTTGCCTATGTACATAAGCCACATGGCCATCCATGGCTCTTTAGATATATATAGATAAAGACAAATTCAAACCTCGTCATGAACTGAGCGACGCACACAGATAAATTTTGAAGTATACAACTGTGGCACCTAGTCATACCCCTATTCATAACTTGGCTTGGTTTGGGATACCTGTGTAGTTTTCTGCAAGGGTATCTGCCTTCAGTGCCGGCCGGTCTGCTTTGCCTGCTGTCGTCTATAGTCGCGCGTGTTAGTCGTCATTCCATTCCCGAGGAACAACGAAAAAGGAGGGGAAAACTTACACCGCCGTCAACAGGCATGATAAGCCCAGTGATCCACCTCGCTTCTTTACTACACAGATATAAGATGGCTAGATTTAAAAAGTCAGCTCTCGCGGTTTTAACAAGCTCCCCATCGGTCCGGAACTGAAAACTCACCGTAGCCAACATCCCAGGCGGTGCCTTCGACCTTGAGTAAGTTTTGGTTGATGCGGGCTTGTCTCATTTCGTCGGTCATGCCCCTCCCGCGGACCATAGGGGTGTAGACCATTCCCGGCGCGACGCAGTTAACACGGATGCCCTCGGGGCCGTGTTGGGCTGCCATTGCCCGCGTCATCTGGATAATCGCACCCTTGGTCGTCGGGTATAAGAGACTCGGATTTCCCCCGAGCACTTGTCCCCGTCACCGTCAGTGTTCCGAGGTAGATGATTAACTGGGGGGGGGGGGAACTACCCACAGCCGCTGACCGAGGACATGTTGACGATCGAGCCACGCCCGGCCTTCCTCATCTCCGGAATGGCGTACCGTGCCATCAGCACCATGCTCGTGACGTTGATCCGGAAGTCTCGATCCCAGGCCGCCATATCGATCTTAGTGGCATCGCCCATAGCGCCTCCGACACCGACTTTTCACAAAACCCAGATCAGCACGAGAAACAAAAAAAAAAAAAAAAAAAAAAAAAAAATTTCACCCTCCCCCTTTCCCCGTCCCCATTCGCCCACACAAACTCACCGATATTAACCAAAACATGCAACCCCCCAAACAGCGCCACCGTCCTCGCGACAGCCTCCCGGCACGACCGCTCGTCCGTGACGTCGGCGACCACGACCTCGGCGACCCCGCCCTCGGCGTCGATGACGCGCTTCGTGTCGCGCGCCCAGCCCCCGTCGCGGTCCACGAGCGCAACCCGCGCCCCCTGCCGCGCCAGCAGGATCGCCGCCGCGCGCCCGTTGCCGACCTCGCCCGCCATACGGGACCCGGCCCCCGTCACGAGGGCGACCTCGCCTGTGAGGTCGAAGGCGCGTGGGGGCGGCGGCGGCGGTGGTGGTGGTGGCATAGCTGGTGACGGTGTGAGGGTTTAGGCGGTTTATCTGGTTAGGGGACGGGATTGAGTTTCGCTTTGTTGGTTGGGTTTTCTAGAAGGTAGGTTTACAAGTCTTCTTCGGCAACAAAGATGTGGTGACAGGCGTCTGGAGGCCTTTGTACAATACATAGGTACTGTACATCCTTCCAACTGGGAAACAAGACCGGCCGGTCACGGAGGCCGGCCCCGGGGACGGGGCCCGTGGCGAATCATCGGGGAAGAAGACCAGACTCGGAAAGCCAGCACGGAGGTTTAGCGAGGACCCCTGTAAGGTGTTCGTCCTCGGGCGATTCCCCTGGGGAATTTCCGTGGAGGAATACCGAGTAGGAAGGCATGTTGGGGGGGATCGCCAGGTATCTAGCGTCCCGCTAAAGTCACCGCCTGAATCCCTGCACGGCACTAATTAGATACGGGAACCAAGCTTGTTGGTTAGTGGACGTAGTGCCGGCCGGCGGCCGGCAACGGCCTCTTCGTCGAGCAGGGGTGGTATCACGATGGTTTGTTGGGGATTATCACTTCCAAAGTGCGTCACAGTATACGAATCGAGCGATGGCATCTAAATGAACAGAAATGCGCCTGGAATGATCACGGAGTTTATTCATGTTTGTATGAAAAAGGAAGATATTGGAGCGGATGAGTTGCCCTAGCCTACTACGGCGGCTGCCGGCTGCCGGCTGCACTAAAAGCGCCACAAGCATACTCTATTGCGACAACCAGAAGTCAAACCACTGAACAATCCCCTGGAGACTCTGCTCCTTGACCCAGCCTGGCGGGCGGTCTCAGCATCGACGATCAGGCATGACTGGGACAGGCGCGACTTACGTTCGTATGGGTCATCCACGTTCCCTCGCAGCGCGAAGCCGTGCTGGACGCCGGAGAAGAGCTGAAGGTGGTATTGCTTGTTACCGCTCTGCATGATGTCGAGTGCCCTCGCCCGCGACTCGGTGTCAAACGTGTGGTCTGTCTCGGCGCACGACAGGAAGAGCGGCTCTGTTCGAAGGCGATTATTAGCTGGCTTCCTGGGCACACAGACACGAGCCTGCGGACAGCTTACTCTTCAGGTTGGAGAAGTGGTGCTCCTTCAGGAATGCCGGGTGCGCAAACGCACCGGCCAGGCAGGTGTCGTCGGCCAGCGCGTCGCAGACATACGGGGCTCCGAAACAGTAGCCGACGCAGGCGTACTTGGTGTCTGGTTTGCCGTACGCGGCCTTGACGGCATCGGTCCACTTGGGCACCGCTTCGTTGGCGAAGGCTGTGTGCTTCTGCTTCCACGCATCGTAGTCGAAGTCGGGGTTCGACTTGTCATTCCTGTCTTTGCGATGCTTCCACACCGGATCCTGGGGATGCCTGATTAGCCAAGTATCGATCAATCGTTTCAGAGGGAAGTCCAGTTACACCGCGGAAATAGTCGAGTCCCAGAGTCAGATAGCCTGCATCGGCATAGCCGTCCATGATGAGCAGGCCATTGTTGAACATGCCCCATACGTCGGGGAAGTAGAGTAAGATGTGGCCATTTGCCTTCCCCTCGGGCGGTTTTGTGATGTACGTTTCCACGCCCGCGATGGTCTCATAACTGCCCCTCGGTTCACCTTTGTGGATTGTGCCTTTGAGGCAACATTCTCCTGACGGCTTGGCCAGATATTTGTCAGCCATGTCTTAACTGCTTTTCGTTGATTTCTTGGTGTGTTCGGTTGGTTACCTAGTCCTGTCATCATTCACGACCCCTCTATTGTTTATCTACCGCCTGACACAGGCCTCGAAACACAAGCCTCGAATCATGACTCGGACGACTCCACTCCCCCACGCAAAGCAGGTCCCGTCTTGCTATCGGCGTTCCGCCGGTCGGCCCGGGGTCCGTAGTACACAAGCTCCACCCGACAAACATGAAAAAACCATCCCTAGATTATTGTTTTCCTGCATTAGATGGTGGGGGGATTATTTCCAGTCGTTGACAGCCTGGTAGGGGACCCCACCGCTCAGACGATTAGCGGCCACATGGCAGGCAGCCCACGGGGACTCATTGAGAGATCGGCAATATTGACCGGCATGCATCCTTGTCCCATGCAGACCCCAATGCCCTGGAGCCGGGGTCCGGTTTGGGAAGCGACTAGCCCCGCTCATAAGCCGGGTTCTTTCCCACGGGGAGCTCCGATACCTTCCTGGCCTTCCCCAAAAGTTGATATTTAGGATGATCCATTCCCCTCCCAGCCAGGTCTTTGGTCACGACACGAGTTAACCCCCTCTTCTTGCGAAACTCCTAGACCAAGGCTGTGGACAATGGCGGATCTTCGACCGGTTGAAACAAACGTCAGCGAGCATCCAGAGGATGGCAAACGTGTCCCTGAGCTCAATGCCGAGCAGGAGGTAAGGAATCACTGCCCAGGGCGCGAGAAAAAAAAAACCCCTGCAGCGCGAAGCTCACAAAGAAAACAGAAGAGTGCTGTCGGATACAGAGAATATGTCCAAGGTCTAGATATCGAAGTCTCGGACAGAGAGGTGAGAGGAATCCCCCGATATCACCCTTCCCCGCCTCTTCACGCCCGCTGACTCCCCGGATTAGAACAGGAGAGTCAGATGGAAGATCGACCTCATCGTCCTCCCGATCTTCCTGATCACCCAGGCTCTGCAGTTCATGGACAAGACTGCCCTGAACTATGCGAACCTCTTCGGGTATCAGGCTGCGCTGAACCTCAAGGGCCAGCAGTTCAACTATCTGTCTGCCAGTGCGTACTCTACACCCGAATCGAAAGGGGTGATGGTGAAGGTGATGTGAGGTGCTGACGGCGAGGGCTGTTAGTGGTGTATGCCGGTTACTTCTTCGGCCAGTACCCCTGCGGTTGGCTCATTGGCCGGTTCCCTGCCCAGAAGGTCATTGCCGTCAGTATTATGAGCTGGGGCGTGCTGGTCATTCTCATGACACAATGCCACAACTATTCAAGCGCATGTGAGTGGCCGTGAGGTCCTATCCTCATGGGGTTTTTGGCAATCATACTGACCAATGTTTGTTTACAGTGGCTGTGCGATGTACGTTGCCCCCCAGTTGGAGGCAGTTATGTGTTTCTAAGCTGACTTGATCTCTAGTCATCATGGGAGTGTTTGAGGCCTCGGTGACACCGTGAGCATCCCCATCCCATCGATATCGAGCTTGCAACCGCTAACCTAACCTTAGCGGCTTGACCCTTATGACAGGTTTCTGGTATACCCGAAGGGAGATTCCTCTGCGACAGTGCATTTGGTAGTAAGTATCAGCCTTGATTACTCGATGACACACTCTTGGGTTGCTTACGAACTGGTTAAAGCTCTGCTCTTGGCTGGGGCGGTATTGTAGGTTGCTCGACCTATCATTGGCCTAGTCCTCGACTCACCTGCTTCTAGATCGGTTCATATATTTCCATGGGCGTGTCCAAGCTACCGGAGACCATGACTCCAGCTCGTTGGCAGCTGATCTTCTACATTGTACGTTCCAGCGTGGATCCGCTATTTGATATCTAACAAGGACTGACGTCTCTGTGCGCTTAGCTCGGCGGTGTCACCTGCCTGTGGTCATTTGTTGTCTACTTCGTCTTGCCCGATGCGCCTTCCAATGCCAGTTTCCTGAACGAGCGCGAACGAATCGTTGCCGTGAAGCGTGTGGCCGGGAACGAGACCGGTATCAAGAATAAGGCCTTCAACAAGAAGCAGGCTCTTCTGGCCTTCTACGACGTGAAGGCAGTGCTGCTTTTCATCTCCGTCTTTGCGGCGTAAGTTTGATACTACTGCTCGGTCTCTCGTCTCTCCTGATGCGGATAATTTCTGACGTTGCGTGTGTCCTCCAGCGCGATCCCCAATGGAGTCGTCAACTCGTTCTCTACAGTCATCATTCGGGACATGGTAAGAACCGATTGACCCCCTTATCAATACACGGAAAACTAAGTCGCTCTCCAGGGCTTTACGACCACGAAAACAACGGCACTTAAATCCGTCGGAGATGCCGTCCAGATCGTAGCCCTCTTCATTGGCGGCGCAATTACGCTCAACATCCGCAACTGTACGCTCACCCAACCCAATTCTCTGCCGGGCGGAACAAACCCAGTGTCTAACTGACATTTCAAAAACAGCCCGACTCCTCACCGCCACGACGGCCAACATCCTCTGCACCCTCTCAGCCGCCCTGCTCGCCTACCTGCCCCGGTCCAACACCTGGGGCCGCCTGGTCTGCTTCTGGTTGACAAACGCGCAGTCCGTCGGCTTCACCGTCTCGCTGACGACCATCTCGTCCAACATGGCCGGCTACACGCACCGCTCGTTCGCCAGCGCCCTGATCTTGTAAGTTTTTGCCCACCTTACTTACCTTACCCTCCCTCCGCCAGGGTAAGGTAGTAAGCAAGGTTCTATCTAACCCGGGTCGACTGCAGCACCGCATACTGCTGGGGCAACTTCGCGGGCCCGTTCGTCGTCAAGCCATCCGAGGCGCCGTACTACCGCGGCGCGACCATCGGGCTCCTGGTGGGCTACGCCATCAAGCTTGGGTGCCATCTGCTGCTTCTCGGTAAGAAAAGTCCCCCGCTCCGTCCCCGCCCCGACCTGATCCTATCTATGGGCTATCCATTTTTCATTTTTCATTTGTATGTTTTTTAAAAGATGGAAGAGCAAACTGACAAGAGGTTCGTCCGACTAGTTTACATGTTCACGGCCAACAGGCGGCGCGATCGCGTATATGGGCCTCCTAATAAGGAGTCGAGTGACGAGGCGGGCATGCAGGACAAGACAGAGTTTGAGAATAAGGACTTCCGTTACGTGCTGTAAGGATGGGAAGACAGGCGCTCGTGAGACGTAATAGCTCGTCGGCTGTCAGACATGGCGTGTAAATGCTAGATTCAAATATTTGTCATCGCATAGATGGCAATGGCTAGATAATACAGCCGGTATATCTGTTGATCAGAACTTCCGCAGGTCGGAGCTATAAACCAGTCACCCTGTGTGTTTGTTCACCAGCACGGATCATCACAAGAACAAGCCCGCTGTATTTGGGATAGGCTTAATATATGGAGGGAACAAAAATGTGCTTAACCCCTTAACACTGGAGGCTCTTTGTGTGGGTGCCTGCTGCCTCCCCATCTTGGAAGGGTAGCATCGCGCAACGTGAGGGAGAGATGGGTAGCCCAGGTTGTCTCAGTCCTCTATTTCTTTTGTTTTGGGTGGCTGCTACTGCCGGGCCATTACGCCAATCTTGACGTACCTTGCCCTCCCCGCGGGGTTTGGATATCCCTATGTATGCTCTATCTGATGGGGCTCTGCTTCGTCCTCCTGGAAGGGTCCTGGCTAGCCTTCTATTCCCCAAGGTTTCCACCGATCCCTGCTGCCCAGCGAGCCCAAAAGATACATATACAGGCCGGCCAAATCAATTCTTTTCGGTAGTGGGATACTGGATCCCAGAAAACCCATTTTCTAAGCCGATGCCAACAACTTCTTGACTTCTGATACCAGATCCGTCCTGGCAATCAGCGATCCCTCCTTGTCTGGGTGGCCATCGGGTAGCCCGAGGACCTTCAACCTGATTTTGCCCGCCGCCAGCTCATCCTCACCGAGGATCAAAGCAATAGGGACACCGCCGGCCTCGGCCGCCTTGAACTGCTGTGGCAGCTTCGGCTTGACCTTGGCTGCGAACTCGGCCTTGATGTTCGCCTTCCACAGTTCACTGGCTATAGACATCCGCTCCAGAAGGAAACCGTTGAACGTCTTCCCGCCAAATGCCATGATGAAAACGTCAACTTCGCTGGATCGCAGGCTGGCTTTCCCTTGCTCTCGTTGCTCCTTCTCGAGCCGTTGCTTCATAATGGTGAAAATCCGATCCACGCCGAAAGACACGCCGACACATGGGATCTGACGCTTTGGGCTGAACATGTTGACCAAGTCGTCGTAACGCCCGCCCGCCGCAATACTTCCAACTCCAACAGAAGGATCGTTTGATAGGTCCTCATCGTTGCCGCCTTTCCGCTTAGTCTTGCCCTGAGACCCTTCAGCTGGGGCGGAAAGCGGCGTGACAACCTCGAAGATCAGTGAGGTGTAGTAATCCAAGCCCCTGGCAAGGGAGAGCGTGAAGGAGACCTTGTCGGCCACCTCAAGCGCGTCCAAGTAGCTGAAGAGGAGTTCCAGGTCATCGAGGCCTTTCTTAATATCCGCATTCGCGGATAGCTCAGGGTCGGATCTGAGGGTATCCACGAGCTCTCGGCCACCCTCAAGCTTAACGTACTCGCCGATCTTGTTGGCAACTGCGGGTTCGAGTCCCTTCTCCTCCATCTCCGCCTTTACCTGGTCCCACGGCATCTGTAACGAGGGGAGTCAGGCTTAATCTAGGTAGCAACACCACGACAGACATACCTTGTCAAGCTTGTCAACCGCAGAGCTGATGGAACGTATCTTATCGGCAGGGACACCGGCGACCGTGAACAGGCCGTCAAGGATCTTTCTGTGGTTGATCTTGATCGTGATGTCCTCACGAAGCCCCAGCGCCTCGAACACCTCCACTCTGCAAGGACTGGAGTCAGAATATTCTTGAAGGTATATATATGATCCGGGGGCGTGGGAGGATCGGCATCGGGACGAGTCAAGCGACAAGTCGAGCCTGAAAAGGGGGATCAGGCCATGGGTCGACTAACATTATACGGACAATCTCGGCATCGGGAATCATAGGGTCATAGATGCCGGCAATGTCGAAATCGCACTGGTAGAACTCGCGCATTCGTCCCTTGGCTACCGCCTGGAGCTTCAGTTAGCTCAAACACGCGGCTCAGAGCGGGGGAGTTGAAGGGTGCTTGCCGGTTGATCCCGCCGATAGACTTTGGCAAGCTGATACCGCTTGATGTGCTGTACTGTAGAATTCATGGCCAACCAGCGGGCGAAGGGGACAGTCAGGTCGTATCGGAGCGCGCATAGCTCCCCACCTTGGTCCGCGAGCTCGTAGATGAGCTTGGAATCCTCGCCATATTTGCCGGCCAGGATCTCCGTCCGTTCAAAGACAGGTGTGTCTAGGGAGGTGCCGCCGTGACGCTTGAAAACGCTTACTATCGACTCGAATATCCGGTCACTAGCGGGCTAGCAATAAGTAAAACAGTCGGGTATCAAGCGTCTCGCACTGGGCCATTACCGTAGTATCATGTCGGTACCCATCCCTTTCACAAGTTAGCTGGGAAGGAAACACCACGAGTGCCGGAAATATCCTACGCACAGTCTCTAGTCCCTTTGGGGGTCTTGAGCTGGATGCTCAGCTTGGCCGTTTTTTCCTTCGATGCCATGTTTGGTTCGTCCTGCCGGTTCGGCGGAGAGATGGAGAATCGTCGACAGGTACAAGTTTCGATTGGGCTTCGACGACGGGTGAAAGTTACGCCTCGTGAAGGTCGGTTGTTGAGAATTTGGAATACCGTGGTTCGAGAGGATCGAAGGGACCGCATGAATGCGAGATGGTGGGATGGTGGGATGGTGGGATGGTGGAGGAGGGACAAAAAAATATCAGAAGTCGGATGAGTCATCCATGTTGACGGGACGGGACGTAGGTAGCAGGGGTGCGGGGTTTAGGGTGCAGTATCGGCGCTCAAGTTAATCCGGGTTTGCCTGGTTGCCGCTAATAATAGGCACAGGTTATCAAATAGGGTTAAAAGTACGGAAGTACGGCATAGAGGTGGCTATTTTAAGGAGAGATGTTTAGATTGTATCTGCGTGGACAAGAAGTCAATATCTGGTCTCTTCAATTTGGTAATTATCGTTTGTTAAGCCGTAATTACTGGATCCTGGAAAGTTGCACTGATGTCTTTCTCATGCGGGGAAAACAACTGCGAGGGCAACATCTCGCGGAGTTCGCTATTAGCCTCCGGAATTGAGAGGGCAGCATGCTCAGAGCTCGTAGGATGCACAAGTTGGATATCGGACATTGAGAGGATACTGTTGTGTAGCTTGTTGTTGCTTAGGATTTTGTACCCAATTACGAAAATACCTGGCCAAAAGGTTGGTTAGTCTTCTTCGATTCCTAAGTGAGTAATTATGGATTACGTAGTAAGTGAGATGAAGAACGATTATTTCTGAGTGCGGTTGGTTGAAGCTGGTGTCTGCGGAGCCAGTCTAGGAGAGTAATGCGACGCCCCCACGATAGAACGAGGGTATGGTATCTCTAGTATAATGACATGTGGTGTGCCTAGTCGATGACATGAAAGTATGTTGACGGTCTAAGTAGACGCGCTAGGACTGATCCTCTGCTCGCTAAACCTTCCAAAGCTGCCTCGAATGAAATGGGATTGTCGGATCATCTTTCATAGGGGATTTCTCCAGGGGCATGCGCTATTTGCTCCGCGGGCAGGCGGTTAGTGCATCACAGGTGGCAGTTGCTGTCTATCGCCATTGCTGTTGCTGTCTATCGCCATTGCTGTTGCTGTCTATCGCTCTTGCTGTCAACTCCTGTCACTCCTGCCGTTGCTGTCCATCGCTATTGCCGTTATTAGGAATAGCAATAGTGACAGCGATGGCAATAGTGACAGAAGTCAAAACGACGAGTGCCAGACTTACGAGAGCCTGATCGGCACGAGTCGTGCCATCCGGAAAGTTGCCCACCACAGCGGCGGCGGCCACAACAGCGTCAAACGCGGCTTGGTTCTGTGAGGCAGCGGCGCAATGGGCGATCGTCTTCTTCACCTAGCAGTCGCCACTACTAGCCACAGTTTGAAGCCACATCTGCCTAGAGTTAGTATACTGACGTCGGAACAAGGAATTGGGACCATACTAGGGTTAGTCTTGCAGATTTTACCGGCCAAAACGCAGGGCAGGTAAGGGTCAGCCTCAAATGACCATCAGGAGGCACTTCTCCTTATCAACAGAGCTAGGGTTAGACACTAGCAGGCTAAGAAGTCAGCAAAAGGTCGCAATAAAGACAGAGAATTGGGGGCCAGAGGGTTACCTACTTGTGAGAATCTCGATAAGCATTGCAGAGAGTATGCGGAAACGTGGAGTGAAGACTTGGGTGGAATCAACGTGACTAGGACTAGACAAGGTCAGCGCAATATCGCAACAGGCCAACAACAAATCGCAGGCATAACGACCAACACACAAACAAGTCAGAAGCTGCCTGGACTCACTAAACCCAGTCTCCTGCAACCTAGCAACCCACAACAAAGGCCCCACAAGTGCCACGGCAAAGACCTCTCCATGACAGGGCAACAAGGCAGACTGCATGTCTGCAAGACAAAAGCCTTTCCCCTGTGACGGGGGGGCCAAGAGACCAGGGAAGTTGCTTCAAGAGGAGAGTACAGGGTTTTCATCCAGCCCCCTCCCCGACTACGACACAGGCACGGTTTTATCCTATCTATGCATACCAAGCTAGATGAGCGGCATGGCACTAAGCCGAAAGCTGCGTACTAATAATAATAATAATATAGAAGTTGTCTATCTCGACTCCGTCGTGCCATCTCCTCGTCGAGGAGGAGCAAGAACCTGGGCATCCTAAGCCCTGTCGACGGTGACGACCTGGGGGAGCGGCCTGGGCATGGTGCTCGCGGCCGACGGGGCCGCGACGCGCGTGTCGTGGACACGGCGGTCGAACTGGCGGAAGTTGAGGACGCCGAGCAGGTCGGCGCGTGCGGCCGCCAGCGCACCGGCCGCCTGGGCCATGCGCTCGGGCGTCGGCTCGGACACGAAGGCCTTGGCGCGGAGCATCCAGTTGGAGCTGAGAGGGCGGAGGTCGGAGAAGGCGGGGAGGAAGGTCCGCGGCTCCGTCTGCCTGATAGGGACCAAGGGATCTTCTCCGGGGTAGATGTACATGCGCTCGAGGGTGTACTCGACCGAGTCGCGACACCAGGTATAGGACTCCTCGATGCATTCTGCCTTGATGGTGTGGGCGTTCTGGCCCAGGATGCTGATCAGACGGTCCTGGTTGCGGATGTCGAGCATCTTACGCTGCACGTGCAGGACCTGGGGCGGGACAGGATCCGGGATGTCGGTCCATCTCAGAGTGCCCTGCCTCTGGTCCAGACTGGAGGATCCGCCGACTTCTTGGCCAAACTCGTCTTCGTTGAGCTGATATCGCACTGTCATGAGGTATGATTGCTTGGTGAGATATTGGTGAAGGTCATTGAACAGCCGCCGATTTGGCGTCCCGTCTAGATCCCCGACCTTCTTGAAGCCGCTGGGACGGTCTGGGCCGGTGTAGTACAGTACGCGGGTGAGCTGGTGAACTTCGGGCATGGCGCAGTATCCCTGGAGGACAGAGCGCGCCGCCAGAACATCGTTGCCCGGCACTGAGGCGGTGAGAAATAGCTCATGCATTGCGGGGATATGATAGGATGGTGTTTGCTGCTTGCTGCTTGTAGAATTTTGTGATGTTCTGTTTCGGAGAGCCTCGAATAATGCCTAGGTAGGTGTACCTAACAATACCTGGGGAAAGCTTATCGGTGCCCGCAGGAAGACGGGATGCACCGGGCTAGAGGTACTGTACCTAGCCGATGTGGAACCTACACAGTGCGAAATTGACTCAAGGTTTGCGGTAATTTTGAAAAGATTGCCGTATAACCTACTGTGAGAACCCTAAAGGCACACTGTAATGAACATGGGGCAATCCAACCCGTACCCACCTGATAATTAATGAAATTCTAACCTCTCGTTCGTGAGGAGCCGAGCCTCAATCACTGCCAAGGTTCTAGGCAGGTATGTCCGTACCCAGGTTGTACCACTCTTGGCACCGGATTCTAGTGTGGGTTTGATCCGTTTTCGGGCCCTGGAAATTTCCATTCTCCGGCTTCTGGGTCTTTCCCCTCCATTACCTCGGTGGGTTTGACTGGTCAGAACCCCGACGAAGGCTCTCAATGAACGGAAGCGCTAAATCCCGCCACAAGTTATGCAGCCCCCGACATAAATGACAAAAGCTAATAATGCCCGTCTCCCCTTACTCTTTGGGCATGTATTCTCCTCGAGTGATAACCTTCTCTCCCCATCTTAATTATTCCTTCTTTTTCTTTGGCAGAGCCTTTTTTTTTGTTCTTGGGAAGTAATTACACTCAACAAGCTGCCACTCTTTTATATCCATAATGGCGGGAGTCTCGCCTTCGCCGAAGACACCGTCCGTCGACGTTGAGAATGAAATCACCAAGAAACCCTCCCTGGACGACGACGCCACCATTACTATAGACCTGGAGGCTGGCTGCACCGACCCCGAGGAGAAACGGCCTGTTACGGAAGATGAAGACGACCCCAACCTCGTGTCCTGGGATGGACCAGATGATCCTCAGAATCCCAAGAACTGGCCGGATTCCAAGAAGTGGTTCAATATCGCTGTGCTCTCCATCTTAACCATCATCACGTGAGTCTAGCCGCCTGACCGGCGAACCATGTCGTTGGGTTTATGCTGACTTGTCCCAGCCCACTGGTAGGCCGATATAAACCGTCGCATAATAGCCGATCTGCCGATACTGACTAATTATCCTGTGTAATAGGGCTCGTCGATGTTTGCGCCGGGAATTCCCAAGATTATGGTCGAGTTTCACAGCTCGTCTTCCACCACGGCCACCTTCGTCCTATCCGTCTACATTCTTGGCTTCGCCTTCGGACCTCTTTTAATTGCCCCCTTGAGCGAGATATATGGCCGCGTACCGCTCTACAACCTCGGGAACCTCCTGTTCACCATCTTCACGGTTGGCGCGGCCCTGAGTACCAACATGGGGATGCTGATGGCATTCCGTCTCCTCATGGGGCTGGCCGGCGCCGTCCCCATTACTATCGGAAGTGGGACGATTGCCGACATCATGCCGGTGGAAAAGAGAGGTAGGGCCATGTCTGCATGGGCTCTCGGCCCTTTGCTCGGCCCCTGTGTGGGCCCGGTGGCTGGAGGATATCTCATCGAGGCCGCAGGTTGGCGATGGGTCTACTGGTTGATCACGATTCTGGTATGCCTGCCTTCGGAGTTACACTGCGTTTGGGGCGAACAGGCACTGACGGACATTACAGGGCGGTATCTTCATCCCAATTGCCTTCTTTGCGCTAAGCGAGACCTATGCACCAGTCCTACTTGAGCGCAAGGTTCGCCGCTTGCGTAAGGAGACGGGGAACCTGTCACTGCAAACCAAACTGGGGAGACAGAGCACCGTGACGGACCAGTTCAAGGCGGCCATCATCAGGCCGATGAAGCTCTTGCTGCTGACGCCTATTATCACACTCATGGCATTATACGTCGCCATCACGTATGGAATCTTGTATCTCCTGATCACCACCTTCTCCTTTGTCTACACCGGACAGTATGGCTTCGGCGAGGGTACGGTCGGCCTCACATACCTGCCAGCCGGGATTGGTATGATGATTGGGGTCATCACCTTTGGCCAGGTCTCGGACCGCCTGGTCAAATCTCAGCAGGCGAAAGGGTTGGAGGCCCAGCCAGAAATTCGACTCAAGCCAGCGGTCACAATGCCAAGCGGCATCGCCCTCCCCATCGGGCTCTTCATTTACGGTTGGACCGCCGACAAAGGCGTCCACTGGATCGTACCCATGATCGGTGTGGTTATTTTCACCGCAGGACTCATGGGGGTTATGGTATGTCCTTCCGAGTCCTTCCCGCTTCCCTTTCCCCGTGCTTCCCCGTGACAACGAAAACTAACGGCCAGCAGATGTCGGTCCAGAACTACCTCCTTGACTCGTACCCGCAGTATGCCGCCTCGGTGACAGCCGCCCTGACGGTGCTGAGGTCTCTGCTTGGGGCCCTCCTGCCATTGGGGGGCTTGCAGATGTACGACGCGCTCGGCCTTGGCTGGGGGAACAGTTTGCTTGCATTCATTTCGCTTGCCTTGGTTCCCATCCCACTCGTGTTTTTCCTTTTCGGGAAGCGCCTGCGAACGAGGTTCAATCCTGCGCTGTAAACCTGTCGGTGGATAAACAATTAGCATTTTAATCTTCTTACCCTAGGTATTATAGAGCAGGCGGATGAGGGATAGATAATTGTCCATCGCCATATCTAATTAGTCGAGGACAAGGCAAAAGGAATAGACATGACCAGCCTATGCTTTCATCTGCTGGGAGAAAAATAAATCGAGACTTGTGATATTCGCAGCATGTCGTTTATGAGACAAAGTGTGCAAGAAGAGCCGCAACTTGCATGGGCCTTAGATCTGATCAATTGGGAAGGAACGGGCGTCCCCATAACCGGGGATCCCCACTCAGGAAATTTAGAGGGTATCATCCGCTTGTCCTGGGCCCATATCCGGCTATTCGGGGCGACATTGCACACATTCGGCGAGCTCGTTGATAGGTTCCCGCAAATTGACCCTCCGAGGTGCTGCATTTGGAGCGCCGGTGGGGCCTCCCCCCTACCAATTGTCTTACATGGGGCCCGGAATCATGATGCCCGCAATCCGGGGCGATGGAGCCGTCCATCACTATCGTTCGTTAATATAAGAGGCCCGTACCGCACAGCTCCTGGATGGATCATCTCTCGCTGTTCCTGCGTCAGGACAATCTTGCACCCTGCTCTTCGTCCCCCCACCCCACTCGAGCCAAGCTTTTTTCTGCAGCATCGATAACCCAGTACCATGGCAGCCCGATTCTTGGCTCTTCTCTTGGTACCCGCTGCTGCGGCGGTTGGGCGGTCTGGCCAATGCGGAGGCGCAGGAGACGCGAAGTACCTCATCACCTTGTAAGTCGATGTACCTGCGTCCAGGACTGTGTGAGTTTCGGGGCCAATGTCTTTAACCCATCACCAGCGGAGACTCGTACTCCCAGACCGGCTTCGACGTTACCCTGGCCAAGCCGAGTGCCGCAAACCCAATCGGCAACCCAGCTCTGCCAGGCTACACGGCCAGCGGCGGGCTGAACTGGGTCGGCTTCCTCGCCTCGCAGTTCAACGCGTCCACGCTCCTCACGTACAACTTCGCCTACGGCGGCGCGACCACCGACGCTGACCTGGTGACGCCGTGGCAGCCGACCGTGCTCAGCTTCATCGACCAGGTCGGACAGTTCAGCGACAGCATCGCGTCGCACCCGTCGTACGCGCCCTGGACCGCCAAAAACACCCTCGTCGGCGTCTGGATGGGCGTCAACGACGTCGGCAACTCGTACTACAATGAGGGCGTGGACGAGCTCCTGGTCAAGATCATGGACAAGTATTTCGAGCAACTGCAGACCATCTATGATGCCGGCGCGCGCAACTTTGTGCTCCTCACCGTTCCGCGTAAGTCCCTCCCTCCGTTCCCATCGCGTTTACCACCCGTCACCGAGGAAACCAAGAATGCAAGAGAATGGACAGACAGACAGACAGCTAACAATAACCCCCTCACAACAGCCATTACCAAGACACCCATGATGCTCGCGCAGTCCGACGACGCGCGGGCCCAGGAAGACGCAGTGATCACGCAGTACAACTCCCTGATCGCATCGCGGCTCGAGGCCTTCTCGGCCGCCAACAAGGGCGTCACGGGCAAGGTGGTCGACACGGCCGCGCCCTTCGACACGGCCATCGCGGACCCGGAGGCCTACGGGGCGCCCAACGCAACGTGCTACGCCGAGGACGGCAACTCGTGCCTGTGGTTCAACGACTACCACCCGGGTATTGCCATCAACAAGTTGGTGGCGCAGGCGGTGGCGGATGCTTGGTTAGGCAGTTTCTTTTAAGAGGCAATTGGTGGTTGGGTAATGAGGTTGGGTGGTGTCTTGATATGGGTTGTTAGTCAGAAAAAAATATACGGGGGTTTATGGATCTCTAAACCTTTTGTTTGATGTCCCTAGGCTGATCCCCCGGTAATTAATGCTCACGTTGCCGTGAAAATATTGGAAATATCTCTTCGGTTTTCCATCAGATTTAAGACCACCCTTCACAACTTGGTAAGACGAAACTTTTCGCGATCCTACTTTTCCGCATGTAACTTCATCTCCCATTTCATCAATCAAGTATCAAAAGAAGGGCCATTTTGGCCATAGTTTAGGGGATCTACGGTTCCCCCCAGCATTGCTGGGAACTTGCACCTTTTCAATATAATTTGGGCCCCTAAATAAGTTTGCCGCTAAAATACAGAGAGGTACCTGCCGCTAAGAAGCTACCGCGCCGTGGTCCAAGCTCCAAGCTCCATCGCCAACTGCCTTCCACCAACTCTGCACCTCACAGCGATGCGGAAGGTGTGCTATCGTGGGATCCACGGTTCTCCCACGCCGGGAAGAGCGGCTGATCTATTACTACCCCGCTAGCAGCTTGGGCGCCAATCAGGGTCAGGCTGCCGAAGCAGGCTGTGGTGACAACGAAGTGATGGCGCTTCCGATTCGGTGCTGCATTTGCATGCATCGGCACCCCAGCTGTAGTCCTCGTTGATTTGGAAATCGCGCAATGCAGCGAATTGGTAGTCCGGCTTCTGTGCCGGGGCTCTACTGCATAGTAAAACAACCGACGTACCCCCCCGCATGTAACCCAGTTCAGCTCGGCCCAGTCCTCACTTCATCCATTACCCATCCTTCGTCACGCCTAATTTTGCATACTGCTTGGTTCCGCCGCCAATATTTGTCGCCCGACACACTACACCGCCAGCGACAGTCAACCCGTCAGACAAGTAAGTCAAAGCCTTGCCGACACAGCCTTCTTCGCGGCCGCCGCCAACATGGAGGACCCAACCCCCGTCCCCGATGCTAGTCGGGGTGAGAGCACAAGCAAGGACAAGAAGACTGAGCCTGACAGCCAGGCTGTCACGGACTTGCACAAACATTTACTGGATGCGGCCGAGAAAGCTGCGGATGATCCCAAGAGAGTCTCTGACTTGATCGATCAAATGGCGAGTTCTCAGACGCCCAACTTCGCGCCGAGAAACGACAATGGAGAAACGCCGCTGATAGTGCTCCTTCGCAATGGCTGCACCGACGAGGATTTGGTTATCAAGCTGTTGGGGAAGATGAGTGGGGACGAAATCGACGCCACCGATAAAACTGGCTCGTCCGCCCTGCATGAATCAGCAAGTGAAAACCTATTCTACGCTGCGGATGCTCTCTTATCCCGGGGAGCTAAACCCGACCTCAGAGATGAGCTCGGCCGCACGCCTTTGCACCACGCCTGCTGGAGCGGCTTCCTCGACATCGTCAAACTTCTTGTGAAGCACAGCGTCGAGCACTCCTTGGACCTCGACGCTAAAGATAATGATGGGTGTACTCCGCTAGACCATGCTTGTCAGAGCGGCCACACGGATGTGGTGCGCCATCTTATGGACCCGGGCCGTCCAGGGGCGGTCGTGAATGTCGATATTGTCGATAATGACGGGTGGACGCCGTTGTCAACAGCAGCTCGATTCGGGCATGGAGATATTGTTAATGATATTCTGGGGCATGGAGCGATAGTCGATACCGCTGACGATGAAGGGTTAACGCCGTTATTGGTGGCAGCTCGATTCGGGCATGGAAATGTTGTTCAAGCTCTCCTAAGCCGAGGAGCGACAGTCGACAAGGCCGACAATAAAAAGTGGACACCGTTAAAGATGGCAGCTCGATACGGACATGGAGATATTGTTGAGGCTCTTTTAAGGCAACAAGCAACAGTTGATACAGCTGATGATGAAGGTTGGACGCCGTTATTGGCGGCAGCTCGATACGGACACGGAGATATTGTTGAGGCTCTTTTAAGGCAAGAAGCAACAGTTGATACAGTTAACGATGAAGGCTGGACGCCGTTATTGGCGGCAGCTGAATTCGGGCACAGAGATATTGTTGAAAGCTTACTCAGGAATCGGGCGCATCGAAATAAGGCAGCCAAGGATGGGCGGACTCCACTGTCAAGAGCTAGCGCAAGTGGTTATGCAGATATTGTCTCCGTCCTCCTGAGGGATATGAAATCAGGTGATGTGGACATCCCTGATAACGAGGGTATGACTCCTCTCCATTGGGCTTGTTGCTCTTCTCAGTATGGGGAGGAACCTCTAGATGGGGAGAAACGAGGATCGAGTACCCCAGGGCAGTATCTGCAGACTGTCGAGCATCTGATCGAAAAAGGGGCGAAGCTCGATGCACTCACGAATGCTGGTGAGACGGCTCTTGATCTTGCGGTCCAAAAGAGGCACAGACAAACGGCGATGGCTCTGTTGCAGCACTCCGGCCCTGTCAAAGCTACAGAAATCAACGGCGACATCCTGGACTGGGCGATCGAGGACGAAAGGACTCACGGGATTGTACGGATGAAAATTAAGGAGGGACCCAGAGTACACACCCAGTACAAGGGCATCGAGCTCAAAGAAAACTGTACTGTGCTCGAATTAGCTACTTTCCACGGGGACTCCGAGATTGTCTGGAAGTTACTCCGTACTCCCTCTGTGGCAGATGTGGTCCGGGGGACGCGGGAGGATGCGAAGCGCGTCCTAGATGAAGTCGAGGAGCAACGGCGCCGGAACAAGGAAAGTACCAAGCGACCGGAACGTGACGATTTCACTCGAAAAGATAAGCAGAAGACATCAGGAAAGGACGAGAAGAAGACATCAGCAGAAGACGAGCAGTGGACCTCGGCAAAAGACAAGCAGAAGACACCGTCGGAAGACGAAGAGACGGACGCCCACTATGCCCTCATCAAGGAGCTCTTGAATGGCAAATACATCGAAACGTCAATCCAGCGCCTAAAAGCGCCAGAGGCAGGCGTGACCGTCGCCTTCAAGCCACCGACTGCCATTTTCGACTTCTACGCCGTTGGAATCGGTTCTAGGGTTCAGCAGAGCAAGTACAGCGTGGTCGACGTCATTTACGGCGAGGGGCCGGAGAAACTGATGGAAAAGGAAAGGCAAAGAAATAAATTTGTTGAGAGGCTGCTAGGGAAGTTGAGGTCCCAAGAAGAGGGCATCCAGGCGAATGCAACACCGAACGACCCGAGTATACAGGCGAAGGAAACTTTTCAGTTTCGATGGATTCACTTGCCTGCAAACAATGTAAGTATACTCTCTGAGACTTGGAAACGAGAACGGGACCGCTGACTGGATATAGATGCAATGGATGGAGGTAAGAACGCCCCGAGAGCGCGAAAGGGCGTCAACGGGATCCTTGCAAAAGGAGCCTTTACCGCGCGAAGCGTTCAGGTGCACTAAACACTAAACTATAAGTCACACAGGACTTGACTATGAAAGTACTACACGAGCAAGCCACAACCGCCAAAGCCCTCAGCGAGAACGCACCAGGCGCCAAGGTAGAGGAAAGCGAGCACGATGAGGAATTCCGGAAGTTGAGCTCTTTTCTCCAAAACAGCTGGCTCGAATTTCCAAACGCATCGTCTTCATCTCGGCTTATGAAGCCCAAATTCGTGGTACGTTGTTGTCCCAAGTTCTAGGCTTGCTTTTTCTTCAATTAATTGCCCATGCAGAAAACTAAGCTTGCTGTACCCAGAGCTCCTAAACCACAAGCTCCTGAGTCAAAGGACCTGAAGTCACCGGCGAGCGACGACAACGAAACCGAACGATTTGCACTTTACGTATGTGCGACCGAAGCGTCTTAGATGCCGATTGCTAACCGGGGCTTTAGATGCCCTACCTTACCTTCGCTACACAAAAGAAGAATACAAGGGGCAATGAGTATTACGACGAGTACGAGAAGCTACTCAATGACTATAAAAAAGAAGTTATTCATGGATCGCGGACTCTAGACGAGTTCTTCTACCAGTTCAAGTCGGACAAGCTCTACAGCGAGGATGACATTGCAGAGCGCAACAAGGACCAGGTTGTCACCAAGTGGCTTCACCGCGACGCCCAATTCAAGGTTCTCGACAAACAGGGGATTAAGGAACTCGACGAATGGACTCTTTTGAGAGTAGATCAACTATGGCTGTGGGTTATCGGACCCAGTAAGTCTGGTCCCTCCTGGTGTCTGGTAAGCTCAGGACAGGACTGAAGTTCTCGCTAGAAACCATCATTACATCGTCGACTCACCGCCTTGACGGACGCGAGGATATTGTCTTGAGCAGTGTCCAGAGCCACCTCCAAAAGAGCAACGACCTGCCGAAGACGGTACAGGAGCTGACACGTCTGCTAGTCGACATCTGCATTCGGCTGTACGACGAGGCGAAAGAGCCCGAGTCGGCAAGCGGCCGAGGAGTGAAATTGAAGGACCTGTCCGTCCGTGACATATTCTCAAACTCCATCAACAAAGCGGTCAGTTGCCCCCAATCACTGAAAATCCACAGACGTCGTCGGAGAACCGCGAGGTTTAGAGTAAAATACCCTAACGTGGATCGGGAGTAGGCCGTGGAGGAAACAGAGTTGTTCAAAATCTTCACGGAGAGCGAAGAAACCAATGGGGAGCACAAGATGGAGTCCAAGCAGTCCACCACCAACCGCAATGGGCCCATGGTCAGAGCTGCGAGGCTACTCTGCACGATCAAGGACCTGCGTGACGAGCTAAACATCCTTAGAGCCGTCGTTTCGCAGCAGCAGCACGTGCACAAAGCGGTACAGGATGGGCTGTTCCGTGGCCAAGCTAGACGGTCCCAAACGACGTCGCAGATTGTTAGCGAAATCAAGGATATGGACAAATACGCCGAGAGACTCAACGCAGCGGTAAGTCATGGCGTTGTGATTCGTGTCTCCCGAACTAACGGGTTGGGTCCCAGGTTGACGCAACTCTCGGCCTGCAGCAGAATAATATTGCCATTGGATACTCGACTGAGTCGGTAGAGCAAGGGAACACGCTCATGGTCTTCACCGTCACAACCATCATCTTTGTAAGTCAATCGAATTAGATATCCTCAAAGACCCTTCCTTTCCTGTGTCGACTAATAATTTAATCCATGTTTTTAGCTCCCAATGTCGTTTCTGGCCGCCCTGTTCGCAATCAATATCTCCGTCTTCCCACACGACGACGAAACCAAGGAGTTGCGATACAGCCCGGGATTGATTTTCCCCATCATATGTAAGTCGGCCGAGAGGCGACATGGCACAACCAACCGAGGACTAAGGCTAACTGCGCTTGCAGTTGGTGTGACGGCCGTTGTCTCAGCACCATTGATACTCTACGCTTTCCAAGAGAGGATATTGAAGCGGCATCCATGGCTTCGCGGCCTGGGGTGGACCGGATCGGGCGAATCTGACAAGCAGCACCAGCGCCACACTTTCCAAGAGAGGATGGGGAACAGGCTTCGCAGCCTGCGGCGGACCGGACCTGACCAGCAGCGCCATCTCGACGCTCTCCAAGAGACGCTCCGGAACGGGCTTCACAACCTGAGGAGGACCGGACGTGACAAGCAGCGCCAGCTTGTTGATCCAGAGAGGTAAACCGGGGGACTAAAATGGCTGAGCAGCATCGTGAAGCTACTTCGGAAGCACCCATTACGCTGGGTTAATCACCAACAACGGACAGCGATATAATATTAGCAAGTAGTCTCAAGGCACAATCTCAGCTTCTCGCGCTGCTGGGTCGCTTGTTTCATGTGAAGCGCCTATTTGTTCATCTGGAATGGCCAAAGCACTGGTCCCCTCCAAAGTTACTGGACGACATATGCAGGAAGCCTTATAAAGAGAATCCAGGCTGTGGTATTGGGGACCACTACATACATGGAAGAACCGAACACGTTGCTGAGAGGGAGGTGTGGTTGGAGAAGATGGTTATGGGTGCTTCATACTACACTAGCAATTCGTTGGGTAGGGAAGAATAAACTTGATTTGATACCATCCCTTGGCATCTTGGTATCGACCCTATTTGGAGACCTCCATGGTCAGGCAAGTGGAAAAAACTGCAGGAAATTGCGAGGTTCGACTCCTCTTCATGAGTCACCGGGACCTTTAAAAGCTTCATATTCTGAACTCTATGGTCTCTAAGCCTCTTCTGCCTGCTGCGTCCCATGTGTAGCCGAAGTGCTGATCATTTAAGAGGAACTCCCTCTCTGCTCTAGATCTAGGTATCACCGAGGGGCCGCCTTGAAATATATTTCAACGTTTTCTTACTGTGTCCTTGCCTTTCCCCTTCGAGATGGTGGTGTCCTTTGAGTTGCCTTTGCTCTTGGAAGAGAGAGGCGTCTTTCCCTTGCCTTCGCGGCGAGTTTTGGACGACGAACCTTCAGTTGACTGGCCAAGACTCTGACTCTGAGTCTGACTCTGGCGACTGTCGTCCGGCATGGAACGTGGATCATTGGGATCGTGCCACCCTTCAGAGATGGGCGCTAGAGGGGACGGCTGATATTCCAACTCATAAAATGGGTCGTATTCCCCGTATTCGTCAGACATGGCTAGCTCGTGCGTAGTATCCCTGTCGTCCTGAAAATTGCGCTGTGCTTGTCTAGGGCTCGAATGACCGAACGGAGTGTCCTGGAGCGTAAGGGAACCGGGGTCGAAAGCACCTTCATATCCATACTGATTGTCGACAGTTGAGGTAGGCGGGTAGTGGTATGGGTTTTCTTGTAACCAATGCTCAGGCTGGTCCCCATATTGGTCGTAAATATCGTCAAATAACCCAGGATATAGGTCTTCAACATTGCCTTCCATGTATGATCCTTCCGGCGGTATGGTGACTGAACTAGGTTGATTCTTAGGCCCTCCGGTACGATCGACTCTTGTTTGGCCATCACCACCTTCCTTTGCGCGTGGCCGGTGTTTCTGGTGTTTCTGGTGCGACGTCGTTCTGTGGTCAGGCTGGGGTTGAAGGTATACAGTCAGACCCTCGTCCTCACCATCTACCTCGGTGGACGTTATTGCGCCTCTTGAACGCTCTGGTCTGTCGGAATGTCTCCGAACCGGGCCGTCTTTGAGTTTCTTCGAGGATTCCCCTTTCCGGTGTGATTTGGGATCCGACGAAGGTGACTTCTCCTGAAGTCTACGACCACAGATATGTTCAAGATTCCCACCGTCTTTACAGGCCATGCATGTGTGGCATGTCTCCGGGGTCTGTTTTTCTCTCCTCGGGGAATCTTTGCGCCTCACTGCATCGCCCGGTACCCATAGTCCATGAGCATCACAGTAGTACCCGTGCCCGCAATCGCAAGTTACCTTGGCCCATTCTTTATTACCTTTTCTCCAGTCCTTGTGAGCTTTCTTGAACAAATCGGCACTTCCACGGTATATAGGATTGTCCTTGACGGGCTCAGGAATTGGAGGCAGTGCTGGTGCAGCCAAGGCTTTACAGTGCCACGGGCAGCAAGCGCAGATCTGGTTGTCTGTCGTTAGCGTTCATGGTTTGAAAAGCCAGTCCTGCACCGTAATTACCCTCTGCCCGTCTGCATCCCTGTCATGTTCGCACCCTGCCTCGTCAATCACTCTCGGTTGTTGCAACCAAGCACCGGCTTCATCGAATCGACCAGGTTCCAGAATGAACCCTTCATTCAAGGTCAGACGACCCAACTGGTCATCGACCTGATCGGAATAGCCCTGCACTACCCGATCAAATCGGGCGCCCAAATGACTAGACGGGGAGCCTGTCTGGTTGAAAAGGCGAGTTTGGGAAGCTTGCTGGGCCGGCGGGGTTGTAATCTGCCCCTGCGGAAAGGCGCCGTGTTCTTCCCGTTGGAGCCCTGGGTGGGTTTGATCATGGTGGCTGTAGGGCTGTGGCTTGCCCAAAGGTTGAGGCGAGGTACTCCCATGGCTGGAATGCCCTTTTTTACCCGCACCTAAGTCTGCAGTCTGCTGGTGAGACTCGGCATCCTCGTCAACCGTTCCAGACTCGATAGCACCTTGTTGAACGGTGTATTTGGTCCGCTCCATCTCGCAATCTAACACCTGCTGTGAATCGTGACTTTGCCGGAGTTAGGGGTCCAGGGAAGGGTTGGCGAGAACAGCAAGGAAGCACGAGGTGCGATACGATTACGGGCTAAATATAAGGCTCTGCAGGGACTGGCCTCATCTCGCAGGGAAAGAGGCTCAACTGCAGCTACTTGACCGACGAAACTCTACGGAATGGAGAGCAGCTAATAAAAAAAAATGCTTTGCTTCCCTACTGGTTCGAGAATCAACTCCCGGCAACTGTTGCCTTTCGACCCAGGCAGATTTTTCGAATCTGTGAGGTGGTGCTGAAGGACAGCGCATGATTCGCCCTCAGTCGTGAAAGCAGCCCACCACCAAGCAGAGCAGAGGAAAGGGGACGGCAAGAATTGGGCAGCCCTGAGCAGATTGGGCTACGTTGTCCTTGGGTGCCGTAGTTGAGACACATAAACGCCTCGTGCTGCAAGGTCTGATGCGCAGGTGACTCCCTGTGATACCCTCCATTTCATGACAGCCAATTTACAACAGGAGGTGCCAGCGCCTTTGTTGGTGAGAGATGTTGACTGCTCGTCGTTGGGCTACAAGCTTGCAAGTGCTTGCGCAGACGTTGATAGATGCGCGCTGCAACCGTCCCAGGGCCCGATTCGTCGGCCTTTCTTCTTCTTCTTCTTCTTTTTTTTCTACGACTGCTTGCGTAGAATATCTGTATAGCATGCCAGTCGATCAATGCCAGGTCAACTTTGGGACGAAATAGCCGTGTGAAGCCTGATTCCGAGCCCCATGTCGCTCGCATACTATCAGGATGAATTGCTGCCAAGCGTTCAAAAATGCAAAGCACCATCCGAATGGAATGTCTGGGGTGATACCCGCCCACCTGCATGTCGAGTTGGCCCACTTTCGTCCAATCATTGTGTAGCCCCAACCCTGTTGAGGTTGTAGCCGGTCGCCGGTGAGGCCACTTCCTGCAGTCTCTCACCTATCAGGGCAGTCCCGGGCAAGCGCCAGCCTTACGGTGTGAGGGAAGACGCAGCCTAATCTCGACAAGGATTCCCACCTTTTTTTCGAGGACCCCTCGACGTCCACCCATCTACGCGACGCTTGTCGAGTCCTGAATTGGACGGGAGAGATTTTTAAGATGAACAGTGAAACACGGTATGTGTCGGTGGACCAAGGAACGGATCACCATGAGCGACGACGATGCCTCAACTGGCATGCACGCTGAACCCAAGTCAAAATGGGCACGGACGAGCGCCACATGCTGGTGCTGGAGAGAAGCAATCAAGGTCTCTGTCACAGCGCGCTCACCGCCTCTGCCCCTTGTCTTACTTCCGGCGTCGCACCCGGATGATCACGAAAATTGACCGTAGCGTAGATCCACAATGACGGCAACAAAGACCGCCCCGAAAAACAAATTCCTGTAGCGTCGAGAGAACAACAAATTCCTGCAGGGTCGAGAGAACCAAGTACCTCTATCGCCATTTCCAGTCCGCAAGCGGTTCAGGAACAGGTCGCCGAGTTGTTAAAATCATACAAGAACGGAAAGCCGGCCGGAAAGCTTAGCCACCTCTCGAGAGGTTTGCTCCGATACTGCAAAGTGGTTGACCTCTTCTGCGAGGGAGAGCCTGTTCAAGTCGGCGTGGTGTGGGGGTTCTTCAGATTCCTGATCCAGGTGGGCATCAAACAGTGCTTCCGGCAGAGCTGCTGCCGGTCAACTGACAGCTGTGTAACAGGTTGCAGCACAGGAGGCGGACTGGGTCGACACTATTAGCGAATCGCTGGAATCAGTTCTGCAGTTCATCCAGCGGGGCGAGATCATCTTAGATATCACCAGGGAAACACCGCAGCCAAGGCTCTCCGAAATCAGACAACGGGTTGCCAGACTGTTTGCATGCACTATCTACTTCCTCCAAAAGGCGAAAACCCACCTGGAAAAGAGCAGGCTTCGTAAGTGAAAGCTGGTTTCTGTGCTTACCTAGACAGGAAAACTTACCGTGAGATTGTGCTAGGCCGGGTGAAGAGGGCCGTGTTCGAGAACTTGGACGAGAAATTTGCCAAGAAACTCGAGAAGCTGAAGAACGAGGCCAATGAGCTCACAGTGTTTATGCAACAACTGATTTATGAAGGTAATTATATGCCAACCAACTTCCCGAGCGCATGCAGATAGCCGTTGCTGGTTCCACCAAGTGCTGGCGACCGGTACTACTCTCGTCACCCCCTGTTTTTGGACTCTAACGCGGGTGGACTCTTTAATTAATCACTGACTAACGTCTCTCCCTTGTAGACTTTCAAATACACCGATACCAAACTTCCCTGTGGCACAGTATGTGAAAGGAGCCTCGCCGCCACGAGATGCTGCTAATCTAATTCGCGTGAAACAGAGAGTCTTGACAGCCGCTTGTCAGAAATGATGGATTTCTTGGATGGTCAGTCAAGATATCATTCCTATCAAATGCTCAAGTTCTAATCCGGCCTCATTAAAGAGAGCTTCATCAGAAGTCTCGCCGTGCCTGGTTCTCGTTGGCGCCACCCGATGGAGCTGCTGGAAGGCAGTCCTGCCATCTCTGGTCAAGGCATCGATGACCCAACACCTGGTACTTGCCAGTGGGTGCAGAAAGACGCAGCGTACACTGATTGGTTGAACAATGGGCATTGTATTCTCTGGCTTCTTGGTTATCCAGGTGGGTAGCCCGATCCGCGTGGCTCGGGGGGCCCCATGTCAACTACTAAACGGTCGTCTTAGGAACTGGCAAGTCGGTCATCATGAAGTACTTGGCTACCAGAGCTATCGAGTCTGAGAAGTTTGCCTTTTTCTTCTCTCGCATTCCTGATAAGCAGGACAGGTCACCGACAACATTTCTTCGGAGTTTCCTGGGCGCAGTTTCAGCGACCGATCGCGAGTTAATCAAGGCACTCACCTCTGCGCCACCACCTTCCCAACTTGACTGGCAACGACGACAGGAAAAGGCATGGAGCATAATCCACGAAGCTTTGAAAATAAGGGGAAGATTTACTGTACTCATCGACGGGTTAGATGAGTGTCGGTTCATCGACGACTCCGACATTTCCGATTTCATGGCCAGAATAACCCAGCTCTGCGCTCACCCGAACGTTCGAGTGATAGTAGCTTCCCAGCACCAAGGCCGGTTTCATGATCACATCCACAAAAGTCTACAGCTGCAAGTCAACCACGACAACGTTCACAACGACATTGCTATCTACACCGTCGACTTCATCAATACCAATCCAATTCTCGAAAAATGCCGGAACGAGATTATGGCGGAGCTCTCTCGGCGGCAGAAAATCACCTTTTTGGAGGCGAAGATGCAGTGGATGTCTGTAAAGGGAGCGCGGACAAGTAAGAGGAGACAAGACCGCATTAAGAAGTTCCCCGAAGGCTTGTCGGAGGTATTTCAGAAGGTGGTGCGGGAAGCCAATCAACAACTCGACCAGGAAAGCCGCCAATTCAGGCGGCAGATCTTCCTGCTCTTGTACGGAGCACGACGACCATTGACAGTCTACCTTGTGTGCACCGCTGTCGCCTTGGACGGAGAAACTCGGACCTTGGACGATGGTGATCGCTTCGATAACCCGGAACACGACATCAGAGACATATGCCAGCCGTTTGTTTCCCTCTCCGATTCCTTGGTCGACTTTGTCCATACTTCGTTTAAAGATTTTCTCACCTTCCACGTGGAACCTTGTGGATCTCCCGACGAGGAGCTCCGGATGTCATATGAGGATTCGGATGACTATTTTGTCAGAAAGTGCTTGGCTTTTCTGCTCCTGGATCGGTACAAGTCTCCATCCCAAATCGGCTCACTACTTCGGCAAAACGTGTACCCAGAGTTCTCTGTGCCTGTTCTCCTAGAACCCTGTGACGACGATTCTGACGACTTTTACGACTACGCTGCGAGGAATTGGTTCATTCACCTTACGTCGATCCTGAACCCGACAACCGATGTCCTCGATATGGCAAACGAGTTCCTCAACACATTTGCATTCGTTCACTGGGCAGAGTGCATCTTCAAGGCGGATGATGGTTTCCACCTTCCCTTCCAGGTTAACGCCAAACTTCAACAATGGTGGGCCGAACTCCCGCCCAAATCAAAAGATCGGCTCAGGATCGAGAGGTACTTTGAGGGCCAGTATACGGCGTTGAGTGATCAGTACAACGCAGAGGAAAAGGACAAAGTTCTTCAATGGCTCTGTCTGTACGAGCTTGCAAGCTACTATAGCCTCTCGTCGGACTTCGAAACAGCAAAGCCTATACTTGAAACCCTTGTGAAAGGGCTGACAGATCTCCTTGGTGAGGAAAACCCACTAACTCTCCGCGCAGCCTCAAAGGGGGCGCATCTCTATTTCGGCGAGGGGAGGATGAGGAAGGCTCGAGATGTGTTCCAACAAATTGCGGAAATCCAACGGAGAGTCCTCCCTCATGACAACCCTGACTCGTACAAGAGCCTCCAGCTTGCCGCTCTGGCTTCGTACTACATAACTGAATATGAAGCTTCTGAGGAGCGGCAAAAGATTGCATACTCGGGACTTGCAGGAGTCCTGGGTGAAAGTAGTTACGACGCTCTTTGTTCGAGCCTTTACCTCGGGTACGCCATTACCGGGATGGCCCACGATCTGCAAGCACGGGAGAGGTTCGATGAGATATACAAAGCCTACTCGGACTCCAGGGGACGAGACAATGGATTATCCATGATTTCGCTCGTCGCAAGAGGGCAGAGCGAGAGGATTTTAGGCAAACTCAGCAAGGCGCTTGAAAGCTACACGCAGGCATGGGAGATACGCGTTCCGCTCTGGGGCCTCCAGGCCTTTACCGTCATCGACACTGCCATCCACCTCCTTGTCGTGTACCGGGAGATAGGCACGCCGGACAAGGCGTGGGAGATCCTTGACCAGCTGGACCGGGAGTCTGTGACGACGAAATACTTCCCGCAGTACTGCCAGATCACCCACATCCGCGGCCTGCTGCTCTACGACCGCGGCGATGTCCAGGAAGCCAGGAAGCTCCTCCAAAAGCTCGTCCACGACACACCTGCGGACAAGAACAACAGGTGGCTGTTGTGGGTCCGGCTGACACTTGCTGTTATCCTGCGGGAGCAGAAGGACGAGGACGCGGCGTCCATGCTCTTTTCAAAGCTGGTGCGAGAGGTAAACCCGGAGTCGAAGGCGCTGTCGCTGGACGAGCCGGACCCGCTGAGGCTCCTAAAGATTGCAGAAGAAGGCCTCAAATTGGTTCGTCAGCGACGGGATGGTGAGGCGAGATCTCTCTTGAAGGGACAAGATTGTCAGTGGGTTCGGGAAGAGGATTTTTGGATTCCAGTGGGAGGTCCGGCGGCTGATACCGGGCTGATGACGGGCCCGTGAAGAGGGGCGAGATATCAACAATCATGGGCGGGCAGAAGACCATTGTAGCTAAGCCTACTTTTGGCAGTGAAAGGGGGAAGAGCCGAAGGGGCACGGAATCTGGGGTACTTGACGATTCCCCCAGGGGGATTTCTTACCTTCTTTTCTTTGTAGTACGGTTCAATATGTAGCCCAAATGAGGATACGTTGCCCACATTCACTGTCGATATAAGATGTTTCGAAATTGCAATCCACGAGTTTCTATTGATTACGCGTAGTGTACGGAAGCCAAAGTCTGGCCAGAATTCAAAGTGATGTCCAAAATGTAAATGACAGGTAAACAACCTACCAGTTACTGTGTTCAGTTATCGCTCAAGTGGCTCAAGTTACCAAGTTATCAAAGTAAATATCACACGTAGGCCATGACTCAATTGGCCAGTTCTATGCAACAAGATCACCCAGCAGGAAATCCTCCGACGTAAGTGAAATATAATGATGCAAATTACTCAGAAATGCTCCCGATCTCCTCATCCAACTCATCTAATATATGTAACCCTGCCCGCCCACAGTTAGACACCCGCAAGGCCACATTCGAGGGGAAGGCCGTCCAAGACCTCTGGCTGGCTCCGCTCAACCCGAGGGGTTGCCGTTGAAGGCGAGCAGGTTGACGGTCCCGCTGGGGATGCCGGTCAGGGTGCCGGAGATGGCGGTGCTGGCGATGTACGAGCACAGCTCAGCGGGGGTCTTTTTGCCCAGGAGGGCGAGCAAGTAGGCACCCAGGCCGGTGATGTGCGGGGTGGCCATCGAGGTGCCGGAGATGGTGTTCTGCGCGACATGTCATTAGTCTCTTGGACGCTTCTCTCTGTCATCTTCTTCTCACTGGGAGGGAGAGACGAAGCACACAGCGAAAGGTAAAACAAGGGGGGGGGGGGGGATATCTCACAGTAGCGGTGGTGCTCCCGATCCAAGTAGACAGGACGCCCGTGCCCGGCGCAAAGATGTCGACGAGGGCGCCGTAGTTGGAGTAGCTGGCGCGGGCGTCGTTGGACTCGGTGGCGCCGACGGTGCACACGGTGGGCTCGCTGGCGGGCGAGTAGAAGGACGCGTCGTCGTCCGAGTTGCCGGCCGCGACGGCGAGGAAGACGCCCGCCTTGACGAGCGCCGCCGCGGCGCTGTTCATGGTCGACGACGCGCCGCCGCCGAGCGACATGTTGGCCACGGTGCCGTTGGGGCAGTTGCGCGTCTGCGAGTCCGTCGCGACGAAGTTGATGCCGGCGATGACGCCCGAGCTGTGTTTGTCGTTAGCATGCTATTGTTTTTTTTTTTTTTTTTTTTTTTTTTTTTTTTTAGAAGGGGACGAGGGAAACATGGGCTGGAAAATGGGGAACTCACGTAGTGCCGGAACCGCCAGAATCGAGGACCTTGACGCCAAAGAGGCTGGTCTTTTTGGCAACGCCGTAGGCGGCCGAGCCGATGGTGCCGGCGACGTGGGTGCCGTGGCCGTTGCCGTCCGTGTCAGAGCTGTCGACGGCATTGTACAGGAAGGTAGCACGGCCTTCAAATTCCTGTGGCCAGACGCATTAATATCACGGCAATCTCGGATGGGAGAGCTTCGCGGATTATACTTACAGAGTGAGCTGCGTAGATGCCAGTGTCGATGATGTAGGCGCAGGTGCCAGCTCCGGCGCTGTCGTCGTAGGCGTAGGTGGTGCTGCCTGCCTCCTGGTGGGAGATGCGGCCAAGGCCCCACGGAGCATTCTCCTCAGAGGTGAAGGTGTTGATGGTGAAGACGGCATCCTGTTCAATGTAGTCGACCTGCCAGGGGCGTCAGCATATCACGCACCCAGAGGTTGTAACCGACGTTGTGGCTGAGTGCTCACCTCGGGGATGTTCTGGATAGTCTCCAGCGTCTTGGCGTCAATCTTGGAGGCGAAGCCTTTAAAGTGGGCACCCTTGTAGACGTGGTCGGCCTTGGTGGAGCCAAGTTTGCTCACGGCGGCGTTGAGGGCGCTATCGGAAGCGCCATCCCTCAGTTTGACGATGTACTTGCCAGGGACCACTTGCCCCCCTCGTGGCTGGATGACAGGAGCAGACCGACTGGCCGGTGCAGGGGCAGCAAGGGCCAGAGGCACGAGAGCAAGCAGACTAGACACGTGCATGTTGGATGATGGGTACTAGTTTCGTGTAAAGAAGTGTGAACAAGTTGAAAAGTTGCTCTCAGTGATACCTGCTCTGCTAGGTCAAGGCCAGTTTAACTTCAGGGGCTTGCGGTCTCCTTTGTTACGAAGGGGGACGAAGGTCTCTATTTATTGACCTCAAGTCTCGGATATATTGCACCTTCCTTCTAAGGTTGCACGACGGCTTAGGCCGTTTGTAGAAGCTAAACACCATTTTGTGGCGGCCGAAGCATCATCACGACAATGCCAAGAATATGCGATGGGGGAGTGTATGGCTGGGGAAGGACGTGATGACTCCAATTATGACGCTAGAGGTTTCGACCTTCCAAGATGAGCTATTGGCAGGGTCAAGACCAGTTCTGTTGATAACATTGGTCTCATGTGGTGGAAGCTGGTCTTACGCGGAGAGGGACGGATGTGTACCATCAGACCTTGGTCTTTGGAGTGCTGGGAGAGCTCGAGGGCATGCTTGGGCACGGGCAAGTCAGGAACAGGAAGGACCTGTACGTCATGCACTAGACGGATTCCTCACCTCTTCATGATTTGCTCTGGCAGTCGAGGGTCTGCGACCGGGCCATCCTAGCGTGGGAAGGGGAGTGTTGTGTGCAGGCAGGGGGGCAACCCCGAAGTTATTGAGTGGAGGCTCGAGCCCTGTGCCATCTGATGCCACGGCATGCCACGTCAGGAACCACACCCAGATGTGGCTTGATCATGCAGCCATATCTCAATCACACCCAACCCACCCTGCTGTCCAATAGCAGGTACGACCGGGGCCAGCCCGTCTACGTGGGATCCGGCAGGTGGCCGGCGATTCATGTACGTACTAGTCGTAGCTTCATTCGCCCTCTCGGCATTCGAAGCTGCCCGCCCAGGTGCTGCCTAGTACCTAGGTACATGCGTAGGTAGTTCTCCAAATTCCACACGTGACGGTCCATCTGCCGGTTGTGTAGATAGATTTCCCCTTCTGGCAATACCCGAGCCGCCTAGTCGGATCCCCGACTAGAACCTGTCAAAGACATTTCCAAGTCCTGTCGTACGAACCTGCGCATGTGGTAGACAGGCCGCGACTCGACTGGAGGGTAATGCCATGGCAGATAATGCAACGCTGCATCGCCGGATTCCACTTCGGTCACAGAAGGATCCGATTTTCAGGAGCTTGGGCCGCCCCCTCAAAAGCACGTCAAAGTCAGTTGACTGTTATTGCGACATCATCTGCTGTCCTTCCTTATTTGGACACCCTCACGCCGCGCGCCAGCTGCCCAAACCTATAAGATGCTTATCATATGCTTATCAGATGGCCACACCCACCAGCTTCCCTTGCTGTTTCCCGCCTTGTTTCCCGCCCTGTTTCCCGCCCTGTTCTAATTATGACAGTTCCATACACCTGGTCGCGAGCTTCTTTTTAATATATTCGTGTCGCTCTGCCCATATGCACCTGTAAGCTTATCCATTGCTTAGCGAGAAGTAATATCGTCTGTCATTTAAATTCTGGCGAGCGTGGGGGTGCCCGAGGCGGCTCTGGGGGAGTTGCAGCAAATATTGCCCGATCCCTTATTGCCTTCCGAACCTCGGGCACACTCTGTTGACCGAAGCTGCTGCTCAACATATTCCTTTCTGTCTCTGTTTGTTCGCAACCCTAGTTTTCTGGGTTTTCGAGAGACTCTTCGTGGAGAGAACTACCTCTCTTCGCCAAGTAAGTAGCCGAGTTGCAATCCGGCTGCTGCCCACGAACAGGGACAAGGGGGTGATTAGGCCGTAATCCCATGCAATGAGACTGAATCCCAGGTGTATTTAGGCACTGTGCAATGCTATCTCGATCGAATACTGCAAGTCTGTGTTGTTGTGTCTCTTCGGCCCCTTATTCGGCCTCCTTTCCCTCTGTTTCCAACGGCCCGACCCGGCACCACATGGAACTTTTGGAATATTCTTTATAATCAAAGACGGATTGCTGTGGTTCAGCCAATGGCACGAGGTGAGATGTGACTCTCGGGGTCCATCCGTTCGTCGCCGTGTCAAGATACCCGGATTCGATCCCACCACTTCTCCAATGAGACGGGAAGGTAGTAGACAGATTAGGGGAAAGACAGATATGGCAGGCGGTGTGCATGAGACATGCATCGTCGCTAGCTCAGTCACCCTCCGTCAGGGTGCCTATATGGAACAAGGTACCGACCGTAGTATTGCCACTACATGGCTGCCACAGGGTCCTCGTGGGAAGTCGTGTCCTCGATGTCGGCTCGAATTGGCAGGAAGCTACTAGGACCTGTGTCGTCCGGCGGTTATGGTTATCTGGTAGTGAGTAATTCGTCATCTGCGAAAATCGATAGCGGCGACTTCTCGCAGATCTGCATTACTACCTTCCTGTGCTGTTTCTAGACTTGGCTCTATGCAGATATAGAATGCCACTGTCAGATTTGAAGCCGCTGCAACCCCATGTCTATGGAAAGGAACAAGGTTTGGATTCTCAAGCTGCAGCAAAGTATCCGCTTCGTCATTCTGATGTTTAGTGATGGCAAAACCCGAATCATTTTTTTTTACTGCCAGCCATGGGTGAGGCCAAGTGAGGAAAAGAAGGACGGAATCATAGGTTGCCCCTAGGGCCAAAGTTGAATCCAGAACACTAATAAAACTCTTGTATTATCAGTCATCTCATCTTTCGACAAGCATGTGACCGACCCCCTCTCACCTCAGGTCCCATGTCTTCTGTCTTCTCGAGGAAACTTGAATGCTCCTTTCCCAGGCTTAAAAGGTGACCTACTGATGAGTTTTCACTGAAAATGTTCGCTCACTGCTCACGTATGCCGAGATTAAGAGTGCTAGCTGCGAAGCTAACCTAAACGAAAACAAACCAAAACAAGAGCAGATGGCCAAATAGATACAAAACCAATACATCCTACATTCCCTGAAGCTCTGGCTGGTAGAATCGGTCAAGTGATGTAAGATCAGGATGATCGGAATGGTTCAAAAGATGAAGAAAAGTAGGTGAAATAAGTGATCTATAATGTCAGGGGCGAAAGTCGGGTATCTAAAATACACAGAATACCCTGGGGAGCATATTCTTGCCGTCTACTTCTCCCGAGCCAAAGCCCTCCACCCACACATACAGAGACAGACGAACACACAGCTCTTTCTTCTCTTTCGAACTTGGGTTTCGCTGTATTCACAAACCGACCAGCAGTTAAAATTCCATGTTCCATCTACCCGTCACCCAACCTTGATCACGACCTTCCCTTTAGATCTCTTACTGACCACCCGTTCGTAGCCCTATGACAGTGTTAATTATCATGCGCGGCGGCTTCTCTTCAACCGTGGGAGAATTAATTACCTTCAAGACATCCTCCATATCGTATTCCGAGTCAATCGGCACCTCCTTGATCAGGCCCTCATCAAACCACTTGACCACTTGCCTCTGCAGCTCCCCGGACGGCTTGAGTCCGAGTATCTTGTATGTCCTCGGCGTTCCTCCCAAAAACCCGGGCCACATGCAGTTCTTCAGGAATGGCCAGACCCCATGGGACGCCCCGCCAACGAGGCTAATCACCTTTCCGGTTGTCGCGAGATAGCCGGGAGAGTAGTCGAAGAGGACCTGATGCCCGACGCAGTCGAAGATGTAGTCAAACGGCACCTCCGAGTACTGCTTCGCGAGGTACGCGTGCAACGGATCATGCACCGTGTAATCAATCGTCTATCCCCGCCCCCAAACTTCATTCAGCCCATACATCCTCCCGCAAACAGCTCGCACCAGAAGCAAGACTCACCTCATCAGCACCAAGCCGCCTCACCAACGCCTCATTCTCCGCAGAGCACACCCCAACCACGTAGGCGCCATGCCCTTTACTCAACTGCACGAGCATATTCCCCAGCCCGCCACTTGCCCCGTTAACCAAGACCCTATCACCAGCCATCAACCCGGCCTCCCGCAGCGCAATCGCCGCCGTCTGCCCCACGACGCCCAGCCCCGCCGCCACCGCCGCGGACCCCCCGACGCCCCGCGGCCAGGGCGCCACCAGCTCCGCCGGCACGACGACGTACTCGGCCAGCGACCCGCGGCCCGTGGCGACGAGGCCGACGGCCAGGGCGCCGCAGACGGGGGTCCCGGGCCGGGCCAGGTCGGCGGCGGCGTCGGGGCCCGCCAGGACCACGTGGCCGGCGAAGTCGAGCCCCGGGATCGGGGCCCGGCGGAAGGGGAGCAGGGTCGGGAGGAAGCGCATGAAGACGGCGTCGGCGGGGTTCAGCGCCGCGTGGGAGATCTTGATTAGGAGGTCGCTGCCAGTCGGGGCGCCGGGAACGGGCCGGTCTGTCTGCAGCGAGATGGCCTGGGCCGGTGCGCCGGTGCGCTGGCCGACCCAGGCTTTCATGGTTTTAGGGGGTGAGTCCGTCGTTGTTGGTTTGGGTGGGGACTCCATTGCGGGTTGATGTGGGTGCTGGTGGTTTCTGGGTCTCAATTCATACAGTGCGTCCAAGGGGGGTGATGGCGCGGCTTGTCCACCGTTCCGAAATGCGATTCCTAGGCGGCCTTCTATCAAATTCGGGTTTTCAATTCTCCCTCGAACTTTTTTGAGGTATAGCTATGCAAAGTTATCAACATCTCCGTGCCTTGGAATCCCTGTTTTAAATTTTGTTTCAGAACAAGGTGGGCCTGGAGAGCCCCACTGAAAAGATATTGATGGGTAAGGTGACTTTGCAGTCGCCTGAAAACATGTCGACAAAGGTGCTGATGCCTGTGGTCACTGGAAAACCTCTCACCTATGACCAGATGCCGCTGTTGAATGGTCGCCTGGACCAAGACGCTCAAAAAGGACTTCTTTTTGGACTCTGAAATATCGTGTCATGCAGATGGGCTGGAGCAACCAGGAGCTGTCCTTCATGAGGGTAATCAAGGAAATCCTTGTTCTTGGGAACAGCCACCTGGACCTAGACAGATCCAGACCCGTTGCGTTGAAGACACATACGACAGTACCTGACATAATTTCCGTCTGGGCTATGATGGCTGGACTGGTTAAGCAGCCCAAGAATATGGCTCGCTCTAGGATGAGGCTTGGCCTGGGCCCTAATGTGCTTCAGTATATCCACCTCAAAGACGTCCTTTTGGGCGCGTGAACAAATCGGCGGGTTGGATGTCGGTTCATGGACCCGAATTGATGCCGAGTGGAGGACTTCCATGGCGATTTCCTTGTAGACCTTCTTGCTTGTCCATAATCACGGCTAGGAGGCCGTAGGGCGAACTCCAGTGTGCTCGAGCCATCTTCAAATACAGGTCCATGCACTCATCAAGGTAGTCGCGGTAGATTTGGTCACCGGAGGAAGGGAGAGGAGGATGGAATCGCGTTGCTCCGAGGCCATTCTCTTTGATGCTGAGATGATGCAAGACTCGGTGCCCTGCTGGCTGCAGTCGCAGACACTTGATGCTCTCCAATGGTTGCTTAACCACTAATAAGATTAGGTTCCGTACTTTTGCAACGCCAGCTCTCAGAGAGAACCCGATAGCCACTTTTTCAGCCCTAACTCATTTTAACTGCCAAGGTTAGGCCTCGTTTCGCAATGCTAGCCAACTCTAGCGAAGAGATTTAGGACGAAAATAGAAAAGGGGGACGTCTGGGGATTGGCTGAGATCCGGATTCCTGGCAAAGCCAAGATGAAGTGGGTCGGATAGTGACATGAACCTTAAATGCGAGATTTCAGCCACAGGTCTCAAGCTCCGAGGTTTCTTCGCAAGTAAGAAAACTTGAGAGTCTCACAAAAAAACAGCAGCATGTAACATCTACAACCCCCTCTCAACTTTGTTCTTGACCCGTTTCCCGGGCGGTTATCGGTAGGTACCGACTGTATGGAGTACCTGGTTTGCCATTTTGCACTGCCGTCAGCCATGTCATTCATTGGTCGAGTATTTTAGCGCTGTGGATAGGTACAGGGGCATCTAGACTTAGCAAGGCTTTCCGCCCCCCCCTTGGCTGCCCCATATATCAGAGGGCTGAGCCAACCCCAACTTTGCTCGTTTGTTCTTCGCGACTTCTTCAACAACCAGCATTTTTTTTATCTCTCTGTCGCGCGGGGCCATGAACGCGCCCACTGCCACGATGGCTACGCAATTCGTTGCTGGCACGCCCGCGTCGCCCTTCCTGAAGCGCGTGCTCATTCCCTTCTGGGTCGTCCGAATCCTGATTATGGTCGTCGACCTTGGCCTCTACGGCCTGTCGATTGGAGTTGTTGCTGCCTACAAGGATGATATTGACGACGAGGTGGGCAACACGGGAAGCACAAGTGCCGCCCTAGCCATCCTGGTTGTCATCGAGCTCCTCATCCTCACCTGCCTCGTCCTCGACATCGTCTGCATCGTCAAGCGCGCCAGGCGGACCCTCAGCCCTCGCTTTTTCCTCATCGTCAACGTGATCCAGACCCTGTTCTGGACCATCATGTTCATTATGGGCATTATCAGCACGAGAAACGGTCTCAACGTTGGCATTGGTGTCCTGCTCTTGTTAGTACCCCGCCTCGGCCACCGGAGCTGGGCTCGCCCGCCTCCGCCTTCCTTCCTAACACGTTCCTCGATAGCCTGTCCTTCCTCGGCCTCCTCATCTACGCCAGCGTCATGTATCACAGGCACCGGAAGGGCACCTTGAAGGGCGCATACGTACCAGCGAACCCCGGTCCCCAGTATCAGGGCTTCGTCCAGTCCACCGGTTACCAACCCACCGACTACCAGCCCACCGAGTATCAGTCCCCGGCCTACCAGCAAACCGCCTACCAACCCACCGCCTACCAGCCCACAAGCTACCAGCCATATCCAACCAACACCTATACCGAACAGCCTCAACAGAAGCCCGTCTATTACGACCCGCAATCTGTGCAGGCTGCACCGGCAGGTTCATACGAAATGGACAATCGCGGGGGCCACTATGCCTGATGCCTCGACCGCGCTATACATATAATGGGCGGCTACCTCTATATCGGATTTAATAAAACACTCTTGGCCAAATGCTTGGATCGTGAGTGGCAGAACAAATGTGTTGCGTGGACACTCGCGACCTCTTAAGCCGATCCCGGGCTTGAACGGCTCCCTTTTCCGTGAGGCATGCATGATAGGGCCTGGTTTAGCGTGTGCTCGGCCTTGACACCAAAGGGTCCACGGTTGCGCCGAGGATAACGCGTCCGTGCTAGATCATCCTGAAATGGTTGATCTGCACTTCAGGTTGCTCTCCGACTTGGAAGGCCACTTGGGCGTCGACTTTCGGGCAGTATAAACAGGGTAGTTCAGGTTGTGGGGGTAGTTATAGCTATCCCGAGAGAGCCTCGGACTTGCATCTTGTCAAACCTGAGAGAAAGTCTCGTTGCTGCGCTGGGAATATATGGCCCATAGACAATATATCAGGCTCGGCCCACGCATGGTCCCTCCCGAGGCGTGTTTGCCATGCCTTTGCCCGTTGTGCATTTCGTCACCACTCTTCTGGCCACGCCCGAGTCGCCGAGACGAACAATCAATAAGAGAATTGGGGGTAGAACCATGGTGCTATCATCTGCATTGGAAGGGTGATGATGCGTGATAAACTAGAAACTGTACGTTTGAACCGAGAAGGTAGCAATCCCTTCGTCCCTTCTGCCCCCTTTACCCCTTTACCCCTTTCCTCCTTCCGCCCCTCTATTTCCTCCGTGGGCATGGCAGATGGTCTCATTCACCTGTCAGCTTTGGGTCTGGAGTGTGAATCATGGCCCAGCATGAGTTTCTCGTCAAGTAGGTAGAAGGCCGTTGTAAGCGAATTGAAGACAAAATTATCCATTATTACTATTCTGCATCTTAAAAATCCCCCCCCCCCACCCTTTTTCCTCTTTTTTTTTTTTTTTTTTTTTTTTTTTTTTTTTTTTTTTTTTTTTTTTTTTTGGCGTGACCATCGTAAAAGCCCACTCTTCAAAAATCCGGAAACGTCCACCACGTGAACGGCCTCCTTCTTTTTAGCCCCCTTTTAATGCGTGTCCTTTCCTCGCATGCACCTCGATTCCCGTCACGGACTTGCAAGTCTACGCTGCTGTGGACTCGATGCCGCCTGTTGTTGACCGACAAAAAGTTCAGCTCAGACGAGTTCCGTGTCAGGAGACTGTGGTGGCGTAGGCTGTCCAAGGCGGTACCAGTTCCACCATCGCAGGTCATGACCAGGTTGTAAATCTCGTGCGCCAGGTTATTCGACCTCTTTCTCAACTTTGCATACCCTTTAGTGATGCCTTCGTATTGATTCCAGCGCCTCTTGCAGCGCCATGATCGTGGTTTTCCGCGCCTGCAATAGTGGCACTCCATTCTGTGGCCGATCCAGTCGAACAACTTTTCGTATCCAAGGAACCGCCCTTCGCCATGGCTGTCCGTTGCTCGGAATTCACATGGGTACTTGTCCGTGTCGGGGAAAGGTCTTAGCCGCATGGCGGTATCGCCAGTCTCGCAATCTCCAATCTCGGCAAACGGCAGGGAGAGGTATTCGTAGTACCGGCCCCCTTGATGACGACTGGACTTCAAATCGCCATAGCCGTCTGGAAATATGAGGATGTTCTCCCAGAATGGTGCTCCCGTGCGTTCGGCCCATCTCTGCATATACACATTCATGCAGCAGATATTGAGTCTCCGCAACAACGAGACGGCATCCTGCACCTTCGAGAAGAGGAGCAAGAATGAGTCCATGTTGTTCCGCTCCCTTGGATCCTCCATCCATACATACACATCTCCAACAATTTTGACCTGCTGGAGCAGCAGCGTGACAAAGGGGTCATCTAGACTCGCGACGCTGAAAGTGGATTTCCGTTTTCCAGAGCGTGTAAGCCAAGTAAAGCCGAAGGAGAGCCAGTAAAGAGGGTTATAACTTGTCTCGAGAGTGATTGTGAGTACGGGGAGTCTCGTCAGGCCTTCCGGCAGACACCGTCGATGAAGTTCCTGCCGGATTTGTCGGCATGTGTTTAGAAGTCCCGTGCATCGTCCCTTGATGTCGCCCTCGGCCTCCAAAACTTCAACATAGTTGTAAATCAGCAGTCTGACACGGGTAGGAAGAGCGAGCAGCGGTGGACGACTTGGCGGGGGCATGGCTGTGTTGATGGATTGTAGGTTGCTAGCTCTGACAGAATGAAATGTTGATGTAGTAGATGATTTTGAAAGAATGGATTGAGCACGTATGGACTTGCTCCAGAGACGTCACCTTCTTATAAAAGAACCCATCTGTGTGTGAGTCATGCTTTAAGTTACGGAGGTACCGCAGGGTTTTCCCTCAGCGCCCATAGTCAGACCCAGCAACCGCGGCCGAACTTGGAAATTTCTCTGCGGGCATGCGCCATTTGCTCTGCAAGCAGGTGGAAAGTTGGCAACAGCTGCATCGCTGTCAATATTCTTATTTCTAGAAACGGCAATAGCGATGGACAACAACAGCAAGAGCGATGGATAGTAACGGCAAGAGCAATAGGAGCGACAGCAATAGGCAACAGCAACAGCAACTGCCACCTGTGATTCACCAACCGCCTGCCCGCGGAGCAAATAGCGCATGCCCCTGGAGAAATTCCCTCGAACTTTACGGCTACATCTAGCGTCGAGGTATGTGATTCCGGAGGAATTAGACTTCTAGATGTACCAAAGCTTCCAGGTTGAATTGAAATACGAGGGTGGAGAAACTTGAACTTTGAAGTGGTACGTATGTGGACGGGAGCCTTTCCGTCGGTATGGTCGCATGGGTCTCAGGTCCCAGTTGCCTGGTACCTAACCTACCGAAACCCGAAGGCTTACGTCCACTTACACGTACCACTTTTAAAGTTCAAGGCAATGGATACCTATCTTGTGGTCTGACGACTCGATTCCGTGGCGTGGAGAGCGAGAGTGAGAGCGTTGATAGGTCGGGTGGGTGTATCAGGGGTGTTGGGAGGCCGGGTTGTCGTAGATTGTGGGAGCGCTCCAATCAGGGTCGGCGTATCTGGCTGTTGATATTGTTGCCGCCACTGGGCAAGGAAGTTGGCAAACGCGTTGCGCCGTTCACCTTCGAGAAACGACAGGGCTCCGTCCTGCGCGTCGAGGCTAGGCTCCAATTCCCTGGCGTATCGGAGGTCGGCGTCTGTGATGTGTGTGGCGTGGGGATATCCAGACGTAGAGGTAGTGCACTTGCCTAAATCGATGTTATTGTCCGGAATGGAAGGTGCGTCCCACTGCAAGTTTGTCTATATATTCTGCTTCCCATCACCTACAATCCTCCCAAGACAACCATCCCCAGCCCCATCCCCATCACATCCGTCATGACTTATCGTGCTAATCAAGTGCTAGGTACCTCCTCTTCTGCCGACTCTGATACTACTACTTCATCCCCCAACGCCTTTGAGCCAGTCCTGACCACCTCAGCTCCCAGAGATTGCGCCATGTCATCACCGATGTCGCTGTCTTCACCAACAACGTCCCCGGCCGATGGGGCTCGTTTGACAAGAGACGAAGATACGACGTCGATGATCGACTTGGTAATTTCGAAGCTGGACGATAACCCGGACGAGGTCGTGCTCTCTGGCGGGGAGGCCCGCCGCTTGGTGGCGCTTCTCAGTCGGAAGAACGAAATCGTCCGGGAGCTGTCGAAGGTTACGGAGGACCTCAAAGAGATCCGTTTCCTAACAAGGTATGTGAAGAACACTTCGTCATAGACAAGCACAAGCACAGCAAATTACTGACATGACCGATGCCTCCAGATACGGTGACTATGCGAAGGAGATGTGGACCGATATGAAGAGTGTGGAGAGACCTGAGTGTTTCAAGGAGTTACCAAAGCTTCCGCAGAGACCAGCCGCGACGCTACAGAAGCTGAGGGAGGAGATGCGTGTTGCTAAGGGCCAGCCTTTAGCACCGCATCTCAGGAAGGACGAGACCAAAGGCCGCCTCTCTGACGCCTTTGCAGCCTCCACTTCCTTCCTCCAGCCTCATGTAGCGATCGAGACAAGCCTTCTGGCCACGGAAGCCTACGCTGATCGGAACGAAGCTTGCCACGCGCCGATAGAAGACCTGAAAGCCCGCAAAGATTCCCTTGGTCTTGCCGATCTGATAGACCGGGACATGGGCGATCTGGTCGACTGTCTGCCGGATAGCAGATCCGATGAGCTGCCTCATTGGAAACTCATTCTCGACTACTTCAGATATCGGAACCTCGACCCGACGAGCGATACATGGATCTTGGCCAAGGAGGATGATGTAGCACCTGTGCAACATCCTTCAGACAAGGAAACCAAAGACTCTTCGGAGTCTACGGCTTCAACCACCAATGGTTCTGCGTCGCCCATCGGGATCGAGGCCCTTGGATTTATGCTCACTCGAACGGCAACATTCCTCTTTGAGCGCAATCACTTCGCCAGCTGGCCAGAGTACCCAGCCCTCACCAAGTCGGAGTCTCCAGGACGACTGCGTCGTTCGACGTCAGTCCCCTGGCCTGGTGTGGACAGCCGGAAGAGGAAATGGTCCGAAGACATTTCCTCTGAGTCTGCCACGCCATCAAAGAGACAAAAACTTGAGGGGGATGGTGAAATGACTAGGGGGCGAGTTTGGTCGTGTTCCTGGGCGGAAGGAGTTTTTCGTGGCCGTGGACGCGGTCCTCGATGGACTCCTCAAGTTGGAGGAGAGCTGCTCCAGCCTCCCGGCCGCCGTACGGTTGGTCGGAGAGGTTGATAGAGCCATTCAAGGGGTGGTATCAGAGGCATTGTCCGAGGCAAAGAGGAGGGCCGAAATTGATCAGCACGATGTGTAGGACGGTGATGACGATGGTGGTGTGGGATTGCTGGGGGGGTTGCGGCTATAGAGTTAGTACGGCATTTTAATCTGTATTTTAATTTTGCAATTTTGGGCTTGGGCGGTTGGGACATAATATCATGTATATAAGGGCGGCGAAGTCGGACTCTGTTGGCCTCCACGTTGGCGCCGCCCGGGTTCCTGCTCCCTTTCGGGGAGTCCAGGCAACAAACAGAGACGCTCCAAATATAAAACTGACTTTGTCAACCGTGGGGATCTCAATAGTGACATTGAATGGTTGGAACATGCGGGCAAGGGATTATTGCTATGTCCAGGCGATGCTGCCCAAGAATAATTACCATAAGAACCTGGTGTCGCATGTCGCACTCGAGAGCCCACGCTTCAACCACCAATGGTTCAGCGCCATTCAGCAAGTGTGATGCTCTTGCACAGACACACGGAACAACAGCAAAATTCCTCTTCGGGCGTGATCATTTCGCCATCCAGAGTACCCAGCCCATGCAAGGGGTAATATCAGAGGCATTGTCCAAGGCGAAAAGGAGGGCCGAAATTGATCAGCACGATGTGTAGGACGGTGACGACGGTGGTATGGGATTGCTTGGGGTGGGGGGGGGGGGGGGGGTTGCAGCTATAGAGTTAGAACGGTATTTCAATCTGTATTGCAAATTTGGGCTTGGGCGGTTGGGACATATCATCATGTATATAAGGGCGGCAAAGTCGGACTCTGTTGACATCCACGTAAGAGTACATTGGCAAAGGCTTGAGATGTCCGGTCGGACGAGCCCGGTCTCTATTTATGTAGTCTAAACCCATGACTTTAATTAAGCTGGCCTCTGAATGATATGTCCAATCTCGTATTTGGGTATAACATTCTGCAAGGGCGTGGCCGTTGTAGGCGGACAGATACCGCTGGGCCATGACGGCGGTCGCTGGGTAACAGGTCCGTGTGCATCTCAGAGGAGGCGGTGGCCCGCCCACCCACTCCGACTTTGCCGCTTCTTGAGGTACTGCGCGATATCACATCCGGGCCAATGAAGATGGATGACCTGAGCCTCTCTATTTGAGGCTGCGGGCTTACGTGCCAGTAGATCATCAAAGGCCTCATCAAGGGCTGGGGGACCACGACCCTCCGGCTTTTCCCTACCCGACTCGAGTCTAGACTATGGCACCCCCCGCCTTCTCCAGAGCCCTCTTTCCTCTCCACTCGGGGCCCCACCGCCGGAGCACCAGCACGGCGGCGACGCACCCGCCGGCGTCGACGAGACCCAGCAGGGTGAAGACCCAGGCGCGGCCGACGGCTCGGCCCAGGGGGTCGAGGACGGCGACGGCGGCTGCCGCCAGGGCACATCGCGTGATGTTGTTGGCGGCGGCGGCGGCGCCCGGCGCGTCGGCGAAGTTGTCGACGACCAGGACGCTGAAGGTCTGGTGCAGCGTCGTGCACTTGCAGCCGAGGTAGGCCTGCAGGAGCAGCGGCACGGCCGGGTGGGCGCGCCGCTCGACGGCCCAGCCGTAGCCGACGACGGCGCCGACGGAGACGACGAGGGTGCGGACGGAGCCGCGTGAGCGCGCCCGCTCGATCGGGAAGTCGGCCATGTCGTCGCCGCGCACGAGGTCGATGGTCAGGCCCGCCGATGCAGCGACGGCGCGGTAGTTCCAGTCCATCAGGCGGCCGGCTACGAAGCCGCCGGCAATGATGCCCGCGCCGCCGGCTAGGAAGCACGCGCCGACCTGCAGCGGGTTGAAGCCGTACAGGTCGGCGAATATGGGCGTGATGGACGTCTGTACGCAGAACCACAGCGCGTAGGGGGAGGCGGCCAGCCATAGGGCCAGGAAGATGTCGGGGTAGAAGAGGAGGCGGACTGACTTGAAAGGGTTCGGCAGGATCATCTTGCCGCGGCCAGTGGGCTGTTGCGTGCCCCGTGGGCCGCCCCCTTCTGTGGGGGCGGGGTCCTGCCCAGGGAGAGGCCCTGCGAGTGCTCCTTTCTCGAGTGACCCCTCGTCAGCGCTGATCGTTCTATGCCCCTCCCCTGCCAGTGTCTGTGAGGGTCTCCTCCTCCTCCAGCTGCTGCGGAGGAGGCTCCACCACGTCCTCCATATGCTCTTGGCGGGCACGCTGCCGTTACCCACCACGTTCCTGTTCGTCTCGGGCATGGTCCACCCGATCAGCAGAATCGCGGACCCCCCAAAAATGAGAAGCGCGCGGAAGCACCAGCGGGGGTCCCCGGTGGCCAAGACGGCGCCGCCGCCTATGATGGGCCCGATGCAGGGCCCCACGTTGGTGGCAGTCAGCATCGGGGCCAGGAAGCGGCCCCGGTCCGCGTGCACCGACACGTCGGAGACGACGGCGTACGCGAGCGACAGCACCGTGCTGCCGCCGACGCTCTGCACGGCGCGCAGCACGAGCAGCGCCGCGTAGTTGCGCTCCGCGATGGACAGCCCCAGTGATGCGAGCGTGTAGACCGTGAAGGTGGCCAGGTACACGGGTCGGCGGCCCCAGGCGTCGGAGAGGGGCGACCAGAAAGACGGCGCGATGCCCTGGAAGACCATGAACAGAGTGATGGTGAGATTGATGGCCTGGATCGAGACGCCGTCTTGCTCGGCGAGGAGGTCGAGAAGCGGGAAGTAGATGTTGGCGGTTAGGGATGAGGCCAGGGCGAGGTAGCCGAGGAGGCAGACCAGCAGGTAGCGGTCACGGTCGTTCCATATTGTGTATGGGGTCGACGATGGTGCCTCTTGTGCGCTGGCCATGGTGTCTGGCCTGGCAAGCAGCTCCGGAATGAATGGGTTGGAGTAAGAAAACTGTCGAGGTACAGTACATGGGGATACTTGTATTGATTGGGCTTGGAGGGAAAAGCGGGATAATCAGCCTCAACGGTCTCGCGCGGGATGCAACGTCAACCCGTTGGCTGCAGTCCACTCACACCGCTGTTCGGCCGCCATTTCAGCGACTTGTGAGTCTCTGGGGCAGCTGGACGTTTCTGGGGAATGTCATTGCCTTTTCATCCCGGGGCAATGTCGGGATTTAGCAGTTGGAGCCAGCTGGTAGGGAGGACTGTGCGCTAGATCCTGGCTGGGAACCCTTCCACCATCTCTCCTTCCAGAAACCTACCTACCAAGTTCAACCTTCTTCTACAACCGGTAGCTCAAACCTCGTATCTCCACCATCTAATCGGGCATTTTTAAGGAGCCTATTCTCAGGATACGCAGGCAATCTTTGGACCTGAGCAATTGGTGATCAGGGTCCCGCGGGGCGACCACGTGTGGAGGCATCAATTCGAGACCAGGACATGGAATTTATTTTATCCAATGGATCGTAATGTGCTCTACCCAACCAGCGGCTGCAATAACAGAGTTGAGCCATCCATGGCCCCAACAGGTAAAGACAAGGGGCCTTCCCCACTTTTCACTCAGCAGCTGACGGAACGGGTACGTCGGTGACGGGCACCTCGGTGACGGGCACCTCGGTGACGGGCACCTCGGTGACGGGCATCTCGGTGACAGGCACCTTGGTAGGGACACCTAGGACATCAGGGGAGTCGAACGGTTCCTGGATCACCGTTGCCCGGATCTCGGCATTCTTAGCGAAGTTGGCGGCATTGATGGCTTGAGCATCGAGCTGCCTCTCCTTCAGGTAGCCCTCGTAGCCGAGCGGATACTTCTCGATCAGACGCCGCATCGAATCCTTGGCTCTAGAGGCTCGATATTTAATGGACGTTGCTGATGAAGGGTATGGATGGGTCTCTCGCTTACAGGTTTCTAAATCGGTGGTTGCCCGGATACAGGGACGAGGAATGCATGTCGAATCTCCTGGACGGAGGTCAGAGCAAATAACAGGGCTAGCAGACGGGGGGCCCTACAAGTTATAGATCAGGCCGCGATCGTTGAAGTCCTCGACGGGATCTGTCATCTGGAAGTGTTTGATGTACTCGTTGATGTACTGATCCGTCATCTTGTGGCGAGAGCACCACCATGGGCCCATCTCGTCTGCAGTCCGATAGCCCGAGGTCAGCATCGACATGGTCCACCAACTAGCAACAGGTTCAGGTCCATGGTCAGGATGTGCTCACATTCGTTGTGGGCATAGAGAGGCGTAGCGTCGAAAATCATGAGCTTGCCAGTGTTGACATCGACCGAGGTGTTGCCATCCCACAGATCGCCGTGGACGAGCCTGGGAGTCAGCGTCCTGCCCTCGGTCTCGAGGGGCCGCAACAGCCGCGGGATGACGAGCTCGAAGAAACCCTTGCGGAGCACGGCAAGCTCTTCGTCCGGCCCCTGCGTCTGTTCTTCCAGGTCAAAGATCATCTTCAAGCCCGTGCTGAAGCATTCTTCCCAACTCTTGGTCACAGGGAAGAACTGTGGATTCCTGCCACCGTACGTGACCAACGGGAACCCGAACTGGCCCGTGGGGGACGGGTTGTCCTTGTGCATCTTGGCGATCAGCTCGGTGAACTCGGCGGCGTCGGGGACGTCGTCCGACATTTCGTGGAAACGGCACAGGAAGAAGTAGGCTTCCGGGTCGTCTTGGTAGCTACCCCATCCCAGGGGCTCTGCGACCAGCTCCGGCATTGCCTTGTACAGGATTGCCATGGATTGGTATTCATTAGATACCATGTTCTTGCCGTGGTCACCGTGATGCACCTGTTGCGACGTGGGTTAGGCTCGATCTGCCATGACCGGACCAGTGTTCTTAGTGTTCTCGCTTACCTTCATGAAGAAGGCCGTCTCGTTGCCGTCCGCATCGGTGGCGCTGATCTTGGCCGTGCGGGCCCAATACGAGGCTCCGCTCGGGGCGATGTCTGTCGGCGTGGTCCCAGGAGGAAGCTCTTGGGGCCCGTCAGCTCCGTGCGCTCCGTGTTGGCATTGCCCTGGCCTAACCCAACTCACTTGCAATTACCGCATCGTCGACATACGCTATGAGGCTTGCTGGCACGGGAATCTCCTTGTCCCACACCGATTTGTCCGTCATTTTGTCAGTTAGATGAAGCAACTTCGATCACAGCGCCACGACGGAAGGGTCGTTATACATACATATATAACTCGTTGGCGGCCCGGGCCTTTTCAGGCGCTTCCCGCCCGCGAGGCTGCATCTTGAAACGCCCACTACGGGGCCAACACTTGCCAACCAAAAGCAAGCTGAGATTCTGTTCCACCAGAGCCACTCAGCATCCTTGATAATAAGGTGCTGCGGGGTAATTAATGCGCGCCAGGTAGCACGCATCCTTCGCGGCTCTTGGTAGTGGTTTACTCCGTTTGCTGACCACCCAAGGAAAGACCGAGCCAATAGTGCGGGCACAATACGCGCTTTCTCGTTTGCCCGCAGCTCGCCCTTGTAAAAAGTGCAGAAGCACGCCGCGCTGATGCAACAGGCCGCAGCAGCGAATTACGACATTGGCTGAATGAAGCCTGGGAGCCCCTTGAGAGGAATGTGCGTGGGGCAGATCCCTCGTTCCCGGTCTCGCCTGCGCGGAATACACACCCATGACCACCGAACCGGGAGGGGTTTACAACCCCAGCCATTGAGACCTTTCCGAGCCCGGGACCCTAGCCTGGGAGGTTGAGGCGGCTCTGTTGCTAAACCTGCCGTCATTTCCGTGATGGGATGGTTCGACAGCAGCCCTGCGACCCGCACTTTACACCACCTTCTGTCGCAGACCGATTGCTGTAAGGCTCTCTGTCAGCTCCAAGTTTCCCTTGTCGCGGCCAGATACTGGGTTATTTTAGGCCGGTCGCGGCGGCATGCGTGTAAGTAAGCGGCACCCAACCTTCTTCCGCGATCATGGACGGCTCCCGCGATCTCAATCGAGACAATGCCGCCAGATCCTTCTTGACTCGGACCTTGACACGGCGAGATACTCGCGCGTCCGTCTCAGATGACACGGTCGCCAGCGGCGTCTCGAAGGGCCCCCTCGGCCTTACCACGCTGTACGACCCTCCAGGAGACTCCGTTGTTGCAGACCTCATCTTTGTCCACGGCCTGAACGGGGGCTCGCAGAGCACCTGGAGCAAAGGCAACGACCCCTCTTTATTCTGGCCTCAGGAATGGCTGCCAAGGGACGAGGCCTTCCGAGATGTGCGCATCCATACCTTTGGCTACGCCTCCGGTGTCAACCGTGAGTCTATCCTGGGCCTGCGAGACTTTGCAAAGTCTCTGCTCGGAGCCATCAAGGACTGTCCGGCGATGGATCGCGATGAAAAGGTAGGCACGCCTCTCCCAACTACGCCGCCTGTCGGTGGCCGTATCAGCATCCGGTTGTCATGCCGCGTCGTCCGCTTACACTCGACTCCTCGTAGCCCAGTTTGATATTCGTGGCGCACAGCATGGGCGGGCTCGTCGTCAAGAATGCCTTCGTCATTGGACAGCAACACCCCGAGTTCCATTCGACTGTGCAGCGAGTTCAGGCCATCTTCTTCCTGGCTACACCGCACCAAGGCGCAGCCATTGCGCAGACCTTAGATCGGTTGCTCAACTTGGTCTCGGGATCGCGGCCCTTCATCGGGCAGATCATGCCTCATTCCCAGGCTCTGCAGGCCATCAACGAGGATTTCCCAAGGGCTAGCGGGGGACTACACCTCGTGTCGTTCTACGAATCGTTGCCGATGAAGGTTCTCAAATCCTTGGTTGTCGAGAAGCACTGCGCCGTCATGAACGCGCACAATGAGAGAACCGAGGCACTCAACGCGGATCACCGCAACGTGGCCATGTATTCCTCCCCCGAAGACCGGAATTATCTCACAGTACGGAACGCTCTGGCAACGTACATCAGCCCCCAGCGTAAGACTGTCGAGTCCCGGCTCCAGACTCTCGCACTTGAAGTTCAGACTGGGCTCAACACCTTCCTGGGAATTACGGACGCGCCCGAGGACGAGATAGGGAATCTGGATCTTGTCCGGCTATCTGGCTCTTGCACGTGGCTGGCCACCAAACAGAAGTACCGCGCGTGGCGGGACGGGCGAGACACAAGACTTCTTTGGTTTCAGGGGCGGCCCGGTGCTGGCAAGACAGTCCTGTCCAGCTATATCGTTGATGACTTGCGCAAGAGCGGCATCGATTGCTGCTTCTTTTTCTTCTCGTCACAGGACAGCGCCAAGTCAACGACGAATGCCTTCCTAAGGTAAGCCAGAAGTACACACACCCACACACTCGCTCACTCATGCGCCTGGTGTGTCCTCGCCTAGATGCTGACAGTGAATAAACCAGGTCCATGGCATGGCAGATGGCCATGCTCCATCCCGAGATCCGGTTGAAGCTCCAAGAAGCCTCCAGGGACTGGCAAGGCTCGCCAGTCGACAAGATCGACCAGAACGCGGTGTGGCGACGCGTCTTCCTGCTGACCCTCCTTAAAGTGAGACTTAGTCGACCTCAGTACTGGGTCATCGATGCGATGGACGAGTGCAAGATGAACTCGGATATGCTGAGTATCCTCACACGCATTCAGGAGGAATGGCCAATGTCCATCGTGGTGACTTCTCGAATCTCCAGCGAAGCTTATCTCAGCACAATCGCCAATCCGAGGGCCGACGTCGTCGGCGACACCATCTCGGATGAAGACTCGGTTCGAGACATTTCCCTCTTCGTCCAGTCCAACCTCAAGTATCTTCCATTTCCACCATCTGCTGCGTGGTCAAGCCGCCTCGAGATGGCTGATTACATCGTCAAGAAGTCGGCTGGGTGCTTCCTCTGGGCGTATCTGATCTGCATGGAGCTCCGCAAGACTAGCCAGCTCGAAGAGATCAAGAGAGTGCTCGAAAGCACTCCCTCTACAATGGATGATCTCTACAAAAGGATACTGCTGAGCATGGAACAAGCCACCTTCGGCAAGGATTCAGCCAAGTCGATCTTGGTCTGGGCGACGTATTCCTTCCGGCCGCTCTCGACGGACGAGATGCACGAGGCTGTCGAGGTCGACATCAATGACAAGATCGACAGGGTTGATCGCCTGATATCTAGGTCGTGCAGCAACCTCGTCTACGTCGACAGGTACGACAAGGTGCAGTTGATACACATGACCGCAAGGGAGTTTCTCGGTCGCAAGGATGCCAACAAGGGATCCGAGTTCACATCCGAGTTCATGGTTGACAAGGCCGATGGGCACCGGAGGATAGCAAAGGTATGTCTAGAGTACCTGATTCAGAGCAGTAAGGTCGCGCCCCGAGCCAGACGCCTGTTGTCCGATCCAGACCTCGCATCCCAGGGCTCCCCTGCAACCGCCCGGGCCTTTACCGACTATGCGTCCAAGTTTCTCTTCCAGCACCTCAACCTCATCAAGTCCACCGACACCGAGATGTTTATAACGCTTTCCAAGTTCCTCAGCAGCAACAGTGTGCTTCTCTGGATAGAATACATCTCGGCTCGTGGGGAGCTGCACACCGTCTACCAGGCTGGAAAGATCATTAATGCCCTTCTCACGCGGCGGGCACGCCACTCGCCCCCCATGAGGTTCGCACAGAAACAATTGGCGCTGCTGGAGAATTGGGGGAACGACCTGATACATATTGTCACAAAGTTCTCTCGGTCGCTGCGGGCCTCCCCCTCCTGCATCCACCACTTAATCCCTCCGTTTTGCCCCCCCGACTCGGCGATTCGCCAACAATTCTCGTCGCCCTACCGTGGGCTCTCTGTCCAAGGATTATCATCACGGCGCTGGGACCACTGCCTCACCACCATCGCCTACCCAAAGGGCACAAAACCAAACGCTGTGGCAGCCGGCCCGGGCTTCTTCGCGATAGGCATGATGAGCAAGTCTGTTTTTGTGTATGACGATTCCATCTTCCAGGAGGTCCACATCCTCGACCACAAGGAGCCCGTCTGGCAGATGGCCTTCGGCGAGACGGGCAAGCACCTCGCCACCGCCGGCGCAAAGACCGTCAGGATATGGTCCCTACAGCTGGGAATCGAGCTCGCCAGCTTCCGCATCCCCTCGCTCTGCCTCGCTCTGACCTTCACAGAGACAGACGAGGCGCTGCGCGTTGCCACAAAGTCGAATATGTTTCTGGAATGGGACGTGGAGACAGCCAGCATGCGGGCCGAAGAGGACTGGACCACTGATTTCGAGGACGATTCGCCTCTGCAGCTCCGTGCCCCCCAGATGGCAGCCATCAGCGGCCCAAGCGACCTGCTCGCGGTTATTTATAGGGGGGAGGACATTGTCATCTGGGACTGTGCCAACATCAGGATCCACGACATTTACGAGAAGGAAACCGGGTCGAGAAGGTGGGGCTCGGAGAAGGTGGCCGGTGGCTCCACGCACATCCGGGCCTTGGTCTTCAGCGGCGCCATCGACACCAACCGGCTGGCCACGACCCACACAGACGGCGATCTGACTCTCTACGACACCGTGGATGGGAAGCTTTTGGCGAAGGCGAGTTCGGTGAACGCGAATGTCCTGGCCTCGTCCCACGACGGCCGCACGCTCGGGGGGGTCGACTCGCGAGGCAACCTGATGCTCTTCGACTTCGAGACGCTGCGGTGCCTGTACCGCGTACAGTTTGACACGCCAAGCATGGCCAAGGCGCTGACCTTTACGGCGGACAATCTCCGGTGCATCGAGATCCGCGGGGACCAGTGCCGAGTGTGGGAGCCGACGGTGCTGCTGCGCCAGGACACGGCCGACGAGGACGAGAACAGCGACACGGTGTCGGTCTCCACCGGCCCGCAGGAGATCGACTACCGCGTCGCGGGCAGCAACAGCGACGGCGCCGCCGCCAAAATCACGGCCGTCGCGTGCGCAAAATCCGCGCCGCTCGTCTTCTATGGCATGGAGGATGGCTCCGTGCACGTGTGCGACATCACCGCCGAGCCGCGCAGCCAACGCCTGTACGAACAGATTGCGGGCTGTCCACTCGACCTTCTGTACTTTGACGAGGAGGCCTCGGTTCTCGGCTGCGCGGACCTGTCCGGCTGCGTCACGGCCAGGAAGGTGACACGCCGAAACAACCCCCGACAGAGGCCGCTGGGGGCGACGTGGGAGATTGGCGACATCCTGCTGCACACGCGTATCCCGGGGACGGTGAAGCAGATCCTGCTCTCGGGCAAGGACAAGAAGCTACTGCTGTCATCGGAGCAGCACGATACCCTGTGGCCGATGCCGAAGCAGGGCGAGGGCGTCTGGATCGCTCGGGTCGAGGGGAACAGCACGCCGAGATGGCTGGCTCATCCGACCCAACCCTACCTAATACTGGCGAGAGAGGGCGAGTTCCGTATCTACAACTGGTCCAATCTCGAGTGTGTCCGCACCGTATCGCTCGCTCACCATGGCCAGTCCCTGTTCAGCCTGGATCGGATCGTCTCCCTGCAGCACCCGCAGTACTTCACCACCATTTCCCTGGCCAGATCGCTCGAGTCCTGGACAACGGAGAGCCTGGTCCAGTTGTGGGACGTCAAGGACCTGGACCTGGACCTGGACCTGGACCCCACCTCGTCGCTCTCGGAGACCACCTCCTCCCCCAACACCATAAGCCCCGTCCGAGACCTCGGCCCGGACGACCTCTCAGGCACCCTGGAGCTAGTCGTCGGCGCTTACGGGTCCCGCCTGATCGTGTACACCAGCGACCGCTGGGTATGCTCCGTCGACCTGAAGCCCGCATCCGCATCCGCGCCCGCGTTCCCATTCCCGTCCCGGTCCGCGTCCCGGTCCAGATCCCCCCGGTCCAGATCGCCGTCTCCGTCTCCGGGCTCGGACCAGCACCAGCACCAGCTGGTCAGACACTTCTTCGTCCCGGGCGACTGGATAGGAGGTAATCGGCTGGGCATGGGGGTCGGGCGAGGGGGGGAGATCGCGTTCGTCAGGGGACCGGAGCTGGCTGTCATCAAACGGGGGCTCGAGGTCACGGAGGGCGGGGAGAGCTTTAACCCGAGGAAGGGGATCGGGGCCCCGGTTGCTGGGGGTGCGGGTGCGGGGCCGAGTCTGGGTCAGTCACCGGGAATTCCGGTGCGGCCGAGGGTTGGGGGGTCGGTGTGAACTCCAGAGGCCGGAGAAGTGGGGAGGTGGTTTGGAAACTCTGCCACCCAGACATGGTGTTGATATACTTGTTGGCCAATAGATGCATTCAGAGGAGTTGTTGGGATAGCGTCGTCTGGGGGGCAAGTACGCCTCGCGGGCAGAGGGTCGCCAGCCCTCTCCTAGTACAATACTGGAGGTAGAAGATGTTTCAAGTCTCTAAGGAGAGAATAGTCTTACCAGTCAAGCGATAAATCAGCGGCCAGATTTGATGCCAAATCCTGGTTCCATTCTCAATGCGTGATAATCTGGGGGGGATGAGAAAGTAAATATCCCTGAAGAAATGAACACCCCCTGACGCCCCCTTTTGCCCTCTTTGTAGTGGGCCAGTCTCGTTGGCGCTGGTGAGCGGTGCAATTGGCTTATTGCATGTTGTAGTTTCCTCATGAGTTATATGCGGTTTATTGGGAGCGTTAAACAATGAGGGATGGGGTTCTTTTCGATGACTGACTTTACTAACACTCAGTCCCTAAAATTAGGACCTTCTTCTCTCAGCAATTCGTTTGCCTCAACCATGTGCTATACCTAGACACTGACACTGGGTTCTTACCAGTTGACAATAAATCAAACTTTAGGGTGTCCATGTGCACTCAGGTGTAGATGCATCGTGTGAGAAAGATGTGGCATTGGCGATCTGGCGACCGAGGGTGTTAAACCTATCGCATAGGTTTGGATTATGGGTATACTAAGTGTATGGGGAAGCGGATATCGTCCAACTTGAGCAATTGCTGCAAGATAATCACCCCTGGTAACTAGTAGGCGAGCTCTAGGCTCTTGGTAAACCCCTGAGCACTCATCGTTGGCTTCAGGATTACAAGCCTCGTCGAGACGCTCTCATGACGGTGAAGTGGCTTTCTTTCTTACTGCAGGCCTTGAAGGGCAAAGAGGCCGTACGTCTTACCAAAGGTTCACCCAGCAGGGCCTGTTGGAACGTCATCCACGCCCTCCAATCTCTCGTTCTACGTCGCGCAACAATAGGGACACTCACATGCTGCCCGCCCAAAGATTCAACTCCTTTTCGGAGTGCCCCAGGGACGCCTTGTGCCCGACACAGGCGCCGTCCAGTAGCCGCCGACTCTTCCTGGCCTGCCAAACCTACATGACGAAGCCAGATGTGTGAAGACCACCCGGAAGTTGACATTAGGAACCTCTGCCTCCGCAGGAACCAAAAAAAAGAGGTGGTCGGGGGGTCCCGGATCGGACAATTGCGGGACTATCGAACCCCGGCAGATGTAGGATCCCGAGATTAGCCCGGAACACATTCACATAGGCGAACTACCCCGTCAACAAAACATACTATGTAAGCCGGGTCCCCGAAAGTGACTAGCCCACGGATCTTCCGACGTTCGCCTGCCTTGGCCGATTTGTGTGGGGGGTGCAATTGTGCGCCATGGTTAGGGGCGAGCGATGGTGCAGGGGAGTTCGGCGTGGTGGGATGATCCAGCACGACGGCTGCTCTACGCGGCGTTTCCGGCTTCGAGTTCCACTACAGCCCGACTTCGTTTGGCGTCGAGCTGGCGGGCAAGGAAAGGCCGATAGTCCGACGGCCTGTGGGCGAAGTTTACCGCCGCCAAGTTTCTGGTTCTGTCCAAGCGTCATTGATCCGCGTCCGAGAGCTTGCCGTCCATAGCCGGAGCGGAGACCGATCTTGATGTACGTAGTACAGCGCAATCACGAAGCGTATTGGGGATGGAGTTGCTGGGTGGTTTAGATTGGGCTACGCTCGAGCCGTCCGATGCCGTGAACGTTTCGGAACGCTTTCGCAGTTACGGAGAGCGGGTCGGGTGAGCGCTGCGTATCGAGGCATTGTAGGCAGCCCATAGTAGCTTCAGGGAGTGATTTGATGGTCGCGCAAAGGCGCTCGGGAAAATCGAGGGACGAGTGCGATTCGGGCTGATCTTCTGCTGTTTCTATCGGGTCTTCGGCGTCGCGATGAAACAGAGGTTATGGGTGGAGTCTGTGATACCCACTCAACTTGGCAGCTTCGCGTACGCATCAAGAGGATCGAACCAACATCAACACGCAGCCATGCGAACGGGGAAAAGGGAAAGAAAAGGATGCCAGGCTTCCGACCACCAAGAATTAGCGCGTGTCGCGTCGAGTAAGCGGTGTTGATCCGTCGAATGAGGAAAGAGCTTTTCCAAACCAAAATGGTGGGGAGACTGCCAAGAGATAAGCTATCTGGCAGGGGTTTGAATTCTGTTGTGTGAATGAATGAGAAATCACGGAATCTCAGCGAGATCGGAGAGATCGGCCACGCCCGAATCGAACGAAATTCTGAAGCGACCTGCAGCAATCAGCCGATGTAACCACGAAAGCACGGACATGGCATGTTGGGCATTGGGGAACAGCTGTTGTTCCGTGAGTGTATGTACATGTTGAAATATCCTTATCTTGGTTGGTTTTATAGCGTTGGGGCACCGGAAGCGAAGGAAAAAAAAGAAGAAAAAAAGAAGGAAAGGGTAAAGGTAAGTACAGGAATGAAACTGAAGAAAATGAAACAATAGAACTCGAGAATGCGTTAAAAAATTTTTAAAAAAAAAATAAACTCTTGACAGAAGGTTATCTGCATGGTTCGGTTCCCCAGCCTGAGGCTTCGCGCCATCTCGCATTAGGGCGCAGGTCGCCCGACAGGAGTTTCCGGATGTGGGAAGGGTGGGGCGCCGAGGGCGTGGATGGGGCAGGAAATGGCATGCTCTCTGCCTGCACTAAGCAAGAAACTCCGAGTCGGAGCTTGGTCTCTGGCTTGTGGTTGGCTGGAGGGCCCCCTAGCTTCACTCTCTCCCCCCCCAAGCGAAGCTTGTGAAAATTCGGGGGAACATATCTCTCGTTCATCCTCTCCCTCCCAGGACTTCCACCCTTCTTCTTTCTCCAGCCCGACCTGTATCCCCCCAACCTACCAACTACTGCCAATTCTCCTCCATCGATCTGTGCCTTACGATTCCGAACGCCCGACAGCCATTCTCGCCCAGTGCCTGCCTGTCCAGACCAGCAATCGACGTGAGGAGAATCGGCCGTAGTTGACTGAATTGGGACGACGGACCAGACATCGGAGACTCGAACACCTCATCATTCCAAACATTAACACAAATCGCAACCATGTTCGCTACCAAGGTCCTCCGCCAGGCTGCCCAGCAGGCTGAGCGCACTCCCTCCATCCGGTTCATTGGGAGGCGGATTATCCCTGGTATGTGTCTTGCCCGAGAAGCCCGAGAAGCCCGGTTGCATGTATCAAAGCTAACACGGTCTGGAAAATAAGCCTCTGTTGACCACACACCGCACCCTCACCCTGCCTCCCCAACCAACTCTCTTCCCGCCTCCTTCACCCAGCGCTCCTCGCACACGTCTTTCAGCTCCTACCGGGACCATGCCCAGCAGTTTGGCCCCCTCCGCAAGACCATCAAGGGCGACGCCGCGGGCGTCGGCGGCATTTCCGGGTCCGAGCTGGGCGCCATTTTGCCGCCCAAGGGTGTCTTCTTCGACCGGAATGAGCTGCCAGCACGCTTCCGCCGCGCCCCCCTCACCGCAGCCGAGATTGAGCTGGTCGAGACTGGTGGCGCTGCAGCTTTTGCTTGAACGCAAAGCGGGCATGAAACTTATATACACAACGATCATTCATGATGGGCCAGGATGACAGCTAAGCTGTCCCGCCCTCTTCACTATTGTATGGACCATGGGGGCTGCGATTTCTGGATGGAGGGCCTGGGAATGATACCAGCGAGAACGACGCACGCCAGCATGTACGATCAACCAGCGGGGCCATGACAAAACGGCACAGCGGGAGGTATTGGGCTTGGAGAGATGTGTTTACACTGGTGCTGCATTGCAGGCGTACCTTTTGCGAGTTTTGGGAGTGGAAGGCAAGCCTTTTTCGTTTCCGTGTCCTGGAGACAAGCCGGCGGCAGCTCCTGCGCTGGGTACCGAAGAGAGGGACCGGGGCTTGCCCCGAAAGCTTCCGGCTTGCGCGGACGAAAGTCTGCACGCTCCTTCCTAGTTGATAGGGCGAATCAAACCTCTTTTAACGAGCCCAGGTACCCCTCCCAAGAAGGTCTTGCAGACAACTCCGCGGTTGACTTGTCTGTTCCTGCCCGAGATGATTTGAGTTACACGTGAAATGACGATTCTGGATGAATCGAATGCTACTAGATGCAGGTGATGCGCAACAAATCCCTGTGAATACCCATCGACGTTCCATCAAATGCCTGGATACCAAGCTGACCTCGCCGAATCTGTTGAACGATTGCGAAGCCAAGACTTACTCCGCTGCTAGCCAATAATATAATTGCTTCGTTACGTTTTCGTAAATTAACATGTGGAGAGAGGCACGGGCAGTCTGGCTGTGGAATACTAGCCCCACACCTATACCTCGTGGCCAATCAGATAGGCGTCAGCAGCTCCATTTAAATTCTATCCCGAGTGACCTCAGCGACTGGGAAAAAAAAACGAACTGATCACACCACTTGGAGCTTCGCGCACGGCGTACAAACTTCACCGACAAGCCTTCATGATGTCTTTACCATGCATCTCGACATCCTAGACACCGTTCTCGTCTCGCAAAAGGATCCCTCCACGCTCGCCCCGGGCACCACAACCGAGGGCGAGGGCGGCACGACTAAGAGGCCGCAGCCCAACATGAAGGACGCCGCCGCAGATGCCGACGCCGAGGCGAAGTGCCCTGTCGACCACAACGCGCGGGAGACATGGCTCGCCCAAGCTAGAGCTGCCGCCGCGGCGGCGGGCGACGGTCAAGGCACATCCTCGTCGTCCCCGCCATCTGGTCCGGATGCGCGGCCAGCGGGCTGCCCCTCGTCTTCCTCTGGCAGCACCAATGCCGTGTCCCAGTCGACTTGGAAGAGCTGGGGCATACCCTTCTTCTCGCGCCCCTCGTCGGAAGCAACTCCCGCAGCCGCACATCAACAACAGGACCAAGGACAACGACAAATCCCCTCCTTCCCCCCGACAACCGACGCAACCCCCACCCTCGACACAACCCGACAAGTAAGCTCCATACCACGAGCCAGCACCCCCTCGCCCAACTCCTCTCGCCCCGCCAACAACGAATCCGAGACGGACGCCGACCCCGCGACCGGCAACTGGGTGTACCCGTCGGAGCGGCAGTTTTTCGACGCGATGCGCCGCAAGGCCTTGGCGGCCGCCGACAACACGACGACGACAACAACAACCGCCGCGGTGGCGCCGCCCCGCCCCGCCGACATGCGCACGGTGGTGCCGATCCACAACGCCGTCAACGAGCGGGCGTGGGCCGAGATACGGGCGTGGGAGGCGCCGCACGTGGCCGGGACGGCGTGCGCGGCCGTGGGGCCGCGGCTGCACAGCTTCGCAGGCGTCAAGGGGCGCATGACGCCGCGGGCGAGGGTGAACACGCTGCTCGGGTATACGGCGCCGTTTGACAGGCATGACTGGGTTGTTGATCGGTGCGGGACGAGGGTTGACTATGTTATTGATTTCTATGCGGGGAGGGGGGATGGAAAGGGCGGGGTCGGGGGGGACGGGAAGGTTAACTTCTATCTTGATGTGCGGCCCAAGCTGAATAGCTGGGAGGGCGTCAAGATGAGGGCTATGAGGGGGCTTGGGCTTGTTTGATGGGCTGTGGGACTGTAATATTAGCTGTTTAAAAGCCACCGGTGGGATACATTATATGGGCGTTTCTCCAATCAAAACAAAAGGGTGGTGGTCATGGGCAAGATAAGAGAAGAAAATGAACAAGGGGCTGGGAGAAGGGCAGAATACCGCATAGCGCGCGGCATCTCCTATCTTCTATATTTGTGGTATCTCGCCTCTAGTGTACAAACAAGCAATGGAAGGTCATCAAAACACCCCCGTAAAAGCCAGCCAGCCAGCCGGGCAAAATGTTCCGTAACCCCTGCCCTGTAGTTTCCCCTCCCCAGATCTAACGCCGGGCCAAAACAAGCACCTCAGTCGTGCTTGACCTCCTGAACTCCCTGGAGCGATGGGAAATGTGCGGGGTCCTTCTCCGACACCGCGGGGACTGGAGGAGAGACGGAGTATCAGCATAGGGTATCTTCTTTATTGCAATGCAAATTCGGCCGTGGATAAAAGGAGAATAAGGGAATTCGTCAAAGCTCATGGAAATCGTGAGAAAAATGCATGGATTGGGGGGGTGGGTGCATGTGAGAGAGAGGTGCTCAACACGAGCAAGAAAAAGAGGTCGTTTTCTAATCACATGCCCTTCTTGCCCTCGCCCACGCGGACGCGGACCGGGCTCCGCGTCTCGAGGGCGTTGGTCTCGAGGTCCCAACCGGCGGCGGTCAGGGCGGCGAAGATGGTGTCCTTCTGGTCGGCGGACACGTAGCCGCGCGGCATCTCGCTCTCGTAGTGGCTCTCGAGGCCGTCCTTGAGGGCCGACTCGAAGTGGTAGGCGTGGTTGACGGCGTCGAACCAGGCGGCGAGCGGGTTGGCGGGCCCCTCCTTGAGGGCGATGCGCATGCAGAAGTCGCCCCCGCGGTGCCAGACGCCGAGGAAGTAGCCCGGCGTCTCGAACAGGTAGCGGTGGTAACCCCGCGGCGACCAGCCCCGGACGTCGCCGTAGCTGGCGAAGGAGCACACGCCCGTGAAGTCGCCCGTCTTGCTGGACAGGCGGCCGCGGCCGTGCAGCATGATGCTCTCGCGGCGGCAGACCTCGTGCGGGGTCAGTATGGTGCCGTGCTCGAGCCACTCGCGGAAGACGATAGTGGCGCGCTGGCGGTTGAGGGTGCGCATCTTCACACTACGAACCGCGCGGTAGTTCATCGTCAGGTGGACGGCGACAAGGAACATCATCAACATCCAGACCGTGTGCCTGTCGTCGACCATCTTGACGATCAGGGTGCCCGTCAGCATGCCCAGCAGGCTGACGACCGTCTCCTGCGAGGCCTCCTTGGCGTTGAGTTCGGCGAGGTTGCTGTTGGTGGCGAAGTGCACAGACAGGCTGGCCTTGCTGGCGTTGGCGGCCACGCCGCAGAGCGAGCGCAGAATGCTGGCCGAGACCATGACGCCGAGCTTGGGGAAGTAAGGGAGCGCCGGCGTGAGGAGGTCCAGGAACTGGGCGCAGTCGTTGAAGATGTCGGCCAGGAAGCGGTAGAATTTGCACTCGGGCTCGATCGCCTGGCCCATGCGGTGGGCGAAGAGGATCGTCGCCATCCGCGAGAAGGTGTCCTGGATGATCTTGAGGATCATGGCTCCAGTCGGGGACGCGCTGTCGCTCCCGACCCCGAGGCCCTCGAGGACCGCCCGGTTGGCCAGGAGCGAGGCGATAGACGACGAGAAGGCCTGGAGTGAGTCATATGTCTGGTAGGCGAGGTAGTCGTCCGTGACGCTGTGGGGGAATCCAGCTGGGAGGAATGCGTAGAAGATGGCCTTTGCCAGTGGCACCTTGGTTTTCTCCTACACGGCAGTCAGCTCTGTCAACTGATGACAGGGCTCATCTGATCTCATTCATCCCTAGGAATGATGTACTGTATTGATGGAACCGGAGACTGAACTGAGAACAGAAGGTTTGGAAGCGCCGTGACGCAATGGCAAGCTTCAAAAGGCGAGGCGGGGAGTGAATGCAACGTACTATCTTCAGCTTCTCTTTATCCGAGTCGGCATACGTGCATTGCACGTTGCCGGCTTGGTCGATGTCATAAATAGCCTTACTCATGGCCGCGACATCATCAGTGCTGTGATATTTCCTTTTTCCTGTTTCTTTTTTTTTTTTTTTTCGGGTTGCCAAAGTGAAACAAACGACGGACTTGAGAGGAAAATTGGGAGGTTTGGTGCGCAGAAAAGAAACGCGCCGATGGGTGATAGAGAGGACGAGATACGTAGATTAGCAGTGAATGAGGCTCTGGTGTGGGCAATATGATCGGCGTCACAACAAGCCTTAATTGGCTCTAGGCACAAGGCTTAGGTGTCCCCCAATCAGCGCCCTTCGTGCCTGGCTGAAATGGCATTCATTAGTCAGGCAATCCCAAACTTCAACAATCACCAGATATTCGCAGGCGGGCAGGGAGACATTGTATGGACACATTGTATGGATACAAAGGTCATTGGCATACCAATCATTTTTTATCTTCATATACCATATATAGGCATATATAGCATATAGCATTAAGCATATATGTGCTACTTCTCAACAGCCTCATCGCTTGACAGGAGTCCCATCCTCAGCAACCAGGAATTCGTCCGTCTTCATTGGACCCTCTCCCACACCAGTCATGATGACCCTTCCCACCCCATTCTTGAGCAGGTCAGAGACACCCGCGTCCAAGGTCATGCTCGGCTTCAGGCCCTGGATAACGGGGGCCTTCCAGCCATCCATATCCCCCAATACGTGATAGAATGTCCCTATTACCGCCTCGGTGTCCTGCTCCAGGTAGTACACAACAGCATTCGGCCCTGCATCGAAGGTATACGCCGCCACCGTCCTCCCAGCGTTTGCATTGATGGCCTCCACGGCCCTGATTGCCGCCCGCGACACATCATTCATGTAGAAGATGGGCGGGTACGTGTCGGCGCAGGTGGCGTGGAACGAGTTCGAATCGCGCATGGTGACCTCGGCGAAGGCGGCAAAGTCGCGGTCCCGGATCGCCGCCTCCATGGCGTCCATGTGGCGCGGCACGACGGCGGCGACCCTCTCGGCGAACAGGCCCGACGTGCCGACCGTCTGCTGCATGCCGCTGGACGAGCTGACGCCCTTCCTGGCCGCCGACACGACGAGCACCAGCGCCCGCATCTCGGGCCAGTGCGCCGCCGGCGCCACCTGCTCGGCCAGCGAGTCGGACCCGTCGGCCGCGGAGCCCGCCCGCCACGCCACGTAGCCGCCGAACAGGCTGCGGCACGCCGACCCGGAGCCCTGCCGGGCGATGCGGCTCAGCTCGCGGGGCTCGTCGGGGAGGCCGTATAGGTCGGCAACGGCGCGCACGAGAGCCGCGAACCCGGCCGCCGACGACGCCAGCCCCGCCGCCGTGGGGAAGTTGTTCTCCGACACCAGCCGTAGGGACAGCTGCGAGAGCTTGGGGAGGTTCGGGTCAGCGGCCTCGAGGGCCGCCCGTCGAGACCGAAGTGCCCGGAAGCAGGCCTGCGTGCGTGCGCCGGACACGTCCGAGGGCTCGCCGTTGATGACGAGGGAGTCGCCCTCCGACGAGGGGAAGGCCGCGGAGCATGAGGCTGTCGTCAGGGTGCGGAGGTCGGATTGGGAGAGCGTCACGCTGAGGGAGCTGTTGGTCGGGAGGTTGAGCTTGGGGTCGCGCTTACCCCAGTATCTGGAGGTTGGAGGGAGGGAAACTGTCAGCTTCGGTCGGGAGCAGATGCGAGAGGGGCACCCAGGGGGACGCTGCCATACTTTACCACGGCGATGTTCACGGGAGCGGTGGTGCTTGCCCGGTAGACTTTGTTGTCGGATGCCGCCATTGTTGCGTTCGGTAATTCCTTTCCCAAATCAAATTTACAAATTTTAGAGCTCCAGGCCACAAAGGGAGACGGCAGAGAAGTCGAGGAAGATAATCCTCGGCCTCTTCCCAACGATGGCGGTCAAGTATTTGGCGGGGCAGAGCAGAGGTTGAAATTGGGCGTGAAATTCGAGGGGTCTCGGCCCTACCACCAAATAGGATTAGTGCGAGCTGCGTTCCCCGCCAGTTTGGGCGGCAGCTATCAACCACCAAAACCACATCACCAATCCACTGCGGCTCGGCAGGACTACCACTTCATGTCACGCATGGGTCAAGTCAAGCATGGAGTCAAGTAAAAACGGTTTTGAGTGGTTTTTTTAATTTGTGTATGCCACTCATGATTATTCCTTTCTGTGAGGAATGTCCGCAGGGTATCGACCTGATGTACGGAATATGCAAGCCCAAAATGCCCGGGGTATAATAATGTTGATGTATGCCAATAATGCCCCAGCACCAAACAATGAACCCAAAATGCCCAAAACGCCCAAAAAGTCTAAAAAGAGCCAAAAGTCTTGGATCCCCAAATCAAATCCTCGGCCAATCATCGAAACATCGTGACTTCTCCCCAGTCATCGATAACCGACGTCTTCGAAGTGTTGATCTTGCAATCCGTGCCGGTGGCATTCATTCCGGATGACGCCTGGCCGTGACAAAGCTGCCCGCGATGGTGAGCAGGTCATTCAGCGAGACGCCCAGCTGCGCCTCAAAGGCATGGAGCGGCCCTTGCTCCTCGAGGACCTGGTCCCGCTGACGCCGCAGCGCCGCGACCCGCTCCCGTCGTCGCTGCCGAGCGAGTTCTCGTAGCCGGCGCACGTTCTCTCTGAGGATGGTATCGCAGTCGTCGTCCCACTGCCCCTCCAAGATACGCGTAGCCGCGGCCGCCTCTTCATCGTAGATGGTGAAATCGGGAATCCGGCGCCGGAATATTGCCGGGCCAAGGCCGGGCTCGTTCTCCGGGCTGGTGTTGCGGGACCGGGGCCGGTCCGAGTCGTCACCGAGTCTGTACCCGGTGAGGGGGAGGGGTGTACCGGGCACACGATTATCGGCCCGGGTGGTTGGTGCCAGGGGCAATCTCGGCGGTGGCCTGTTAACTCGGACCGCCGGCGCAGGGCGGCGAAGCCCCGAGTCTGATATCCTGGCTGGCAACAACCAGGATGGCAGGCGGGGTTCCTGCCGCCCGTTATGGATGGCCGCGGTGGCAGTGGCCGTTGCGGAGTGGAAGAGAGGCTCCTGGGAGGAGGGCTGGTTGATAGTGGAAGGCATCCCTGAGGTTGGGGGGTTCTCTGTGCCTTTTTTTATTGTGTGTGTGGGTGTGTGTGTGTGTGTGTGTGAGAGAGAGAGAGAGAGAGAGAGAGAGAGAGAGAGAGAGAGTCGCTATTAAGCGTATAGTGGTAAGCGTATGGGTGGCTGGATAGCTGAGTTGGACCTAGAGCTTTAGATGAGAGCCAGAGGTAGAGCTGATAGTTGTTGCTGAAGCTCTATCATGGCAATGTAGCAGTCCAGAGTCTGTGTGTCCAGAAAAATGTTGTAAGGGGGAGAGAGAAAGATGGGATGGGAGGAGAGAGGGCAGGTATTTATATTTTGACGAGAGGCAAAACTTGGTGATAAACTTCACAGAGAAGAGTCAATAGAGGAGATATCGGGAGCTTGATGCGTTACAGTTCCCGACATATGTCCTCATGACTCAAATAAATACTTTTCGTTTCGAAGTACACGGATTCTTCAAGTTCTGAGCAGGAGAATTTCTCCGTGGTGAGCAATTTGATTTGCACAGATCGCTATTACACTTCTCGTGTTTCTCCCACCTCTTCAAAAGATGTAGGTAGAGCGAGCAACTGCTTGGCCGCGATATCTCCTTGCCCTTGACAGCCTCCCTCTAGAACAGAAGGGCATTCGACATGTTTAGAGGGAGATATTTCTTCCATGTCAGCTGATGTGATCACCCCTACTCCAGCCTGCACATCTGCTCCAGCCGCATAGCTGCTCCTGCCGCACAGCTGCTCCTGCTGCACAGCTGCTCCTGCTTCCACAGCTGTTCCTGCTTCCACATGGAAGCAGAATGACAGAACAAATTAACATTTGCTGATTCACAGCAGCCCACAAAGCCTAAATTGAACCTAGTTTCTGGGAAAACCTTGTTCGTCCCTCGCATCTCCATGTCTGGCTGCCTGGGTCGCAACGCCCAGGTAATTACATAACATATAACATGTACATGTACATACCTGCATTCCTAGAGCCTCGGGGAATCTGCAAGAGGAGCATCGAATCATCACTTTTCGCAGTGAAATTACCTACACAGATCACACACTGACCAATTTAAACTAGGGACAAGGTTCGCAAACTTTTTAAAAAGGAGGCCACTGGAACTTGCTACAATTCTGACAACACTGCAGCCGCGTACCTCCCTCTGAACACGACAGGATAGAGTTTGGCGCGGGAGATGTGAGCGTTTTTAGATGAATTTTTATCGACATCCACCCGTCGGCGCCACACCGCGCTGTTCCTTCTCACGCCACGATCGTTCACCGAGGTCAGTAAAAGCCAGACAACTTAACGTGATGGGGTGCCCGTGAAGCAGGCTCAAGAGGGCGTAGTTGTCGACCCAGGTCTTGTCCAATGGGTTTCCAGTTATGATGAACGTACGAGCCCGAAATTTGATCAGGGGCCCCTTGACAGGATGTGCAATCTTTGTGCTCCGGGACACGAGTCTGGGTCAAACTCGACCATTAATGGCCAGCCGTCGAGCCCGCCGTATCACGTATCTACCCTACACGTAACTGGTCTTAGTCAGGCCAGATACTCCGGGGGGAGACTCGGCGTTTGTTTAAACGATCGCCGACAAAGCCGGACTCGAGAAACCAGATACGAAGGCCGTGGCAGGGATGACGTGGTCTCCCGCTTCGTCGTCGGCTGCTTGGCCTAGTATACAGAAGAAAATATCGTACCTAATGAAATAATCTTTGTAGACCAAAATCCACAAATATGTGGCCCATGTTTTTTTCTTGCGCCGAATCTCTTCCGGTTTTGTTGCCCCCCCTTTCTTCTGCCCCTTTCTTCTGCCCCTTTTCTCGCCCCTTTTCGGCTGTTTTGTCCCCCTTTTCGGCCCCACTTTTAATCGGATCCCATTTTGGACCACATCCATACGAGTGAGTATAACCTTAAGAAGGCTGATTTTTAAATACCATTCCCTGGAAGAGGGAAGATTGCTATGGAGCACAGGGATCTTGTGAGAGAAGAGACTAGCAGATTCCATGTGTCATCGGCCACCGAGGGCGCAATTTCGTATAGCAACCACTGACTCGCTGACGAAGGCCTCTGGCCTGTGGTTCATACGAGATGCTGCCCGTGTCCGTCGAGGTCACAAAACTGCGACGATAGTTTGACAAAAGTGATTGTCTACCTAGGGGTTAGGTGTGTGTACGTATGTACCAGCTAGAGAGCCTCGCAAACTTAGTCGGGTACTATGTAGTCCTGACCCGAGATAAATCTCATCTCCCTGTCTCCCGTCATAAACAAACAAATTCCCAACACCTGCGCCGAACACAAGATGTAAAAGGAGGGAAAGGAAAAAAAGAAAGAAAAATAACAGACACCAAACACATCGCGCCATCAACATGCCTAGCATAGGAAACCGCTCAACTACTCCGAGCGAGCCACCGACCGCGCCGAAGAATCCGCCCCGCCCGACGATGGAGAGGTCGCCGACCCGCCGACCACCGAAACGTCGGCGTCGCTATCAGCCGAATCCGCCTGCTTGTCGCCACCTTCGGTCCTCGACTGGACGATGGCTTCCGCAATCTCTTCACAGACTAGTTCCCAGGCACCGTTAGCAGCAAACACAGAAAAGAGTCCGGGGAAAGAAAAACTCACGCAAACCAATACTCCTCGCCCCCAAAATCTTCATGACAGCCACATCCCTCCCGGCAGCAGCCCAGATCCACGACCGCACCTCCACGGCGGCGAGCGAGTCGACGCCCAGCTCGGCCACCGCGCTGTCCGGGCCCACGCCCCCCGGGGGCAGGCGAAGCATCCCCTCAAGCCGCCTCGCCATCGCGGTCGTCAGCGCCGCCGCCGCCTCCCGCGCCGTCGGCGCCGCGTCGAGGAGCTGCCGCACCGCGCCCGGGGCGCCGTTTTCCGCTCCCGCGGCGGCGGCGCCGTTGCCATCTCCATTGTCGGCATTTTCGTCGTCTTCGCGCGTGTAGTGCGAGAAGCGCGGGTCGCGGTGCCAGTGCAGCGGGCTGGGGTCGTCGACGCGGTAGCGGCGCAGGCCCGTGGTGATGTCCTCGACGGCGCCCGCCGCAGCCGAGTGCGTGTTTGGCCGGCCAGCCACGACGGCCTCGAGGAACATGTGGTGGATGTCGCGCTCCGACACGGGCGGGTATCCCTCGCGCTCGAGGCCCGTGTACAGCTCGTCGCGCTCGCGGTGCAGGAACCCGAGGCCGTAGATCACGCCTATGTTGAGCGCCGAGCCGGGGAGGCCGCGGCGGCGGCGGGAGGTGGCTAGGCCGTTCATGTACTGCGGGTTTGTCAGTCTCTGTTGGTCCGGGGGGTGGGGAAACTTTTGGGTGTTATGAGGGGAGGGAGAAGGAGATGCTCACCATATTGGCGGCCGCGTAATTAGACTGCCCCGCGTGGCCTCCGACGGCGGCAAACGACGAGGTCATGATGAAGAACTCCATGTCGGGGGAGTCGAACGCCTCGTCCAGGTTGCGCGACCCGGCTGTCTTGGGTCGCATGACGCGGCCGAGGGTGTCGAGCGTCATCTGCGCAAACACCCTGTCCTCGAGGACCATGGCGCCGTTGACAACCCCCGCCACCGGCGGCATCGTCTCGGCCAGCGCGTCGCGGAACCGCAGCACGTCCTCGCGGCTCGTCACGTCTAGGGCCTCGATGCGCACGTCGACCCCGCGCCGACCGAGCTCGTCCCGCCACCGCGGCGTCCGGTTCGGGTTGCGGCTGGCTAGCACGATGTGGCGGGCGCCGTGGTCGGCTAGCAGTCTGCACAGGCTGTGGCCCAGGTCGCGCGTCAGACCAGCGAGGACGTACGTCTTGTACGGCCGGAAGAGCTGGGTCTCGACTAGCGGCTTGATCACGTGCTGTACGTTTCGCTCCTTCCTCCAGTCGAGCACCTGGAACGGCTGCGTCGGCTGGGTGGCGTCTAGCAAGTCGGGGACGGCGAGGAGGGGCAGGCTCGGCAGCGAGCTTCCCGATGATGCCGTCGTCCTCTGCAGCGCCAGGTTGATGCCGAGCTCCCAGATGTGCTCGACGCCCGACGCGTCCTCAAGCGTGTTGAGGTGGTCCGAGGTGAGGAGCGAGTACCGCGAGTGGTATTCGCAGTTGTCCGGCAGCGAGTCTACGAGCAGCTCGGATAGCCTGCTGCCCTCGGGCAGGAAGTCGAAGACGTAGGCTCCGTCAGGGGGAAACAGCGCCCTGATCTCCCGGCTCGACGAGTTCGGATGCAGCAGGTGGGTTCGTGGGTCACCTCCTGCGCGCTTGCCACCATCCACCACGCAGATGCGGAGGGTTGACCCCTGGCTGGAGAGGACCTCTTCGGCGCACTCGAGGAACAGCTCGTCCGGTTCGATAAGCAGGACGGATTTGTCGCGCAGGTTCTCCGCAATCGTCAGACTCGTCAGGTATCTCAATAGTAGGCCGAGGAAGCCCGGGTAGTCCGGCGAAGCGATGGTCTTCGCGCAAGCCGCTGGAACGGCAACAATCGACGAATTGGACTTTGACAGGACGGCCAGAGTCTCTCCAGTGTCGACATTGCGCCCGACGCAGATGTGGGCAGAGTACGCCCAGCCTAGATTGAGGACGTCCACCGAGCTGTAGTCGACCTGGACGGTAGCCCTCTCCGCAACGGCCTCGTGGAGGCGTGGGTCGACGGGGTCGAGCCTGGCATCATAGCGCGCCGAGCCGTCTCCGGACTGGGACGAGGCAATCTCGACGGGGCGCTCTAGGGTATTCACTGTCTCCGAAACCACTCTCCGCGAGGCGTTGACACGGTTGTTTGCATCAGTCCACGGTAGGACGCGCGGGACGAGTCGGCTGCCGCCTTGGATGTGGACCTCCGGCTCGTGAGACCAGAGAACGGCTCCGTCCTTGGCTTGCACGGCGACGTCACCGCTCGTAGCTAGGCGAGCAAATTCGTCGCAGATGACGCCCGACGAGTCGCCCAGGGACTCGAGATCCAGCATCCGCAGGACGAGGCTGGGGGTCTCCGCCAGCATTGTCCGGGCGAAGCCGAAGGAGGCTGCGTGCTCTGGATTGTCGAATCTTGCCCCGCAGGTGATCCAGAGGATGGTCATCTCCGGCTTGATCAGAGATTTCAGTATCTCTAGCCTGCTTTCCGTCATCTCAGACAAGACGGGCTCATCCAAGTCGTTGAGGAAGATCGCGGCGCTGAAGGACGCCAATTCCGTCTGGTCGATATCGTCCAGGGTCTGTGCTACAGTGATATCGGCGCAGCGAGACGAGAGTCGCTGGCAAGTCTCGGTTGCTATCCGGGCAGTCTCTTCGTGCTTGCCGCCTACAATCAGGAGGCGACTTGTAAACTCTGCGCCGCCAGGATACGCCAGAGGCTGCAGGGCGTGTTGTTTCAGCTCGGACTCGGCCTGCCGGACGATGAGAGAGAAGCCGGGCGGGAAGCTCTGGTACGAATTCTTCATGGCGTGGCCGAACCCGCACTCGTCGAGGACGTCAGGCCAGTCCGGCGGCGTGAACATGTCCTCCGGGTCGGGCCTGAAGCCCGCGCACCTCCGAATACGTTCCTTGAGGCTGCTCCGCGAGACGTGGACCAGCACGAGGAAGCCGCCGGCCTTCATTCTCTGCCTCAGCTTCTTAAGCATGGCGCGGGTGTTCTGGCTCTTGGCCACCAGCGACGTGGAGACGAGAGCGAGGTCGTACTGCGGGCTCTGCACATGGTCTTCCTCGAGCTTGTCGTCGAGATCTGCTTCGTCTAGGATGATCTTCTTGCGCTGGGCATCAAGCATCGGAAGGCGGTCGACCAGGGCCTTCTCCGCTGCGGACCCCACCGTGTAGGACAGGAAGGAATTCTTCAGAGCCGAAAGAATAGGCCTCGTGAGACCCAGCTCTGGGTCGGTCAATCCCAGGATGTTCATCCTCGGATACCGATGCGCGACCTGCTTGGCAACGCGGGAGATGTGACTCTGCAGCCCGACGAGCTGGTGCGCCTCTTCGATCAATGTCGGGAGCATGCCTGGAAGGGCATCGGGCAGGTTCTCTCCAAGGGAACGGACAAACTCCAGGGTGGCGGCGTACGGCGAGTCTTGGATGAAGATGTCGAGCACTTCGGACGTATCCCCAGGCCAGCGACCGCCCGATTTAACTGGCCGCAATGAGTGCAGGGGATCGCGGGAGAATGAAGACAACTGAGGTGAAGGTGGGGGTGAATGGTTTGATTGGCGCGATGCCTTGTCAAGGTAAAACGACGCGACCCTCTCACAGCTTTCGACCAGCATGGGGCTGGGAGCACTGAGGTCCAGAACCTGTGCGGAGATAATCTCGTCCTCGGGGTCGACGTCCATCACCGTCGTCAGGTAAAGCTCGTAGTCGTTCTCGGGCTTGGTCGCGGCGAAAGAGGCCACAATTAGCCCCTCGACCTGGATCTCCATCTCGCCGGCCTCGTTGAAGATGCACATATCCCCGGAAAAGTTGGCAGCAGAGTCCTTCGTCAAGGGCTTGAAGTTGGTCAAGTGAGCTTCAACGTTGAGCACAGCATCATCATTGGGCTTCGAATCGCAGATGGCCAGGTTGAACCTGACTCGCTCGATGGACTTGGGGAGGAACGAAGTCCACAGGGCCCTGTTAACTACTTGTTAGCAACTACGACGGCAAGTTATTGTGGTGAAACAGAAACCTACCCGTCACCTGGAGACGACAACGTCGCAAAAGCGGACTGGAAACAAGAGTCGAGCGTCGCGGGGCTGATGCTCAGCTGTGTCGTGTCCTGCACGTGGCGCTTCTTCAGCACCGCCGAGGAGAAGTTGAACCGCCGGTCAATAGTCTCAATCGCCCTGAACGGACCCGAGTAGTCGAGCCCAATCTCGGACATCATATGGTAGAACCCGTCCGTGCTGACCGTCAAGGTCTCCACCGGATCCGGGGCTCGTGAGGGAAGTGCCTGTGGAGCAGGCTCCCCTAGGACAATCCGCAGTCGGCCCGCAAAGTTCTGCTTCATGGGCGAGTTGCCGTCGGCATAGGCGGACGTGATAGTAAACAAGGCCTCGATGGACTGCTGCGGACCCCTCTGGTGAGGAGCTTGCACAATAGACAGGGAGAAGAGGACCTCGACGCCCTCGGACTCGGGCTCGATGACGATGCCGCTCATGAATTCCATGTCTTCCAGCTCGACCACCGAGGCGGCGCGGCCGGCTAGCACCACCCTCGCCGCATCTAGAGCCATGACGCAATAGGCCGATGCGGGCAGCAAGGCTTGGCCTTGGAACCTGTGATGCGCGATCCACGGGACCTTGTCCAGCCTGAGGATGTTGCGCCACCGGAGCTCGTACTGGTTGTCGTCCCTCGTCCGGATACCGAGCAGCTCGTGCGGCGCATGGGTTCTGAAGTGGTATTGTCGGGAGATCCTCGACTCCTTGTAGTGCACCTGGGAGTGGTCCCAGGGATATGACGGCAAGCCCTCGAGTGGACCGGACCCCGACGAGCCCTGAATATAGTTCTGGAGTAGAATTGAGCTTGGTCCAAGGTGCGTCCACATCATGCCCAGGAAGTCAGAGAAGGCATGCCCATCCTCCTTTTTCCTGTCTAGCAGTCCCGAATAAGGCACGATCCGCCCATCGCTTGTCGCCTTCATTGTCTGCGTAGCTGGGCCCTTCAGTGCCGGGTGGGGTCCGACCTCGATGGCGAAGTCGAAGGGGCCACATTCAGTGAGAGCGGTCGTGACTGCTTCGTGGAAGAGGACAGGCCGGACCATGTTATCCTTCCAGTACGACGCCCCAAGCTCCTTGTAGCCGGGCTCGCCGGCTCCGTAGACGCTGGACACCCAGATGGTGCCGTTGCCCTTCTTCATGGGCGACACCTTGCTGGTCTTGAGGGTCTCGACATACTTCGCTGCCGGATGATCCATATGCGGCGAGTGGTAGGCAGTATCGACCATGAGCATCCTCGCAAACCTTTTCTGCTCGACTAGCTCATCCCTAACCCTGTGAAGAACATCAAGATCACCTGACAGCGTGACGCTCGACGGCGCATTGCTAGCCGCAACACAAATCCGCCCGCCGTACTCCTCCCTAGCGCACAGCTCCGCCGCCTCATGCTTCGACATACCCACAGCGAGCATTCCACCCTTCCGCCCATCCCGGCCGCCGGCCAGGTGCGCGTACATGCCGCGGTAGTACGACACAAGCATCGCGTCCCGCGCCGAGATCCTCCCGGCCGCATACGCGGCGCCGATCTCGCCCGACGAGTGGCCCACCACGGCGTGGAACCCGACCCCGACGCTGCGCAGCAGGTCCACCAGCCCGATCTGCACCGCCGTACACAGCGGCTGCGCCACGGCCGCCGCGTCGACTCCCCCCGCCTCGTCGTCAGCAGCAGCCAGGATCAGGCGCTCGAGCGTCCACGGCGGAGGGTGCGGGCAGCTCTGTAGAGTCGCGTCGAGGGACCGGATGGCGTCGCGGTACACGCCGCCAGGGAGTAGCAGCAGGCCCCGCGACATGGTCGCCCACTGCGCGCCCTGGCCCGTGAAGATGCCGAGGATCCGCGCGCGGGCCTCGTCGGCGGTGCGCGAGCGGGAGCGGATCCCGAGGGCCGGGGCCTGGCGCGCCTTGTCGAGGAGCGAGTCGAGGTTTTGTGCCAGCTCGGCGGTCGAGGATCCCGACACGGCGACCTTGAAGGGCAGGGCTGTGCGGTGGGCGTAGGCGTGCCAGGCTAGCTTGTCGTGCGGGAGGGAGTCGTCCCGGGCGAGGAGGTCGCGGTAGGACTGCGCGACGGCGAATAGTGACTTCTGAGAGTTGGCGGATAGAAGCAGGGGCAGGGCGATTGGCGGGCCGTCTGGTTCGCTGCGGATGGTTTGGATTCTCGGGGTCAGCGACAGGGTCGGACTGAACGCCCTTGCGACGGCATTGTGAATGTCCGGGTTGTACTGCTCGACGATGGCGTGCGAGTTCGTTCCGCCGAACCCGAACGAGTTGACGCTCGCGCGCCGCGGCTGCCCGCCCTGCGGTGCCGGCCAGGGCAGGACCTCGGTGGCGATGCGGAGGTTGGAGTAGAACGGCTCCACGCTGGGGTTCAGCCTCTGAAGGTGGAGGTTCGGCGGCACGGCGCCGTGGCGCATGGCCTGTACCACCTTGAGCACCCCGGCCAATCCGGCTGCGCCCTCGGTGTGGCCAATCACCGTCTTGACGGATCCGACGAGAAGCGGCGGCTCTGATTCGGCAGCAACTTCGGATGAATCGGTGTCGTCTTGGCGCCCGGTGGATCCCTCGACCGTCGGTTTGGTCTGGCTCTCAATGGCCGCCGATTGGGTTGCATACTGGCCAAAGAAGGCGTCTTCGATGGCGGCGGCCTCCCTCGGGTCGCCGGCATGGGTTCCCGTCCCATGTGCCTCGAAATACTGACACCTGTCTTCCTGATTCCTCGAATCAAGCCCCGTCTTCCGATAGGTATCCCTGATCAGGCGGGCCTGGGCCTCGGGGTTGGGCATGGTGATGCCCTTGGTGCGACCGTCGGAATTGACGCCCGTCTCGCGAATGATGCCCTCGATGCGGTCACCGTCGGCCAGGGCGCGGCTCAGGGGCTTGAGGAGCAGGGCGGCGACGCCCTCGCCGCGGGCGTAGCCGTCGGCGTCGGCGTCCCACATGCGGCAGTGGCCGGTGGGGCTGAGCATGTGCAGGCTGGACTCGACGATGAACTGCTCGGGCGTGATCATCAGGTTGGCGCCCGTGACGCACGCCATGACCGACTCGCCGGACCGGAGGCTCAGCACGGCCTGGTGGAGGGCGACGAGGCTCGAGGAGCAGGCCGTGTCGATGGTCATGGACGGCCCGTTGAAGTTGAAGAAGTACGAGATGCGGTTGGAGATGATGGAGCGGGCATTGCCGGTCGCGTAGTATTGGCTGGCCGTGATGTCGTCTCGCTGCGAGAGGGTGTCGTAGTCGGCCGTCATGATACCGGCGAAGACGGCCACGTTCTCGCCGGCATATTGCTGCAGGGTGTAGCCGGCAGACTCGAGCGCTTCGTAGACGACCTCCAGGAGCATCCGCTGCTGGGGGTCGACAGCCTCGGCCTCCTTGGGTGTAATATTGAAGAAGGCCGCGTCAAATACGCGGTGGTCTTGATCCAGCCAGTAGGCCTTGGGTGAGTTGGTTGTTCCATGATACTCGCCGTCTGGGTGGTAGAAACCCTCGATGTTGAACCGCTCCGGGGGCACTTTTCTTGAGAGGTCTGTTGGGTCTTGGAGGAGACTCCACAGCTCCGAGGGAGAGGATACGCTTCCTGTGAAGCGACAGCTGCTACCAACGATGGCAATCGGCTCTGCGGTTGGTTGTTTGTAGGACATGGTCACATCGTCTTCATAAGACGCCAGTGATACATGTGAGAGGGGCTGTGGTATTTGAAGAAGTAACAACACACTTATTGGTGGGAAAAGAGAGGCAAAGAGTGATGGGATGGAAGTATCTCCAAAGTCTACCAAGATGATGATTATGATGATGCAGAGACTGTGACAAGCAGAAAAAAGGCAAGAAGAAAGACTCGGGTGTGTTTTAAGAGGCGAGCCTGACCGCCTTGTTTTGTTGGTGAATGGGATGGATGGCCTTTTCCGGGTGGTGGTGACATGATATGCACAGTACACAAAGCAAAGCACCCGGCCCCTTATTCACCAGCAGACTGCCGAGCCTCAACCTAAGAAAGAAGGGGGAGGGGGGGTGGGAAGGTTCGGAATTCCGTACCTACATGACGGGCTAGCCGGGGGCCCAGGGCCTAGTCCTCCTGCTCTGATAACGCCCACGGCCCGACTCCGAGTGGTTCACCCGACCTTGCAACAGTCCACACGGCGGCTTGGCCATATGTATTCACCTTGATAGAGCCCTAGCCTTCGGGTCGGTGCACAAACTGGGTGCCTGAGGTGTCTTGCCTCAACATCAGGAAGGTCGAAGGACAGTGAATTCTTGGCGGGGGAGACGCAATTCACTGGTAAACTTGGCCATAGTCAGTGGTTAGACATGTGATAGGTTATGTGGTGTATGGTTGACCAACTTGGGATTTCTACAGAAACGGACGGCTAAAGTTGCCAAATGCCAGACCAATACCCACTGCCCTTCCACTACCCTTCCACTTCCCTCCCACTCCCACTCCCACCCCCACCCTACCCATCAGTGTGACTGGCTCTCTCTCATGGAGCCGAGGACATTTCAGCCAGCCTCACCCTAGTCTTGTCCAACTCCAGGCCAATGAGTTTTTCCTTGGCCATTATCTCGCAAAGTGAAACCTCTACCGCTCCCGAGAACATCGATGATTGGCTCGTGCTGCCCGGCTCTGGCGTGGAAACTGGGGTCGGGAGCCACGAACCGAGGGACGAGGCCGCTGTTCGGAGTTTGGAGAGGAACTCCTCGGCCAGCCGGATGGTCAATTCCATCTGGAGAGACGGGGAAGGGGGCACTTGGAATGACCCGACCGAGACATCTGGCAGCTTGCACAACCGCAAGACTTGGTTGGGTCCAGACAGTGATATCTCTGTTTGGACATTTTGAAACACCTTCTGGTACAGGTCGAGCAACCTGACGTAGACGGACAGGATCAGCAAGCCAGTTCCGGGGTCTAGTAGCGGTGCGGAGGATTCCCGCTGGAGAGGCGCGCCGTCCTTGTGAGAAGCGTCGACGTCCTCTCCTGACATTTGTATCTCATCCAGGCTTTGGACTAGACGCCTCGAGAGCTTGAACATGGACTCGATCGGGAAGCCATTATTTGACTCCCGTTCATCATCCTGGCCCGCGTGGATGTAGTAGACGTCTGTGTCGCCTTCCGACGCGAGGAAGGAGGGAACTGAAGCAGCGAGGTGCCAGAGGTCGGAGCTGATATCTGACAGCTGGGCCAGGAATTCGCCCTGCAAACTCATAACCCTCGAAGACGAGTGCCGAAGCACGATCCGACGGCGTCTTTGCGGAGTCTGGGCCGAAGGTGGCTCCTCCCGGGTGGGGGCGGAAAGTTTCTGTTGTGGCGAGGAAAATTGTCGGCGGTACAGGTATTGGTCGGGAAAGGGTGAAACCTCCTTAGCCTGGACCACATGGCCGTGGGCGGAAGATATATCCGCCACCGAGTCAGTGCAACCGTTCGACGAGGGGGGAAGGTGGTGGCCCCAGGGGGAGGGCATGTTCGCAAGGTTTCTCGGGTTGCTCAGGTTGCCCCCATTCTGGAGCGAGTAGGGGATGCCACTGCTATTTGGACGCGGGGTGAAGATGCTGCTGCCATCATCGCCATCAAATGCAAACTGAAAGCCGACGATCTCCAGCATGTGATCCACAGAGGGGTCGGTCGCATGAGGAGCCATTGGACTATTGTCGAGTGCACACTCGTGTGGTAACACTCGCTGACCCCTCGCCATGTCTTGAGCACCACCATCAGTCATGGATCTGCACCAATGGGTTTGTTCTCAGCACGTACCGAACTCCGAACTCGACCCTGTACGCCGCCGCTTGGTGGGCCTTGTCGCATCCTGCGAATCTTCAGGTGAATGCTGCTGCTTCCTTCGATATCTCAGCGAAGGGCTGGACTTGCATTCGGTCCGGAGTCTGACGCATCTCTCACAGGCCTCGTCCCCGTTGCGCTTGCAACTAAGTTTCTGTGCATGGCAGCGGTTACAAGCTCGTCGAATAGGCCCATCTGCCATCCTGGATCCCTTGTTATGGCCGTCCGGAGGAATAATTCCATGGAGGGCGAGGAGCGAGACGCACGTTCGGAGTAGGCGTTCGGCGGTTGAGTTGACGACACGCCGAGTGGATTCCCTCGCTGTCCAGTCCAAATCAAATGACCGAGGTGGCTAGAAGCTCCAAGGAAAGACAGAAGCAGAAGAAGAGTGGGAAGATGGTCGGGCGGCATCCATCCATCGCCCCAGAAATAGCGACAAGTTGCGCCGATGGGTTGCCCATACATGCAGTAGGCGTGGAGTAAACCCACCCTGAGCCGACTAGCCCATTGGCGAGTCACAATGGCGTGGCACGCTATTCCTTCCACTTGGAGACTGACGGATATCTTACCGGCTGAAAAGGGGGGGGGGGGGGGGGTGGGTGGCGAGCTGCGTGGTGGGTGGGAGCCATGCCCACCCCTCTCGGCTAACCTGCAGCATCCGGAAGCTTTCCCAAGACATGCGAACCCGAGTAAGATCTGACCGATAACGCAGGTGGATGACCAATGCAGAAAGGGTAGCCGGCGCTTGACGCACTAAAATCCCAGAGATACGGTAGACGTCATATAAGATGCAGCAGGACGGGGCAGGCAATGGTTTCCCAATGGAGAGGTTGGCTGGCCGCAAACGCGCAGTCATGGTGCTGCAGAGGACGTAGCCCCGCCGGAACGTCCGCAGAACCGACTGGATGCCGGCCCACTGAGACGATCGGTGATGTAAATATGGAATGTGCTGAGTCCCCAAGTCCCTCCACGGTGCGGGGGTCAGCGCCTATTCCATGTGCTTGTGACCACCCAGATGGACGCATTTGAACACAGCTTGGGGTCTTATAGGGTCATATATCATGACATCGATATGCAATATAAGGCAGGGAAGCAGCAGAGAGCAGCCAATCCAAGGGCGAGACCTTGCACACCTTGATGGGGGTGGCCGCTCTCCAGCGCGGCGGTGTTGACCTTCTCGGAGCACATTGTCGGAACAGGGAAGCATTGTCTGCGAGAGCGGCCGACGGCAGCCAATCTTCAGCGGAGGGGGCTTGCGGAAGCCATGCCGGATACGCCTCGTGTGCATGGCACTATACCAAGGTCAGATGGAGGGGAGACGCGTGGGAACGAATAGGGCCAGCCCGCATGGTTATCTGCCTCCTTCTAATGATAGACTAGAGGTACCTTGGGGAGCCACGCGGTTTGCAAACTATTTGGCATGGGACGGAAATTGGTTGGATCCCCTGACGCACTTCTGCAGCGTTGAACCGGCGTCCTGGAAACGAATGATGCCGCGAGCAATACAACAGTGATACCATGCTTGCAGAAAAAGGACCAACTTCGGTCGACAGTGGGAGTGGGGGCATCGGGGCCAAGACAAATCAGCATCGAGAATTGGATGCTGATTCGGTGCTGAATGGAAGGTGTGTCTCACCCAGAACCAGCTCAGCAAGCATGGGGCGCCGACAACGCAGCGTCGGCGTTCAGCCAGAGACATATCCAGCCGGCTAGAACATGTAGTTGGCTGCAGCTTCGTTCTCTAGCGCAATGTTGGTAGAGCCAAGGGAGGGACTGGCCAAGTTTCGATATCTTTCGAGGAACACTTGACAGCGAGAAGGCCATGGATGAATGGGATGCTGCAGGGGGAGGCCAAGGCACGACTGGGGAGGGAGACGATTGTTTTCTCCAGGTACAGCACAAAGAAGCACCGAGAGGTACCCTGGAAGGGACGACTCCTGACGAGGAGAATGGAACATTGGGACGCCGATTCGATCAGCTGTGGACGATGTCTGACAAAAGTGGGGTACGCTTGCTCCCTGAAGAGTAACTTGTACATAATTAGTGTCAGCCAGCCATCTTACCTTTCCCTGCCGAACAAGGATATTCCGACTGGCGTCTTTAGCGCGTGTGGTTAGCATGGGTTGCGCTGGCAGTGCGCCACTGGGCTGGCCACGCATCTTTTGAGCGGGGAGACTGGAAGACATGGAGAGGTAAAGGGAAAGGGAAGAGGAGGGAGGGGGATGAGGAAGGAGGGGATGAGGGGGGTGGGGGGGAATTGGGAGAGGGGGCGAGGGGGGGAGAGAGACATGCGTCGAGGCGGCGCCCACGTTCCCCCGATGCAAGGGATAATAGAGAAAGAGATACATCGCGGAGGTCGGATGCGGCGCGAAGTTGGTGCAAAAGCTGCCCGGCCGGATTGTCTGTACCCGCGTCGACCGACGTTACCCTAACTACCTATGATGTAGGTCATTGCGGCCCGTTCCTGCTCGTCAAATCCCGCCTGTGGCGCGACGGCGGGAACCTCGGCAGCGATCTGAGGGTAGCTTTGAGCAGAGAATCAGAGAACGAGAATAGATGGCTACCCTGCGGTGCCTGGCTCGGCGGGTCTGTGCGGTTGCACCCGGGTCGAGGAGTGCACACCCCCGGCCCCGGCGGCATTGCGCAGGCATGTACAAGCAAGTACGCATGTATGCCTACGCAGTACATACTTACCGCAGTAGTAGAGAAAGCGGGATGCTCCGGGAGGCCAACAAGGACCAGGATGAGACGAATTTGCAGATTCCCCCAAGCCTCATGGACCGCGGATTGGCTGCTGTCCGGATCAAGACGCAGCAGGCAAGGAAAAGCACTGCTCGGGCTCGGAGTTCCCATTTCGCAAATGGACCGCTGTTATAGGCTTCCACTCTGTCGGGACCGCCAGTTATCCACCGATTTGGGCTGTGTTGGTTGGTGTCTGTTGGTGCAAGGAGCTGCAGGCCGAGCATGGCTACAGGCAATGTCGTCTTCCGCAATTCTCCGTGGGAAATCGCAAAAACCTTGCGAGACAAGCGAGATTTGAGATGGCATCATGCGGCATCATGCTGTGCAACTCATCAGTTGGCCGGCAGCTGCCGAGGACACACACTTCTTGATTGACGGGCTAGCGGGGGTGGCTGGCGCGCCACCAACGTTGACGAAATTGCACGTTTCCCACCTCCCCCAGTACGGATTCGCCTGGGCAAAGTGCGACAATTGAAGGAGGCTGCAAGTTTGCCAGTTGATACTCGGCATGTAACTGGATCGAACCAGAATTGAATGGTAGAAGTATGTAGGTATGTACAGGTGATTCCAAGGAGACCAACGATTCCAAGACTGCCAGCTCCGAACGCCGCACAACATCTCGCCTCAGAAAACCATGCATCTATTGTCTATTGTCTTCCCCGCGCAAAAAAAAAAGAAAAAAAACCCCAAAAAAAAGGCAAAATCCATGCATTACTCAGCGGCCATGTCGCCGGTAGCAAAGAGCTCAAGGTAGATGCGCTCCTTGTCGATGCCCATATCGACCAACCCCCTCCGCACGTCAGCCATGAACGTCTCGGGCCCGCAGATGAAATACTCTGCCCTCGGCTCGGCGGCGAAGAGGTCGCGGTCCCTGTCCAGCTTGTCCAGGTCCAGCCTCGCGTGTGCGAACTTATAGTTGACGTCGGCCTTCTCCTCGGGCTCCGTACCGATGGCGTTGAGGAAGACGTGCGCCGACACGTGCTCGTTCTCGCGGCAGATAGCCCTGACGGCGTCGCCGAAGGGCAGCGAGTTGCTCGACCGCGACGTGTGGATCCACGAGACGGGCCTGCGCACCGCCGGCGCCGCCCCCTTCCCTTCGGCGCCCGCGAGGCTGCCCAGGATCGCCATGAGCGGCGTGGCGCCGACGCCGGCCGAGATCAGCACCGCCGGCGCCCCCTCCTTGGCCTTGTCGCGCGGGTCGACGAAGAACTCGCCCTGCGGGTGCGACAGCTCGACCTCGTCGCCGACGCCGAACCCGTCGTGCAGCAGGTTGGAGATGACGCCCGGCAGGCCGGCCGCCTCCTCCTCGTCCTCGCCCACCTCCCGCTTGACGCTGATGCGGTAGTAGTCGCCGCCGCCCTCCCGCGGCGCCTCGCTCAGGCTGTACTGCCTGCTCTGGAGGTGGCCCAGGCTCGGCACGAACACCTGCAGGCTGACGTACTGGCCGGGGAGGTATGTCGGCAGGGGCACGGCGCCGTCGCTGGGCGCGAGGTAGAAGGTAGTGATGGTCTCGCTCTCGGCGATCTTGCGCACGATGCGGAACTTGCGCCACCCGGCCCAGCCCTCGGCCCGGTTGGCGGCGTACATCTGGCCCTCGAGCCCGATGAAGACGCCCGCCAGCACGGCATAGGCGTGCGTCCAGGCGTCAACGATCTCGGGCGTGGCGGCCTCCTGGAGCACCTGCCCGATGGCCTCGATCAGGAACTTGCCGACGATGTCGTACTGCTCCGGGGTCACCTGCAGGGAGACGTGCTTGTGGGCGATGCGCTCGACGGCGTGCTGCAGCTTTGCGAGGTCGTCGATATAGGTCGCGTAGGCGAGCACCGACGCGGCCAGTGCCCGAGGCTGGCGGCCCGTGGTCTGGCTGGCCAGGCTGAAGATGTTCTTCAGCTCCGGGTGGGCGTCGAGCATGTTGTTGTAGAAGAGGGTTGTGATGGTGGTGCCGTGCTCCTTGAGCACGGGGGCAGTCGCCTTGACGATGGCGATCTGCTCCGGGGTGAGCGTCGCGGCCATGGTGGATGCGGATTGATGTGTTGACTGAGTCAAGTAGAGAGATGGATGATGGCAAGAGTAAGGGATGGATCAAGATCCGAGATGGCTCTTGGGGATTCTAGTATGCGAGAGTATGATGGGTTGCTGGTCCTGAGGACTGTCCAGCATCTTTCACTTGGATGTCCCAATCTATTTATCCTCCCCGCTCCTTCCCTTCCTTCCCATCCTTGCCCCCACAAACGTCCGGACCCGGCTTGGCCCTATCACGAACCCATATAATCCTGATTAACAGTCTATCGAGGACATATATTGAGCTGGTCATGGCAAAATCGTGCCAGGTTAGGTGACACGATGGGGCTCGATCCACCGTTGGATGCAGCATCTCCGGGGACGCCCAGCTCTGGCGCGGGCCATGCAACGAATGCCGTGCGTATTGGCAGGCTGGGCCCGAGTCCATGGCCAAGGCTGATGTAAATTCCGAGCCATTTTAAGGCGAAACAAGGCCATCAAATCAGCCCACAGAGAGAAATTTTGCACAGCGCATCTGGGATGGCAGCCCGGTTGGTTCTCGCGAATCTGGGTATCTCCGCGGAGCAAAAATGTAAATCCCGTGCCTGAGACGGAACATTCTAGGTCCCTGTTCCTGAGCTAGTGCGATCCCGCCGCCACAGCTCTGCAAACGGCTCTGCAAACGGCTGCACTGGGGTTACACTGCGGATCACCAGTGAGACATCTGGTCTTGAATGCCTACAGAGTAATCCGTATGATCAACGCCATATTGTTTTATTCCATTCATTGACATGTTTTTGGCGAGTTTATGACGGCCGCTGCCACCCCCCAGCCTGGGAAGACCCAGACCTGGGATGGAGCGTTAGCGTCACTGCCAACCCGAGGTTTTGGTAAACGTATCATCAGGCCATCGGCAGGCCCATCGACCCGAATTCGGGGCCTTCCGGCCGAGCACGTCCCACATCATTCGCCTAGACCCCTGTTTTCGGGGGACCCAGTACGCCGTAAATTAATTCACAGGCTCAGGTTCAGTGCCTGAATTGTGGGCCGTCGTCATATCATACCATGTCCTCATGGCTGAATCATCCAGTGTCACGTCACGCATTGCCAGTCTGCATACATCAGTCGTGAAACGCCATTCTATTGAGTTGGAAGACATGGCGCAAGCCAATCTATTGTGAACAGAAGCTAGGCTTCCCTCCTCGTTTTGGGCATCATGTGGTATCCTGCCCTGCCATCAACCGCGGGTCTGCCTCGCCACCAAAAAAATGGAACAGGGAAAGGAAAAAAAAAAAAAAAGAGAAAAAAGGGGGAAGAAATGGCCCTGTCATCTGTCATCAAGGAGAGGAGGAGCCAAAATAAAACAAAAGGGAGACCAAGAAAAAAAATTGCCCGCCCATGGAGTTGAACCATGTACCTCCCACAGGTTCTAGAGAATAACAATATTACCACAGGGCGCTCTCACCGTTGAGCTAGGCGGGCTTCTTATAGACCCTCTAACCTACTGGAACATATAAGGCCATGCCGGAGCAAAGGAAAAGTTAAAATGTAGAGACCGAGATAGAGGAGGTGGCAAGGGGAGGGGGGCAGCGAGGACAAGGAGGAACTCTGGCAGCAGTCCCAAACCAAGCTGGAGAATCTAGCCTTCTCAAGCAACGTATTACAGAGGAACAAGGCAAATAAACGCCCACCTGCAACCTCCCAACAACTGCGGAATACATGTGAGACTTCCCTAGACAAACAAGAGGTGCGTATCTGTAAAGATAAACCACATGCCTCCCAATGTAAGTGTTTGGCGCTTTAGTATAATTACACAAACATAAATAATAAATCAATAAAAGCCTGCGAAGTAGTCAGAGAGCAAAAGAATAATAAGAGGTTATAAAAAAGAACAGAGTGGGAAAAAAATTGCCTGCCCGTGGAGCTGAACCACGTGCCTCCCTTGGTTATAGGTGTAATAATAATACCTGCAGGCGCTCTCACCGTTGAGCTAGGCGGGCTTGTTATAGACCTCCCAGGGTACTGAGGCATATAAGGCCATGCCTAAGAGCGAGAGGGGGTGGCGAAGAGAGAGGCAGACAAAGGAGGTGTTGCTGTCTAGTACAAGCCCTTGACTTACACAGACATAAATGAATAAATAATAAAAGCCTCGTAAGTAGACGGAGGAGTAGAAGGAAAAGTTGTAAAACAAGAAGAGGCGAGAAAAAAAATGCCCGCCCGTGGAGTTGAACCACGTACCTCCCATAGGTTATAGGAGATAACAATATTACCACAGGGCGCTCTCACCGTTGAGCTAGGCGGGCTTGTTATAGACCCCCTAGCCTACTTGGGCACATAAGGTCTTGCCAAAGCAAGGGAAAAGGCAAAAAAAGAGAGGGTGGCAATCCCAAAACGTCGAGCCACATGCTTCCCTAAGAATAAAGGAGAGCACTCCAATACAGGCCGCCCCGTGTAGCCAACTTGAAGACATGAATAAATGAAGTCCTGCCCTGTAGATAGAAGAACGAAAGGAAGAAAGGAAAAAGAAAAGAACAGGGCGGGAAAAAAAAATATGCCCGCCCGTGGAGTTGAACCACGTACCTCCCATAGGTTCTAGGGGATAACAATATTACCACAGGGCGCTCTCACCGTTGAGCTAGGCGGGCTTCTTATAAACCCCTCAGGGTACTGGGGCATATAAGGTGTCCTCCAGACAGACGAGCGGATAAGCTTCGGTGCTGAGAAACTTGACTTCGTCGTCGGCAGAGGGAGATCAAGTTGCTCCTCACTCGAGGGTAACCTGCCTCTCGAGGGGCTGCGGCATAGAGGCCGGGCAGAAAAGAACGCGGGCCTCGTGGACGGGTATCATCAGCAGCACTAGAAGCAGCAACTCGGACGGCAAGCGCAGTGTGGAACCTGGGCGGCGATCCGGGTTGGACTAGGCTGGTGAGAAAGGCTGGTCAGGCCCGGGCCATCTGCCATCATCCAAGATCGTATTCCGTGCACACTCGAAGATGCTCTGCGTTTAGGCGGAGGAAGCGGCGTTGGGTAGAGCCTGGCATTCGCATCAGGAATAGGTGTTTGGGGCAGGGGGGTTTCCCAGATGGAGCTGAGCCGGATCAGAAACTGGCAGGGAAGGAGGAACCACTGTCCCCTCCCTCTATGGCGTGTCGGTGTTGGGTTTAAATAGGTAGCCCTGTGGCAAAAACTTCAGGCCAAGGAATGCCAGTTCCCATGCAAGGTCCGGCAATAGCCATCCCTGTAGGTCGACCATGATGCATTAGCAGGGTCATTCCAGACAAGTATGGCAACTCAAAATACGGTGACCCACTTGATCGCCATAGCAGACTCAGACGTGGCGCAGAAGTGAGAAAGTCAACTTCTCGGCGGGGTGGCGGGACCCTCGGGCCCAGCTACCTATCTTCGTATTGCTAGGTCCTGATGGATGCGTGGATGGAGACGACGAAGATACGAATCCATAGCCAGCCCTCCCAGATCGGGACAGAGAAAAGGGATGTCGGGAGAAACAAAAATAAAGTATTGGAATCATTGCGCATCGCGGATTCGGGGGTATCTAGCAAGTCAACATCAACGTTCCCAACGTCGTGAACCCCTGGCAACCTCACCATATTCCCTTTCAAGGGCCCAATTCTCCCGCAACGCCAACCGCATCATGTTTTCCCAATGACGCCCATACCTTCCCATCCAGCAGACCCTGAACCAACCCATTCCCTCCCTCCGTCCATCACCTCTTCCTCCCATCACTACAACAGCACCCTCCCTGGTCACCAAAGCAACACCCACCATTATCACTGAAACAGCACCCCCCATGATCACTGAAACAGCACCCCCCGTGGTTACTAAAGCAGCACCCCCCATTATCGCTAAAGCAGCACCCAGGCTGCCCATCCGTCGACCGCGGCCCTGCCCCTGGCCCCGCCGCAGCCATTGGCTTCCCCGGTCGGTATCCCTCCCCCTGGCTCTGCTGCTGCGTCCTCGCCGCCGTAGTCATCGGCCTGCCGCACCGATATCCCTCCCGCCGGCCGCCGTGCAGCGGTTCGTCCTCGGTCGGGGAGGCGCCGGACGAGCGCCGCGAGGGCGGGGTCGGTTGGGCTGCTGCGGCGGCGGCGGAGGAGGCGGGGCCGGAGGAGGGCTGCTGGTGGTGCTGGGGGGGTTCGTAGGGGGGCGGGGCGTCGAGTTCTTCTGGTACGGGGACGGTTTGGCGGTGGGAGGTGTAGGTTGTGGGTGGAGAGGAGGAGGAGAAGGAGGGGGAGGATAGCTTGTCCATTTTTTGGGGGAGTGGTGGGTTGGATTTGGGGAGGTGGGTGGGTTCCCAGTGTTTGCTCCTGCTGTTTATGGAAGTCGGGAGGTTCCTTCTTTGTGCTCCCGCTCGGGCAGGCAGGTGGTACCTAGGTAGATGGAGCTCGGAATTTGGTGGATCTGTTTGAATGCGGGTTGTGGGATCGTCGCGAGTGATGCTTCTCCTGGTGTAGACGGGAGTCGGTGAGCTTCCCTACCCACCTATTTAATTATCACAACGATTAGCTGCTCGGGCTCAATCCAGGTCCGGATGACAAAATTTCGTGATCAAACGCGTGGTTTTAGGTGGATCATGCGTTTCTGGGCCAATGGCGGAGATGTCTGGACGCCAAGTCTCAATCCTGCTAACCAAATTTGGGTTGGTTGTCAGCCACAGCCGCTGACCAGTTCATCAAACAACTGCCGCATCGCATCGCAGAGCAGAGCAGACGTCGGAGACCGCCGAGTCTGTGAAGAGCAAGTCTTTGGCCCTAAGAACCAATGTTGTCGGTGCTTCTCCTCTTTCCGCTTGATCTTCCCATTCCAGGTCCGAGAGGCCCCGACAAGAGAGGCCCACAAACCGCCAATCAGTTGTTCCCACACACGCTACGTGGCCGCTTTCTGGGGCCCCGCAAGGTTTGCCAAGACAGGTGGACATCAGGAATAGTAGACTAGATACTCCCCACGTTTGTAGTACATAGGGCCTCAATGTAGGGCTGTGGTAGTGTGCGAAACGTCGGCGGGCGGGCCCAACTTCCGCTTCGAAAGGCCCAGGTCTTGGCGAGCGAAAGATTGGCATTACATGTCACCGTCACCGTGCGAACAGATGATGCTTGTCGTTCGCATCAAGCATTCGTCGGTCACCCCTGGCTCGGTAGCTCATGAAGAAACATATGGAGAACGTGATTTCGAAATGATGATATCTAACAATGAGTAGGTATCCCAAATATACAAAACACCAAAACATCGCTATAGGTAGAAGAAGCAAGCACCACGCGGACCAACCCAGACCTCCAGCGCAACGAGAAAAGCCCCCATCGCAACCATCGAGGCCCAGATGACAGATCCCTCCAACCCCCGCTGGCGCAACAAACTTGGCCAAGCTCAGATGAAGAACTTGTGCATCAACCTGCGCCACAGCGGCATGGCCGCGATCTGGGCGCGGTACTCGTTGATCTCGTCCCACGGCAGCTCGCGGCGGCCCGTGTCGACGTCGATCTCCGACGTGCGCAGCCAGCCGGCCCGCTTCCACAGCCAGCCGCCGATCCAGAAGAAGATGACGACGGGGAGCGCCAGGTACGACTTGAAGAAGCCCTGGACGTCGTTGAAGCCGCCCTCCACGGGGCAGATGGAGACGTAAAGCTGCGTGAGGGGGAGATCGTGTTAGTTCTCGGGCTACCAGGAAGATGGGGTAGGGGAAGGGGCTTACTTGTGCAATCAAGACGATGATGACCAACCCCAAGCCAATGTAGCTGCCGTAGACGCCGCCGATGGCCTTGAAGGGGATCTCGTCCAGGGTGTGGCCGTGGTAGGCCCAGGCCTTGCGGAACCGGATGTGGGCGAGGCAGATGCTGCCCCAGGTGAACAGGGCGGCCAGGCCGGAAAGCGCGAGCAGCCAGTCAAAGACGGTCGGGCCGTCGGCGTCGAGGTTGACAAAGGCGAGCAGGCCGAATGCGATGATGATGCTGACGCTGAAGAGTGGACGGCCCGAGCGGTCGATGTAGGTGAAGATCTTGGGCGCGTACCCCTGCTGCGCGAGCGCCGTCAGCGTGCGGGAGCCGCCGTACACGGCCGACACGCCGATGGACAGCACCGAGACCAGGATAATGACGTTCATGAAGGAGTCGAAGCCGCGGAGCCCAGCGTACTTGCCAACCAGCACGAACGGCGACGTGTTGACGTCGGCGTACGGGTTCGTGGCGCCCAGGAGACCGCCGTCGTTGTAGGGGATCAGCAGGCCGACGAAGAAGAGACCCAGGATGTAGAAGCTGTGGGAAAGAGGGGGAGTAAGTAAAAGAGAAGAGCCACACCGACGGGGGGACGATCGAAAACTCACAGGGTAATCCGCCAGAACACCTGCTTAATGGCTCCCGGCATCGACTTGACGGGGTTGCGAGCCTCGGCGGCGGCAAGACCGACGAGCTCGGTCCCGCTAAAGGCGAAGGCGGCGGTGACGAAGACGCTGCAGAAGCCGCGGAAGCCGTTGGCGAAGGCGCCGGGCTCGTACCACAGGCGCGCGCCCCAGTAATGCGAGTACTGGCCCTTGGATGGGCCGCCGCCGAGGACCAGGACAAAGGCGATGATCAGGAAGATGACCGTGGCGGCGAGCTTGAGCGTAGAGGCCCAGAACTCCTCCTCGGCGTAGCCGAGCGTGCCAAAGATGTTGACGATGATGATCAGGACAAGGAACAAGGCTATCCATACGCCTGGGAGGAGGGGAAGTTGTGTTAGTCACAGAATGGCGGGAAAGTGGAGGCGGGCGCAAAATTGAGCAGCTTACCGACGTTGATATCCTTATTCCAATATTGTACCGTGAGACCACAGACAGTCAGTTCGAGCGGAAGGACAACAGCCCATTGCATGACATAGTTCCAACCCATGGCGAACCCCCACGACGGGTCAATGAAGCGGGTAGAGAAGGTGTAGAAGCCACCGGAGATGGGGTACATGATAGCGAGCTCGCCGAGGGCGTAGACAACGTTGAACATCATGACCCCGATAATGAGGAAGTCGATAAGCAGGCTGGCAGGCCCGCCGTCTCTCAGGGCGCTGCCGGAGCCGACGAAGAAGCCGGCGCCGATTGAGCCGCCGATGGCAATCATGTGCAGGTGGCGGCCCTGCATGGTGCGGTCCAGCTCAATATACCCGGTGCCGCTGCCATCGTCGTCACGCTTCTGGAAGGAGCGCAGGTTGAGCCCGTTGCGCGTCATGAAGTCCTCGGAGTGGGCGCCATCGCCGGCGCCGTGCTTGCCGCCGTTGCCGTTTCCCTCGCCGTCGTAGGCTGGGAGAACGGTCCCGACCTCCTTACTGTAGGTCGGTTCCGGGGGCACTAGGCCCCCGTCGCCCATCTCCTCTTTGGACATTGTGTCGGGTTGGTTCCTTGGGTTGGGTGGTGGGAGACGAGAAAGAGGATGGGAGCCGATCAAAGTTACCAGAGTCCGGGGTCGGCTGGGGTTTTTAGGGGACCACTTGGATGTGTAAGACCCAGGGGGGGGGGAGGAGGTGAAGAGGGAAGAGGCGGGGGAGGCAGCAGTGCAGCAAAAAGTAAATGACGTTAACGGAGCGGGATAAGCCAATTTATTTGTACCACAGGTCGCCACCAGCCGATGCAATCGAAGCAGGCTAGAAGAACCTTAGAACATGAGCAAGCCTGGTTCAATTCCAGAGGCCTGACCAATACTAAATTGGCGGGCTTGGCTATCTTGGGCGAATTGGGCAGCAGATCAAGCGAGGGGAAGCTTGCGATAGGAAGGGGGAGACGAGCCAAGGCAAGGCGAGATGAGGCGAGGAGGGGGGATGGGGACACCATCTCCGCATGGAGATACAAAGATAGCAATGCAGACGCAAAAGTGGGCAAGCGACGGGGAGGCCGTGGGCCGTGGGTGAGGCGGATGCAACCTGAGAGGTGGTTCTGAATGGGCTGCATTGGACGATGATTTGACGGTAGCCTTCAATTCATTGCTTGACCAGCTTCATTGGAGCAACCAGACGGGCAGGTGTCGATCTTGGCCGTCTTTGCTCGCACCTGGGAATGCAGGATAGGTGGCACGACATGTGGCCAGAGTCGCTGACGAATGGTGTCACTGATTATCAGACGGAGGATCCTTGTTGTAGATCACCACCGGACAAGCGAAAGAGTTACTTTCCCCATTCCCCAGTCCCCATTCCCCCATTACCTACAGCGTAACCCCTTCTTCGGTCGAGGCCAATTGGCTCCCGAGCATTGATTGACGCTTGATAGGGATCGATAGGGGAATTATTGGATTTCTCGTAATGTTACGTCTCGACGTCGACCCCTTGGCGCTCGGTAGCCTAGTCTGTTGATTTCACCGAGAAACGAGGATTACACTACCACACTAGTGCGTGAGGCTCAAGGGGCGGCGGCGCTTGTTGCGAAATGGGTGCTCTTGCCGGCGATTGTGCGGCAGTGATAAGTGTGAACGGCGCATCCCCAAGGCCCCCCCATGTCCGAGCTAAGCCTAAGACGGCAGGTCCTCCATTCAAGCGTATCAACGACCTTCTCCATCCGATTGAACCTTACTCTGCATTTACTCAGTACTGCAACTCTGTGGTATGTAGTGTGCATGGCATATCGGATAGCAGTTGTAGTGTAAACTGGCGTTTCTTGATTCGCCCATGGGAAATGCAGCATCCCCACCCCACCCTCGCTCTGGCCTCCATTGCTGACTCGTTGCCGGGGAGCGATTAAGTGAGCCCTCAACTCGTAGGTCAATGAGGAAGTGATGCGTACCTAGGAGTGAACCCCCCAAACAAGACTTCAATAAGTGCGGGGATTGATTGCTCAGGTCTACGTGCATTCATTTTGTGCCGCTAAAAGGGTGGGATGTAAACGATCAACTCCCGAAAACCTGATAATCCCGCCACTTTATCCATGAAGGGTCGTCGTAATGTGGGCGATTTTGAATGACGCAGGAGAGATACGTACCCGGATATGAGAGCGAAGCTTTTTTGATAAGGGAACCCATATCAATTTCCCCGCACCGTGCTTGGGGCGTCAGATGGCACAGACGTGATTGGCTGCAATTCCACGGCAGTGTAACCTCACGGGAATGGCTTAGCACAACAGTTATGATAATTTGCCGGCCAGCCGGATCGTTTAGTGTTTGCACTGTACGGAGCACGGAGCGTATGTACTCAGCGCTAGTCTCATTGTGTGACCGACGTGTCAGGGGATTCCAAGGCAATCGGTCCATCTCTCTGCTGACACACAGACGAGCTGGGACGGGGAATGGATGGGAAGGAAAGTCTGTCGTAACCGTTGGTTTGGGTTTGGGTTTGGGTTTCCTTCCTCTCATCGTCCGCGGGCATGTGACGGACTGCCCTAGGTATGCCGTACCTCGGTGCCTACCTAGGTGGGCGCTTTGTTTATCCTCGTTTTGCGGTTTTACGAGCTCTCCGGGCCTCTCTTCGCTGGAGATCTCGTATGCGCAATCGTATGTTTCCCCCAATCTCCCGAGCAACAACGACAGGCCTGAGATCGCCGACGGTTCATGTTGCCGACAGTGTCACAAGCCGAACCGTTGCCAACTTCCAACGGCATCAGGCATGTACATACAATATAGTGGAGTGGTGGGGTCGCCTCCAAGGTTTGCGGGGGAAAGAGCCTTGGCTTCGGTGCCGTCTGGGGAAGGAGGGGAAAGCAGGGTCTAGGCTGCCGAGGCCACTTGTGTTTCAATTGACTTAGCTCGACTTCCAGGGATGTCAATACTTCCAAGGGTGTCAATCTTAGAATTGATCAGAGACGGCGATGCTTCTCAATGCCTCACCTCCCTACTCGGTTACCGGCGGTCCTCCCAGATCAGCTGTTGAGCATCGACACAGGGCCCCCCTCCAATTCCCCCTTTCAAATCCCTACAAGATCTATCTTTCTTTTGAGTCCAGGCCTGTCCGTGCATGTCGGTGGGCAGGTATTTTCGAGGTCCCACCTCCCCCGCAACAGAGCACTCCTTTCTCATAGGTCCTTCGACCCAACCCCTTCTGCAACGCGTCGGCGCGGCCGGACGCCATCGACGTCATTGTTCGCCTCGCGGCCAAGGGACATGCACACTATTGATGCGGTTTGAAGCTCAGCTGACAGCGCCGAGTTGGTGAGTTTGGACTGAATGAGGATAGCAGCATCTGCGAAGGACAAACCGTGATGCCTTGGAGCAACGATGACTTCGCCGTCTACGAAGTCACGTCATAGTGTCCTAGCGGAAGGCAAGAGCAAGTAATAATACTTGGAGTCGGATCTTCTAAGCTGTCGTGCAGGAAGGTACTCCAATTCCAATCTTGTCTTTCAGCCTCATAGACGTCATAGTTATGAGCGTACGTTATGTCTTCGTCTCGAACGCAGCCCTCCTGTGGCTTTTACGATGCTCGGTTTCCTCTTGTGAAGATAGCCAACCCTCTCGGGGCAGTGTGCTGAACCCATAGCCCACCGTTCTTCTCTGTTGAGGACAGTCGTCTGGAGTTGGGTGTGGGCCTGCCATTCGCAGCAGGCATCCCCAGTCTTTTTGATGGGCCTCAGGGAAGGTGTCGGTGTGTACCGTTGGAGCCTTCCTGGCCACTGGCGGGCTCGTACCGGATGACTACTCGCACTGTTCGTGGTAGCCCAACAAGCTACCCCATCTCAACCAGTCCCCTAGCCTGCGGGAACGCTGGACTCACAACAGCAGAGAAACAGTTTCATCTCTGAGTCCTGGTCAACGTTGCCCACCGTGGGGGGCCTGCGGGTTCGTCGGGTACTTGAGCTTGCACGGATGCGACACCGCGCTGGGCTGATACGGCAGTGGCTCCCGCGCCGTCGCACAGCCGGGGCTGTGGTTTCTGACTGCTGGGTAATCACTCGGCTTCCTCGCCGCGGGTAGTCGCATGGCGGGATGCAGTCAGCGCGAGATGCGGTCAGCGGAATGCAGTCAGCCGAATCATGCAATCGGGTCCTTGTGTTGACACTCCTTGCGGAGCTGTATCCCAGTCTATTGCGTACGGCACAGGGCAGGGAATGAGGATGATTTGTTTGGCGTCTGTGGTGATATGTTGCCTAAATCGGGACGCAACTATCACCCGCGGGAGTGTGCAGCAGATTCGCAGGCCCTGCGCCACTCGATCGGAGATCCTTCCATCCATCGGGTATATGCGTCCAGCCATCTGGAGGGTGCAGTTGTCCTATTAGGTGCTGATCATGGATATGTCCACTTAGACCCATCAAATAGCAATGGTTAATGGCGCAGAGGAAGCAGCACCATGCGGGAATGGGGTACCTGGGAGAGAGACGCTCGAGATAGGACGGAACAGAGGATACCACAGGCTTGGATGGCTCGAAAGGCGGTGGCCGAGATTTGGTTGGCAGAAACATACGTGCGGTCACTATTCACTCACATCGCGGCATGGCAGATCTGCGGTATTCACTCACTTTGGACTAGGCTTGATAGGCAACGTTAACTGGTATCAGTTTCAACAAAACAGCCCGGTTGATGTAATGGTAACATGGAGGAGTGTCGCCGTAAGATCCAAAAATGGTGTCGCATGAAGCAATAAGTCGGCCAAAGTTATACTCAGTTCCCGATTCGATTCCGGGGCCGGGCAATTTTTTTTTTCTCCTGTCTTTTTTTCCCTCATCGGTTTTCCCAGCTCTTTTTTATTTTGTCTGACCTCTCACCGGTCGTCTAAGCGGAATAAATAGGATGAATCAAGTCTCAAAACAAGGAAATTCTAAGAAAGCCTGTGGGAACTGTGATGAGCTTCGTTCTAGGCGTACAATGCATGTTCCTCTTCCACGACGCAATGACGCAAATATTGTCAAGCCAACTAAGAGATAGTCCTATAATACTGTACCTTTTACTCCTTCTCATCTTCTCGTTTCGATATAATCATTGGAGATTTTCTAGGCAGAAGATTGACGAGTGGCAGCGTGGGATCAGGACCATTCAGGGGCTGTACTGTAGATTACCGTCTGGAAAAAAATCCCCGTGTCTTCAGAACTTCAGCAACTTGCAACGTTCTGAAGTCGTTCGTCCAAGAAGTAATATCTTTGGGTCGCTTGTCTTGGGTCATTTTGCCACGTTAAAAGGGGTTCTAGTGCCTTCAGGCACTTGGTCGGGGGCTCACTCGGGGTCTTAAGGGCGGGCAGGAGAACAGCATCATCCACCGGAGGCACGCCATCGCGTCCGGGGGCGCTGGGCACCATCCACGAGTCGTGCCGGTGGGTCGGACTGGATGAGGTCAAGGACCCGTGGCTGAGGGAGGGATGGATGTACAACCGCGGACGAGCTGGAGAGGGACGGGCCTAGGCCGGATGGGGAGCTGCATATTGAGGCCCGCGCGACTGACTCGAGGGGTAGCTTCGACAACGTGCCGATACGGGGGTTTGCGGAGGTGGGTGGAGTGAGGTATCACTGACGGAAGGCCATATGTCGCAAGGGGAAGGAGCGGAACTTCGGCAGAGACCCCGTGGCGACGAGCCCACCCGCGCGCCCCGGAAAGCGCACGGCGGGTATCTCCAATTCTAACGGGCTGGTATTGAGGGTGACCCCCACCACGGCGCCGGTGATGTCGGGCGCCATCCTCACCCTCGAGAAGCGAGCAACGGCCATGTCCTCATCTAGAGACAGTCATCCAGGGTCTCATTCTGTCACCCTAGTCTTGCAGGTTATGGGAAGCATCGATGAAGCCCTCCTAGTTCAAGTTAGAAGAAGGGTGTACTACAAAAGGTTATTTGGGTCTAAATTAATATATCTCCCTTCCTGTTGCTATACGCCTCATGTCCGCGCAGGTTTCCATTCCATGGATTGTCGTTCCCGCCTGGTCATCACTGTCCACCGGCTATTTGTACTGTACACGCGTCTTCAGCAGGCCCTTGTGCATGAGCGTGTACCGCTTCTCCACCAATCTGCAGAGTTTATTGGACGTCAGTTGCCATCTCAAGTGAACCCCACAGCAACGTTCTGTTTTGTTTGACCAACAACTCCTGCCTGGAGCGCGACGCGGGGAAGCATTGTAGTTGGAATCCTTCACACAGCTCTCTGCTTCACCCGCAAAAATTCTTCGATTTGAGCAACTGCTACCTGAATATCGTATTCAAAATCACCAACGTCGCCATGGAAGTAGCGGATCAGCTTAACTCGCCGCTGTTTAGTCTACCTCTCGAGATTCGGACTCGAATCTACGACTTCTACCTTGCCTTCGACGACCGGGACTTCGGGTACACCAAACGTCCCCTTTTCGTCTACCTCGACAACGGCGAATATTCGAAGGGGCTTCCCTCCTTGATGCTGGCATGCAAGCGATCATACCAAGAGATGCGCACGCAGGTCCACCACGAATCCATTCTGCGAGTGCTGATGTCGCAATGGAGCCCTCGCATCGGCTTTGCAGTCCACGGCAATCTCCGGTATGACCGGCTGCACAAGCTCTACCTGATCGTATCCATGGAACACCCCTACTGGAATCGGTGGCTGGGGTTCTTTGAAGAGATCTCCCACCGGATCTCGGGACTGAGGGAGCTCGTCGTCGACTGGGAGCCCAGGCAGTTTAATCTTTCGGGAAGAGAAGCTGCCTTGCACGAGAAGAAGGAGAACCACTTCTTGCGGCTCGTGGGAGGGCTGAAGGAGCTGCGGTTGATTCGGCTGTATGGAGACATTCCGCCTCATTGGACCAAGAAACTTGAGGAGATGACCGCCGCGCGCATCATCTCTTTTAAACTCAGATGGTGGAAGGAGCCTGGAAGGGACTGGTGAGCGCTCGGACTTGGGGACTGGCGCTTCGTCCGCGCGTCCCGCATCGGGGAATTTGCCCACCACTGTCGGCCAGACACGACGCCCGTACAGCTCTTCAGGGGTGGATTCAAGAAGCATTGGCCCGGCGAGCAGGGCGATGAGACCTTCTACCTACAAACAACAGTGTGAAACGTGGCGGATGATCGGGAATGGACATTGGCTTTCTCTGCTCTCCCCTCTGTCACTTAGGTGGACTAAAGCAAGTATTCTGTCTCAGAGTGGCAAGGGAGACCCTGTTCAGGCTCATCTACATTTACGGAGACTTCTTCGGGGCTGTCGAAGCCTCGGAGATCGCGAGGCAATGGAAAGTCTCTACGACTCGTCGTGAATATTTGCCTGGGCGATCAAAGATATGAAGATGCAGAGACTTATGAGATCCTACTGGAAACCTTTGTGGGCGGCGAGACCTTTGCATGAGTCCAGCGAGATCTAGATGGAAGATGGAAACGACTGAGATCCTAGAACTGGGATCGACTGAGAGTACCAAGTCACGAGGGACATGGTAAGAAATCCAACTCTCCAAGCGGACCAGAACTTGTCTGGTTTCGAGATACAAATGGCTTGCAACACGGATGGCATCATTCCAGCTGCATCCTAAAGCCTATCTCCGATTGCAGGGATCGGGAGTGATGGAGGATATGTTAACCGACATCCCCAGACAGCCACGGGAGTATAGAAAGCCAGCCAAGCAAGAATAAATTCACTACTGAGCTATTGACAAAGGATTTCACCCACATGTACAAATCTCTTGGGTTGGTTTAATACAGGAAACGACATGAACTTCCAGCTAATCAGCCGGCCCGGAGCTTCCCCCTCCAAGCCTACCTCCAAGAAACGAAACCCATCTAAGCCGCAAGGTTGATAGACGGCGCGGCGGACCAACCGCCGGTCCACTCGGTCATGCTGACCTGGGAGGTGCTCGTCTCGACGTCGTTGGACTTGCCGGTGCCCAGCAGGAACTCGTTGATGTACGAGTTGAGGTTGGCGGTGGTCTGCGAGGGGAACTGGCAGTGTTGGTGGCCGCCGACAATCGAGAAGCCCATGTTGGGGCCGACGCCGAGGCCCTTGTAGATCTGGCGACCGGCTTTCATGCAGACGGTGGTGGACACGGGGCCGAGCCAGTCGGTGTCGTTCTCGATAACAAACAGGCCGCGCGGTGCGACGAGTGCGGCGAGGAAGTGGTGGTCCTCCGGCATGGTGTCGGTCCTGCTGACGTAGGCGTTGAAGTTGGGCGAGAACCACGCGTTCTCGGTGACGATCTGGCCGGCCGTCTGGATGTTCTTGCCCTTGCCCTTCTCTGAGTCGGAGACGCGCCAGCACGCGGCGCCGCCAGACCCGGACTCCTGCGGGATGGTCAGGGCGATGCGGCTCTCGAGCGCGCCCACCATGAAGGCGCCCTTGCCGTTGCGGCTGCACCCCGTGACGCCCAGGCGCTTGGTGTCGATGCCCGTCGCCTCCGGGCCGAGCTGCTCCAGCCCGTCGATGATGCGGCCCACGCACCAGGCCCACGCCGACGTCGCACCGGCCGTGTGCGTCTTGCCGTGCAGATCGAAGAACCAGCCCGTGCCGTGGCTGTTGGTGTTGGCTTGCGCCGCGCAGGCGTCGTTGCCGAAGGTGATCTTGCCCACGTTGGCCGGCACGGGGATCGAGATGCCGCCCACGCCGATGATGGCCGGCCCGCCCGTGGCGCCGCCACCGCTGGGCTTGTTGATGGCCACCGAGAGGGTCTTGGTGTTGCTGCCGACCTTGATGTTCAGGTTCATGGTGTTGCCCGACATGGTCGCCGTGAGCGAGTCGGGCGGGCCCGGGTAGTCACCGAGCTCGTACTGCTGCATGATCTTGCTCATCTCCGCCTGCCGGCAGGCCCAATCCTCGGCGGACGTGACCGCCTTCCCGTCGGCGAACTTCCACGGGTCGGGGAGGCCCTTGTTGCTGACGGCGGCGAAGCTGGATGCGGTGGAGCAGGTAGCCTGCCGCTCGAAGAGCTCGGACGCGGGGAGCGCCAGCGCCGGAGCGGCCAGCAGGAGCGCGGTCGTTAAGCTCAGCATCTTGGGAAGAAGTCTCGGGGTTTCAATTATGCCTTAGGAGGGACGAGGGACGAGGGAGGGTCGAGAAAGTCGTGTGGCCCGGAATCCGGAGAACACGCCCACGCCACGCTCTTTAAGTAATTATTCCCCCGGGGGGCCATGCTTCTCGCCCGGATAGTTCAGTGGGAGCGAACTCCCCCCAGGCTGTCCACATGGGCTGCCGGTCAATCTTCCGAGCTTCTCCACAAGCCGAGCCGGCATTTGGCCTTAGGGGCGACAGATTTGGTGGGCATCTCTCGCTGTGTCGACGCCGGCAGCAGTCGTCGTCTCCAAAGCATCATAAAAACATCGTCTTGGCCCCCGGTGGGATTGGGCGTGCACCTGCTTGGCACTCTAGTGTTTATGTAGACGGCGAAGGGCCAAGACTGGAGTTTCAGGGACGATGGTGCTTTCTCTCTCCATTCCCCTCATCCGAGGCAGCTTGGCGACATGGATTGGTTTATAGGGAAGAGTGCAGCCTGTGCGCATGGCAGCCGGCTGAAAAGGGGATGCGGAGAGGTATGGGTAATTTGGATATTTGCGGCGTCGTCCTGGAATAATATGGGAAACATTGGCGTGAGGGGACTGATCTGCGGCATGGCCACGGGCATTAAGGGCTGATCGTGGGGACTCGGAAGCTGCCGGTTATTGGAAGCACTCTCTGTGAATGCATGATCCAGCCAGATTTGGAGAATTGCCAGGCACAATCTACAACGGGTGCGACGCTGAACTATCACCACGGTCAGCGCCTGGGGTGCTTCTAGTTTAGCTAGTTTAGCCTGCAAGGCCACCTCCCTTCCCCTAATACCACAGTAGACCCATCAATTACCGACCTTTGCCGGTAGGGGACCCAGGAATCTGTCCGGCTAAAGGCGAGTTGCAACGGGTTGGCAAATCTAGGCCTGATCTACAGGAGAGTTGGGGGAGATGGGGCCGAGGTTATTGGAGCGCTTCACCGGTTTGTGTTTTTCAAGAGGCAACTCATCAACCATAATTACAACATAGAGGCAGATGGGCATCAGTTAAGAGACAAACCGGGTGCATCGAGATGGGGCCAAGTTAGCTAACAATCAGTCATGAAGGTGGCAGTTTATATCAGGCTCTGGAAATAGACGGCGGCTAGATAGTCATGTCGACAAGATTGCACTGTCATATGATCTACTAGTATCTAACCTAACACTATTCTCCAGCTGGATGGGTAGATATAATACCCTGAGCTGCCTGCTCAACCACTCAACCACTTGAAGTCGACCATGGGTCCTCTTCTGTCTACAATCATTAGGTCTTTTAGGAATGATGATGTGGACTGCCTAATCTGCTGTGTAGTCCTGGGAGGAGAGAACCTGTGGAGTTGGTCAAGATAGCAATTGGTTATTTTCCCTCTCAAGCATTAAAGCAATGCAGCTCAGGGTCAGCCGTGGTTCAGCGCAGGCCCACCTCGTCACAACCTTACGAGGGACTCTTCATCGACTGTGTTCTTGGTAACTGCTCCCACCGTATTCTGAAACAACCTTTCACAGCGCCCGAGCCAGATACAAGAAAGCCGGACGGTCCATTTTTCGCAGCCTCGTCTAACCTCAGCTTGGTGGCAAGGGTGGGCAATCACTGGAAACCCCGGTTGTCGCAATGAAAAAGTATTGAGCAATGCTTGCTAAGACTGGAACTCGGGCGCTGAGTGAAATACCCGGCTTAACGTCTGACTCGCGTCAAGCAGTCAGCCCAAGGAGGAAATATCCGGGATCTGTGTTGTTTACCGGAGAATCTTGAGGTCAAGTCTGCGGCGGGAAGTCCCTCCTCCGTCGAAGTATTCGCAGTCGGAAAAGGGGCTGGTGACGATATCCCCATTGCCTGACCAGAGACAGATTAAAATCTTGCCCGAATCTTGGCTTCAGTCATTCCTACTTTAGTGGGCCGGTACTGCAGCCTCTTTCACCTATGCAGTGGTTGTTGGTTGTGATTCATTGCTGCCTAACTTAGGGAACACCGTTGGAACCAACAGACACTCTATGAAACACCCTGGCACCTCCGAAAGCCTCACTCCTCAAAATCTCTGCACCCTTCCCCTCAAATTTCAATCTTCGAGATAAATCCTACAACAAAGAAACCATGGCCTCCTCCAACCTCCAATACATCCCGCGCAGCACCGAAACCTTGCTCGACATTGCCGCCGACGTGATCCGCCTTCTCCGCGCGACCGGCGAGACGGTCGGTGTGGCCGAGTCCCTCACGGCCGGAGGCGTCATGACGGCGCTGACATCCGTCCCCGGCGCCAGCGCCGCCTTCCGCGGAGGGGTCGTCTCGTACGCCACCCCGCTGAAGCAGCTGCCCCTCAGCGTCGATGCCGGGCTCATTGCCCGCGAAGGCGTCATACACGCCGACGTCGCAATCCAGATGGCCGAGGGCGCGAGGACGGCGACGACGTTTGATGATATCCCGACTACGTGGGGGGCCGGGACCACGGGCGTGGCGGGCCCGGATTCTCAGGATGGGAAGCCTGTTGGGACGGTGTTTATTGGTATTGCGTCCCCTGATGGAAGTTGGGCGTGCGGGCCCTTTAGCTTTCCCGGGCCGAGAGAACGGGTGCGGGCGGCGACGGTTGTTGAGGCGCTGTCGAGGTTGAGGGACGCACTGGCTGCAAGGAGTGGTGGGGAGAAAGGGGAGAATGGGGTGGAGGCTTGATGACATTCGAGTCGCTCGAGGACAATCTGGCTATTACTAGATACCTACTGGGTGACAACACAGAGATTCTGTAGCTGGAGCCTGTGGAGCAATCCTGACAGCTCTGGTTAAGTCCTTCTAAACATGTCGTCTACGTCCATGCCCCCCAGCTGCTTCCACCAAGCCTCGTTCGTGATGTTATCCCCACCGACCGCTATCGCCTCCTGGTCGGGGTCGTCGTTTGTCGGTCCGGAGACTTCGATGCCCATCTCTGCTGTGGGCTCATAAAGCCCCGGAGACAATGGCCCCAGCCCTCTAGGCCAGGATTGAGGGGTAGTCTGGAGCCCAGGGAATGGGGTTGCGGGGATTGATGGCGCGTCTTTTCTCTGCGCCGGCTTTGGTCGTTGACGTAGTCCATATCTTTGGCTTTGCACTCAAGTTCCTTGCAGACCTGGAGGAAGTGGCTTCTGATCTTGGTTTCTAGGTGTTCGTCGGCGTTGTCGAGTGACAGAAACAGGTGTGGCAGGGAGCTGAGGTATTGGTCTCTCAGCTCAAAGTGTTCCATTACTGCGTGGTAATCTTTTGTCTCGGGTCAGGCTTTCATTTGCTTTGCTGAAATATTCTTGGGTTGTCTAGCAAGCTCACCTGGCAGCCCCACGTCATAGTCATTGTCCCTGGGAAATACAAGTTTCCACAGTTCTGACCATTGCTCCCTGTTGTCTCTTCCATATGACCTTTTGTGACCGGTCAACTCGCTGAATATGTCGCTAGAAATGCCATCCAAGGGGTCAAGTTCTTTGTGAATGCATCGTTCGGATGGTAGGGCTCGATTGTGTATGTCCAAGTCATTCAGCGTAGTGAAAACAGCTTTGCAGCATTGACAGGATATTCCAGGGCTAGCTTCTCTCCTGTGTTGTGAGACGATATGTTCTCTGAAAGATCGGGGCGTAAGCACACCTGCACGTACCTTTGGGCAGTAGAAGCTGATGAACTTACCGGACCTTGGCTATGGTGCTAAAAGACGTCATTCCGCAGGAGTATCTCTTTCTCACATTAAATATTTCGGGGTTTCGTTTGCGGAAAAGACAGCTGAATCGTAATCCGAGTCTCTCGCCCATCCGGGGCTTCTTGGCAGCTCTGACACAGGTATTGCCACCATTAGTGTCGTCCTCTATTCCGTTGCCGCCTATCTCCCTTGCCCTCTTTCCAGGGGCTTTGGGAGCTCCTTCCCCCTGGAGTGATCTTCCGTCACGAGGTATAGATTGTGATTTCTCGGGCTCGTCTGCTCCCTCAGGAGCCAGCCAGACATGAGCGTAAAGCCCTTTGACAAAGTCCAGCACCAGAGGTTTCTATTTATCGACTGAGATGTTTGCTTCGTCGACGGTGAGCCCGAAGACTGTCTGAATAGTGGCTTCAAAAATTGCCATTTCTTCGGGCAGGACTATATCATCAGACCCTTGGGATGAGGTGTCCGATTCCGATGAGATGCCCGTTGTTTCTATCGTTGCCTCCAACATTGCCGGAACTGGACATATGCGAAGGAATTCTGGTGCCTCTTCGCGGTCAACGTCAAGCGGCACGCGGTCTCGAATGGGCTCGTCTGATCTGCCGTCATCTTGAGGGACCGTAATGAGTCTCGCATAATCGCTGCGGAGATCTTCACGTTGGCTCAAAAAATCGTCTATTTGCCGTTGCTTATCGAGTTTTATTATTTCCAAATGACTTAATTATGTTTTCGTGATGGCCGAGAAGAAAGTTGAGGTCAGCGCTCATGTCTCCTGGAGGAGACCCGAAATCACTTGCAGCATCGGAATTAGGATCCCAATTCAGTCCTCTATGGGTGTCTGACCGGACCGAAATTGCAGAGTCGGTGAAAGTTGCGTTGGACACGTTGTCGTCCTGATTGCTCTGCAACCGTTTGAGCAGCTCGGGTCTCATTTCCAAGGTCGCGGATCGAGCTAGAATCGAGCTGTTCGAGTCTCCGAGACCTAATGAGTGAGAGTTGAGTTCCCCAATGGAGGTGGAGAGAGTATTCAATTTTCGAGACCTGGCCCAGGCGTTGTATATGCATTCAAATCCTATCCGGAACCTTTCCTTCATCGGGTCCGTGCCGTTCTCGAAGGCTCTCGAGATGATGCTTCGTCCACGTGAATTGTAAAATTCGCGGAATTGGGCCATGTCAAGTGATAGATTTGTGTCCACATAGGCCGTTTGGAGGCATTGATGGCCAGGAAACAGCATGTCCCAAATCGCAAGCCACCTCTGTCCCTCCGTGAGTAGGTGGCTTTGTTTGCGCGACAGCCGTTCCCTCACTTCAACGGTGACGAAGTGTACCCCATCAGAAGGCAGTGGTTCGAAACGGCATCCATTGGGTGAAATGTGAAAACTATGCCCATCTTCGTCCGCGAAGACCGTCAAGCATCTGCGACAGTAAAAGGATGGTGTGTGGGCCCTGATGAGGTACTACTTGACGGGCGAGATCCCACAGAAGAGTCGGGGAAAGTATTCGCTATGCTTTAAGGGATCTCTCTTCCAAAATGGACAGGCGAGAGCCCGCCCCTCCGGCGTGCCTTGTCGGCGTTCCTTTTTCCGCGTCTTAGGTTCTGCGTCTTTGGTGTTTCGTCAGCCAATTCAACCATTTACTCGTCCCTTTAAATTTTGTATCCAGTAGAAATCAGTATCTGCAAATGATCTGGCAATGGATCAAGCTTGCGAACCATCCTCCGCAAGGCGTTTCGAGGAAAGAGGAAATGGATTCCGGAATTTTCACGTACCGTCCGCACTGGCAGAGTCGGGGGCCAGCCATTCCCCAGAACATAATTCGCTCATCTTTTGTGAGATGACCGATTTGATGATGGCCCAATGTCGATTTGAGGGTGAGACGACAACTGGAAAGCCAGCTTGAATGCCTCCTGGTGCTGCTCAAATATCAAGAGATGCGAAGTATTGCGTAATATGACCAGGCTTTGATCGAGCAGGGATATCCTTTTGCGAGATTCAAAGCCGTGCATTCTCGCGTGGAGGCTTTTGGGAGGCCTGGTGGTCACCTAAAAAGTCCTCACAGACTCGGAGCCTCCTGATTGGCTTGTCGCGATGAGGCAGCTCGGCTCATGGCGCAACAACGCCCGTGCCTTACAGGACTCCTGACTGGACCGTCATCGTGGAGACTTCCACGGCTGCAGGTGTGAAAGTCGAAGGGTGCAAGACTTTCAAGATGGTGGAGAATCCGCGAAGCTGTGAATCCTATGCCTTCGAGTTGCGGTCTGTGATCTATAAGAATAGTTCAAGCTGGTCTTCGAGCGAAATGGTCCTTTTCAATCCGAGAAAACCTAGGGACTGGTACAACTCCAACAACCAACGAAACCAAGCTCACATTCAAAGGATCTCAAAGTGACGGAACCTCCATCACTATGCCGAATTCGTCCAAAACAGGTGGAACGCAGCCCAAGGATAATGCATCACCAGTGTAAGTCGCTGGCCCACTGCAGTCTGCACGTCACGTGATGATTGCATCAAATTGCCTTCTACCATGACGAGGTTCTAACATAATGTCTATCATAGGCCGATGCTCCCCACTTGGATTTACGATACCTCGAGCTTTTCAGACCGCCTCGTGTAAATTCAACAAGGGGTCAAGAAGCCTTACGGCATGATTTCTGTCAACCATACAATAAGGGTCGTGAGAATGTGAAGACGACTTCCCAGAACATGGACAAGGCATAAGGAGGGGATTCGAGACCCATGAAACAGGTGGGATACGGTTGCGAGGTGGGAATAACTCAAACTTTATTATAAGTGTGATTCAATATCAGCTGGCTAGCCTTGATTGCATTAAAGGGAATTTCTCCAGGGGCATGCGCTATTTCCTTTGCGGGCAGGCGGTTAGTGCATTATAAGTGGCAGTTGCTTTTGCTGTTGCCTATTGCTGTCGCTGTCTTGCTATTGCTATTCCTGTCTATCGCTCTTTCCGTCACTCCTATCACTCTTGCCATCACTCCTATCGCTTTTGCCAATACTATCTATTGCCTTTGCTGTCGCTGTCT